GGGAAATCGATTTGGGCCGGTAGTGAGCAGACGAGTGGTTTGAGAGCTTTCCCGACTAGCGAGATACTATGCGACGATACAACAACGCTTCGAGATTCGTTTCAGGTTCCTCAAGCGTCCTCCTATAGTCTCACATGAGCTGCGTCATTGTATGAGGGAGCTTTGTTAACAATTCCACTCACCGGCCGGATGCAGCAGCGACGCTTGTTCCCGTTCGAGCACTGCCAAATTCGAGTCAGAGCATTCCAGCCAATTTTGGCCCTTCTCGAAGGCATTCTGCGTTCGGGAGATGTTATTGATGACAAGACAGAAGTTAGCTGTGGGTATTGGCCGACGGAGAAGCCAAAATCAGTTCGGAGAGACTTCCGGCTATCCCGAGTGATGCTGCGCGGTCAAGATACCATTCTGAAGCGACATGACGGTCCTCTTGTGCACGAAGCTTGCCTCTAAAGGTAAGGCGCGAGTAGTGCTAAACTATCGAGGAGACTGCGACTGTTGATCGAAAACGGTCGGCCTTCGACAGGAGCATTCTCCAGAACAATTGTCACGTCTCGGCCAGACTTGGGGCCGATACATGAGATGTGCCAATCCTCGGACTGATAGATCAAGGTCGCGAAGGTGTGCCTGGAGACCACGTGCTCAGAGGCCGGTAAAGTCACTGCTCGAGGGCTGGACTTTTTCGGAGGTGTAGTTGATGAGACGGAGAAAATTCTGGGCAAGTTTGAGACTTCGCTGATCATGTTTGCGGTTCTCAGGTCTGTATATATGGGTGTGTTGATTCCGTGCGCAGGAAATATGATGTAAAATGGCAGGGACGTCGGCCAAGACTGCATTCGCGGGTAGATCCGGTCGACATCGCTCCTTCTCATAGCCCAAAACCCTCTGGTCGGCCAACCACCACGTGTCCACGCTAACGCCCCGTTCCCAGTGCAAATTTTGGCTTGCTCACTTTGATAGCATGCCTAAGTCGTGGAAAGCAAGTCGTAGGCACAGTATGTGGTCAGGAGAATCAACTGGGCCACTAAATTCTGCCGTTCGAGACTCTCATGAGGCCTCATGGCTGGCCTATCGCATGCCGATAGCTGCGGACTTCTAGGCGATGACCTTTGGACTGCTCAGTGGGAAAAATCCTTCCACAGGACTCGGTAATAATCGTAGTCGCTCTCCGAGCCAATCGTAGCATGTGACTGCTTTCCAGCAGTTGCAGACAGTTCCTCAGACAAGAAGAAAAATCTGCACTACATGTTGACGGATGCTGAGAGACGCTAGGTGGCCGGAATCTGCAGAGCCCATGGATGGATACACTCGCCCGAGATGACTCGGGACTACCCCTTCCATACCCCTCCTACCCCTTTTTCTGCCTAATAGAGAAGCTATAGAGTTACCATTAGGGTATATTTATATACAAGATGTAATATACACTTACTTATAGACCTCTTCTTCTCTAGTAGATTATATATTATATATATATTATTTATACTTATAGTGCTCTACTTTATTCTCTAGCTTATCTATAGTATCTTATCTAGTTAATATACTCTTATATTATTCTTCTTAAGTCTAATCTTATAGCTATTAATTAGTATATATAGATTCTAATAAAAGGTTAGTGAAATTAAGATATCTTTTCTTAAATATAAATTAATCTTATAGATCAGATTGTGACTAGTAAGCATTTATAGATGTTCTGTACTAATACTACCTAATGAACCTTACGCGTGGCTACTTGATTGGAGATAAAAGGGGGTAGAGGGGCTATGAAAGGGGTAGTCCCGAGTCATCTCGCACTCGCCGCAGCACTACCAATGGCTCGGGTAGACGACAGACTTCTCGACTGGTCCAGCTTCACAGTGTATTGGTTTGTAATTCCCGCTCCCGGCAAAATGACTCGTAGGCATAGCAAATATTGCCCGGGAGACTTGACAACCGCTCGAGACCACCTTCGATCCTTCCTGAACGATTCTGTTCAGCACTCTAGCGCTCAGCTGGTCGGCGAAGCCTCTCGCCAAGGTCTCCGATTCTTTACCAAAACGACGAATGGTAGTCTCTTGGTTGGAGGAACCCGCCGTTGTTCGCCTTTTGGTCCGCAGATCTGTCGTCGCATTGCGCACATCCCGAACGTACAAGTGTAGTCCATCGATGCTCATGTCTAATGGTGTCGTCGCTACTATGTGTAGCTGCATGTTTCGGGATTTTTCGACGATCAAATGTTCACCCGAAGAACCTGTCTGCTTCCCGCGGGCCCCGATAACATGCTCCGAAGACATTTTGAGTATGAATGCAATGACTTGCGACTGGATTGCGCCTCTCCTGGTTACTTCAATCTCGCCACCAATACCTTGCCGGCTCAGGAGAAGGCACGAGAGGCCAGGAGGAAGCTCCTTCTCGGCCCAGAGGCCATGCATAGCACTATACACGTCTCCGCACACCGTTTGTTATCGTCCGTGTTCGATTGCTTGGGATCGCTGGGAACAAAGTCGCTGCCGCCCTGATACTTGCTGAGATCGAACGAGCAGCGCCCAGAGAAGCGCGTCGAGGACTCGAGACCGGTGTCAGCACTCCAGTAGCCGCGACCAGCGATATGAGACCGATCCATCCACTCATTGTGGCGTGATCGCAAGGTAGCGAATTCTTGACATGCCAAGGCCCAAAGGCAACGCGCTTGCCTCGTTGCCTTGTCAGCAAATTTGTCTGTGCTTGTCATCACTGCACCTGCCACCTCGGCCCATATGCTACCTTCTTGATCTACTACTGTCCTCAAATCGTTGGCGCCTGACCTCGAGCGATAGGCCCACATCGTCAACGGACGAGCGATAAGAGCACCTGCGATCCAGCATATAATGCGTCCACCCGGTGGCCCCGATCACCTCCGCCCCGAGTGATTGCTTGCCCATGGCTTCGCTGAGCGCAGTCACCTTCATAAGCGCTTCGCCACGAATCCTACGCTGTTCCTCGTCTTGCTCTAGGACGCAAAGCGCCCAGCCAACCATAGTTTATCCTGCAAACAGCTGCAAGTCTTAGATTCTGCTACACGGCAGCAGCCACCATGTACAGACGTCTCATCACAAATGGGAGCGTCATGAAACTCATATCTTGTGGTATTGGGAGTGGCGGTCCATGTCGGACTGTACTGACAGGCTTTCTTGTCCGAGTCTGTAGCTGCCAAATATGAACATCAAGATGCCTTGTCGAGACTGCCAACTCACCTACCTCTTTCGGTTGTCGGTCAGACGCACACGAAGTATCTGACCGGTCTCGGCCCTTTAGAGATAGCTGCTGGTGGCGTGCAGGTGGCGGCGATGAGCCTCACGCGGATCGATCAAGCGACCTTGAACTATCTCCCAGCTGTCCCTCTGTCGCGGACAGTGGAGAAAACCGACTGGAATGGCGTGGCCATGATCCCAGAGCGGCCTAAGGAACGCAGGACTCGGAGACCTGACAGATGGAGAATGGTTGGTGCTGATGATAGAATACTGGCTGCGCAGAACTTGCATGCACGAGGAGAGAGGGCAGGTCCCGAGAGCCACACGACAGCGACGCTGCAAATGCCGAATGCGGGAACGAGGCGCAGAGAAGCGAGCCGGTCACTGAGGTACGCTATAGCCATAGACGGTAAGCTGGAATGGTCCAGGTCTTCGAACACGTGAAGGACTCTTGGCTGCTGGAAGAGCCAGGACTAGCACCGCCAGCACACCATTCCTCTGCACTCTCTCGCCGCGAACACCAAGCATCGTTGTCACAGACCTACAGTGCACAGAGCAGACTGCGCCGATGCCGATAGAACACGGAAGGAGCTGATTTGCGTGACCTGGGGTGGGACGGGCGTCGAATTGTTCGAGCCGCACATCATAGTGCAGTAAAAGCTGTCTTGAAGACGCTGGCAGTACCGACTGCTTCGACGGGATGCTCGATGTGGAAGACACTCGTCACAAGCGCACTCCATCCGACGAGCGTTGCAGTGTTTCTCATCTGCTCGATGTATCACCAAGAGCTGTGACCGAAGACGGGGCTCAGGTATCATTCTTGCGGTCAGTCCCTCAAGGTTCTGAAGGCCTGAAGACCTGCTCGGCAATATGTCCCAGGGCCATCGGGCGGGAACCTAAATATCCCTACGTCAATGAGCTAGACGAACGTAATGTGGCCGACTCTTGCTTACACAGACTCCTGGCCTCACGAAAGCATCAAGTCGATATGATACGCGTACCAGGTGACGCGGAAGCTGGCGATGTCAAGTCTGCGGAGCGACTGCGGCTTCTCCCGCGTTGGCATCTGCAGGAACAGAACTCGAGTGCCACAGGGCCACAGCACTGTGACATGTTGTGGCTTCGACCACTCATGCATTATTACGATGCAAGGTACCCAAGACATCATTGCCACGATTGAGACTTTGCACAGAGACCAGGTCCTGACGTCAGTGGTTTTCGATGATGGCCTCATGATGACAGGCTTATGGTAGCACAACGAACGATATATCACAAGCCACAATGATCCTGCCGTCATCAGATGTCAAGCTCAGAAACGCCATGAAAGGTGTATTGCTTGTGTATCCACAAGATAGCTTGGCGGAGGCTTCTCAAGATGGACAAGACCACCCCGGAACTTTGCCATGCTGTCAGCTCTACATATGCATGGTTCTCCAATCGCCTCCGCCGTAGAAAAATGCCCTGCCGATCAAGAGCGGAGGAACAAACTCAGAACCAAGCTCAAGTGAGACATGCCAAGCTATGAGCCAATGGGAAGCTTGAATTGCTGCATCCATGATGCATACAGTGAGTTCTAGATCGAACCGCTATTGCCCGAAATATCACTGCGACCAGGCGCCCTGCATGAATATTCAACCAGACCGGACTATTGAGCGTATGAGATGTGCCATATCGAGCCTTGTACCTGTCGGTGACCTCACCACTTTGACCAGGGCACTGGAAAAGTTGCTTCTATAAACTTGGCCAACCACGCGCATTCAGCTTCATCTTCTCAACCACGATTGCTCAGTACCAACCATGCAGTTCCTCAAGGCTCTTCTCGCTCTTCCTCTGGCCGCGGCCGTTGCAGTACCAGGCGGCTGGAAAGACAACAACTGCTTGACGGATGCGGATGCTCAGTACATCATCAGCCAGTCGACGGTCTTCCTGGAGCACAAGGATGTAGCTGCTGCTAAGGCCGCGGCCTACTCCATCTTCACAGACGATATCCAGGAGTTCGGCGACTCCATTAACTCCCTTCGTGGTGATCCTGTATGTCATGTACCTCTCGCACTGTATCAGACTGACCATTCCATCAGCTCGGCACGCAAGTTGAGAACGGTATCACGAGATATGTCAATGAGACGACATCGCAACCACCCATCCCCAACATTACCACCATTGACTACTTCTACGACTGCAATGATCTGCTCTGGGAATGGTACTTCGACCTCGGCATCCCAGCACCATCGCCCAACTATCGCATTGAGGGTGTAACCATCATCAAGGTCAATTCCGACAAGAAGGTTTACTACCAGAAGGTCATCTTCAACAGTCTGGCATGGGCTGAGAACATTGGCTTCACTGTCATTCCTCCTGCTGGTGGCATTGGAGGATAAATGGTTGAAAAGTGCGGCGACGGTCAAGTCTAAAATGTAGATAATGTAATCGATGATGCCATCGCTATTTCTCGTATGTGCTACAAAGTTGTGCTCTTGATCGTTTTGCGTTGTAAGGAGTGAGTCGTCACCGCTGAATGATGCGTCGCAGTGCACTCATGAGACTTGAAGCACTTCTCTGAGGCAGATACGAGCGAGAGCAAAAGAACTATCAGCAGTGAGGCCCAGGAACGAAAGCCAGATCAGCGAAAAAAATGCCCCACCACCCCGCACGCTCTTCGAGGCGAGCCAGGACAAGGTTCGCGGAAAGTCCTAAAATTTCCTTATTTAGGCTGGAGCTTTGCCTAACGGATCATGTCACCCGGGCTAGGTAGGTCTGCGAATACGGGATCTTTGCTAACCGGTGAAGTCTACGCGTTAGTCCTCAGATCCGCGAGGACAATTTGGCGAATAATGGCCTTCTCTGGCTCGGTTGCAAAGTCGCAATTCCTCGCTTGCAAGCTCCGTCGCCAGCGCAATCGATGAGGTGTCGCCCTGATCGTGACTCGTGAGCCGTGTTTGAACCAGAGGCAGCTGACTAACTGGGTTTAGGGTTTTGATTTGCTCATAACTTGGCCGCAGTGATCGTTGGGCTTCGCAATGTCTTGTACGGGTACTTGCGGACCAGTCCAGCGCTATCGTGGTCCTAAGGAAACACTCCTTGTACCTACATGACAAGTGTATCACACAACGGTAGACGTAGTTGGCGGAAGACATATGAGACTCAGGATTGGTCCTTAGTCGTCGATATGGGGAAACGCTCTCTGCTGCTCTTCCACTCTCATGGTGAGCGGCGTGTGGTGAGCATTCAGCCACCCCGTTATAACTCAAGCACATAGTGAAGCTGGAACGCAAACGCATGCTGAACAGGAGTCGACATAGCATAGGCCCAAGTAGAGCAGGACGGTGACGCACGAGTAGCCTCAGCAATGAAAGTGATGTCCTATGTGCGATTCGAAGGAGGCACTGGTGGGTTTGAGAGAGTCGACGATCGCAGAAGTAGCGGGCACTGATGAGACATGCCTTAAAACGAGGTGCCTTGAGATAGGAGGCCATCATCTCATCGCATCGGTGCCCCGACGCAGCTGAGCAGGTAGGTGTGGCTCGTCGCCATGCACTGGCGACTTACTTGCGCGAGAAGCGCGGTCTCAGCCTTCATCGCCGTTCCTTTGCAACATATAACGCCTCACGTGATGTTACCAATGCTTCGATTTCACTCGGATCAGACGAGATGGCTCTCTTCCAGGACACATGGGCCGCAGATGAGAAGAGGTCTTGTGTTATGCTCATTTCAGGTCTGAGAACGCACCCTGCGGCCCCGTCCCAGGCTAGACCAGCCCAGTGTGATACGAAGCCCGCTACGGGAGGGCAGACACTACTGGCCAGCATGCTCGACCTCGACCTCCTTCAGCTGATGCTGAGGGGGCTGGCCTTTCTTTGGCACCGTTAGTCTGACAACACCAAAGCCCAGCCGAGCCTTTGTCGCATCCTGATCAACGGCAACTGGGAAGTTGAATGCTCGGGCAAACGTTCCGATCTTTCTCTCGCGTACGACAAGGTGGACTTCCTTGTCGTTCTCGCCGCCAGGAAAAGAAGGACGCTTCGTGACAGCCTCGAGGAACAATGTTGAGGCATTCAGCCACTTCAGGGAGATATTGGACTTCGATTCGAGGCCGGGAATATCAATGTCGATACTAACGACCATCATTAGTGCTAGGGTCAGCTACGTGGCCGTGGTCTGGAGAACAAACAACGACTTGGGGCCCGGCATTGCTCGGACTGCGAGACTCGCAGAGTCTCAGGCGACGGCTCAGGCTTCTGCCTCATGAAGGGAGACACCCATGTCCCGTCCACATGCTTCGAATAACATAGCTGACTTACTAGAACGCATCCTGTGCATCCACGATATCAGCACGTGGAGTGCGTATGTCATTTTCTCCGTAAGGATGAATCACCGCGTTTCCGAATGCGCCGAATGCATGGGAAATACTGCGACGTGGAGCATCCCATGGGTGCTTGACTCCGTCAGTCATGTGTCCACGTTGAAGCTACAACCTGATTGCCTCTTGCTGCTGTCCAAATTCCCCCCTTCGAACAGTACTTCGGTGTGATCCAGACAGCAATAAAGCATTCGCAAGCACGAGCGACTTACTTGATTTGGTATGTGATAGGTTTGGAAGGGCTCGGGGGTATAGTATCCGCCTCCAGCGTGGACTGAGTAATGAGTCGCATCGTTGCGCACAGGTAATGTCTCGGTGCGCTTGATCTCCTCGCCAATCGTATTTGCAGTCGCTGAGTCGGCCATGATGTGAGGTTGTAGCAGAAGTTGTCTCTTGTGAGATGAGATCAAGCTAAATACGCCGCACAAAAATCGCAAGACCGGGCTCAGTGACTCAGCAGGGCTAGCACGTTATGTTGATAGCTTTCCAAACCCCTCAAGTCACGCCATGTGAGGTAACTCGCTGGGAGCTTCGTAGCTGAACCTGTCTGCCAAGACCTAGACCCTTAGCTCTGCTGAGTCAAAGAACTCTCATTGAGGCAATTCTAGGTTCGGCATCGCCCGGATCCTCGGAAACAACGCAACGGAGTTCGTACTGTAACGCACAGGTCTAGGTGACGTAGCCGTAGGCTATCCTGTACCCGTTCATCTGTGCAGTATCGCGCGGATCGTAAGGTTTGTTGCAGATGTTGAGAGCCCTGTGGCGCTCTTCCGGGCAAGCAAGCGCTTTTCGTGGATAGGCCGATTCACATGCATGGAGGTTGTGCCTAGATTGCAGCTTGAGAACTGTATACTAGCAGAATATCGACAGACCACAGTTGCCGACAAACTTCGGGTCGGTAGCAATTCCGCTGTGGGCGACGTGCATCACGCTTTGCTTGCTCGTGGAGGACTTCTGTGGCTCGTTCTGTGGTACTGAGGCGATCCAGCACGACCGACCATAAACGCCGAAAGCCTGCCGGACATCATCGGGAGGATCTCCAGACGGTAGACGATGCAGAAGGGATAGGCTTCTCTGCGACCCAAAACATATGGTACATTAGCCATCGGCGGCTTGGAGCCTGCAAATGCCGTTGGTCCCGCCGTTTCGAGGAGTGAGACGCCAGGTACCTGCAAGGCCATTGGTTGTCGCTCGGTCTTGTCAAAACGTACGCAGGCAGCACAAATGGTTGCGGTAGCTGTAGAGCAACGTATCACCTATCACCGACTTCATTTACCACCAACGTGCAGCGAAGCCCAGCATAAGGCATAGGACGTCCATGCTTGCCCCATGCGACTTGCATCGCATCGTTTTCCGCGACAACGCGGCTTCTTGTGCGTCGACGGCTTTGAGATGTTCAAGAGCGTCGCTAACGTGCCGAAGAGCTTTCATTTGGTCTCCATATCTTTGGTCCGATCGCCATTCAACGTTGGTCGCGGACGCGGTTTGGTTGTCCACCCTGCTCGATCGTGGTCGACATTTGCTGTGTAGCTCGTGCCCAAGGCTGCGAGAATCACGATGCGTACGCCATCAATGATTGGACCACATCAGGTGGAAAGACCAAGAGAACAGTCTCCTGCAAGCATTTGATGTCTCACTGAACATAGCTTGCCACTAGAGTCGATACGAAGAGTTGCCCTGTCGGTCAGTACTTGAAAGGTTTCGATCAAAGCATCATGCCACTGTCAGTCGTTCGTAACACCTACCCAGATGAGCGCAGCACTTGCCGGCTTGTTGGCTGGGAGAGATTGTGTGCGTCCAATGACCAGCAAGCTGACCGTGTCTTAGGTGGCAAGGACGATCAAGCCACATCGTTGATGTCTGGCATATCATTCTTGAATGGCAAAGCTGCGGCTACAGCACACGATGGTGAGAAGGATGAAAAATGAATGCTGGAGAACGGTTTGCAGAAATGCAACATCCTGTAGCCACCAGATGACGTCAGTAATTTCATGCAGCCAGTCGATCACCAAGTTCAATCTCACCTCTTTGAGGATTGCACACGTGCAGATCAAGGCTTCTTTACGTGACTATCCGTTGCCTGCTGCGCAGGCGATGAGCCTCGTGGAGCGTAAGTGGGCTGCCCGCAGCCCCATCGGCGCAGCAAGACGTCCGCCATGTGCATCTCGTCGGCACCTCTGGGACTGCAGTTGAGGTTGTCGGCTTCTGGCAGTGCAAAGCCTTCCAGCGATACTGAATCAGTTCCTCGCAGTCAAGGTCTCAAGGACAACTGGAGTCTTATTCTGTGAAGGGGTGAGGTCACCGCACAAGTCGACGCTGCCCGAAACCAGGCCATCTACGCATGGTCTTGGTTGTCTCAGCCAATGCGATAATCACACAAGTGGCACTGTATGTATACGCGGTTCAGGCCTAGGACTACGGGGCAGGCACTGAACATGCATGCAGTGAGGCCGAGCCTCCGGCGTCATAGACTGACAAGTAGCCAACTTTGCAGTCAATGAAAGGTGGGTGCATACCTAGTAAAGACCTGGGACTCCTTGGCAGGACCGTCCCAAAGCAATTTTGCTGTTGTCGCGACGATTCAAAACCTCCAGGACACGATAGCCTCGGGAAGACTCCGGATGGCTGTCCGCCGAGCTCGAGGCAATAGTCAGCACACAAAGCTACTCCTCTGTGCTGTGGGTGGAGCGGATGACCGGTCATCAAAAGCAACAGGTCGTCAGCTGGACTATTCCAGAGCGCAACGGCCAGCAGCAACATCCAGTTATGGCAAGTTTCAACCCTGCCACAATCGACTTAGCAAAATTCCCTGGATTTGGCGGCAGTAAATTTTAGCAAGGTAAGTGATTTGCTTTTGGCCGTTCATTTAGAGTTCGTTCTTGTTCACGGAATCAGAACACAGCCTTTATCGGCGTACAATCATGGCAGCAAATCCCTCATACGCGCAAGCCGATGCTGCTGGCGTCGAGAAGACTATACCGTGATGATGTATAAGAGGGTACAGGACTTGCGCGCCGTCGTGGTTGTCGAACGGCACCCAACTCACAGTCCGTCAAAAGCTTTCTATCTACAAAACGCCAGAGACCATATTACATCTACCATGGGCAAGATCACTGAGCTCGACACCGACTCCGCCGAGATGCCACCCACCTACGCCCAGACGGAGGTCCCAAAAACGATCTCATCACAGCCATCAAAGTATGCCGACCTGAGGAAGCAGATCGAAAGCCTCGAATCTGACGAAAGCTTTCGGAACAGTGTAGACTCGGAGGAACACGTTTCAGCCGAGCACACCACTGACGCCACATCACACGACGAAGCAACACCCTCTATTCAGCCGTCAAAACAGAAACACCATCACTTCGGCCAGCGTCTCAAGAACAAGTTGACTGGTACTACGCATGAAGAACGGGAGGAGGAGCGTGCCAGACGACAAGCGCTCTACCAGAGAGCCTACGAGGCCGCTCCAGTCGTTCCCCCCTACGGTGGTTATGGCTACGGCTACGGCTATGGAGGGTATGGACTTGGGTATGGCTATGGGCTGGGCAATCCACTACTCTTTGATGCAGCCCTTCTGGGAGGGCTCGGTGGATTCGGTCTTGGTGCGCTCTTGCTTTGAGATTCTTTCAGGCATGTTTGCAGCGAAGGCGTTGGGCTGTGCATTGTATTTGGCGTTTTAGAAGCTGTCGTGTGCCCCGGGAATCGTGTGGCCCGAAAAGAGTGTAGGATGAAACGGGCTTCATTGATATATGCGTTCTGGAAAAGTCGGAAACAGTTGACATTGATTTTAAAAGCTTTGCGATGCATTCAATGATTTGTGAACATCCAAGGCTGACACTGCGATCACAGTTCCATCGTCCTTCTGTGTGACCATTAAAGCATTGGGCGACATTCGGAAGGGCTTCTTCAAACAAGACCTGCATCGGTTTCAGGCTCGAGCAATGAGCAGCAGGGATGCCCCAGGCGACTTACCCCAGTTTTCGTCTTGTTCCGGCTCGCCGAGAATCCTGAAACTCACTCCACCGGCTGTGTCGCTACTTTCGAGGAGACCAACTGATCGGAATGGACGACAGCGATTCTTCACATGTCACGAAAAAGCCGAGATACTGCTGCAAGGTGACCGTTGCACCTGCGCGGTCGATTCGTTCCATCCATTCGGTGATTCGTCTCCGTGACCTTGGGATGCAGGGACAGCCCGCATTGCTATCGATACAAGGGATGGTAGCTCAAACGTACACCTACGACGCCGCGACGAGGCCACACCGTCCGTAGTTAGTCTGTCAGTGCATAGCCCGACCACGATCCCAAATCGTCTGCATCCGCAGTTCCGGCGCACCTTCCTACTCGGCTATCCGAGCACGACTAGTCACAAAGACGATTGCCAGTAGACCTAGGAGAAGCAGTCGCAACTAAACCCTCGAACGAGATACGTTTAGCACTGATTCGTCCGAGATTGACAAGCTGGCTTTCATGAGAGCTCTCGAGCCGAAATCAACGACTCCGAAGACTCCATAACTATGGCTCCCTCCCCACCATCTGGAGTCGAGGCGAACATTGCCGATGTCATCCCATAGAATCACAACATCAACCATGCCGGACCGTGGCCTCCAGGCCATCATCGTCGTTTGCATCGTTAACGGACTCGCAGGACTCTTCATCGCTCTACGATGTATCTGTCGCTTCGCCATCGTGAAGAGCCCAGGTCTCGAGGATTGGACGCTCATCACGGCGATGGCTATGTCCATTGTCCTTGCAGTCGTCGTTGACCAGCGTGAGTTCTCTCGGCTGCAGCCACATGGTGCCACGACTGACCAAGTCCAGAACGGCGATATGGCCTGGGCAAGCACGCCGTTGACGTCCCGCCCGAGGACAACACCATGATCCTCAAGATGCTGTATATCTCCGTCATTGTGTACAACGCAGGTCTCATTCTCGTCAAGTTCAGCCTGCTGCACCAATACCTCCGCTTCTTCGTGGAGCGCAAGTGGCGCCGCGCTGACTACACCATCATGTGCATCGTCATCGGCGGTGGCATTTCGATCATCTTTACCGGCATCTTCACCTGTAATCCCATTCCGCGCTTCTGGGACCGTGCTGGTGTTGAAGGTGTCTGCATCAACATACAAGGTTGGTTCAGACACGAGCCCCCATACGGCCCTCAGAACTGACATCAATTTCCTCACAGCGCTGTGGTACTTCTACGCCTCCTTCAACCTCCTAACCGACATCCTCTGCTGGGCTCTCCCCATCCCAGTCCTCGCCAAGCTCGTCCTTCCCAGTCGACAGAAATATACACTGATGTTCGTCTTCACACTGGGCCTCTTCGGGTGCATCATCGGCATCCTGCGCATGTACTACTTGTATCGCGCCACCGTCAGCACAGACTTGACGTACGATAATGTCGCGGCTGCGATGTGGAGCGCCATCGAGCTGAATGTGGGGATCGTATGTGCCTGTGTGCCGGCGTTGAGACCAGTGGTGGCGAAAGTGCTGCCTAGTCTGGTCGCGAAGACTAGATCGTGGACTGGGACCGGGAAGCGGGCGGCTGGGCGTGTGGAATTGGTGCCAGAGGGCATCAGAGATGACCAAGGTTTGGTCGTTCGAAAGGAGTCCGGGCCAAAGTGGCGTGATCTCGAGGAGGGGCGAAGTGAGGAGAATGCTTCGGACGCTGGTCGATCCACGTAAAGAGGGAATGGTCAGTCATCATGGAGGTCGCGGAGCTCGATGGCAGCGATAGGCATCACACTTGATTGGCGTTCGATGGTGGACTGACGCGTGGGAGGTTGTTCTGATGCTTGGCGCGAATCTTTGTACCACCAATGTAAGTCCAGAAAGAGTGCAGCATGTACAACACAATATGATTACAGGTATGAACAGCTGCATGCCTTATATCCAATACTTGCAGGCTCAAATGTCGTACAGGAACGCGCCATGTGCTCCGAACTCGCTTGCAACAACCTGGTATCTCAAAATCATGCATCGTAAATCATCACGTCGTGTTGCTGCTGTGACATGGTCATCTCAGGCTCTGGAATTGGCTCTGTCTCAAGGCCGACAGCTTCGCAGCAGGTGTCGCCGGCGCGTCCAGCACCACAGCTTGTCCACTTCTCGCAGCGACTTGGGCTCGCCATCGTCTCAAGAATTGATGTGCAGATGTTTTTGCCGTCTTCGCCTGATGCGCGTCGGCTTGGTCTTCCATCTGCTGGGTTCTGGTCGCTGTTCGTCCCATCAATCTGAGGGCATGCTGTGCTCGTTGCTGATCTCGGAGCGAGACAAATTGGTCTGCGCGGTCCTCCTGTTCCACTGTCAATCTGGTCTGGACTCGCCAGTCACTGCTGTGGTCCAGTACGCGCATTGCTAGGCCTGCATGGTATCGCTGATCTGCCTGTGCCTCACCCGCCAGACTTTGTACAGTGGTAAGGTACATCGTTGTCAGTGCTTGGTGGGCGAGTTCTTTCGCCCGCTTCGCTGTCTTGTCTTCGTCATGCTGGACTGCAGTCACATCCATTGCGACAGCACTAGCAGCTTTGGCATGCCAAGTTGCCAATGTTCTTTGCTGCGCTTTCCTCTCTTTTTCCTTCTTGTGCAGGTGATATCGCTGCTCGAGCTCTGCCATCGAGCGCAGCATACGCCTTTCCGACACGATCTCCATCCATCGACGGCCGAACTTACAGGCATGGAAGAACTGCCGGAAGGATGATTTCCGTTGCTGAAGGTCGAGAGCTGCTGAGCGCCACTTGCTGAGCGCACTGGAGGCTGCCTGCAAATTCTGTAAGTCTTCGCTCTCTTTGCGAACCCAGTTCTCGCGGTGACGCACAACCCATTCCCGCATAGCCCAAATGGCTCTTCGGTGGTTCATCCAAACCAGGTACATTCTCAGTCTCTTCTTGCGCTCTATGGCGTCTGCGGGATCGAACGCCTCCCTCATAGTCGCAAGGCATTCCCGCGCCAACTTTTCATCGTACCGAAGATCTGCTTTCTCGGCATGCTGCTGTTGTTCTTCTGTTTCCTCTCGCCATGTCGAAAGTACCTCTTGCAATAGCCGGCCGGTGTACGCCCGGTCAGCCCGGTCTCTCAAAGTGCGCTCGTAGATGTTCGCGTCACTCGTAGCAATCGACGAGGCTGACTCGACGGTTTCATTGTCTTTGCTGCTGAAAACAGTCTGTCGCAACGGTCGTGGTACGGGCAGGAAAGAATCCGTTGTCCGCGTTGGGTAGTCGGAGTGCTCTGTCGTCGCCTCCGACCGATCGTCCTGGGAGTATGAGTCGATTGTGACTCCGTCGATGGGGCGGCAGTCATCTTCGGTCTCCTCCGATGCCGCTTCGGCATCCATGGTTCAGGACAAGGACGCGTCTTTCTTGCCTCGGTTTGCGCTATGGGATGGCGCCGATGGCCACGGCCAAAAGACTCGACGACCTTTGCTGTGGTGGACATCTGCGTCGATAGCGTGGGCTCATGGTGGTGGCCGTGTGCAGCGCTAGTTGGGTAGTAGAGATGTGAAGGGTTCTTGTGTACACTATTCCTCACGAAACGCGGTCGAATGTCGAACGCGCCGGAAATTGGAGATCGACTCAGCCTTTCCTTGGCGGAGGCTGGAGATTCGCCCAAATTCCCTGCTTCGGGAACTTTGGTTGCTTCCTCGATCTTTTGATGTAGACATTGTAAACATTGCCAGCGTCCCGCGTTTGACAGCTTATCACAGCCTCATAATGTGTGATACAAACCTTGCACCTGGAGCTTTCCAAGAGCGCGCTCCACGTTGGAAGCTTCGGTATCATCCAGCGAGGCTGTCTCATGTACAGCCTTCAAGGCCATCACAAACAACTCCGGTGAAGGACTAGCTCGACGCCTCTCCATGGTGATGACTCGGATTGACCAGACCCTACTGAGAATGTGACTGTCAGAGGGCTCCTCTTTGAATGTGCAAGTCAAAAGTTCTCCTTGTCCAGCAAGAAGGTTCTGCCAATATTCTCGAGGGGTTGCTCGACTAATGTTTCTAACCGGTGGCAGTGAACGTACATACCCCAGGGTCAACGAAGGACTTTAGGTACAAGGTTGACTTCCACTGATGAGTACCAGCAGGATACCATGACCATGCAGGTATATATGGCAGCTTCATCTCGCAGGCACGTTGAGCATGAGCTATACAACCACTCGCTCCCGATCAACTACAATCGTTCGCTTCAAAGTAACAAACATGGTTCGCAAATTCAAGACGGAACCATCGTCGGAGGATACGATGCTCTCGTACCCGCTGAGAACGAGACAAAAGCGTGCCGACGACCTGACAGCATCGATCTCTCCGATTCCTGGCACTAATTCTGTCCTCTGTTCCATTCAGCCGCCGGCCGAACCCGAGACGCCCCTGAGGCGTGCTTCTTGCGACATCGTCCTCGTCATCGACATATCCTACAGCATGTTCTTCGAGGCTCCACTGCCCGACTCTCAAGGCTCACCTGAGTCGGCCGGTCTGAGCATCCTAGATCTGGTCAGGCATGCCGCTCTTACCATTATCGAGACTCTCAACGAGGGCGATCGATTGGCTCTGGTCACATTTGCGGGATCTGCGAAGGTGAGCATCATTCTCTACCACTTGATATCGCTAATATCTGCCAGGTGGTGCATGACCTGATTCCCATGACTGCATACAATAAGAAACTTGTGCAGAGAACCGTGGAGCACCTGAAAGTGGACTCTTCGACCAACATCTGGGCTGGCATCAAGTCCGGTCTCGACGTCTTCAAGCGTGCTTCGCCATCCACCAATGTTCAAGGACTCTACCTCCTTACGGACGGTCAACCGAATCTTGGATGTCCTTCCAAGGGCTACGCCGCGGCGCTGAAGCCATTGCTTGCTCAACTTGCACAGATGAACCAGCAAGTCCCCACTATTCATACGTTTGGCTTCGGCTACGATATTCGTTCCGGCTTACTTCAGACCGTTGCAGAGATTGGATTGGGAAGCTATGCTTTCATTCCGGATGCCAGCATGATCGGAACTGTCTTCGTCCACGCTGTCGCCAACTTGTACTCGACATATGCAACACAGGCAGTGCTTACCATCTACTCTTCCGACAACTCTCGCTTGGTCTGCCCGACTGTCATGAACATCTGCCATGATGATGGTGCTACGCATATGCGTCTCGGAAATCTTCAGTATGGGCAAAGCAGAGATATCGTCATCGATCTGCCAGAGTCTGGAAGTTGCTCGATCGAGGCTACAGTCTACTATACGAACCCCTACGGTACAGCCTGCCACTTGGTCGTATCAGAATCGTGTGCCGCCGGGCCCGATCTTCAGTATCATTTCCTCCGGTCCACAATGTGTGGGTGGCTCGCAGCCTTGTTCCCCAGGCAGAACGATGGAGAGCATCGTGCGTACGCTTCGCCTATCAAGCTGAAGGAAGCCAGACAGGCACTGGACGTCCTCAGCAACGCCATGCAACCGTTCATTGATCACGAAGGCGTTCATTCGCTCTATGTGGATGCTGTGGGTGAAGATTTTGAAGGCCAAATCACCCAAGCCCTGAAGCCAGCTGCGTGGAAGCGTTGGGGCCAGCATTTCCTTCCGAGTCTCCTGCACGCATATGCTCGCCAGGTCTGTAACTCTTTCAAAGATCCAGGACCAATGGAGTTTGGCAAGAACAGTGCTCTATTCACCCACTATCGGGACGCGCTCGATACGGCGTTTGAGACCCTGCCACCGCCGGTGCCTAGTAGGGCACACGTGACTGCTGGTCCGATTGTCACCAATTTCAGCATGGCCAGATTCCATAACTCGGGAGGTGGCTGTTTCGATGGCAATTGCCTTGTCCGTCTTGCGGATAAGACCAGGATTCCGGTGAAATGGCTGCAACAGCGGATGCATGTGTGGACGCCCATGGGTCCTCGTCTAGTCAGAGCAGTCGTGAAACAAGTGCACCCGAGGAACGCACAGTCGTTCGAGCTCGTTCGAGTCGGTCAAGTCTGGCTCACCCCATGGCATCCGCTCCAACACAACGGCCGCTGGATCTTTCCTGATGAAATCGCGGAGCAACGAATCAAGAGTCGTGGCGACATCTATTCGGTTATCTTGGAGCCGAGCAGCGACCCTGAAGCACACGCGATTGAGGTAGGTGGCGAAACCTGCGTCACGCTCGGCCATGGCCTCATCGATAAGAGCCTGTCTGATGACGTTCGCGCCCACCCGTTCTTCGGTAACTACAACGCGGCGCAAAATGATGTGCAGTATCTGCCTACAAACAAGAAAGGCCAGCACCTCTCTCAAGGTCTCCGCCGAGATGGTCTGACAGGCTTAGTGTGTGGTTGGCTGCCTTGCATCGAACCGCTTGCTTCCAGGCCTGCTGCTTTCCTGACGCATCGGCTTCGAGAATTAGATGTGGCGGCGTGATCCGCTCTGCGTGGACATCTATTGTATGAACGCCTGCTGTATATATGCACTTAACAAACTTTCCTTCCGATGGTATACATTGTTTGTTGAAGAAGTTCATCATTTCTGGTCTCAAGCGCCGCGTATTGCCCGCATTCACATTACTCATCCAATGCACGGTAAGCACGGATACTTCGACAATCGTGCGAGGCACTCTATCCGTCGCTACCTGGCGATCCATGCTGCTACTCTGCCCAACAAGCTGTGTGCCGAGCCATATTCCGCAAAAGGAGAAATCAGCCATGGAAATTGCCCATGGAACTCCAACGACTTCCCTGTCGCCTGATGATTGGTCGCAGGTACCTTTAAACGACAATCGCTGTCAAAGGCGTGCCATTTTTATCAGGATTGAAAATCATTGGGCTATCTCCTGCAACATGGCACTAACTCCTGGAATCATTCGTACCTCATCCTCGCACAACATGACGTTGACAACGAAGTATAAGAGGGAAGATGCAATCCGCGCAACCATGGCTGATCCCGCAATCTCAACGAAAACACGACTCGGCCCTCGCACAGAGAGAGGAACCAAGGCGAGCTCGAGCACGACAAGCCACCAAGCATAGTTACTGAACTCGCACATACATGGCTTCTCCCATCGATGCCCTCCTGAGAAGCAACGCCTCCTATGCCTCGAACTTCCATCGCGCGCCTCCGGACTTTGCTAAACTCGGGGAGCTAGCCAAGAAAGCGACATCAAGGATCTGCATTATCACTTGTGCAGACCCTCGCATCGACCCTGCTCAGGTAAGTAGTAATCATCACAAATACGGCTGCCGTGCCAAGCTGACCCAGCTATCAGTTCCTCGACTTACCTGGTAATTCCGATATTGTCAGCATAGTCATGCGCAATGCCGGAGGATCTGCACGCAGGGCTTTGGTTGATCTACTTGCCGTAGACAGCCTTGTCTCGTTCACCGATGTGTTCATCATTCGGCATACGGACTGCGGGACCACACACTTCACGGATGCCAGCATCAAGCGTGGCATTCGAGATCAACTGGCGGATGAACACGACAAGTTGGAGCTAGAAGCGATCGAGTTCGGGGACTGTGCAGTCCCACCGGAGCAGAGGTGTTCTGAGGAAGTCGCATGGCTGCGCGAGCAAGCATTCTTGCGCGAGGAGCTGCGAGGAAAGGTCGTGGGTGGCGTCTACGATCTGGACACCGGGAAGGTGGAACTTGTGAAGTGATCAAAGGTACACTTTGGCGTGCAGTGTGAATGAGACTCGAGCCTATCGTCCGTGTCTCTGGGTCACGCATATGTGGCCCGGGACCGGTCCACCGCTTTCGGATATTATGCCATGTCAGCTGGCACGAGTAGAGATCATCTGGTCCGTTTCTGAACTTACCGTTGGGTGATGACCAGCTGCCCAGCGGTGCCAAGGCTCTCGTTGATGCTGTACAGAGCCACGGCGTAGCGCATCGCTGCTTTTGCGGCCACAAGGCGTGCAGTCGTCGTCATGCCACCTATACGCCGCCATGTATGAATATAAATGCAAAAGCTGAGACATGCCAAGTTTTCCAATGTACTTCGAGCCAGTGATTCCAGCTACTCAAGGTTCGAAACCTCGTCTAGCGACAGTCAGTCGTCACGAGATCACGCGGCTACTCTTAGCATGTACGCAAGCTTTGACGTACACCATTGTTATTGTTTGCACGCTGCCACCGAGGCAGCAGCAATTCCAACAACTCAACAACTCGGCCCTGCCGACTGGAATGCTAAGCCACGGCCAACAAGTCCTTGTCATTCGTCTGCGTCGCTTCCGTATCAATGCAGGGCGATGGACAGCACACGAATCAAATTACCCACCACAACGACGGGTAGATCTAGATCTCGCATGATTCGGATAGTTCGGGTTCAGCATATTCCTTCACCGTGCACCGCCACAACCCACGCAAAGAGCATACATCCCGCGTGGGTCGCCCTTGCCGAAAGTCCCATGGTCCCTGCAGGGAAAATTATACGAACATGAAGCCGAGCCGCACCCGCAAAAAGTGTTCGCTCTTATGCTCTTTGTGCAATTGTGCCATGACTGAACTGCAGTACGAGCACTGAAAGAATGCTTAAGATCACTGACCTGTAGATCTGAAGACAGGCCGGAGAACGAACACTCCAGAGCCTCCCACCTCGCATCATGTGGTCTGTCGTTCGTAAGTCCGGGGCCTTGCACTCAGCCTCTCATCCTTAGATACTCTGGCATCGTGTCTCATGTGACCTCCGTAGAGACATAAGTGTACCGTCTGAGTCAGAACGTGAGCGGCTCTCCGTCCTGAACATGGCAAAAGCTCTTCCCGAGAGGCTCCGATCACGAGATGGAGTTCAAAGCCTGGCCAGATTCAGGCATCCACTGCATCCAAGAGATGCCTTCAAGCGATCGTGGCGTCAAGAAATGCGGCATCGCAATACGCGGCATGGGCGCATCAGGCGACACGGAGCAGCTCCATACCACTGCTACGGCTGAAGTTAGCAAGGAAGTACTGTGCGCACTACTTCACTGCCTCGCAGAAGAGTCATCGTCATAACAGGCGACCCTGCAGCGGCCCGTCCAGGCGGGCGTATATTCTCGCTTATCGGCCCCAGCCATGACTCTGGGGCCGTCTTCGGTGCGACACCTTCTTAGCCGCATAGTTGCCCACCTATAATTGGGTACAGCGTATCTCGATTACTTCACTAGGCAAACGGCGGCGCATGATGGGTTGATGGACCGAGACGGCGATCTAGTATGCCTGTCGAGCAGCCTAATTCGGTCAAATGATCGAACAATGTGAGGGCAATCACTTTCAGGGCGACATCGCGAAGTGGACCTCTGGATCAAATGCAGTTCTCGTTGCGTCGATGTGGACGCCTTGAGGTACTGATTGATTAGGCAACAATAGCAAACTGGAAGTAGGCGATCTCTAGGCCGACAATGGCATGATGATGCGCAGGCATGCCGATTGGAGCGCAAAGAGAGTGTGAGAGAGCGGACTTTGCATTCAGAGACGACGACCCGCAGCTCAACAAGACGGTCAACGACGATGACTGCCTTTCGCGATCGCCGAGTGCAGGCTAGTTACCAACAGGTTGCCTTGTAAGTTCTAAGAGAGCATGCTACATACGAGCAGGCTGAGCCCCAAGCAGCAGCTCGCTACCGCAGATGTGTGGCTTGTACGCGGACGACGAGGAGTTCCGTAACATCGGACTACGAACTACCCGCGTCATAGCCTCCAATTCACGTACCTACCTGTTCCGCTTCGAACATGCTGACCAGCAGTGCGTCCGGGCATACCAAACAACGCGATACCGAAAATCCCGGTCAATTCCTCTCAAACTCGTGTAGGAAAGCTGCACACAACACAGGAAGCTCACAGGATCGCATGTTGCCAGGTACGGCTATGTCGGACTCAAGAGTTCAACCGGTCTTCGTAAGGTTAGGGGAAGCTGTCCAGCCAGCCCGCAGTCTCCATGTCCGTGCATTGTGACGGCTCCGGTCATGAGGGGCGAGAGCGACACAGGTCAGTGTAGCTGGGCCAAAACACGCCCAGTAGACCGTCAAGATTCCAAGCTCGCACTCCCCGAAGACAAGTGTCGTGTAGCTGTACGATTGTGGTCCTTCCACGAACGGACAATGTCAGAGTCTTTGTGGCATCGGATGCACACACACACAGACCATTACCTGACGTGGCCTGCAGGTGTTCAGTACCGAAACTCTCACGATTGCTCGCAACCCAAAACGACAAAGTTGCTGCGGCTTTCGCGCGAGAGGTATTACTGTTGAGGAATTCTTACTGATGATCAGTCATACTAGATCAAACTGTCCAGCCCGCCGCTGTACGGCCGGATATGCATCGACGATCAGGCACAGACCTGCAGAATGCCGATCCAGAGATTCAATGCCGTGCATGTGTGCTGACGCTAAAGCGCGAGGCTCGCTGTCGATATCGTTCCGAGCTGCCGGAGGTTGGGAGTAATGTGCGGCCAACGACCAGATCACCAGGCCAAGTGCATTCAAATCATTTGGCACATACGGTAGTCACCATGTGATCAACAGCCTTGCGATGATGAGCGATCTTTGAAAAGGGATAGTGGTCGATGGATTCCAAAGGTCACAAAATTATGTTCGCAACTTCACGTAACCGACCTCAGGCCGCTTTAGAAGTGTGAAGTCAAGCCACACGTTATGACCCATACGCGTAAAGTGCGGAAGGATGGAAGAAGCCGAGCATCGACGATTTTCAGACGTATCGTACCGAGATCGCGCTCCGTAGAAATTAAGATAACAATTGGTCCTTGCCGGGTAAGCGCAGCGTAGTCGCTCCGTGCACCTAAGGGGAAGACCGAGGGGCATCAGGTAAGCATGAGCGAGTAAGCTAGAGTTGGTAGATGGTCTTACGCAGCGTTCAGCCTCAGGTACAGACAAGCTAGCTGTGTTGCCCAGAATTAGTCGAGCAATGACAGTCTTTGTTCGAGCTGAACTCGCGACCTCTCCGGGGCGATACGGGCGAAAAGAGTATTCTGAGACGGACTTTAGGCGGGCCAAGTTGGTGAACAAACGATGGACTCTCGCTGCGCGCTGCTCGAATGTGGTAGCGGCTTCGTACCGTAACGCTTACCCAACGGCAATTTGGCTCGATAGTTCGCAAAGGTTAGCTTGCTGTGATGACAATTGCTGCGCACGTATGGAATGGAAGAAGGGAAGGTCCAAGTTCAGCAAGCGGGGCGGGATTTTTGAGGAAGCCCGGGACGGTCTGCATACCTATCAGTAATTACAGCTCGACTCGGTACCCGACGAGCCTGAGGAACGTCCAGCTTAAGTCAGCAAGCACATATGGCATTTGCAAACATCGGTATCAATGGCCGATAGCTTTCGGCTGAGGAAATGTGGTAATAGCGGTAACTCGCTCGCCGATGACGCCCGAATGAAAGAGCAGCATGCGGCATGCCACGTTTCCGGTATGCAGGGTCGATTGCGGGATTTGAGTGGGCTTGTAGTGGGGATGATGCCGCAAGTGGCTTGAGATTTAGCCTCACTGGCGCCAGATCTCCCAGACTGGTGGAGAGGTCCACCGAGGTTTGTTCTTGATGTGAGATGTTGAATGATACTGCTTCTGGTGATTGCTCAATTCGACTCTGGCATCTGTCAGCCAAAGGCTGGAATTTGAGAGCATTTGAAGTCGCTCACCGTTCGAAGCGCAGAAATCAACGCAGGAGAGAAGAGCGATGCTTACACAAGGGAAGGTGTGAGCGAGATCTTGAAGCGAGCTGGACGACGTCATCCCCAGTCTTGGCGATCTCAACTTGCGCAGGAGCGCTCCGTGACAATGTCAAATACTATGGAACGGGTGGGCAACGATGGATCAGCGAAAAGGAAATAGCAGGTCATCTCATCAATGTTCACACAAAGGATGTTGTGCAGATGCTCAGATTTTGTGCATCGAACCGAACTCACAGTACTGTTCGTACATTCTATGGTGAAGTAATCAAGAGTGATGCATGCTTCCCTCCATAATTCCCAGTCCTTCCGAAATGCATGGCCTGGCCGCATGCTTCTATTGTGGTGCTTTTTGGTATCCACGACTGAAATGCTGATTCCGCCTGCCCATTCTCCCGCTGTCGAACACCCGCGCTGAAAGGCAATCATTCTGTCGTAAAATGCTTGAAAGTGACGTCAATAGCTCATTCCTTTTGAGACTTGCGCTTCTGCTTTCCCACCCAGTTCACGTCCGGATGAACGACCCGCATATGTCGTGTCAAAGCGTCATTTCGGGAGAAGTCTTCTCCTCAACGCACAGATGACATCGCACCTTGATCTTGCGACCATTGTGGATCGTATCTTCGTGTCGTGTCAAATCATAGGGTCTAGAGAATATTGAGTTACAGGGCTTGCCTGTTGATGGATTGATGCGATCACATCGATGTGGACCGGCCTGTGAGTTCCGCAGCGCCAAGTTCGCAGAAGCGGTAGCGGCAGACTGGGGTGAAACTTGTCGATGGCCCTCGCGTTTGTGCTTCTGTAGCTTGGCAGGCGTCTCGAACCTCTCGGAGCATCCATGATAAGTGCATGAATATGTGCCTGACTCGCTGGTTGTGTCTGCTGGCCTTTGAATCGGTTGTCGCTCAATGCGCGATTGCTGGCTTGATGACGCTGATGGTCCCTCTTCATTGGTAGATTCCATCGATATCAGGTGAGCGGGAAATTCCGGAGTAGAATCCGGGATACTGTCCCGGCTCTGCTGGCTGACGAATGGGTATTGCTGAGGGATTTGCACCGATGGCTCGGCATTGAAACTCGGAGTGTAGTAATTCGACAAATTCGATGGGTTTCTTCGCGACTGCGAGCCATATTGATTTTGGAAGAGTGGCGCAGCAGACTCATCGATATCGTGCTCGTCCAGCATCAGTTCTTTCGGCGATACCGAAGTACGCGTCTTCTGTAGAGTTGTCGGCTGCGTGACTGCCTGTCTGCCTGGCACGACATATGGCGAATTCTGTCGGAATGGAGATTGTCCTCGCGGATTTGATGTCGGAGAGCTCATGTGATCTTGTGTCGCTGCCTGCAACCGACCCGCCATAGTCGTCTGCCTGTGGTCTGGGTTTAACCTTGGCATAGGCTGTGTCTGAAAGGTAAATTGATCTGGAAACACCTCCTGCAGTGATTGCTGGTATGCCACGGTGGGTTGGTAGCCTAGATCCATCTGTAAGTATCGCGCCATTTCTTCGTCGCTCGAGTCAATCTCACCATAGACTTGCTTCTCGTCATAATCCGTCTCGTAGTTGGTATGTGGTGTTGCTGGAGAGTTGTGACTCATGGTCGATAATGATTGTGGTGCTGACAGATTGTCTGCTCCTGATGATGGTATCCTCCTCATGTCCATCGCTCTGTAATTCTGGTTGTACATGTTTGGTAGTTCTGATGGCAGCGACTTTGCGCTGTGAGGTGTGTAGTCAAACTCGTAGTGTGTAGGAAATGTTGAATCTGACGTGGCGATGTGTGGATATAAGGTGTTGTGGCTCAACGGTGAAGGCGGCCCTCCCGCTGAGGCGATACTCGAGTCCGAGGACAATCGCTTATGCTGTAAATTTTTGGGTAATGCGCTCAGATATGCATTATCATTCCATCCACCCGCCATGTACGGTGCTGTCGCCAACATTGGTTTTTGCTGTTGTGGCGGACTTGGATGGTGAATGCGCACTGATGGACTGGTGTTGTAGTTTGCTTGCATCAAGATGTGGGATGAGAGGCAAATTCGAGGTGTGTATATAGTCGAGGTTCAAAGGGATTGGTAATTATTTGAATAGGGCTGGAGGAAGACAGTGGTAGTACGCAGAAGGCATAAGGCTCTGTGGCAAAATAAAAGAGCGGGACCAGGTGATATAAGGAGGTAGTCTTCGCCGACACAGGGTCGGAAGTCGGGCTAATAGGACGATATTCGTACAAAACTGCTTCGGGAATAAGACAACGAGAAAAGTAGCAGAGTGTTGAGCATAATTGAGGGAAAAGGAAGCATGATGCGTGAGCAGTCTCCTCGGCTGCGAGAATTAGTCGAGCAGGGCTTGATGACGTTTGAACCCTGTCCTCGTTGAATTCCGCGCACGGACCAAAAGCGATTCGTATTTCAGTTTCTTGGTCTTGCGTCCTGCCGCTTTTACCGAGCTCAGCCACAGCCTCGATGCCCACTCAGCATTGAATGTGGCTAGAAAGGCCAAGAATCTTCCACCGGCCTACGACGCTCTTTGGTCATATGACCGTAGATCTTCCCAGCTGGACAGGCCACGTATGGCTTTGTCCATTCCCGTCTGTAGCCGATATGAGACCATGTCTCGTAGTGATTGTTGATCCTTTGTTATTGTCCTGTGAGACGGCTGCTCGAATCGCGGCAACGTGCATGGCCGCTGTAATCTTCGAGGCTGCTGTAGCATTCACGAAATGCAAGGCTGTCATAGCCGGGCAGCCGCGGGCAACGCCAAAACCTTCTAGAAGGAGTTGTGAGACGGTAGAATCTTGCCATGGCCAATCGCAAATGCAGACGGTGGACTCCGTTGCTGAGATGGCGCTTTGCCCCAAGCGGCAGGTCGTACCCGGGCCTGGAACAAAATGCATCTGGTCGAAATTTTCACCATCATCGGTTGGGCCGGGGAAGATGTGCTTCTTTGCTGCCACGTGTGGTTCTGTGGGACTGTGTCGCTGTGAGTCAAGCCACAGAGAGTAGCCACAATGTATTTTTGCAATGCTTCTGTTTGCGGGGACGCTGTCGGGAAGGCTGAGCTGACAGGCCAGTACAGCTGAAATGATGGATGGCAGCAAACGCTATGCGTTTAGGTAGTGCTTTGCGACAGTTGGTACCTTGTGACTGATCAGATGGTTGCAACAGACAACTAGCTGCCTCACTCCACGGAGCTGTCGATATATGCCCAGCTGTCTCATGTTGATGGCTGTGATGTTCAGCTGTCCTCCGCGTGGTGGTTGCAGACGCAGGAGCCGAGAGATCTGTCTGCCTTTGTCCATAGCCATGGCTGCATACAACTCTGGCATCACTCGTTTCGGCGCATCACAGCTTACAGGCTTGTATAGAAACAGCTCTGCTCGATGCTTGGCGTTGACTGTCGATTCGCTGGTTGGTCAGCACTGGGAATCGGCGAAATGCGTACGGCGACCGACATGCAAGGTTGGTGGTCTCAAGCGCACTCCCAACTGCCACCAAGTAATATCATTTGTGATGGTGTTGTAACCACAAGGTCGTGCCAGCGAGACGCCTGTCGCTTACCCTGACGGCGCCCTCCCTGGCCAGCAAGTCCGCGACAAGCCTTTGATACAGACTGACGCTCAAGTGAGGATCCTCCAAAACCGCCGACTCAACCATCGATCTAATCTCAGACCCGCAGTGCCCTCCCTGGCCCGGAAAACGGTCAGCAAAATGGGAAAAACGCCCAGTACTTGTACTCATAATCTGGCGAAGTGTGTAGTTCTGGAGAATCCACAAGGTCTGCTGTGGACGCAGTCATCCGGCTTCGTATGATCACGTGATCGCTGCATTGCACCTTGGTCGACCATGAGAGACACTGGCGCGGGCGGAGCAGCCTTCCCGTTGTACTTGGGCTTGTAGCTGTGTTTGCGGGTGGCACTCAATCAATTGAAGGTCATCACATGGCTGAGGGTCTGGGTGTTGTGCTTGCAGTGCTCGTTCTATGGAATAGAATATAAATGCAATTCGGCTTCGCTCAGACTCCAAATGTCGACTCAGTGAGGCAACGCAGGAGGACCAAAAGGCGAATCGATTGATGTTGATCATTGAGATGTCTGACGGCGAAGGCTTGCTACTGACAGTGCCACTATGGTCTTCCCATGCCCGAGACGCCCATCATACATGCTGCTATCCAGTGTCCTATGGAGTTCTCCTGGTACTCCTCCGAGTCGCTGTGCAGCCTCTGACATACACCACCCAAACTTTGCTTCATGCCGTTCCCAAGACTGTATCTTGCCTTATCAGTCCATCACCTTTCCGCTGTCCATAATCCAATCCATCACCATACCAGTCCGCCAGCTGCCTTTCGCACCAACACACAGTCTTCCTGGACGCCTCAAGCTCTCGTTATTGCATTCTACCCCCGAGGTCTCGTACCTCACAGAAGATACACGATGCCATCTCTCACATCAATCCGAAATTCCGAGACCATTTCTTGAAGCAGGGCGTCAGTCTCTTCGCGAGTAAACTGCTGCGCTTGGTTTCCGATCGCGTTGATCGCATTGTGTACATCGTCGACAGATGCATCCGAGTTCGACTCATCGAATACCTCGTAGGGATGATGACTGATGAGTCGAACCGTCTGCGGAAGGCATTGAAGCGACTCCGATCGACCTGCGGCGGCGCCTCTGATGTGCCAACGCCTGAGCTGCGCCGAGATCCGCCAGTCTGCATTGATCGACGTGTGTTGCGACGCGACGCGGGGGTTGGAGAGCCACCTCGAGCAAGTTCAGGTCCTCCACTGACTCCAAGTGATACAGTGGTATCGGCACCAGCACCGGTGAGTGATGTGTCTCCACTGCTTTCAGGCTCAGCGGGCTCGGAGACAGCGGTCATGAAGGTAGTATCGTCGCCAGCATCCTCCATGAGACTATCGTCGCCAGCATCCGCGGTAAGACCATGGTCGCCAACCAGGGACAAGTGCCCGGCATCTTGTCCGCTAGACGGAACTGTCGCACCGCTAGCGCCAGCAGCGCCAGCAGTACTTGCAGTAGCCGTTGAGGGCTTCGAAGCAGAAGAAGTTTTCGAGGCTCCCGAAGTGCGCCTGCTACCGCCGGGGGGCGGCCAATTCTCAAGGCTCCTTCCAGCCGATTTCTGCTGATAACAACCATTGCAAAGATATCCGCCCTGACCATCTGCGCGATATCGTGAAGCTCCAGAAATCGCACAGTTTTTGTTTGAGCATACCTTGGCCGCACGTGTCGTAGCCGGGCCTATTCGATCCGCGAGTGACCTACCCCGCTTGGCCCATTCGTGACAAGCATTACAATGAAGGCCGCCCTGACCATCTTCATGCCATATCGTGGTCTTAGTAGAAGCGCACGGTGGGTTCGAGCACACTTTGCGATTGCCCTTGCTTCTTCCCGTGGCCGGAGGCTTGGAGGTGAAAGAGGGGACAGGCGGTGCCGGAAGATTCTGTGCAGAAGGCAGTGGCTTGTCAACTGGTGGTGCGGGAGCTGGCCGAGGTGGCGGCGTCTTTTCGGGAGATCGAGGGCGTCCAGATGGTTTCGTAAGCTGCTGAGTATTTGCCCGTGTTGGACTGACTCCACGGAGAAGACTATGTGATGCTGTGGGCTTTGATGACTTCGCAATGGTCGCAAGTGTTGGTGCGGCCCAGTTCGGCTTCTGATTGAAGCGCGCCTTGGCTTCGTCGAAGGTTGATGGCTTTTGAGGGCCCTTGCTGGACGGAGCATTTGGCTTTGGGGGTGGAGGTGGCGGAGGCATTGTTTCATCTGGCCAGTAGTCGGCGCAGGCTGTTTCCCAAGGCGTTCCCCAACAGCGTTATAGATGTTCTCCGCGTCGTCGAACGGAAGCGTCTTGAGAACCATCTTGAAGAAGTCGAACAGGTCCACGTCATGTTCACCTCGATCCACAGATTTGATCAGCGACTGCAAATCGTCCTTGCTCATCCTATTAGGGAAGGGAGGCGCTGCGGAGGCAGATATGTGAGGCTGTGAAGCAATGGGTTCTGGCGACATCTTAGAACGTAGCTTGTAAGCGAGCACTACGGGAAACACGTCTGGCTCCTCAAGGTGATCGGTCAAGTCGACATATTCGGGCACAGCAGCAAGGTCATCGAACTTGACGAATTGGCCTGTTGAAGAGTCCAAGGTAGCCGCAACAAAATGATACAAATCCCCGACAACCTGGGAGAAAACAGCCACAAGTTCGTAGGAATCGGTAGAAGCTGGTGGTAGTGTGACATCGACTGCAGACGAGGACGGGAGTTTGTCGTAGGCTGTGATTGAGGCAGCATTGATAGTCAGCAAGTTGTCGACCTTTGACCAGTGAATGCGTTTGACAGGATCATCCCAGGTCGTCAGATCGGCATTAGGCGGGCGGTCGAGCCGAAGAAGAAGGATTTCCGGAAGCTTTGTTACGGCTCTCAACGCTGGAACTGCGTGGTCTGAACCGCAGCGTCTGCATGCATTGACATCCTCTGGTGGCGTCTTGGCCCAGAAGCTGATCAAAGCCTGGAGATCTACACGATCACTGCGAGCCTCCCACTTCAGCACCAGGCCGGGCTCATTGTGGAAAGTGCGTTTGTAGTGGCCACAACTTGGACGACCGGGCTCCTCGACGAATTGTAGGTAGAGTAGGTCGACAAGGTCAGAAGTACGCCCAAAGTTCTCCCAAGTGCGTCTGTCATGCGCCGCATCCTCTTGTAAAGTCTGAGGCTGTTCCTCACCAGCATTGCGCCGGCTTTGTGCAGCGACAGCAGCGTTGTAGATCTCTTGTGGTGTGAGCAATGAGTGAGTGTCAGAGTCCGATCGATCGAATGCAACCACCAATCTGTCGATAAGCCAATACAAGAAGTCAGTCGCGGCTTCGATCCGGTCACCGTGTAATTGATGCTTTGGCAACCGTACTTGGTTGCATGCCTGTATCGAGCCGGAAGTCATTTGGTACTCGCGTGGTGAGTTGTGATCAGTGGCGGCCGCATCCAGTTCATCGAACACGATGCTTAGGTGGTGCATGAACCACTCATGATCCGAAACCGGGTCTTCGCCATACGCCATCAGTTCTTCTCTCAAGCGCCCGGTCTCGGGACGGCATTGGAGGCTTCCTCTCAACAAAGCTCGTACCGGCGCCAGGCTGTAGAGCACTTGAATTCCAACAGACCACCAACACGAATTTCCCATACGAGCAAGATTGGCGCGGCCGATGGCAGTACTTGTGGCGATCGTTGATGGAGTAGCGGATGCAGCCTTCAGGGACTGAGGCTGCTTCGTGGCTGCAGGGAGAGATCGCCGGCTTTTAGAACTTCCTGCCGGAGGGTTTGGCGTATCCTGGATTGGTCTGAACAGTCCATCTTTACCTTTCTTCACAGTGAACTTTCGCTTTGACCCCGGCGCAGCAGGTTTTGGCCCCTGAACATTGCCCACAGCGATCAGCTTCAGATCCGTTTCAGCGTCTTCGTCATCGAGGACAAAATGCTCGTCCGCGGGAGCAGGCAGAATGGTAAGCTCGTCAAGCAGGATGGGCTCCTTGAAGATAATTTTGCCAGGCTTCAGTACTTCTGTGCTGAGCTGAGGACCAAGGATACACCTCGGGCGGTCGAATTGTTCCTCGATCAGGTGTGTGACGGTGGCTGGGTAACTGTACCGACACCCGTTCTTTCCCTGTGTCTCAACTTCCATGCCAGAGAGCTTATACTTCCAGCTTTCTGGACCATGTGAGGTCGGCCATGTCTTTTCGTAGCCTGTACGCATCTGCGTTCCTGGGTCCTTGTGGCCGAAAGACACATCGAGTGGCGAACCCACGTTCAGGGTGAATGGCAGCCGCCAGGAATCTGCACAAGGACTTCTGAAAGGGGGAAAAGATGGATCATCCAGATGTTGGCGTACGAGCCGCATGTATTGCTGGGCCCACTCGAAGATGAGAAGCTCCACTGGAAGAGTTGGGCGAAGCTCAGGTTCATTCGCATGCTTTGCGGCATATAACCGATCACAAGCGGTCCACAGTCGGTCTTTTCGTTCGTACATGAATGTCATGAAGTCATACGGCGTCCAATGATGAACGACTGTGTACTCGCTGGCAAAGAAAGGGACGTTGATACCAGCACTAGCGTCGAACCGTAGCCAGTGCCGTCGCAGTTCCGGCGTGTTGAGACCATTGAGCTGTGCGATTTCAGTCACTCCTTGAATGATGTAGTCCCACTTCTCTGGACGCCAGTATGGACAGCCATCGTCCGTAGGTCTAAGACCCAATGTGGCCCAGAGTCGCTGCGGCGGAACATGTATAGTATCGAGTCGTTCTCCAGTGCGGAAGCAGCGCTTGACCTCGTCATAATTTGGCTGAACGTCGTTACCGACCTTAAAACACTGTTGGCTACGATTCAGCAACGTTTCCATGCTGTTGACGTAGATGTTGCGCAAGATCGCGATGCCAGACTGATACTCGGCTGCGTCCAGACCGTTGCGGAGCTGATAGACAGCAACGAAGATGACCACAGCATGATGCTTTTTGTAAGCATTTGCTGGGAAAGAGCATACGGACAAGTTGCCAAGGGTGTGATACCCGGTGACGGTCTTATCGCCCTTAGTTGTCTTGTGGATTGGATCGATGGCGTCGAGTCCAGGCGCGAATAGATGAAGCGCGTAACCACGGAAATCTTCGACAAGGGCTGATTCATCAGCATCGTCGAGTACCTGGCTGAAGTATGCATCGTAACGCTTGCTGGTACTTGGATGGCCATCCTCGTCGATCACCACGGTGTACTCCATTTCCTTCAAAGCCTTCACAACAAGCGCTTGGAGGTCGGCCTTGGTCGGTTCCTCTCCATAGTGGCTGGCTTCGATCTTGAACGAGCGATATAATCGATTCATGAGTCGAGTCTCGCCTTGTCGGGAAGGATCTGGAGGCAGGAGCTCAGATACTGCAGTGGCGTCGTCCAATTTGTCCAAACAAGACTTGCAAATATCGTGCTCAAGCCCATCGACGGTCACCATGTCAGCACACAGCTTTGCATGACGACAACCCAGCAGGCACACATGCCAGGAATTGCTCTTGTCATCATGCTCGCACGGTACGGCATCAGGAGGTGGCGCACCGTTGCGTATGGCAGCATTTTGCTCATCACATTTGATAGCTCCGGCCCTCCAGATCTTGTATGGATCTGCCGACACCATGCAACTTTCGAGCATTGCTGCGAGAGGTGTGCTCCAGTATCTCACATCATGAGACCGAATGTAAAGAACCGGCAGGCTGCCTGTGCAATCCTTGCTCACGTTGCTACCAGGTGACAGTACGGACAAGTAGTTGCATTCGGCTGCTTGTCTGGGACCATACCAAAGCGGAAAACCGTGATAGGGGCCAAACTCGATGTCGTTCTTTCCATGGCGCGCCTTCCGAGCTTCCTTCAGGTAGGGCATTTGGAAGCGAAGCACTCGTTCCTTGCAGGTGAACCGCGTGCCGATGAAGCCCGTGAACGTCGCAACGATGACTTTTGCCAGGTCCTGGGCACGCAGAATTGCCGGATCATTGAGGCGCTTCTTGTCGAGAGGTTGATATGTAGATCTGCCTTCTTTCTTCTTAGTTCGTTCGACCCATTCATATTCCGGAGGCACCGAGATAGGGATGTCTCGAAGTGTTCCAGGATCCACAACAAAATTCATGCTCCAAACTTCAGGCTTCTCTTGATTGCTAGTATCAATGCCATATACTTTGCCTTCGATGAAAATGTCTGAATGTCGCTTGTTTGGAGGTCTCGCATGTGGTAGGACTCGCTCTGGCCGAATCTGTGGAACAAGCTTGTGCGCTAAGCGTTTTGCAATGGACACTACCCAGAGAACATCGTCGGCACCGAGCTCGCCCAGACGGCATGGCAGATGTTCGAGGATTTGCACAAGAATGGGTCTGAAGGCATCGACGTGAGGTTGTGGCATCTTACCAACATGTACCTGATGAACTTCATCCTTGCTGGCACCATCTGTGCGGAAGGAGAGCATGCCGGTAGTTGCGCGAAAGGAAGTGGTGATCTTGCGAAGCGGTGTCTTCTTTAGGAGCTCTTCGACTGTTGCGCCCGCAACAATGCTACTACCGAGGCCAGGATGAATCGTCTTGATCTTTGCGGCCTCAAAGCGAACTAGATTCCGGCCTCTGGCGTGTTGCATCTCGGGCGAAATCCAATCAAGTTCGCCAAGGTCACCGAAGGTGTTGTCGGGAGGCTTGCGATCATCTGAAGGTAGAGACTGCGCTGGGGCGGACTCGATGTGAGGTAGTTCTTTCATGGCGTGGGCAGCATCGAAAGCCGTGGCCTCGGGATCCTCCTCGTCGTCCGGAGCGACAAAGAGATCGTCCTCGTCATCATCACCATCGTGGGCTACTCCGACATCGAGTGGGATTGATGCCTCCTCGTCGAGCTCCATGGCTTCTAGTGCCGAGTCGTATTGTTCGCTGCCCGAGGAGAACCCTGCCTCGCCTGGAGAGAAATCATCATCGTCAGACGGCATTCTGTCAAGTATCGATGACTAAGAGACCATTGGCGACCTAGCCAACAATTAGTACAAACAGGATGACGCTCGACTTGGACTTACTGAGGTATGCTACTGGGATGAAGGTTGCTCTTGAGGCTCTCAGACTGCGCTTGAACTTGTCGCTGAAGCAGCTCAGACTGCAATCGAACTTGTCGCAAGACTACCTCAGACTGCAGTTGAGCAACTCGACCGACTCTGTAAGCAAGGCGAACAACCACGAAATCTGGCCTTCGCGTGCTCGTGTTGAGTCAGTGAGAAATTCAACGAATTGGGCGGGGTTGCAAGCAAGACAACCCTTGGAAAAGGTCAACAGCGATTTTGAATGTTAGGCAAGGCTGCAAAGGCAAGTGGGTCCCTTTGATGCATTTTGCCTTATCGCCTGTTTGCTCACCCGTGTGAAGCCGGTGGCGAGGCTGAAGATGTGACATGGTGAAGTTTGCTGAAGTACTCCGTCATTCTCCAACCACCCAATTTATCAGCCATTGACCCTGCTCTTGCGTCGAATTTTTCTGCAAGCATCTATTCGGATCAGAACAACGAGATGTCTAATCTGGCAAGGGTCAACCGAGAGCGGTACCTTGTGGTAAGTCTTCGTATGAAAGTCCACCAAGACAGCGCCTGAAGTGCCACGTGTGGCGTCATGCCGAAGATCTGGCCTGGCGGCTTTAGCTGGCAGTTGCCCATCTTACCCAACACCTGCTGACGGCGAATGTAAGGCCGAAACCTATGCGAAGAACGGAGACGTCCGCGAATGTCTTGAGATATGCTGGCAGATGCGGCTCCAGTCAGACCTTTCCCTCTACCAGCGAGCGTGGGTAAACCTCCTCATCGCATCGGTCATAGATGTTCAGAACTATCCGGATTGCGACAAATACCCTAAGGAGGTCAAGGCTCTTGTAGAGCAAATTCGGTGAGCAGATGTCCCCATGTATCTCGACTTACACGCTTCATTCGAGATGCGACGTATAACTGTTTGCTTCTCTGTGTGCCCAGTACGGCACTCTGGTCTTCTCTTCCAGGTCAAGTGGACATACTGACGGGTCTTCATTACAGACGCGAGGTACCAACACTGGGTCCGAAATCGTCCTCTGCACTACACTATCTCGAGGCCAAGGCCGATGAGTTGCAGGGCCAAATCGAGCGACTGCAAAAGGAAGTAGCCGAAAAGCATTCAACACTCGTTCCAGATAATCGTGTCTTCCACGAGGAGACCAACAAAACGATTTTGAACGACTTCAACAAGGATGCAGACGAGCCTGTGGATAAGAGCATAGAGGAGAAGCAATGGACGATCGAGGGCATGTATACTGACCTTGGCTTCGGCTATGGGAGAAACAAGCCAGTGGTCGATCCTCCTATTCTTCATGAACCAATCTTGACGGGCGATAAGGTGATGGGAAGCTTCTCCTCGGAAGTAGGCGGTCAGCCCAGCTCTCAGCCATCCGTGTTTTCCAACAAGCCTGAGGGTGATGTTCAGATGTCTGATGCGACGGAGGTGTTCGGGTCAAGTTCTCCGAATCTTGTGGCGAAGACTTCTGACAGTGAGTCAACTGAAAGCGGCGGATGAGCGAAGGGAAAACTCGAGGTCATTCGACTACGAGGAAGCTAGCTGTGTCGAGTCACTCGAAAGCCACGAAGATGGCATTCAGCAGCGAGCGAGATCGTGGCATCGACAGACTGCGCAGTCAGTGAGCGCTTCTTCGAAATTCAGTGGACTCGGAACGTAGCGGCTATCATGGCAGGCATGAGCGGTATCGCAGGACCGGCGGCATGGGGCGTTCTCGCTTCCCGGTCGGCGGTGTCTTTTCTCGTGTGCTGATCGCGGTTCGAGGTCTGCCAGTCGACTGCGCACGAAGGGCCATCTCGAGAGGGGCTGCCGCGTAACTTCCACAACCATTATGGACCGCGGGATTGCGAGGTCTGGGAATGCGGCAGAGACGGATAGTTGCTGCAACAAATGAGAACAACGAATATCTACTTCATAGCAATTCGTGGAACGTAGGTACGCAAGAAGATGAAATTCTAAGTCGTAGGATGGGGTTCATGTTCAAGTTGACGTTCGAAGCCGCATTTGAGAAAGCTTGGCAGAAGTAGTTTATCCCGAGTTCCGACCGAGCGACCCAGGCCAGACCCGGTGAATTACAGGTATGCAGGCGCTGTGAGGCACACACTATTTTCTTCAGACGAATACAGCAATATGTGCCCGAGAAGAACGTGACGAAGCTGCATTGTGGTCTCTGGAGGTTGGTAGCCAGGGCGTGGTGCAGCGTCCGCTGCTCAGCAGCCACGAAGTATGTTGTAGAAGACGCTGGCCCGCATGCCTCTCATCTATTTCATGCACGTGCCTTGAGGATCATTGCCAGCTATTGGGAAATTCGCTGCTACTTTCGGAGATTCACAAACATTGCAGACAGGCAGGGATCGTGTTGAAATGCTTTCGCCTTGTCATTCAGGAGGCTATCGAACATTCACCCGTTGCTACCTCCATCATTCCCTAGCTGGTTCGAGCCCTTCGAACTGCCATTGATGCCCGTAAACCATTCCCGAAGACCCAAAACTCCGTTGCCATTGTCGTGAAGATGATAGCTTAACCGCCGAAGCCGTACAGAGTACGTCCTTTTGCAAAGTTAGTGACCGTTCCTCACCATCAGGGATGGGTACCAGATACCTTGACGTTTTAGCGCATATACAACATCGAGCGATGTGACAGCTGAGCAGTTGTTAGCGTGGATGTGTCATGGGAAAGAGGCAGGACTCACTCTTGCGCTTGGCGTGCTCGGTGTAGGTGACTGCGTCACGGATGACGGACTCGAGGAATGATTTGAGAACACCACGAGTTTCCTCGTAGATCATAGCTGAGATACGCTTGACGCCACCACGACGAGCGAGACGACGGATAGCTGGCTTCTGCGGTGATGTCAGTGTTTGTTGTGTCTGTCGCAGTCGAGACGACGTACGGTAATTCCCTGAATATTGTCGCTATCATGTTTGTTAGCTTCATCGTCGACCTAGAAGACTATACAAGTCATGTAGGACATACCGAAGGATCTTACGATGACGCTTAGCACCTCCCTTGCCAAGCCCCTTGCCACCTTTGCCACTAGAGAGGATGTCAGCACATGTAGATGAAGTAAGGTGGGCGACAGGGAGGTCGCGTGGCGGCGAGGCGCCTGACGCGTCGAAAGACAGCGACATTTAGGAGCAGACATACCGGCCAGTCATGATGATTGAGTGTGTTTTGGAAGGTTAAAACGTGTGTGGATGTGGTTGAGATGTATGCGGGATATCGAGTCTCTGGAAGAAACCGACTTTCGGGGAAGTTAAGTAGGAGGCACAAACGTGAAAGCCCGACAAATCACTCCCATCGGGTCACCGAGCGGTTGACATTTTTGCCCAATCAAAATTCGTGTCGCCGAGATGGTGAAGAGAGTCCATCGTCTCAATCGGGAAAGGCGGTAGGCGGGCTGCCGGTGCTTGGGGTCGCCCGTATTGCTTCATTGTGTTAATGCACAATCAAGAACGCTTCCCACGGCGATCAGAACGCGAAAGTCGAACGCAGCGATGCAGACAGTAGGAAGAGCATTTGCACATCTTGAACGAGCAGAAAAGAGCAATGACTGGTGATACAATCGAGTTGGATCAGAGAAGCAGGATCATGTTGCCAAGTGATCTGATGAAGAGCGAGGGAGTGGGGCAGGCGCGACGGCGTTAATCATGATTAGGCTGCGCAACCTAGATCAACCTTATGGCAGGAGCGTACTTAGCTGCGCTGAACTTCCCTCCACTTTCTCCATTCTCCTTCATCACCGCCACACCCATCCAATTCGATAACATTCATCGAACGCATTCGAATAACTTCTCAATACTCATAACAACCACTCAAGTCATCCTTCGCAATGGCTCGCACCAAGCAGTAAGTCTCTTCGCCTTCGGCGTCGCCGCTGCCGCACGTCGTTGGCCCAAAACATCTTCACCGATGTCTCGTTCATTCACCTCAATCTTCTTTGAACTTTTGCGCTGACTTCAAGGCTAGAACTGCTCGTAAGAGTACTGGCGGAAAGGCGCCCAGAAAGCAATTGGTGAGTCTGCTCCTCGGCTTCAGAATGACCTCGTCGTCGCTTCTGAAGACCAAAATGTCTCCCACCTCGATCAGCAATGCTAACGATCGTTCGAACAGGCCTCCAAAGCTGCTCGCAAGAGTGCTCCCTCTACCGGTGGTGTGAAGAAGCCTCACCGCTACAAGCCCGGTACCGTCGCTCTCCGAGAGATTCGCCGCTACCAGGTTAGTTCATCATCATTTCAAAATGTGAACACAGCTGATTCTCTTCCAGAAATCCACCGAGCTCCTCATTCGCAAACTGCCCTTTCAACGTCTGGTCCGCGAAATCGCCCAAGACTTCAAGTCCGACCTCCGCTTCCAATCTTCGGCTATCGGTGCTCTCCAGGAGTCCGTTGAGGCCTACCTCGTCTCTCTCTTCGAGGACACCAACCTGTGCGCTATCCACGCCAAGCGTGTCACCATCCAGTCCAAGGACATTCAGCTCGCTCGTCGTCTCCGTGGCGAACGCTCTTAAGCGTTGAGTGAGTGTGATGATAGGGGTGTTCGGGGTTACAACATCATGACAGGCGAAACGGAATGAATTCAGGCATGCTTTTTTACGGAAATGGGAACCAATACGATTGCTTTGTATCGATATCAACCATAGCATCGTAGACGCAAAGCGGAACGCTTGGGTCAAATAAATTACTTCAAACTCCAAATTTTCTCGTAGACTTCCTTCATCCATGTATCGGTCGTTCAGGCCTCGCCTGAGATATCCTTCGCGACGCTTGTACTCGCAGAAGCCTGAGAAGAAAGACCCCGTTGACATTCCCACCAACCTCTGGTACCACCGATTGGGGCCGGTAACCCACTTCTTCGGCTGGTTTGTAGGTCAGCCCAGCCTTCAATGACCAACACTTACGCTTGTAGCACCGCAAGCAGCAGAAGAGACCTCTGACTGTCCAGCTATGCACATCTCTTGTCACGTATCTCTGCGGTGACATCCTCGCTCAGAATGTGGGAGGGGAAGAGTACAGTGGCTCGAGGACCGTCCGGATGCTCACGATAGGCGCAATATCTTCAATACCCGGCTACAAATGGTGCGGAACACCAGTAAGCCTCGACAAAGCTGACTATTGCAGGTTCATGTTTCTGGGCAACAACTTCAACTATGCGTCAAGGACTCTATCGATCTTCACGAAAGTATGCGTCCAGCAGGCCGTCTTCACGCCCATCTTCAACACCTACTTCTTCGGCATGCAAGCCCTCCTCACAGGCGAAAGCCCCTCGGGAATCATTGAGCGCATCAAGGCAGCAGTCCCTGTGAGTATGCTCAGATCTCTGCAGCTGTGGCCGGCCGTGACTGCCATTTCATTTGCCTACGTAAAGCCCGAGTACCGTTTCATGTTCAGTGGCATCTTCGCAGTCGGTTGGCAGGCATATCTTTCCTTCCTCAATAGAAAAGAAGAGAAGCTAGAAAGGATAGGAAACCACCCAGGCAGAGCTCTGGCTCAGTTCGAAGGCAAGAAGAAGTAAATCGGAGAGGATATAGACATAGATCAAACCACTTCACACGTTCCATGACGCGCATACTTTCACGATGTCGACCGATGTCGACGACTTGCAGTTCTCCGACTTCGATCCCGAAGACCTAGACGAGATCTCGCGTCTCGCCGACGATGTTGAGGCAGACACGCGTCTAGACGTGGTTGACATTGAAGACTATGAGCCTCCGCACGGCATTCGCCTTCCAGCGAGTTCGCCGATTCAGTACAACCACATCTCTGTCCAGACTGGTACGTCCAACACCACACGCGTGGGATATACTGACACTGACGAGCGCTTAGTACGAGCACAATCAGCTGAACCAGAGCCTCCCCCAGCAGACATCGCCGAAACTGCGCCAGAGCCGGACACGCGGTCACCTCTCGAACGATTCCGTCGTCCACCGAAGAAAGCCCTCTCGGTCACTGATCTGGTCTCGCCAGCATGGTGCGAACTACAGTACTGGTACACTTTGACGCGTCATGGACGAAAGAGACGGACACCGGCCATGAAACAAGGCACAACAGTCCATCAAGCACTTGAGGAGGAAGTTCACATCACCGTGCCTGTAGACACGCCTACGAAGGAGGACGGCTGGGGTCTGCGCATCTGGAACGTCATCCAGGGCATCAGAACCCTCAGGGACAACGGCTGCACGCGCGAACTCGAGATATGGGGCACAGTTGGCGGCGAGATCGTCAACGGCGTCATTGACGAGCTCAGCTACGATTGTCCAGATCCGAACCTAGAAGCCAAAGTCGACAAGCAGGCTGGCAAGAAACCAGTCGTGCCAGACCTTCCAGAACGCCAGACATCGATCGCAGACTTCCTGGCTCCAGCCTCTCAGCAGGAGAATGGCCAGTCTCTCGAGGCGGCTCTTCGCCCTTCTCAGCCCATGCTCAAACAGAAACCAATCTATGTAACAGACATCAAAACGCGAGGCAGCAAGACACTTCCAGGCTTGAGCGCGATGCGACCAGCCATCTTACAGCTACATCTCTACCATCATATGCTCGAGAACCTAGCACAGGGCAACTTTGCTCTACAGCAGCTGGCAGAACGGTACGGCTTCGATACGAACGCAGCTTTCTCAGACTCATTCATCGCACAAGTCGGCAGCCTGAACCAGGAGATGAGTCAGTCCTCGAATAGTTCGGAAGACTCCCTCGACATACTACTCAAGCACAACAGTCTCTCATCACTCTGGAGCTTCATGCTCAGTGAATTCAGGCAGACGTTCCTGCTGCCTGTTGAAAGTCAAGCACCGACATCAACACCCCAATCCGTGGCCGATTTACCGGCTCCAGAAGCGCAGCCTACACGTCTATCGCCGATTTTGACCGTGGAGTATCTTTCAGCCACATACGAGCATCGTCGAGGAGAATCGACACGCCAACATTCGTTGGGTCGTAAGTCATTCGTCTTCAATTCGGGCTACCTGAAGGCATACCTCGAAGACAGTCTGAATTGGTGGCATGGCGTACGTGAAGCCAAAGGCGTCGAGCTGCAAGAGGCATGGAAATGTCGATATTGCGACTTCCGCGATGACTGTGTCTGGATCCATGATCGAGATAGATCCGCATATCAGCAGGCTGTAGACCGGAAGACCATGCGGAGCGACCCGCTTAGTACGAAGAGCGAAGTTTGAGCAACGGCCATTGCTGATATATGAAGTCGGCCAGTTTCTGCGAAGCCGGACAGCGTGGGACGATTGGAAATCTAGTCCAGATGAAGCCAGCTTACAGTGCAAAATGTTGGGCGACGGGGAAACTCACCGAGAGCAAGACAATTGTGATCCTGGCCATCGAATTGCGATCGCGATAATCTGCCTCGCGCTGTTACTTCCTTGCACCTCCTAGACTTCCTGCAGCGAAGTGACTGGCCTCTGGACTACCTCGTGGCCACATTGCATGCAGAGCAAACGCACGGAGTTTACGGTTTAAACGATTTGGACATCGCGAGCAGAATCAGCCAACGCTGGCGAGCAGTTCAACAGAGAGTTTCCTGCCGCGGGCTCCTTCCACTTTGCCAAGACGATTTGGGCGTGCCCTGTGGTTCTCTTCTACTCGAAACCAACTGGTATTTAGCTTCTGGTCCTCGTGCCACACTCACACCATGACTGCCTGCACGATTGAGCGCCATGGACAATGTTTCACGCTTTCATCGCGCTAGGTATGAGATAGTAAGTTGTGCCAGCTTCCTCGACCGCCAACAATTCACGTTAGTAGGCTCTCGACCTGAGGATGAACGGAAAATACGAGGAGGCTTTTGGCGTCTGCCATTGTCTTTTGAGTTGCCGCGATCTGTCTGACTATCGTCGCGCGTTGGTCAGCATTCTAGCAGCAGCAACCCTCCAGGACTTACAGGAAGAACGTGCAGACGAAATCGAGCGTCTGGTCAAAGAAGGTCTCGAGTCTCTAGCTACCGCACATAGACTCTACGCATTCACCCTCACCAAGGCAGACGTCGAGGAGCGAGAGCACTGGGAAAGCTTCGCAGAAGAAATCCTCGAAAAGATTGAAGCGGGCAAAGCGCGACGCAAAGACGATAAAACGAAGGGAATCGACTCCGCTCAAGAGTCAAACATTAGCGGAGTGGAGAAAGATACCGTGAAGCCTACGAACATGCTCGACGCCGACAACGAAAGCTTGCAGATCCCTGAGCGGCAGTTGGCACGGACCGGCTCAATTCGTGAAACAGAGAACAGCAAGCCTGAGGAGTGGGATGCGAAGGCCATCGATCGGTTCTTTGGTGACGAAGAAACATTGCCGAAACTTAAGTCGCAGTGGCAATCGATGCAAAGCAACTCAGCTGGCGAGGCCGAGGCAAACGAGGGCGCAGACGATATCGCAGATACTACGGATCTGCGGGAAGATGTCTATAATACACCGCAATGTCTCAAGTTCCCTGCTCGCCCTCTGACACCTGAGGGGCAGCTGTTGCCGGGCATCTCCACCCATAAGGAAGTAGGTGATGGCTTCGGTGCTGTCAATGGGATATGGGATTACCCTGAATTGCCGTCGCCGCCGATACTGCCGCTGATGAGCAACTTGGCCGGTCAGGCAGAGGTAGACGAGGATGATGAGGACATCGCAGAGGTTGTGGATGTCATGGAGAAGACCAAGGAGTTCATTGCACGGACTGTGGATAATATCGGCAAGAATGTGGACGATATGGCGATGGCTGTGGATGATATTGGGATTACTAAGGGCAGGATTTGGCAGGCTTTGAGGAATATGCAGGAGCTTGTCGAAGATCTTGCGATCCCCGTGGGTGCTCGCTGGCGGCGGCAGCAAGACGCTACTACTCCCGAAAAAGTCGGTGTGAAGGCCTATTCCCTGAGCACAGGTGACACACTCCACTGTCATCAAGAAGGATTCCGAACTCGTGAACGCACAGCTGCAACCGACACATCGCTGCTGAGCCCCATGCAAGGCAAGGAGAGTAAGGCGCAAGCAACAAAGGCATTTATGTACCATACACCGGGACCAGGAGCGGAGTGTGGGTATCCGCAGTGGGCAATTGATTTTAGTGGCGAGCTGGTACGTATGCCTAATCTCTATCGGCGGCTATGATGCGGCAGCCTGCCCACTGGGTTCGCTCCCAGAAGAGGTCGAAGAAGGCACGCAGGACAAGATTGCTGTGGCGGCACGAAGACGGCTAGAGCTACGCCCGCAGAGCAGCTGCACCGGACGAGATCATTACCTCGATTTCAGTGATATGGTCTCAATGCAAATGATCATACATGCTACTCTAAGTCGCTATGCTATGAACGCTGTAAATGCGAGAGTGCTCCAGACTGTCCATCCCTGCGCTCTGAGCCCTTTTCGCGTCCAATGAAATGCTTCTCACAACATATCGTTGTCTCAATCATACCTCATCAGCCCTCCTCCGCTTCAACAAACAATGCTCGCCCCAAACCCTCCGCATCCACCTCGGCAAATCTTCCTCCTTCCACCCCAACTCCTCTACGCCAGGCACCCACATCACCCTCCCCAACACCCCACTCCTCGCCGTATCCAAGAACGGCTCGCACGCCACCTTCTCCCACTTCTCCGTATCCAGGACATAGGCCGGCTCCTCCACGTCCCCATCATGACCACCACTTCCTCCCTTCTCAACCTCGCCCCCTCCTCCCTCCTCCTTGCTCGGAAAATACGAGTCCACCAAAAAGTCACAATGTTCTACGCTGTCGATATACTTATGCACATCCTCCTCATTCCGATCATTCATCCCACTCGGAACCAAATGCGTGCCCCCAAACAGCCCCACCGTGTACTTTGCCTCGCTGAACTCCCCTGGCAGTAAACCCTTGAATTTGCTCGGGAGGAATTTCGGGCGGTGTGGTGGCTTTGAGGGCAGGAGGAAGGAGGTGGGGAAGCGGTACCAGTCTTTTGCGAGGCAGACGTTTACTTGTGCTTGTGATGAAGCGGGAACTGAGCCGGTGGAGGGCGAGGAGCGGCTGTGAGCTGGCAGATGGCTGTAGATTTTGAGGGGGGCTTGGTAGGCGGTGACGGTGCCGAGGGTGCGGAGGAGAGAGATGTTGAGTGTGAGAAAGACTGTCAGGAGGATGACGAATAGTTTTGCGCGGGCGGGGATTTTGGCGAGGAGGGAGTTCGTGTTAGTTGGGCGGTGGCCGAGCCAGGTGAGCAGCATGTGTAGTGCGATGGCGGCGTTGAGGGCCAGGAACGGGTAGGCCGGGTACATGAAGCGTTCTTCCTTGTGGGGCTGCATGGTAAAGATGGCGAGCCACAGGTAGAAAGGCGAGAGAAGTATTATGGTGCGAAAGACTGTTTGTTTTGTGGTTTGGCCGCGGAAGAATAGGGTTTGAATGACGAGCATGGGAAAGGAGGCGAGGCTCAGGAGAAAGAAGGCGTTGAAGTTGAGGAGCAGGTTGCGGATGTAGTAGTGCCAGGGCTCTGTGCCGAAAATGTCGGGCCCGCGGTCGCCGCCGGTGAAGACGTTGTAGAGGACAATGCGTAAAGGACGATGACGAGTTTGTGGAAGAAGAAGGCGTCGATGCTGACTTGAATGGCGAGGACGTTTAGGCAGCGAGCTATACCGTCAAGGTAGCGGCGGAAGAGGTCGAAGGTATTGGACATGAGGATTGCGGAGAGCCAGTCTTCGAAAACGAAAGGGAGGATGAGTGCGCCGGCGAAGGGCCAGCCGAGGAGGGCGCCGATGCCGAACCACATGATTCCCTGGGCGGTCTTGGGGCCGCCGTTGTGCCAGTCCATGAAGGCGGTGAGGCCGAGGGTTGAGGTGTACATGGCGAAGCTGGAGGGAAGGAAGGCAATGGATGCGTAGAAGAAGCCGGGGGTGAATGCGGCGATCATGAGGTAGAACACCCCGATGCGAGGGTTCAGCGTCCGACTTATCGCAGAGTAGAGGCGGACTTCGGTGGAGGCACATATCAGGGCGAAGACAAGTCGCAGGCCGTAGAATTCGAATGTCTTAGAGCCGGTGATGAGGTGGATGAGTTTGGTAGGGAGGGCATGGATCAGAATGTAGGCCCAAGAGCGAATGCTGTACTCCGGGGAGTACTCCCAGGTCTGCAGACCGGAGCCATGGTTGAGATAGTGGAGGGGCTCCCAGTAGTTGTAGGTTTCGTCGCAGTCCTGGATGGGTGCACGTAGAGCGGCGAAGGAGTGGGAGAGCAGAGTGACCCAGAGAGCAACATTGAGAGGAATGTAAAACTGGACTGGTGGTGGGACAAGTTGCTTTTCTGCTGGTTTGCTACTTCCTGCCGTCGACTTCTCCCCTACTCTCCCCGGGCCCGTCTCCATACTGTGCTCCGTTGCGTCTGATGGACATGAACTATACGACGAAAGGACAAGATGCAATGGATTGAGGTGTTCAAGAGGTCGCTCGGGGACAAATTTGACTTCTTTAACGGGCGCCTTATGGGGCTCGGTTTATGGTCGATATGACGTCAAACGATCCGCGATGCAGATGCAATCCGCGTCTCTCCAATGTGAAAATAAATTCGAGAACCACTTCACAGGTCCTCTTGTGCATACAACCTGCGAAATGTCAGAGCCTCTGGTACCCGACCAAGCAGCGCCTGCCGTGACCCTGCCTGGCTTGGGTTTTCTTGCAGAACTACAATCTGCTGAAGAATCGTCTGCTCGAAACCCTTCCACCCAAGAGCAGCCAACCGAAGTCCTCACAACCGAAGCAGCACCTACCGAAAGTCTGGCAGTTGAGGCGGCGCATCCTGAAGTTCCGCATTCTGCGGACCTATCCACCGATCTAGTGCCTACTGGAGTCCTTCACACCGAAGCACTGCCTTTTGAAGCACCGCCTGCTGAAGTAACACCGTCCGACGTCTACACCACCGAGGTAGCGCCTGATGGAGTCCTTCAGACCGGTGTAGCGCCATCTGGCGTCGTTACAGCTGACACACAGCCTGCTCAAGTGCCACCTCCCGAAGCACGACCAATTCAAGCCCCAACCACTGAGACACCACCTGCTGCAGCAGCGACGACCGAAGAAAAACCTACTGGAACCTTTCCCACTGAAGCTCAGCCTACGGACACACTCTCTGCTGAAATACCGGCAACATCTTCCCAAGCGACTGCACTACCTCAGGGTGCGCCCGACAGAGAATGGGAAACCGACTCTTCGCCCATCAGTTCGTCTGACTCCGACAGCAGCTCCGATAGCGACTCCGATGTTGGAAACACAGCCGAAGTAATTGAACGAATCCTACGAGAAGAGAAGGACGAAGATGGCGAAGCGAACACCAACACTCGCTCAGGCCCAAGCACAGTACACGAACAAGCCGAAGATGTGCCTCCGATTCCTGCCATCTCCATGACCGACCAGACACCGATCGTTCCGTTAGGCAACGTCCAGAATGTCATCGACAACACTGTGCTCATTGCAGGCCATATGAGCGGCGCCCAAAACGTCCTTGCGCCCGGCTCTGTACTTTGTCTGCAGGATCGCTCCATCATCGGAGTTGTCGCGGATATCATCGGTCGAGTGGAAAGACCCATGTACACTGTTCGCTTCCGCGATCGCGAGTCTATCAGTCAAGCACGCATCACAGAGCCAGGCACCAGCGTCTTCTTCGTTCAGCCTCACTCCACATTCGTCATGACACAGCCCCTACAAGGTCTCAAAGGCAGCGACGCGAGCAATATCCACGATGAGGAGGTCGGCGCTCAGGAGGTGGAGTTCTCGGACGATGAACAGGAAGCGGCATACAAACGGGAGATGAAGCAGAAGCGAGAATACAAGCGGGAGCAGCAGCGAGGACCACGGCAGGAACAGCAGCGAGATCCACGCCGGGAATACCAACGGGGACCGCCCCAGCAATATCAGCACCAGAATAGCTGGGGAAGGCCATATGCACCACCTGACCCTACGTACCAGGGCTACCTAGACTATGGTCGATGAGTGCCTACCCAATGGTCAAAAAGGCGGAATCCGACCTTGCCAAGCCTGACACCTCAAGGGGCGTCCGGGTGAGGGTGTTTCGACAGTCAGTAGCATGGGAATCCGGGCTTCGGAGCCCAACGCTCCAGATCCAATCCGTCGGTGTGACGAGCTGGACTGGATCGGAAGGAGTAGGATCTGGTCTTCACTAACGGCCTAGCCTCCCAGCGGCCGTCTAACGGCAACGGTGTCAAGGGTCAAGCAGAGCATGTGGCATCTGCACATCAATTGCGCCACGAGGACAGATCGCACATCTGGTCAATGATTGACATGGTTTCAAATGAGCGTATTTCTTGCCATCAACTCGGCTACTTTGGGTGAAACCGGCCTTGCTGCGACTCCGGCTCTCGTCGCTGTTCCACCTTGCCATCACAACCTCGACGCTGGATCCCGCTTTCCAAACCGACCAAGCCCCAAGCCACCTCACTTGGGACAAGCACCAGCATTCGAATAACTGCTCAACGCATTTCCTGTTCCACTCAACGTGATACATTCCCCGACTTTCACAGCGTTGACTCCAGCCACACATTGCTTGGATACCTCCTTCCCAGCACACGCCTGGCGTGAGTAGACCGTCAGCTGCTGGAAGCTTCCACCTTGGGCTTTCAGGCGATAGGAGGAGAAGCCTGGGTTGACGTATGCGCATGAGCTGTCGTAGACGTTTCTTTCGCCTACTTTCGTGCCGCTGCAGCCTCCACCGGAGAACATTTCGACGACGGCGGCGGATGTCAGAGGCGCGATGGCCAGTAGAGGAGCGATGAGTGCTTTGGTGAGGTGCATGTCTTCGGCTGTGAAGGAGGTATCGGAGATTTTGCCTGGGCAAGATGGAAGTCGGTGTATCGTTTGCTTGAAGGGGTTGTCTGGTCTAGTGTCAAACAGGAGTACGTGACGGGACTTTATATGTCCTTACCTTCCTTTTGACCTCGACATCGATACTGGCCCCAATGCGAAGAATTGCCAGATGCCTTAGCCAAATTGCTTTGTGCGGCGAGTCGCCTTTAGCTCTCTTGTCTGCTTCACTGATCACGGCCCCGGATTGCGAAACCTTCTCTGCATGAATGTAATGGCACTGAACATGCTGCTAGGCTGTTCTATGCACGAGTAAGACCTGTTATGAGGCTTGCTTCTGGCCATGCTGACAACTGCATGTTGTCATGGAGCAGCGTCGCACTTTAGCGAACGGCCTGCGGATCAGCAAGATCTGGCAAGCATCTCTCGAATCGTCTGATCCAGTTCCACAGGGGTCCGACATGCTTTCCCCACGGTACTAATTTCGGAAAGGCACATCTTTGAAGCAACGATACAGAAATGATCACGCATGAGCCTAAGTTTCTGCCCAGCAAGGACGTCCTGGTATGCCAAGAGCTACTCGCGTTACAAACGCCTCTTCCCAGCCAGACGCTGTCGCTTTGTCGACATTCAGCATTGTATTGGTGATCAAGGCCTGACAAGAGCATCATTGTCGCCAAAAGCCCACACCCCAAAAATACGCACGGACATCATGCGACCACAAAAGTCTTCTTTCAAGCACAGACCAGCCTATTGTCTCCACGACTATGCTTGTGTTGCCCATCAAAGGCAGTCAGCAACGTCTCATACCACAAACTAACCTTTTACCCTCGCCCCGAAGTGCTCTTCTCGCAAAGAACCAACAGCATCGTAGCATCCTCCTTCAACCCAGGTAATACAATATTCCCTGCCCACCCCATCGAACCAAATATGCCAGTCCTCCCCCCATACCAGCCCAGCGCCGCCCTCGTTACTGGCCTCGTCACACGCAATACGGCGCTTCCAAACCAAAACAATCTGACCTTGATCGGCCTCGGTTTCGCTGTCCTCATTCTGGTAGTCATTGTCATCGTTGCATGTCTTTGTAAGCGGCGACCAGGTAAGAAGGCCACTTCAGGTTGAGTCAGAGAAGGTAAGTGGATCCAAGGACTTCGCCGGTAAGTCGCTCACTCCCGTCGTGCAAGATTCGGAGGGCAGGCAAGGCGGAAGGCGAGGATAAATGCGCACGCATGGCGCCTTCCAGATCGAAATGTAAGTATAGGCAAGAGCGTGAAAATCAACGTCCATACCATTGAATCATTTTCCTCCACTGCTGTGCGACCCTATCGGGCACTACATACCTGACGCAAGCTGCGCACGAGCAGCGTCCGGGCTCCGGACTCACCCCAAGCCTCTCCTCTGAGTTCTCATAATAGCAAGCCTTGCCCCTTCATGCAATTCCGCTCCCTAGTACGTATACCGGTACTTCGGATTCCACTCGCCCATCTCTTCAATCTCGCTTCGTTCATCTGCGCAACCTTCTTGCTGCTGCTTGCCTTCCCACTGTCCCTCAACTGATTCTCACGTCTGAACCAGACCATCAGGCAGCATAGATGATTGTGCCATTGCGACCATGGCCATTGACACGGCGTGGCCCTTGACGTAGCGCGGGGCGTCTCCTGTGCTGTATAGCTAATGAAACAACGTCAGCTTGGTGAAGACTCATGCTCCACGGGGTATACTCACAAACGGGGCCATGATGCCCGAACAGTTGCCGATCGTCAATTGCAGTCCAGTACCTGTTGTCCGCTTCCCATATCTGGGGTTGTTGCTGGGCAGCCACGCCAGTGGAAGGCCGACAATCACATACAGACCCATCGCGACCATGAAGCAGGCGAAGTATTTGACGCCATTGCTAACATTGCTGACCAGGATGGCGTAGCCCACGATACTAACCAAGCCAAACGCCACGGTAGGTATCCCTCGTCGTTGGAATCTGTCAGAGAAGTACGCCACGGTCAGGTAAGTGATAGCACCCAGCGCATAACACGGAATCGTGAGCGCTTGTACCTCCGCCGTCGACCATGTTCCCAAGCCTCTGATGATCGTGGGCAAGAATGTTCTGCGGTGCATTAGTCAGCCTCTCACCCTTCGTGAAACAAGCCCGAAGACAGGTGGCCGTGTGGTACTCACGAATACCCATACAACATCGTGTCCACCCCAAACTGCCCGATACAGAACGCCCAGATCTTCCAGTCCTTCAAGCCATCATACACATCCTTCTTGTGATACTTGTCTGCAGAATTCGTATACCCAACTTGTCGCTGCTTGCGCTTGACCATCAACGCCCTCTCCTCATCGTTCAGGTACCATGCGGTCTCGGGGCTATCTGCCAGCCACCAAAAGACCACCACACCCAACACGATGGTCGGCAGGCCTTCAATAATCAGAATCCATCGCCACCCAGACTGTCCAGCGGTGCCATCCATGAAGCCGATGCCGTAGGCAAGCAGTCCGCCCAGACTCCCTGCAATCGCGGCGCTCACGAAGAGGTATCCCACCCTCAACGCGATCTCCGACCTCGTGTAGAACAATGTGAGATAGATGGTCAGGCCCGGGAATAGCCCGCCCTCCAACGCACCCAGAATCAATCGACAGGCGATCAGCCGCCGAAACTCTGCGTGATGCCCGTGAGGGTGGCGACGATGCCCCAACCGACCGTAATGAAAGCGATCCATCGAGAAGGGCGTAGCTTCTTGATGACCAAGTTGCTGGGCAGCTCCGAGAGGACATAGGTAACGAACAAGATAGAGACGGCGATTTGGAACTGGTCGCCCTTGAGGCCGAGGTCGCGCTCTAAGCCGTAGAGGCGGGCGTTGCCGATGTTGACTCTGTCCAGGAAGGAGAAGAGGTAGAGGAGCATTACGGGTGGGACGATCCAGCGGTCGAGCTTGCGGATGACTCGCTGCTCGGCGGCTTCGTCGACGAGTTCGGTCACGCCATAGTTGGTGTCGTGTTTGAGGGACGGGTCTGGGCTCTCGGTCTTGTGGTCGACTTTCTCGGGGTCGGCTGTGGTCGACATCGTGTGTCCCTGAGAAATTACGAGTGAACTGGAAGTCGGGTTCCGGCAGTGGATATAAATGCAGCCGAGTCCTGGGCCCAGCAGTGTTGAGCACCGTGCACACCACCACAGTGCTTTTCCTTTCAACAACAACGACAACGCTCGTATTCGCTAGAGAATGGACGTTCGCTGATGACTACCTGGTAGAATCGACGAGGGGCTCGACACACCTGCAGAACACGGCTGCACGACCGTTTATAATCAGTCGTCAACAATCCCGGCCAAGAATACCAAGACCTCCTCCCAAGACCCTTATCTTTGGGGGAGGACGGCGCTATTTCGACCTTTGACACCATTAAAATGCTTGGTAAGTCGCTAAATGGACGATTGCCCATCACTCCCCATTTCTGGCTTGGGGTTGCAAGTCGCATTCGTGGTTATTGGCATATATTTTCGCGGGGTCCTGGTCCTACTAGGCACCGATACCAAGGACACGGGAATGGACAAGGGATTTGCTCGTATCCCCATCCGGAGTGACTCCTCGCATGCTGAGCTGGCACTGGTCAGGCACGATGGGATTCAGATTGCCTTGTCGGTCTAGGTTGCGTATGGTGTATCTACAGATGCAGGTGAGATTCGGAATCCTCCACGTTATTACTGCACTTGTAGCGTGGAGTTCCACGTGGTGGCCCGCAATGCACGGCACAAGAGGCCAGGCCGCCAAGGACGATTCTTGTGCCTCGTTGGAGTGAACACCAACGTAACGCACTGAACCAGTTCTTCGGCCAGATTGACCGTCCGGTGTGAGCGGCGAGTCGAGCAGGATCATGCATACCATGTCTTCTCTCGAAAAAGCCGCGGTTCGCCCGACTCCCACGCCAGGAGTCCAAGTACCTCGCTCTGATATCTTCACGCCATGAGCAGCATGCTCACTGCCAGGCCGGTCGTCTCGGCCACAATGCCAGTAGTACTTTGGGTGTGACTCCGCCTGGCTCAGAGATGCATCTCGCTTGCCTGATCTCACAACAGATTCAATATTCTAGAGTTGAATCCCGAGCACATGGCAAATTCAGGACGATATCAATAAGCGTGTACATGGGAGCATTCTCAGAAGTGTCATTCGCCGTCAAACTGCCCTCAATGGGTGGCGCAACCCGGAGGAGCAGGTCGGAATCGGCGCGGACAATGACATACAGTGTTGGCAAGTCCTGATGGAACCAAAGCCTCACGAATCGGAACGTTCGCCATGTCTGAATGCTGTGCAAGTCTTGCCCGAGACTCACCATATTTGATCCGGGAGATGAGGCATAGATCGGAAGAAGGCATGAATTGGGTGGCGAGCGAGGATGTCCAAGAAGATTAGGGGGACTCAAGAAGGGCGTAGCCGCATACTTCAGCCGGGACCCGAGCACGACGCCTTTGGCGGCCGATACGTTGGGCGGGCGAGAACCGAGTATGCTTGCAGGATATTGCAAGTGCAGAGACTAGCCAGAACGGCTTCGCTGACATGTCACCAGATCTGGTAGATGCGTAATATGCCATGCAGGTTCAGGGAGCTGGTAGAGGCGCAGTTAGTAGCATAGAAGTGAACGAAGGTAGGCGGATTGATCTAGCCAACTACCTTCTATTGGCTTCGTCCTCACACGCTGGCTTAATAGAGTCAATAATGTGCCAGCACGGCTCAACAGTCGTTCAGCTTATCCTCAATGTCCCATCAACATGTCCCTGTAATTCACTGGACCAGGCAGCAGCCTGATTCTGAATCATACCCAAGCAGTGAAGACGTCCCGGCCCATTCAGAAGAGTGATCGCTTCAACTTCACTGTGCCGAAGATGTACAAATAGGCGCATGCCTCAACTTTCTCCTTTTTTTCTTTAGATCACAACACTGTCTTCCCAGTGGAAGACGTGCGCCAGATCACACTTGCCATACCAAATTAGCATCCACTGCTACTTGATGTGGCGAGCTTCATGTCCTTCGACAAGGACACTGAGTTGAACCTGGGAGAGGCCGGTGCCCATCACAAGCGCTCAATGTCGACCAACTCATGGCCACTTCCATGGAATGAGTAGAACAGAAGCACAGTCGTTGTTGCACTAGCCAGAGCTGTGCAGACGACATGGAAGTGTTGTGAGCCGGTACGGGAATGGCTGCATGGGACGATGCCCCCAATAGCTGCGTAGGACGCTTCGTTCAAGGATCCGATCTGCATCGTGAACTCCCTTGCTCTATTGCATCTGTGCTAGCAGCTTCGGAATATCTCGTAGCAAAGGGGGCGAAATTCTGCATCTGGTGAGCATGCCACGACTGAACTTGTCGAAAGATGACCAGGACGGGAAGTTTAGATGAGGGAAAGTTGGCTTGCTTGAACAGCAAAAGGTAGGGATCCACATCTCATCTTTGAAGGATGATAGTCGTCTCTGACCTACATCAGAGACGGCGATCGCACGAAACGTGATGATGGAAGACGAAAGAGATGTCCAACAGCATCGGCTAGGAACGGAGCGGCGACGAGGTGTACCAGGAGCACGGAGCTTCTCAACCAATCAGAATCTACATAGCTTTCCTCCCGCAACATCGACGGTATTGCCTCTCAATTTACTGATTATTCTGCAAGCACGCTCTGCCACTGACCACCGCCTCTCATTAAGATCCATTGGCTTGGGAACCTTCCTCATCCCTTTCATTACCATCCTCTGTGACTACACGCATGATGTTCAAGTCCGCACTGCCTCGCGCAGGTCGATCACTTCTTCCCACCCGAGCTGTTCCCCAGACTACTCCCTCAAATCTACGAAACACACCACGGCTCCAAGTCTTCTCACAGTCACAGCTACAGCGGCGAGGATACGCCACTGAAGCTCCAGAGTACGATGTCTTGTTCATAGGAGGTGGCGTCGCAGGCTATGTCGGTGCCATAAAGTCGGGACAGGAGGGTCTCAAGGTCAGTCTCCGCCGCCCCAGCAGATCGTACCACTCCCACGTCACGGTCACTGACGATGCCCGCAGACAGCATGTATCGAAAAGCGCGGTGCACTGGGCGGCACATGTCTCAACGTCGGCTGTATACCTTCGAAATCGCTCCTCAACAATTCCCACCTGTACCATCAAATATTACACGACACAAAGAAGCGCGGCATCGAGGTCGGCGATGTCAAGCTCAACCTACAACAGATGATGAAGGCTAAAGACGAGTCAGTCGCCGGCCTCACAAAGGGCGTCGAGTTCCTCTTCAAGAAGAACAAGGTCGACTACATCAAAGGCACAGGCTCGTTCGTTGACGAGCACACCGTAGCAGTCAACCTGGTCGACGGCGGAGAGCAGCATGTCCGCGCAAAGAACATCATCATCGCCACCGGCTCAGAATCAACACCATTCCCCGGACTCGAAATCGACGAGAAGAAAGTCATCACCTCAACCGGCGCCATCGCCCTAACAGAAGTCCCCAAGAAAATGACCGTCATCGGCGGCGGCATCATCGGTCTTGAGATGGTCAGTACCCTCCATCCAGTACTCCTCGCCCTCTACTAACACATCCACAGGCCTCAGTCTGGTCCCGCCTTGGCTCCGAAGTCACCGTCGTCGAATTCCTTGGCCAAATCGGCGGCCCCGGCATGGATGCAGAAATCGCCAAACAATCGCAAAAGATTCTCTCCAAACAAGGCATGAAGTTCAAACTCAACACCAAAGTCACCGCCGGCGACGCCTCCGGCAACGGCGTCAAGCTCTCCGTTGAAGCAGCCAAAGGCGGCAAAGAAGAAACCCTCGAATCCGATGTTGTCCTCGTCGCAATCGGCCGCCGCCCCTACACCGAAGGTCTCGGCCTGGAAAACGTCGGAATCGAACTCGACGAGCGCAAACGCCTGATCATCGACCAGGAATACCGCACAAAAATCCCCCACATCCGCGTGATCGGCGACTGCACGTTCGGGCCCATGCTAGCACACAAGGCGGAAGAAGAGGCCGTCGCGGCCGTGGAATACATCTCCAAGGGCCACGGCCACGTCAACTACGCCGCCATCCCCTCCGTCATGTACACCCACCCCGAAGTTGCGTGGGTCGGGCAAAATGAAGCCGAACTGAAAGCACAGAAAATCAACTACAAAATCGGCACATTCCCCTTCACAGCCAATTCGCGCGCAAAGACGAATCTTGAGACCGACGGCATGGTGAAGTTCTTGAGCGACGCAGAGACAGATCGGATCCTGGGCGTGCACATCATCGGTGCAAACGCGGGCGAGATGATTGCGGAGGGCACGTTGGCGGTTGAGTATGGAGCGAGCAGTGAGGATGTGGCGCGGACGTGCCATGCGCATCCGACGCTGGCGGAGGCGTTCAAGGAGGCCGCGATGGCGACTTATAGCTCGGCTATTCACTTTTAGGTGGGGTTAAGCGTGGTGTGGGATGCTGTTGGGGACTGAAGCGATGTTTTGTGAGCTGAGCAAAAAAGGTTGTGCATGTCAATGGCTCGAGCACGGAGGTGGGGTGACGATGGCAGCAGAATAGGACTAAGGGTGCGTCAGTGATTGAAGCGAGCAATTGCAGTACAGCGAAAATATCGAGTTTCAGAACTTCTTCTGCTTGCGAGATTTGTACAGAAGTATCCTCAGGAGCTCAAGTGACTCGTGCCCAGCAAGAGTCGTTCGGATGAAGCCCAACCCTATCAAAATGGATCAGAAGGAAGAAGCACGTAAGCTTAAGTATGCTGTATTCTACTTCATCTGCATAAGCTCGACGATAGAGACCAATATCCCATACACACTAAAAGTTTCAGCTCCTCCAGCATCCTCGTCATTTTTCCCAACACGCAACCCATCGCTTGGTGTACAAAGCCATCGCAGATGCCTGTCCACGCCCAATCGTCATCAACCATTACCACCCCTCGAAGCGTGGACTGTGCATGGCCACATTATTATCTCCTCGCTCGTACTCCGGTAAAGGGTTCCTCGACGCTGGGTATATGTAGTGTTGCGTCTCGTTTCCCGGAGGTCAATGCGCCGTTCGCGAGTGTGAAGATTGCGCCAGATTCGCTGGATGTTTTCGATCGCCAACAGGCGATCATGCCAAAGGAATGGACGTGCTTGAGAAAACTTTGGTATCCTATACCCTTCCCAAGCCGACTGCAGTAAAAAGACACGTCAGTTCCAAGTTGCCATAGTAAAGTGTTTTTGGCCAGTGTAGCGGACGACTCAGTGTTCTCGGACGAGGCAGTGTTTTTGCGATCTCCAGGGTATGTGCAAGATCCGTTACAATATAGTGTAAATACATGTTGTGCCATCTCCTCGAATTCTGGTGGACTCGCTTCTCTTAGACCTGGGACATGACTGGCCTACCCTTGCGGATTCCGGGAGCCCTCATGTTGACACCGCTGCCGCGAGCGCCGAGGAAGCTGAAGACGGCTGAGGCGGTCCAGCAGGCCCACGCAAAGTAGAGGAAGGCGGTAGCAGCCTGAGCCTCCTGGCATCGGCCTTAGTGTCGCCTGCGCCGTTCGTGATGTGATTGCTGGTTGTGTAGCCCTGAACTCGGTGTTAGACCAGAAGCAGATGAGCCGGATAGGCGACTTACGCTGTTGCTGCACGAGTGAACACCAAGGCCAGCAGCCAATGCGGTAGCACCGGCGAAGAAGAAGAGCGAGTTCAGAAGGTCGAGGGCGGTGGGGATCAGCGCATGGCCTTGGAAGCTGTCGTTGAATGCGGCTGGGATGAGGTAGAAGAGCGACAGCATGCCGAAGACGGCCACGAATATATTGTAGTTGACTGTGGCGGGATTGCCTGACGACGCCTGAGCGATCATGGCGCCGATGAGGGCCATGACGATGAGGGTGAAGAGGAACTACAATCTGTTAGCCTATGTTGACGTGCAGTGTCGTCAGGGAATGCTCACCTCCAGGCCTCTGAGGCCGAGGTTAACAACGCGTGAGACCATCTTGACGGCGGCTTGAGTGCGACTTGATGTGAGTGTATTGAGAGTGGTAGAGTATGCTGTCGCAATAACGGTGTGAGCTAAGGAAGCAGGGGTTTACAATGTGCGGAAGGGATGGGTTATGTTTGTACGTGTGGTAAGGCGGAGAAAGAGGGAAGCGATGATGAGCAAATGATGTATGCTCCGGATGTGGTGGAATGCTAATGCAGGAGCTCCTCAGCGGTCTTTCCAAGCTGTGACTACGAGTCCTTTAGGTGAGCAGCTGCCAGTTGGGTGAGCTCTTGCGGGTGGAAGGCGACAGTTTTTGGCTTCGAGCTCTACGTCACTGCGGCGACGGCTGTCTTCGGGTGGAGTCACTGCCGGACCAGGCGACTTTTTCGCTTGTTGTCCAGGGAAATTTGTTTGCTGACGATCGTCGTGCATCAATCTCGAGTCTCAAATTCTGATGAAGCTCAGGTGAACTCATCATGTTATAGCCCGAGGACCATGTCTTTCAATACGCGCGGTTGTTGTGCGCATACACGAACAGAGCCAAACGCCATCTCAACGAACGCATCGCATCCAACAAGTTCAATGCGAAACATTCCTGGGCGCCAACAAGGCTGATGACGCATAGCTGTGGGCCCAATGACTTAGTGAGAGGCGCCCCGAAGAACTTGTTGCACAAAACCTACAACGTTAAAGGAGAGCCAATCCGTTCGAGTGACACACATAAAGCTTTGTCATGACGATCATGCTGCTGACTTTGACCCGATAAACTCGATGCCGCGACGGAGTGTGATTGAGTCAATCGTGGTCGATGCCGAAGCAGCCGCGTCGGCACATGAAATGCTTGATCTGGCTACAGGCACCTGCACGAGCTGCATGCAAAGCCGGAGTTGCTGATCCGGCTCTTCTTCACGCGTGTTTCTATACGTGGTCATCTTGATCTATAGCTTTCTAACGCTGATCGCCCGCTTCTGGATACTTGAAATGGTCAGGCTGACTACGGAACAAGTAGCTGCACGAGCTTTGAGGCAAGGTCAAGTTTCCGAGGTGTTCGAGTATACGTTCGTACGCACTGATCTAAAGTACTGATTTATAGCTTCGCAAACGTGACCGACTTTTTCTGGATACCCGACAGCATCGCCTTCCGCATGTCATCGCTCTGAATCATAGCCTGATTCCAGATAGCCGTGTAAGTCAAATTATCCTCCACAGTCCTGCCCCAAGCGGCATCCAGAATATTCTTCGTACCCTGAACAGCCACCGGGCTCTTCGTCGCAATGTAACTCGCCAATTTGACTCCCTCCGAGATCAGCTGCGCCTTGCTGCCAAAAGACTGACTGATATACCCATTCTTCTCTGCCTCATCCGCGCCCCATACCCTACCACTGAGTGCAACCTCCTTTGCCCAGCTCGTCAGTCCGCCGATGACTTTCGGGAAGCGACTCAACGTGCCGACGTCTGCTGCGAGACCGATGTCGACCTCCTTGATGGAGAACTTAACGTCCTTGGTCGCCATCCGGATGTCGCATGCTGAGCTGAGATCGATGGCCAGGCCGTAGGAGTAGCCGTGCATCAGTGCGATCACTGGCTTCTCGCATCGTGCCACGGACGAGATCACGTCTTGGTAGTCGAACACGTTGCGTCGAATGGCTGTGGCTTTTCTCGAAGGGTCGACTGGACCATCGTCTGGCTTGATGCTGCCGGATTGTGACGCGGCTTGGACGTCCAGTCCTGCGTCAAGTCAGCGTCGTCACGTTGATAAGGAGCAACGTGGTGCACGTACCAGCTGTGAATGCCTTCTCTCCCGCTCCGCTGATCAACACCACCCTCAGTTCTGGGTTCACAGATAGTTGATTGAATATCTGCCGTAGCTCTGACCACATGGGTGGGGAGAAAGCATTCAGCTTCTCTGGCCTGTTGATTTCGACGTGTGCCACATATTCTGCTGGTGAGCTGACATTGAAGTAGCGTGGTGGAGGGTTGATCGCGACAATAGTCATCTTCGAAGTTGCCGTCGGCTGCCGTATGCTCCACAACGCTTCGTGTGTACTCTAGTAGCCGCTGTATACAGATGCTGTACTCTGATGATGTATACTGTATTACGAGAGTATACGAATGACCATAGTTGATCTTATGGTTGTGTTAGGGGAGTTGGTCGGTTAAGAGCAAAGCCAGCCATGGCGGATTACTTGTCCTGGGCCGAGGCATGTCACATGCTGCGGGCGCGCCAAGGCTTCAACTCCCCCTGACCTCGCAACGGTGCTCTTTGTGAGCTTGACATACGATCAGACACATGAATTTTGAACATAATAATTGAATTAAGTGAACACTTGAAGTATGCAGCGAGCAGTGAATTTTCCGGTGCCGACTCAGTGGACCAGTTGTGTCGGTTTGTCCCGGATCCTCATTTTGTCGACAAGGTATAAGAAGTTGTGTTGCCCTCGCTTTTCTGCTACCTTCCTCTCCCACAAGGGATCAGCACGAACACCTAACTTGCCATGCCTTTTGTAGCACCGGCTGCTACCTGGCGAGGCGAGCTTGTCCCATCACTCCACCGATATACACTTGAATGGAACATCGCACTTGGACAGAAGAGCAGGAGGATAGCACTTTCGGTACGTATCTTCCCATGGTAATCAGGTCGATATACCACCAAGCATAATGCGTATCACGGCCATGAAACCATAGCGGCCATCCCAATCGCGGCTGCCACTGTGCAAGCCGTTCGCATCGACCTAAACCGACCCATATGCTGCAGCCTACAGCCCATCAACATTCGGAATAGGAGCGTTTGGAAACCTGAATACCACTCCCAGTTCCTTGGCGATGCCCAAGCACAACTGCTGCAGCTCCAACAAGTCTTCATGCGTCGCCCCATTGAACAGCATTCCCTTCATATGATGCTGCAGCTGGGTCTGTGCGTCCATGCCATAAAGTGCAGCAACGATCGCGTACCCAGTCTCCAGAGGCTCAGAAGGCCAGGAAAGGAAAACACATGCGCGTAAAGGAGATCTGTCCCTTTGTGTCAGCTATCAACCTGGGCCGAGCTTCACAAGACAGGCATCTCTGGGTACCGACCTCGTATGATGAAAGCATAATCCGCACTCGCCCGCACCGTAGCATTCTGATCAAAAGCCGGGTTCCTCGCATAGATGTTGAGCCAAAACTCCTTGCCTCGCCGTCTCGCCTCCTCGACGCTCTCCTCCTTCCGTGGCGAATGCATCGCCTCATCACCCTTCTCGCGATACTCCTCCGGAATGCAGTTGCCCAACGTGCGCATCGCCACTCCTGTCCTTGCGGCGCCGACAATGCCGGTGGATTTGATCAGGCCTTCTCGGATCTGCCTCACGGCGGTTGACCGCGCGTCGTCGTCGGTGTAGATTGGAGAGTTTGATGAAAGGTGGTGTTCCGTGAAGTGTGACATGACTTGGGGGATTACATCTGGGTAGTTGAGCGAGGACAGGGAGATGATGACACACATGTACCAGAGGGTACGACGGGCCGGGTCCGCGATCATGAGCGCTGAGTCGAGTAAAGAAGTCGGCAGAATTGGCGTCGGTACGCCGAAGAAAGTCGACGCGGAGGTCATCGTTGCGAGTACTGGGTTAGAAGACGCGCTCGTCGACCCAGGAATTGGTTTCTGGGGAGTGTGCCGCCACCTGGGTTGTGGTTAATTTGTCTATGGGGTCGTCGATTGTAGTCAGTATGATATACCAAGGTTCGGAAACAGCAACGAATCACGCGATGCCGAAACGAGGAAGCAAGAACATGCGGAGAAGCACCAGTAGCGTCTATGGACACTTTCTTAGGTTACGCTAAGCAGATAAGTTGTGGTGCTCTAGCAGTGAGGGCCTCTCGGTCATGTTTGTCCGGCCAAGGTCAATCCCAGGCGATCACGCGAAGCGAAGGCTCCGCATTTGGAACAAGGAATTGATGGTAGAGTGATCGGGATTCTGCCTCAGAGAATCGTTGCTGGTGAAGGGCTGACCTGAAGTGCTGAGAAGAGATGGAAGGAAGAGTGGTGGACCTTGACGCGTGCTGTCATGTGAAGTGGGCCCCTGGCAATGCCAAGACCCCGCAATGACCTCGGGAAGCTCGTTGAAACTTGAAGCGATCTGTATTACGAATATTCTCAACCACAGCTAACTTCTACATGATGGCAATAGCGTTGGGCGGAGAAGCTACAGCACCAGTGTAGTTGAGCGGCGCCGAGGTGAAGAAGAATGACCATCGCTGATTCTTCTTGCACATCTTGGACAGTCCTTCCAAGTCAAACAGCTCGCCAATTGGCGTTCCCCAGCCTGCAAGTAAGATCGGGTGCAAATGCCATTCCTTCTCTGTGGGTGCTGTCTCAGGAAGAAAGATATGCGTCAGCCTCCGCTGTGTTGCCTACTCAAAAAGCAAATGGCAGAGAAATACTTACGACGAACCTCGAACCCAGGAGCATCACAAGCGACAGCAGCGAACTGACTTTCCCATAGCCATTCCGTCGTAGCCTTGCCCTGCGCCAGGCCAGTCCACTCTCGAACACCGGCCACCTTGACTCGCTCGTCAGTCGAAAGCTTCGCGTATGCCTCAGCATAACCCGTTCGGAGGAACAGCACGTCACCTGGCCGACTCTCGATCTTCGACTCCTCCATGACAGCCTTGACATGATCTAGTGTTACTGCGTGCGGTGTGAAGTGGTCAATTTGGATTCCTTTCCTCTCCGCATACGAAATGTAATCGATCAGAATGCCTCTGCCGGCAAGACACCTTGTGCTCCAAGATTGCAGGTCATTGATCGATGTTCGAGGCCCTTCGTGGATTTGAGATTGAGTCGTCCCGTTATAAAACTTCTTCTGCTGCTGATAGGCGAAATGTCGAAGGCTGTCCCATTGCGAACTCCCCTGTGTGTTGAATGAGATCACATCGTCGTTGACCACCAAGGGGTCCTTATCGATGACTTTTTGTTCAAAGCCTGCTCTTCCAAGCAGCGGAGGGTCAAAGAAGTCCAGTGGCAAGTTCAAGCCGACACGCTCTCCCGTCCGGACCTCCTCTTTGACTGTCCTGGCTACGAGCTCATCAGTCAGGTAATTCAGGGAACCAAGTGCACTGTCCGGACCGGTGCCCCAGAGGCCCCATGCCGAGTTCGGGGGGTCGCTCTCGTTCAGCGGCAGTGATGATAGTGGCGGAATTGCTTCTGGTACCGTCAACATGTCTGTGAACGTCCAGAAGTCTTGTCGAGTTGCTCGGACACTGGGCCTAAGTGTACTTGACGGTTCCATTGATTTGCATCAGTGAAGGTCGTGATTTTTCCGTTCCTGGCCTCTGTCATGTTTCTTGGCCCGTAGCCTGCCGTTTCGGTCCAATCGGAGCCAGATCTACCACGATATCAGGTGTATCTAGCCGTCCCGGATATCAATGTCCTGAAAACGCGAGGCTTGAACGCCTTGTGCAATACCTACCTACGTATCTCCACCTTGAGAAAGGCAAATTTTTGGAGCGGCTTCTGCAACGCCTCCACCCGGGGTTTGAGTACCAGCTTACATGGAGACGTCGCGTTTGTATGCTCTGATGCAGTGTGTCACCCGAACCGCACCCCGGCGAATCGAGTTCGATCGAAGACTTTCCTAAAGCATACGATCAAGTCCTTGAGCAGCAGCTTTTACAGCATTTTGACGACCACCAGCACCTCGATTCGACATCTGTCAAGCATCCAGATCATAGGTAGACACAATAAGCAGACACCCACAAACAGCAATGGGGCCCAAGTAGGGATCTTGATGCGGCTCTCGGATGAGTCGGGCTCAACACCGTCCACACCTCCGACGCTACCGAACACTGAGGCAGTATACACGTTCGACACCACTGATGGCCAGTCCCCAACGCACCACACCCTCTACTTCCTCACAGACATTTCCCCGTTCCTGTCAACGCCGGATCTGTACGGCGAAGACGTCAAGGCCACCAGAAGTCAACATTCCACAGAGATCTCGTGGGTGGTCTGCTCCCTGGTCAATGGCCGGGACTCTGCAACCGGCGCCACAATTTCAACCGAGATGAACACCCTGCCAACACCGCCAGCCAAGAACTCGGTGCTGGTCGTGAACGGCAACAGTCCCCGCACCGGCCTCGAGCAGGACTACCACGATTGGTACGATCAGGAACACGGCGCGGCACTCACAAATGTTCCTGGATGGAACAACAACCGGAGATACAAGTGTGAGAAGGTGTATCTTCCTGCTGGTGGAACAGATGTTGCGGATGCCGAGAAGAGGATTTCCAGACGGTTCTTCGGGTTCAACTTCTATGATGAGACGAACGGGCTTGGGGGTCCAGAGTGGAAGAAGGGGACGAATACGGTATGGACGGAGAGGATTCGGGGCAATGCTGAGTGTGGCAATTTGAGAAGGGTCTGGCGAGTTATGTAGGGGGGAGGAAAGCAAAAGCGAAGCGGAGGGTATGCAATAGAAATAGCATGGATGAATTAGGCACCGAGACTCAGACGAAATGCTGTGTCGGCGCAAACAATCCGTAAAGCGGATCATGCGAGATGTTCTTTTCCTGGTCATTCATGAAATCCAGCCCGCTGACAGGCATCATTGACCCGTAAGTCGATCCCATTCCATCGACAGGATAATCTGGGAACAGGTACTGTTGGCCATCGTAGCCATCGTGATAGCAATTGCTCCCCTGGCCCATCGACTGAGGTGTGAAGCCGGACGGTGGGCCAGACGAAGGAGCCGTAGTGTCTCTGTACCCATTCGTGTTGTTGGCTAAAGTCGCACATAGCGAACTCGAGAAGAGGCTTTGGTCGAGGCTGGGCTGCATCAGATGCTGAACGGACCCACCGACACTCACACTGCCATCGCTGGGTCCAGCCTCGGTTTGTGGAATGCTAACACGGAGCTCGTTGACCATGTCTTGAAGTATTGCCAGAGGCTTTTTCAAACCGAAGTTGCATCCGCGTTGCAGCTCGTGCAAGCATGTCCAGAAGAAAGAGATGGTCTCGGTATATCGTTGCTCATTATCCTCTTTCTTCTGCTCTGCATGTAGAATCACAGTAACAGACGAGTACACGGCATACGAAAGCAAGAACGGCGCCCTCCTGAGTGTGAATGTGTCGCGATACATACGCACGTATTTCTCGATCATGAGAGCGCTACGTATGCAGACTTCTTCGCCGCGGCGTTTTGCAGCATCGTTCGAATACCTTCGAAGATGTCCTTGCTCGAGGAATGCTCGGTGAAGCAGGATTGTGAGAGCGTGGCAGGTGGTGTGTGGGATGATTGGTGTGGTGGAGGGACAGATGTGCTGTCAGGCTCTAAGTGAAGATGTTCAGGCAGCGTTGCACGCCAATTCTCAAGTTCCCATTCTATCGACCGTCCTTTGTCCTGGACCGAGTCACCGTTCAGCTTGATTGTTTTGATGTCGTAGAGATCGGTGATTCGGGCAGATATCTGAAGCAGACGAGCTAGAGCCATGAAGGTCGACACTGTGCGAGCCGGTTGAGGTTCGAATAATGACAGTCCAGAGGATGCCGCCGTCGAATACTTGTCCACGTAGGGCTGCCACAGTTCCATTTCGTCGAAGGTGTCTAGAAGCTGCAAAGGCACACGAGCCGTCACAGATGCAAACATGCATGATCGGCCGAGATACATTGCCTGGGTAGTATCTGTAACGTATGCGCCCCAGTAAAGTCGCTTACGCATTTCTTGTTCCATATCGCGCTGAAGCTTCCGGCCGTGTCCGGATGAAGCCTCACTCTGATAATCCGGACCGAGAGCCATATGACAGCCTAGATCTGTGATCATTCGATAGGCCATTCCGGAAAGATTCCAGCCGGCACTGGACTTTCCTTGAGAGACCAATGTAGCACTTACAAGAAGCAGCGCCATCGCCGATGGGATGCTCGGCACGTCAATCTCGTCGGCCAGCAATTGCTTGAAGCGAGCATAAAACTGATCGCCAACTGTCTGTACGTCATTTGGATCAGATCGAAGGCATTCCCGATCACTATATATCGCGCTGGAGTAGTAGATGGCGTTCAGTAGCAGTTTGTTGATCCAAGGACCGCCATGGGCCAAGCCATCTATGATGGCCGGTCGATAGGTGATGATGCTCGCATAATGAGTTCGATTGAAGTGAAGATCGAGCAAGTGTTTTGCCAGGTCACCGCTGACACCGTCGAGATCGGTTGTACTCCTCGGCTGACGCGTGATCTGCCCTTCTCTTTGTCTCTGTAATGCGGCATTGCTGATAAGCCGTGCCCTAGACTCGGCAATGGCAGCCTCTCCTCTCCAAGCAAGTTTCGAGATGTTCTCTTTGTGACGCTCTCGCCATGTTGGGTTCATGATACCAGCAAGGCCGTGAACAGATGAGACTCGGCCCTGATCATGATATACTCCAGCAACTCTTGCTTCGCAAAGAGACATGGAAGATTCGATGGTTGTGCTCTCGTCAGGGACCAACTTGGGGCCTTCAGCCTCTTTCCAGCCGTTGTGTGAAGCACTGGAGGCTGGTTCTAGTGCTGTAGACGTGGTTGATCTGGGACTGGGCCCAAGAGTATGTCGATTTACGTGTGAGAGGCTGGAATGAGTATATGTACCAGTTTGGCCAAGCGTCGGCAAGACCGCCTGGCATGCACTGTCTTGAGGACTGGTGTTTGGAAGCGAAGGCGGCGTAGGGAAGGCTGTAGCTGGTTCTGCCTCGTCACCAAAGGAGCTCTCCTGACTAGGAAGGGCCTCCTGCCGGGGTTGACCGAGGCGATCCTCGTCGTCGTCGCTGACCGACCCTTCAACAAGTTCCTGTATCCTTCCATCATCGCTGATCAAAGGCAGATTCGGTATGGTGATTCCGGATGTCCGTAGGTGTTGGAGCATCGAAGCCACAGTGCTCTCAAGGCTCTGGACGCGACCCTTCGACACGCGTAGTTCCCGTCTAGCATCTTTAGGATACTCACATCGCTGGTTCGATGTCTCGCAGTCGCTGCAACGTGGCCGAAGTCCATCGCACCGGACCTTTCGACGCCGGCAAGGGGTGCAAGTTTTGCAAGTAGTTCCACCTGTTCTTGAACCTTTCGTCCCTTTGCGAGGCGCGTTAGCTATCGCCATCTCTTACCCATTTACATTGATGTGATGTTCAGAGCGCCAACTGCAATACTCTTATCTGAAAGTATGGAGTGCCACCATGCTCATTACCGCAAAAATCGGAAACTCGCCTTGTCATGTCTACGGCTCTCCCTCCCCATGCCCCACATTCAACAAAGTGGGTAGTGTCTAGGCTTACCTCGGTCGAGGTTGAGTGTGGATAAGGTTCTGGTAAAGTTCTCTCCCGGACATTAATGTCCGGCGGCGCGATCCCGGGTCAAGAAATGTAGCGCTCTCACAGCTGTAGAGAAGTGCTCCTCCCACAATGTACTACCTTTGTTGATCGACATGGCGGCATTAGAATACCAGCCAATGGCTATCATTCAATGTGGAGGACATGGACCCATTCAGGGAACGGCCGATACAGTCGGCTATACGGTGAATAGTCCACTTCGATCCGTTGGAGTGTCGAGAAACATATACAAAAGAACGAGCGGCCAGCACTTGGTCAGTAGACATCGACTCGTCCATCCGTCCTAGCCATTAGCATTATTGTCATCATCATGGCACCCTCTGCTGTATCGATTGAGGCTTGCGAGCCTATCTTGCCTACCAAAACTTATCTTAGCAAGATGAACGGCATCAAGTCAGCTGTGAACGGCTCGGTGAAAGAAGTTGCTGCATATCTGGACGACACATATACAATCACAGAACAGCCGATTGGTACTAGGCGACCAATTCGCGTAGCATGTCTCGGCGCTGGCTACTCTGGTCTGATGATGGCCATCATTTTCAGCCAGAAGATGCAGAACAAGAATGCCGAACTTGTGATATACGAACGTAACGCTGATATTGGAGGCACCTGGTTGGAAAATCGGTACCCTGGCTGCAAGTGCGACATCCCAGCGCATAATTATGCATACAGCTTCGCGCCGAAGGAGGATTGGCCCAACTATTACGCCACATCCCAGCAGATTCATGGGTACATGCATGAGGTTGCCGCGAAGTACGACTGCATGAAATATGTGAAGCTGCAGCACTCGATCCAGGGCGCGCGCTGGAACGAAAGCAAGTCCAAGTGGGACTTGACGGTGAAGGGCAGCGATGGCAGCTCCTTTCCAGATGAAGTTGATGTTTTCATCAACGCAGGAGGTGTCCTCAAGTAAGTCTGATGTTATGGCTTGTTGACTCGTTCTTGGCTGATAAATCGAAGCAACTGGAAGTGGCCCAACATCAAGGGTATTTCGGATTACAAGGGCGCACTCCTGCATTCCGCAAAATGGGATGAATCATATGACTTCACTGGCAAGAAGGTGGCCGTCATTGGCATCGGTTCCAGTGGCATCCAGATCGTGCCCCAGCTGGCCAAGGTTGTAGGTGCGATGGACTGCTACGTCAAATCACGCACTTGGATTTCGCCAGCGCCTGGTATCAACGAGCCGACGGACCAGGACCCAGAAATGGATTCTGATTACAACTTCACAGCCGCGACGCTCGAGCTGTTCAAAGACCCGGAAATCCTTCGGAGCTACCGTGCCGCAATAATGGATCGAAGAATCGATAACTTCAAGCGAGCCATGGCCGACAGCGATCTGCAGAAAAAGGCACAGGAGATGTTCCGAAAGAGTATGCTCGAACGCCTAGGCGACACAGAGAAAGGCCGCCGAGCGGCTGAACTGCTGCTTCCAGACTTTCCTGTCGGCTGTCGAAGACAAACTCCGGGACCTGGATTCCTTGAGGCTCTCGGCAAGGATAACGTCAACCTGCACTGGGATGACATTGATGGTATCACAGACAAAGGTATCCGCAGTCGTTCTGGAGAAGAGCGTGACTACGATGTGATCGTCTGTGCCACAGGCTTCGACACGACTTTCAAGCCAGCTTTCCCCTTGGTGGGCCGCAATGGAGTCAACTTGGCCGAGAGATGGGAAGCAGACAGGCCCAAAGCGTACTTCGGCATAGCTGTGCCTGATATGCCCAACTATTTCTGCTTCGTCGGCCCTAACAGCCCCATAAGCAACGGGTCCCTTGTCATGGGCATTCAGAACACAGCAATATACATATACAAATGGCTTGAGAAGCTCCAAACGGAAAGCCTGAGCAGTTTCGCGGTACATCAGGACGTCAATGAGGAATACAACCAGCACATCCAGCGTACATGGAGAGAACGGTGTGGACGAGAGGGTGTCGCAGCTGGTATAAGCGAGGCACCATCGACGGTCCGGTAGTCGCAATCTATGGCGGTACCACTTTCCACTTTATGGAAGCGCTGAAGAATCCCCGTTGGGAAGACTTCGACCTCAAGCGTCAACCTGAGGCCAAGTCCAACAGATTCGAGTACCTCGGCAATGGGTTCACTTGGAGGGAGACCAAGTCACAGTCCGTCGGCGCGACGCAGACCGTGAATCTTGACGACTATTGGAATTTGTTTGTGCTGCCACAAATCCATGACTGAGTCTTCCGGGATATACACCACCGGAGACTTCGGAGCGCATCTTTGGACATTTCTGTGGCGTTTTCGGGTGATACCTAGGTACATTAGGCGCAGTGTAGATATAAAATGAGATGTTATCGAGACGACAAATGTTCATATCGCTCGAAGGAGTTGAAGTTGACATGAAACGACGACATCACGACGCGTCATTCCAATTTTGGACTAGAGCATATACGTCGCGTCACCATCTAAGCACCTTTTCAACCACCTCGACTTCATGTTCAGAGGTCCGAAATTCTTGCCTGGTAGATACTGAAGCGATAATGAATCAACGCTCGCTCGCACGCACTCAACTTCATATCTCGGGTTGACGTACCGCCAAGACTCAATCCAACAGCCCAGGTTGAGGAAGGAGCGAGGCATCGAAGTTCTGACGTGATGTACCTACCTCTCAGCGACGATGACGTGTTTGCGACGACTTGTCGAGGAAGGCCTTCTTCGCCGGAAGGTGCGTTATGCATCCGACACTCATCTGCCGCTTGAGATATGACCAGAGTAAATTTCAAGCAATGGGTGCAAGCACCCTTACTCTGGGCACATCCCAAGCGACAGATGAGTGTCGGATGCACAACGCGTGACACGTTCATCAGCTGCGGTGCTGGCCGAGTGCAGAGCACACTGAAACCTACTTGTTCGCACACAGAGAATGAGTCACGGGATCGCAGTGAGGGTTCAAGACGACGAATTATGGCAGTCAGGTACAGTTGAACTCATCGCACATGTGTCCTCGCAGTCGAGTTTCGGACACAGACCGCAATCCCGCATCTCTAAACCAGACGAAACCCCAACAGCATCGCTGTTACAAGGCTCAACTACTTCTGGATCAGTGTGCACCATCTCCCGTTCCACATCACAGAGTGTATCGGAACAATGGGCTGCGGTCACCCATCGCATCCAACTGCTCCACGGTATACTTCGCCTCGATCTCCTGCCGATCCATTGTATCCCTCTTTTTGTTGGTGTACTTGTACACCGTCTCTAGCGTCAGAGCTGAGCACATTCCGAGGATGATGAACGCCAGACAACAGCTCCAACCGGTCTGATATCTTGGCTTCTCGTCACCGAGGAACACCATGGATCCTATGACTCCTCCTAAGTTGCCCAAGGCAATCATATAAGAGATGCCCATTGCGCGCTTCTCTTTGTTGGGAAGGTTGTTCAAGGTCCAAGTATCTTGCAGAGGTTAGTATTTTGCACAAACGTGGAAGAAGGCAGACATATTGCACTTACTGCATCCAGGAACGACGGGATAAAGCGAGCCAATGCCAATGAAGACGAAGGTATAGCAGAGAGCGACGTTGTTGGCGATCTCTGCACTCTTCGAGAACAGAACCGAATAAGCAGTCAGAACGCTGCACAGCGGTCCGACGATGAACGGCAGGCGCCAGAAGAAGCGATCCGCAATCTTGGAGACGCAGATTGCGCTTATAGCGCCAAGCACATATGGCGGCGCCGAAAGCAGTTGTGCGTTAGTGGACTTGAAGCCCATGTTGACCATGATCTGTGGAAGCGTGAACTTCATGGCATATGTTGGCTAGAGAAGGTGTTAGCACAAGCTCTCGCCACCTGACTAGGAGCTAGGCATCTCGGACGATACACCCTTTCATCCTCATCTAGGATTGGGACACCACTTACGACAGATGAAGACATGAAGATCAATGCCTGGCAATAGATCTGCCAGTCCAGTAGAACTGATCGGAGAATCTTCCACTTCTGGACTTTGCTCACGGCCACTTCACCTTCCGCCGACTGCTGCTTGGCATATCCGCCTCGGTGCTTGGTATACAAGTGCTCGCAATAACGAATTTCGGCTTCGGACAACCATCGCTTCGAGAGGGTTGGGTGGTCTGGTAAGACGAAGAAGGTTGCAACACCAAAGGCAATTGTCAGGATGCCCTCGAGGATGAAGATCCAGCGCCAGCCCAGATACCCGCCAACGCCGCTATTGCACCAGTTAGACTGAACAGTTTTGGGAAGAACCAGAACCGGGAGATTGATAGCTCGCCCGGTTCATGTTCGTCGGTATACGTACCTCATCTGGGCGATGCCTGCAGCCATCAAGCCACTGAATGCTCCGGACATTGCGGCAGCGCAATAGAGGAGCGACATCCGGAACTGCGTCTGCCTCGGTGTGTACCATTGCGAGATCAGGAACACTGCCCCAGGAAAGAACCCAGCCTCAAAGATTCCCAGGCTGCGAACATCATTAGCTTTGTTTCAGGAAATGAGTACATGGTCGAAGATTGATTTGAAAGCCTATGAAGAGCAGTTCTTTGTTCGTCCGAGACATGCTCTCCTCGGCAGCGTTCAGCGTTCAATGTAAAGCTCATTTCCGGGTACCATCTGGACTGTCCGAGAGCGACTTACATGAAGCGACACGCAACAAGCCCGCCGAAGTTCTGGCAGAATCCGGAGCAAGTCATCACGATACCCCAGGATGTGGTGATAAAGCCGAGCCAGGTGGAGGGCCGCTTGAACAAGATCAGGATACTGTTCGCCGGCACTTCGCAAAGAATATACGGCACAAAGAAAATCATGTTGGCTATGTTGTAGTCGGCTCCTTTCATGTTGAGATCTTTCTCGAGTCCTTCGATCTTGGCGTTACCGATATTCGCTCGATCCAGATTGGCAATCAGATACAATGCCTGTTTGGGGGAGTCTTAGTCAGCATCCTCTGCGGGCAAGTGAAAGGGACAGGCGTGAGGGATTAAGAAGGTGTTTGGATCAGTTGCAACAGAAGATCGTGCTTCCCGCAAGACAGTGCTCAAATCTTCGAACACAACGGTTCAAGGAGTACTCACAGCAAGCATTGGCATGAGTCGAATATCAATCTTTCTGAACATCTTCTTATGCTGGTCTGGTGGGAGTTCGTGAGGATGCCCATCCTCGTTGCCCATCTCGAGATGAGCGGTCTTCACCATGTCTTTGGCTGGTAGGTCGCTGGAAACGGAGGCATTGCGTGAGTTCGCCATGGTGCAGCCTGTCAGAATGTTGAAGCTGAGGATGGTTCCAAGAATGCTGATGCTTTGGTCACTTCAGACGGGCTCTGCCTGGGCTATAAAACCTTGCGCTCTTCAGGAGACAAGGCATTAATTCTCGGGACTACTCTACCGTCCACGTGGAGGCTCCAGGCCCAGATGGAAGTGATCTTCCCCATACTCAAGCCGTCCGGGGTTTCCGAAGCTGTCGAAGCGGGCAATTGTGGAGGTCACGCGCCAGAGAGAACGAGATTCACGGAAGAATTATCCTCGGACATCAATGTGCGGTGGCGTTACCGCCGTCGAAAAGTGTATTTCTAGTATGCATAACGCGGCTTTAGATCGGCCTTGGCTACTCCAGCATCTCCGGAGAGCTACTCCCCAGCTGCTCACTTCCCCATGGGTCGACAAGTGGGATAATGTGCCACGGATATGGGATCTAGTATCAATCAAGGGCTCAGCCAAAACACGACAGCAGCAACAGAGCAGAGCAACCAGATCCATCACGAGGCCATTGCAGGCCGTAGCACGGCTCGAAGGCTACCATCATGCGATTGTCTACATATCTCGTCAGCTAGGCGACTAGGTCGCTTAAAGTGCCTGGAAGGTACCAATCATGCCGATTTATACCCTACACGCTCCAGTAATGTCGAGCTTCAACGATGCTGAGATGCGCAACTTGGCAGGTTTCCGTGAGACCAGAAACTTGCACCGCGTCGGAAGCTGGTGTCCTTGACTGCAATCGACAATGTATATAGACCCAGCAATAGCACACAGTGCTGGAGGTGGAACAAGATAAAGCCACGCCTCAACTCGGCAGCTGCTTCGAATTCGCACACCGAGCATGCCCTATCATGCCACGCACTATGCCAGCTCTCAAATCGTGCTTTATCCTGGGCGTCCTCGCCACGATTGTCAATGCCGCTGTCCACGAGCTCATCGTCGGCACCTTTGTGTCAAAGGCACTGTACACTCTCGCCTTCGACGATGAAGACAACAGCCTGGAATTGATAGCAAACATCTCCACGCCGGTGCCAAGCTCCTGGATCTCACTCAGTGTAAGGATCACCAGAACAGATGAATACGGTCGTTCCTGACTAATGCTGTCCCAGCACGACAAGAAACATCTCTACGGCACGGATTACATTTATGTCGGCGCAGACCACAATCGCACCATCCCGCCCGTGTATGTAGGCTACACGATTCACAACTCCAGTAGCATTACCCTCGACAAGTCCCTCTCAGGCGTCAGGCCGTGCAACGGTTCCTCGATCTATATCATTCCCAGCCCCAATCCGCCTCACGCCGTCTATGGTGCCGACTATTGGGGCACTCCCGGCTGTGGCTGCGTCATGTCTGTCGATGCGTCGGGAGCGCTTTCCGAAGTGATCCAGGATTTCGAGTACCTCAATGATTCTGGCGTGCACGGCATGTCTTTCTCCCCAGGCTCTCAAGTTCTATACTCGGCCGACACCCTCGGCAACTACCTCTGGACACACGCCATCGATCCAACCACAGGGAGACTCGGCGAGGTACTCGGCATGGCTGAAGGCCCCTCGCCGAAAGCACACCCGCGACACGTAGTGACGCACCCGTCGGGTAAGGCAATATACGCCGTGATGGAAGGTTCCTCCGAAGTGGCCTGGTATACAGTCGACTCGACGACCAATGTCCCAACGATGCAAGAGCCCATGTACTCTCTACTTCCTTCGGGCACCAACGGGTTCAGCTATTGGGGCGATACACTCGCCCTGTCTGCGTCGGCAAAGTACCTCTGGGCGACCACTCGGGCAAAGAATGACGGTGTCCCTGGCTACATCGCGGTATACGAGCTGAACTGTGACGGCACGATCGTGAAGGAAAAGTTCCTCAAGGAGACGACAACGAGTGGGGGCGTTGCGAATGCACTTCAACCAGCTGAGTTCAGCGATCGGTACGCAGCCTTGACGGATAACGAGATCGGCTTTGTTGAAATCTGGGAGATGAGAGGGGACGGGAGTGATGCGGACGTCATAGCGAGGATCGATCTGGCTGATCAGGGCAATGCGCGGTATGCTAGTGGGTGCTGTGCAAATGCTGTTTGGCTGAATTAGAATGGCAAGTTGATTGACGATTCTATACGCGGAGGCTCCCGTACGCCCTTCCTGTGGCTGGTCTATACCATGGGCCTGAATGCTTTGTCTCTATGTCGGCTTTGGCTTGCTGCTAGCCCTTTCTATATCGCCCGCGCTGTCAGCCGGTCTGACCAGAACTACGCCTGAGACCGGATGACGAGAGAACTCCGTAGCCGCGCCTTACTTCCATATCTTACAAACTGGCAAACGTAGCAGGAGCGCACTGCCATCGCTCTTGCTTGTGGATCTTGCTTGACGACACCATGAGCGGCAGGTGCTCCACCCGGCACCTTCATCGGATGTCCGTCTGGTCAACCGGCTCGGGCAAAGCTCTGGGTGAGACCGGATGACGGGATGCTTTTGCGAAGCTGCCTTTGCCTGCTTCACATCAACATAATCCTCTCTTGGGACTGTGCAAATCAGTATAGACATTGGCCAATACCTTGTTAAATCCCTCCACTGACGTTCCCACCTTCTCCACGGTCACTGCGTGGGAATGCCTAGGCTACATCGCGATCGGACAAGCATGACCGAGAGACTTTGCTGCTCGCACAGTGTACACTGACTTCGAAAAGCGTAGTCGGAATTGTCATTCAACATCATCTCTTCTCACGCTATGGCTAGCGACAACGTCGCAGCGTAGGTCCTAGTCGACAGACGTCAAGCTACGTGTGAACTAGGCGCCTTTGTCCGAATATAATTAGCACTGTGAACGTTTCCACGAATATCAGAAAGTTCTCGACTATACACACGCTGTTCAGTCATAGCACCGACAATGATAGTCATCCTCCCAACCACAAACCTGACTTCCCAGGCCACAAACCACCGCTTCCGAACGCTCCTCTCCCCCATCGCCACACACACCCTGGCCCACGAACCCGACTGCCTCGTCTACGCGTGGTTCGTCTCCGACGTCCACGGTCCCACTGCCGCCTCCGCCCACCAGACAGCACAGCATCCCTCAATCCCCCCTCAATTCATGCAGGGTCTCGAAATCTACCGCTCCCCTTCTGCTCTAGCCGTCGACCACCGCGCCGGGGATGCGTACAAGGCGATGCGCGCGGCTGTTGGGGCGGAGGCGCTGACGGAGCGGGCGAGTGATTTGCGGGCTCTGCGGCGCGTGGGGTCGTCGACGGCGGATGAAGGGTGCGGGTGGATCACGCGGAGTCGGGAGACGTTTGTGTTTGGCGGAGAAGGGCTCGAGGCAGTAGCGCCAGAAGCGAAAGCGGAAGGAGGGCTGAGCGGGACGTGGGAGGCGAGTGAGGTTGAGAGGGTGGCGGAGAGGTGTCAGTATCTGGTCGTGAGGCGGTTTCGGCCGAAAGAAGATGCTCGGGAGGCTCTTGTGCAAGCGCTGCGGGTCGTTGAGAGTGGTATTGAGGAGGACTGGAGGGCACTCAACGGCAGGAGTCAGAATATGGATCATGCGGCAGCAGTTGAGAAGGATATCATACTCCCACCGGGCGCGTCTAAGGACGTCCACACGTTCCTCATCCTGGAATATCCGGAGGAGATGAACGATGAGCAGCTCGTGACGGTCGAGAGGTACACGAACAAGCTTGCTTACGAGCGGATCGAACGGTCATTACAGCCGCTCTGGGATCGAGTTGCGGCATCTTGCTGGGACGTCCTCACGACGAGGTGGGTGAGTGCTGGGATCGGTCTTGTCAGGGGTCTAGATTGACATAGTAGCGAGTATTGGCAGTGTTGTCCTCATGCTGTCCTCTGTCCAAGTGTACGCACCTTATGGAAGTGCGACAAGAAGCTCGCCCCACCAGGTAGCAGCGGATGCTAGCATGGCATGACATGGATAGCCCCTTCTTCACTCTTGTTCGAGAAGGGATGTAGAAGAAGTCGAAGGCAAAGCACATACTTGTACCTCTTCTACAAATAAAAGTCCGTCGCAATCCGAGAGGACTTAGTTGACTTACCCCACGATGGTGAATCACTTCAAATGGGGTTTGTCCTTCTCCGCTTGCTCGGAGGTCACGAAGGGCGGTGAATACCTCCTGGCTGAATCAGTGCAGTGATAAGTTCGGCATGCACGGAGCTTCGTTTGTAGAAAAAGGTATAAGACTCTGCTTTGCCCTCGTCAGCTTCCATTGTCTCTTCTCCAACGAGACACCAGCTTGCGAGACGCCTAACGCCATGCCTTGGTAGCATGTGCTGCTGTCGGGCGGGGCGATGAAGCGCAGCCGAAGGAAGACATTCGCACAAAGCTAGGTACTGTCACCTTGCCATGGCATGATCGTACTCATTTTTGAGTCCTAGTCCACAAAGTTCACTCTGAATCCTCCGTACCATTTACGCACATAGTGTGAAGTGACACCCAGACGACTTGGTCGAAGCTTCAGCGGCTCCTTCAATGTTCATCTCTGTCAGACGTCCACCTTGCGAACCTACCTGACAGCATATCCCTATATGGCTCCGAGATACCTTCTCACCGCCGCTCTGACCAGTCTTAGATCGCTGGGAACGGCCCCGGACAACCTCTGACAATCTGTGATATCGAGTGTGATCTCATGCCGTGATCGCCGACGGATGCAGATCATACACATTGACTAATAAGCATACAACAAAGTCGTCTCATCGGTACTCTGCCGAATCTTCTTATTGATCCTCTTGAGCCAGATCCTCATGACCCAAGCTCCAATAGCTGTCGCCGCCGAAAAGGCCGCGCTCGCAGTCATGGCCATTGTGTAGCGAGGCTCATCTGAGCTTGGCCAGAGGTACTACATCGCTAGCTGTCAGCATCCATTCACGTGTTGTCTCCAGACTTGGGCTTCGAAGAAGGTAAAGCAGAACTCACCGGCGTCCAAATAAAGCTCACATTGGCGCAGGTATTGACGATAGCCAAACTGCTCGCCTTCTTCTCCTTGGTCTGCCCACAGGTAGCGCCGACCCAACCCAAGACGATGGAGTTGACGCAGTATGTTCCGACCGAGAAAACAATCATGGCGAAGTATCTGGCACCGGTATTCAGAGAAGCACAACCGAGGATGAAGCCGAAGATAGCCACTAGCTTAGCGGCTGTGATGTGCCAGGTGCGTTCGTTGAACTGTGTAGCCATGCGTCAGCGTTGACCCTAAGGGAAAGGATCATTTGACATACTCTCCCAGAGGACCAAGAATAGATCACCGAGATGATCCCCGCAATCAGATACGGCGGACAAGTCAAGACCAACGTGATCGTCTTGTTGAACCCAAGCGTCTCGACAGCTGTCGGGAAAAAGTTCTTGAAACCGTTCGCAGCAAGATGCATGTGTTGCATAAAGGCAAACAGCCACAATTTAGGATCTTTAGCCGCCTCCTTGAGCCCGTGCCAGGTCGACGTGTTCTCTTTCTTACCCACGACGTCCCGCTCAACACGTGAGTGCGCCAGTTGGCGTTCATCTTCGGTAAGCCACCACGTAGTCAAGGGGTTATCAGGCAGCACGAACACCGATCCCATTGCGATTACGCCAGTGACGCCGCCCTGTAGGATGAAGAGCCATTGCCAGCCGTGCAGGCCGCCTTTGCCGGGTGCGACTTCGTCGTTGTTGCCGAGGCCGTTGAAGATACCTGCTGCAATCAACCCTGCGAAGGCAGTGGCCAGGACTGGAGAGCATTAGCTGAGAGGCGCACGACCATCTTCTCCAGACCACCTACTGTTGCCAGTGTACAGAATGCTGATTCGTGTGGCGATCTCCTTCCTGGTGTAGCTGCAGATCTCATCAGCCCTCTTTTGGGGTACGATGGGCCGGAGAGAACGACTTACAATATCGAGAGTAAGTACAAAGCTCCAGGATAGTAAGGAGCTTCGACCACGCCAAGGAAGAATCTTGTCAACAGCAGTCCTTTGAAGTCCTTCGCCAACGCTGTAAGGCCTGAGATCAAGGCCCAGAGTGTCATACAGCCGGACATATAGTAAGAGGGCCGCGTCCGAGTCAAGTACATATTGCTGGGAACCTGGCCAAGAATGTATCCGACGAAGAGAATGCTGACACACGTCTGATACTCGGACGACGTAAGGTTCAAGTCGTCCTCAATATCGTCGAGACGGGCGAGAGCAATGGCATTGCGGTCCAGGTAGTTCAGCCAGTACATTGCCCTTTGAAGTGTTAGCAATTGATCTTCCGCGGTCTGTTGACGGATAGTGGGTGTGGTAAACAGCGAGCACGAGACCCAAGACGCAAGAAGGCCCGGGGCGTAGCATATGCGTGGGCGACTTACCACAACGTAGGCATGATCCAGCGGTCGAGCTTGCGGACCAATGCAATCTCAACAGGATCAGTCTTTTCTTTGGCACCCGCATAGTCGGCCTCGATGATGTCTGACAGCTTCTCGTCATGGTAGATGGATTCAGCTTGTGTAGCACTGATCTTGGTGTCCTCGGTCTTGTTGGGAGCGGATGCCATGTCGACGACTAATGGTGTGTGCTGGAACAAACCGAAGATGACCGTGTGAAGGTCGAGAAGTGGTGGAAAGCGCCTGACCACTGAGAGAGGCAATATCAAGACGGAGCCGACAGTCCAGACTTATAGCCACCGAGCATCGAGGCAAGGCCGCCGGCTTAGCACCCTGCCACCATGTCACAAAAGGTCATTCGATGTAGTCTGCAAGCGATCAATCCCCGTGAGACCCCAGGTATCCCCACGATAGGCTAGTCTCATTATTAGCGGGATGCACGGTTGTCGCCAAGTTGTGACTGAGCTCCTGAAACCAATGGCGTGATGGACGTTCAGCACGACCCAAGCATTCCCAAGAGACAACAGACAGCGAAAATACGCGCAAGCGAACATCGTTGAGCAAGAAAGCGATGGGTTCTGGACCGTTTCCACCCGCTCAAGATGCGGGAGGGAGACATTGTCGATACATCGGACGCCGATGCACTGTATTCTGGTCTGGAGGCTTTGATCCGGTGTAACAAGGACGACGGTAACGTCGGGCCATTCATCACACAGAAGTGAGCATGTTGATCTTGCTGGAACCGGGGATCGATGGGCGACTGCCAATGCTCGTGAATACCAATCTGTCCAGTGGCGGGCGCTGTCCGGTAACACAAGCAATTGAGCCCTGAAATAACCAGTAGCAGGAGAGATGCTCTGCTCGGAGGCACATCCCTGGCGAAACGATAACGACCGACAAGCAACCTTGGGCGCGAACTTTTCGGCGGAAGCTAAGTTGAGGATGGAGGCACAGATGCCTTGTTCGCGGGCCAAGAGGTAGTATGCTGGGAACGAGAGGCGTCCTTGGCGCCAGCCCAACCCTTGCAATGCTTTGCAAGGACGATCAAGCTGGAGCACAAGTGCTCTTGTCGAGCTTGTCCATAGCTCGGGTCTAGAAAAATGGCCGTCCCCTCAATGTATCCAACTCCTTCAGGCTTTTGACGCGGGGCCGACTCCTTGCCTGTGTACGACACCATCTATGCTCACCTCGAGGGCCTTGCAAAGCAGCTCCTTTGTTATTCTGCCGCCAGAGACGATCGCGTACGTTTGTCGACTTTCCATCATGCGATTCACTGAGAGCAAGTCCTTGGTAGCAGTGGAACGCGTTACCGTATCTCTGTGTGAGCCTCTATCAAAGAGTGCCATGGATTGTGTGAACTTCCAGCGCTTCGCGAAAATGCTAGTGTTGGACTAGCGATGCTGACGACCTGCATTAGTGCGTAAGAAGCCAAGAGTCCAAGTCACGTTGCTCATTTTCTGGGGTAGAACCTTGAATGCTTGGCTGAAGGCGTCATCGAATGGGAAATCAATTGGATCGCTAGAATTGCATTATCAGGTGAACATGCAGCGCCGCGCCTAGGCGCTGCAGACATGTCCAAATTCCCAGAACAGGTGAGTGTTCTGCTTCTGCTACAGCATTCCGTAGAGACTGCCTGTGCGTTAAGAGACGCCGAGTGGTTCAGCCATATCTCCCCTCGGTAGTGCATCACCGAGGACTTGAGATGAGGACGGCCCTCAGGGCTGTCGACAGCTATCATCGCATAAGTCCACATCCGGAACAGCCTGCAGCGAGTCATATGGCCAGCAGCCGGCTCGTCGCGTTATCCTGAAGGAGTATAGGTTCGCAATGCAGATGAGAGCATGGTAGACGAAGATGCATTTGCGAGAGAACGACTTTCCCGACCTCGCAATCAGAGCTGGCGGACAAACCCCATAAAAGCTCTGTAGAGCCCCAGTCAGGCACATCGAGGTCCTGTCTCGTTACAGAGAGTGGGCAGAAGCGGCTGCCAGATACATCTGGAACGCCTGTGCGTTACGAGTCTGCATGTAGACAGTTCCGGGGCCTGTAAACTTGCACACGAGACCTTCTCCAGAGGCAACGCCGGACATGATGCCGCCAGATGCCGCCCGCTCGAGAATGTATTTGCAGTCCCAAGCCACAAGGTAGCCGTTGTCAATGATGTACTTCTCCCCTTCGAGCAGCTTGTGTAATTAGCACATGTTCTCAGCTACGCCATAAAGACATACCTCTTTCTTAATGATGGCACCAAACGTCGCCAGAAAGCATATGCCATTACCGGCGAGCCGATATACGAACAGGCCTTCACCTGAAAAGAGCGCCTTCGACAGGCCCTGGTTCTTGTAATCTCTCGTCACACCAGCAGTACTGGCCAAGAAAGCATCTCGTCCGATGCTCCATGTGCGTTCCTCTTTGCCCAGACGCAAAATATGGATGTCTCCAAGGATGGGTGGGGCAAGGAGAAGCTCTCCTGGACCGGTAAAGGTAGATTGTGACATTCCACCGCCAACGTACTTCTTCAGACTGAAGTGAACTGCGCCTTTCAGCATGATCGACGGCGACATGGCAATCATAGCGCCGGGCTTCGCTTGTATAGGACAGCCAGCCGCCAATTGCAGTGTCAAGATCGAGTTCGTGTCACGGTGTGATATTCGATAGGCGCCGCCATTGAAAGTGCCGACGTCGTCTGAGGTGTTGTTCGTCGCTTGAGCTCCTTGGAACTGCCCCTGCTCAGGCACTCCTCGCATATAAGGACCTGTACGATCTGGAGCTGCCAGGTTCAGAGTCTGCATTTCTGTCGTGACAGCAGAGCCTAGCTTGTTGAGCTTGGGTGCTAGCTTGGAGCCGAGCCCTTGCTTTTGTGGCTTTTCGTCTGAAGCACCGGATGCTAAATCTGCGGGCGATGGGCCTGACCAGGCTGGGGCGGAGGAGGACTTCCATATCCATTGTTCATGTTGTAGGAGTCTTGTCGTGAAGGTGTGATATCGAAGGTCGTGCGGGTGGGAGGAGCGGATTGCGGGACCGAGCCATAGCTGTAGTTCGTGGGAGCTGCGCGGTCGGCTGCTGTAGAGGCGGCGGAGATTGGGGTGGTGGAGGAAGAAACGTCGTCTGTGTAGGTGGTGGTGATGCTCCCATCGGAGGAGGTGGAAATGACTGCGTGTAGTTCTGTGGTGCATGGCCTGGTGATGCTTGGGGTGGCCCTGGGAACGTCGCCGATGCTGGTGGCGATGATGCGGCGGGGCGAAATGCTGGTCGTTAGCAGGAGGTGGTGGGAAGTAGTTGGCCTGCTGGCCTGTCGGTGGTGGTGGATATGACATCGTGATGGGCTACCTTCACTTCTTAGTTGACTCCAAGGTTAGCAAGTACAGCAGGAGAGCAGATCTACACAGGCGCCGATGTAGTCACTCATAAGACTACGCACAGTGCGCGAGGACGACATGATATCCATCCGGGCCCAGGCGTCCTCAGCCAGGCACATGGTACTAAGCGCCGATGGACATAAGATGCTTGGTCACGATTGGCAACTTGGTTGGAGGAAGTCCGCTTTGAGTTTTGGAGGGGCGGCTATTTCAAGCAGGAACAAAAATAAATGAATCACCAGGAGGTTGAGATTTGGTAGAAGCTACCTGCAGAAGTCGTGTACTGTCAATGACATAAACGCGTCTGGCGTCCCAGCATCTGATTCACCATGAATTCCTGCAGCATAGATGATGCGTTCAGTATCTCGGTCGTCAGCCAAGCACGCCTGCAATCAAGATCAGAATTCGTGCTATTCTTCATCAAATTCCACGATCATCGTTGCTCGTACATATCCCTCACAAGCATGCTCGCAATTGCAGAGCTCTCAAGGCGCACAAGGCTTAGCCAGCCATCCTCCGTCTCTTGCCGACTTGGGCTGTGAAACCGGACTTGATGGCTGTGACTGATCTCCGCGAGCCGCAAGAATTGCAGGTGATAAAGTAGAGACGGTTCTCGCCCTTGCTGAGATCTGTATCCGGCGACCTGCAGGTCTTGCAAGTGACGTACTCCAGGATGTATCTTCGTAGGACGTTCTCAATCTGCTTCTGTTGGAAACGACCCTTGATAACCAGCCGCTTTGAGCCATCGACGGAACCAGAGGTACCCAACTCGGCGAACAGATACTGCGTGACATGCTCGTCATTCCTCTTCATGCGTTTGCTGATGTCGGCAATGTTGGCGAAGATTGTCTTCTTGTTGCCTTCACGCAGACATTGTGGTGGCGGAATCTTGTAGGCTCTGTTCGCACCTGCTAGGATGTCGGGATTGTACTCGTTGACCAGTTTGAAGAATCGGTGCAGGAGCAAGTTGTATGAGATGGGTGTGGTCCCATCATGGGCCCACACACCAGTGCCGGCTTCAAGATCGCCTGCGTCTTCCACTGCATCGCTCGCTGCAACTGGCTTGTCTTCGTCTTCCTCGAGTCCAGCAGAGGCCAACTTGGCTTCGAATGACTCGTCGGCCTTGGGCTTCACGGACTTCTTTTTCTTCTTTTTGAGCGCCGATGCATCGAATTCGCCATCAGCAGCTGCGGGTGCGTCGCCATCCGCTTCGTCGGCCTTGGGCTTGGATGACTTCTTCTTCTTCTTGGCTAGCCCGGCGAACATATCTGTGACCTCGTCGACCGCTTTGTCTGTGGCTGCGGCAGTCAGTCTTCCGTCATGGTGCGGGGTGGGCGTATGTTGCTCACAGTGGCTCTCTGCAGTGCTTTTCGATTCCAGCGGAGCGGACTCGGAGTCCCCATTGGTATCCATCAGTGTTGCGTCTTCGCTGAAGGCGACCGACTTGCGCTGCTTGCGCTCTGGTAGTGTCTCCTGGTGCATGTCAGTAGGATGTCGTGGGCTTGAGAAAGGACAGAGGCGATTTGTGGGTAGTGTGGCCGCTGCTTTGGGTGGACTCACGGTGTCTGCCATGATTGCGATCGCGCTGTAGTCAAAAGTCAAAAGAGCTTCTTGCCTGATGATATGTTGTTTGCAGCAAGGGTATGGCCAGAATTATGACTGTGATGGTGGGATTGACTCATGGGTGAATCACTTGAGTGAAACTTGAACCGCATGCCGCAAGATTGCACTTTCCGCCACCGTAGCAATTGCAAAGCAACCGGCTCATGCTGCTAAGTGCTTCGGACAGCGCTTTCCCCAGACCACAACTCTAGATGATGCTCATGCCTTCTGTCACTTTCTCCCGGTAGCGATCTCCTGAAGTGCGACAGGCAGGTGGACACAGGCGTTCTCGACTCCTGCAGCCATGTCCGACGATCTAGCGGCCTCCGGCTCCTTTATGGAACATTCCACCGCAACATCGCAGCCATCCGTCATTGATGTTCCTGCGCCGGATGAGGACGAGATGGACTCATTACCATCGTCTCCGACCGACGACTCGCTGAGCATGTCCGATGATGAGGACTGGCAACGGGCAGATCGAGAGTGGAAAGAGTCCCTACAGCAGCTCGAGCTGCTCTTGTCTATGGTCATCATTCCATATCTCGGCAAATACTTCGGTCGGAAATTCGCATACTGGGGATGGAAGCGGTACATGGAGTGGCAATACCCGGTCGAGATCGTCTTTACAAACAAATCACAATTCAAAGCTGTTGGAGCCGTCGAAGCCGCAGCTAGTCTATGAGCAATGCCACTACACGATTAACGCTATCAAGATATCGCTATACAAAGAGAGGGTCAGCCCCAAGGCAGAGCTGCAGCGTGCTGCAACAAGTACGACCACCCGAGTTCAGCTTGACTGAAACCATTGAACCAGAATTATGCAGCCATATTGCCCAACAAAGGCGCCTTCCTGATGTGCTTCCGCTCTTCGAGCTCGCTTAGCAGCCACCTCGCAATACTGATTCTACTCAGCTGCTGGCTGCCGCGGAAGTCCATGAAGTGCTCGCCAACAGACAGAGGAGTCTTAGGTTCCTTGTCGTGCAAGAATGGCACTCGAAACACCGTCCATTCCAGCGCAGGGTTACTCGCACCCTCCACAACCACGGCATTTGCTATGCCTCCCATCTCGGCATCACCTTGTGGTACCATAATCTTCGGTGGCAGCATTTTCAACCAAGTCGACCAGTCCATCTTCCTCTTCTCCTCTGGATATTGGAAGCCACTCAACGTCGACAAGGCTAGGATTCTGTGGACTCCGACCTCGCGCATAACGGGGAGGATGGAAGAGCTGAATGCGTCGGCGATTGGTGTTGGACCTCGCCTTCTAGTGATGAGGTGGTAGAACGACAGCCCGGGCGCACCGAGCAAGCCGATGACAGACGTTGCTTTGGGAAACCCAGATTTGGTGTCGGCGGACATGGCGTTCAGGAGAGCGTTGCGATCGTCGAGAGCACCCTCAACGACTCGGATGTTTGAGCGACCGCTGATTTCGGCTGGGAGTTTGCTGCGAGCTGAGCTTCGGGTGTACAAAGTCACATGAGGTCCATTTGACCCGAGCTTGAGGACTTCTTTAATGAGTTGGATGCCAGACATTCCCGTTGCGCCCAGTACCACCACATGTTCCTTGGCGAGAACCATTCCGGCGGCAAATTCTGTCCAGAACGTCGAAAGAAGATGTAATGATGGGTCGAAAGAAGGTGTAGTGATGTAAGATGGCAGACGGAGGCTTCTACAGGCAGATCGCAAGACCTTTATATGCTATTGAGGATATTCCGGGCGGCAAGTCGTCGGAATACAGCAAGGATCGTTTCCACGGTCTGGCTAGTGTAGAGACGGACGAGTCGAGCGAACGGTAGACGAAAACCCCGACTCAATATATTTCACCGTCATCGAGACGCCTCCTGTTCGCCCGTATTGCCACCTCATATAGATATACACTCTTCTTCGGCGTCGCACCAGTTAGTCAGAGACTGGCTTGGCACGCACGAGGCCACGCCGACCTCCGTGGTGGGCCCGCCGATACATTTGGTCCAATCAGCTCCTCCCGTTCATGCCTACCCGTACTCTGGCATCCTCTTCTCCTTCCAGCTCGTTTCTCGTCTGCTTCACGAACAGCACCAGGACTGTACGATGATCGACATGATGTATCGTGCCCATGGTGTGTCATATGACGATGGCTGAGATGTTTGCTGGCATGTCGTCGTTTGGCCGGTCGCGGCCACTGTCGGCCTTGAAAGCTGCTCGGGGTCGAAGAATCGGATTGGGCTGAGGCAATGTTGACCACAGCTTCAACCAATGCTTTTTATGGTAGATGAGATGCGAGGTCGGCGCATAGGGACTACCAGCTCGCATTCGACCAGAGTGCCGCCGTCTCAGACCCTCGCTCAATCCGTCCGCCAACGACGGAACACTGGCATGTAGGAGACTCGCCCTACCAGGTAGCAGTGGATGCTACCATAGCATGACAATGTAGCTCCAGCAGTGAACTTGGTGGTCTTCCGTGGCGAGATCAAGGGAAGGAAATGTAGAGAGCGAGAAGACTAATTATACCTTTTCCAATGAGTGAAGATCAAGAAGAACTCGGAAAGCCTCGGTCAGGGAATATTCACTGCTGTTCTGGTACGCGAGTCATGATTAAGTGCTGATCCTCAATCACGAAAACTCGTCGCCCACGGCTTGGTCTATCGATGTGGACTGCGGTCCAACCTCTGAGCCTCTTCGCCAACAGCTTTGCAGCCCACACCGCGGGAAGTGCTCATTGCTAGTTCAAGTCTCATTGGTCCTTCCTTCGATCCACTTCGTCGCCGACGGCTTCGCGTCATCATTGGTCACATTCAGCAATCATGGTTCTCCAGTGCTCGTCATCCGGTCGCGGCAAGGTGCGGGCAAGGATTCATAAGTGGTATAGTATCGGGCTTCCGACGACGACCCGTAAAGCTGTGGCCTGGTCCCTGAGAGACTTGATTAGCCTTCAGCTGATATGTCCTTCAGACCTTGAGCAGTTGCTCAGCTGCCTTCTTCACATCGTAGCTCAAGAAGAAGTCCACGAACTCCGGCCCAAACGTCTTCGATCCAGCAGCGGGAATAGGGCCACTGAAGTACTGTTTCACTTCCTGGATCATCTTGTCAGGTGGTCCCATCATCTTGTTTGAGAAAGTCTGTACGGCTCGCACCCTCGGTAGCCGCAACTCGTTGAACAGCTGGAGCCTGTCGACGACCTGGTCGCTTGATACTCCCTTCAGAAGAACCTCAAGAGCCATAGCATCCTCGATTGCAGACGAGGCGCCTTGACCATGCGTCGGCAACATAAGATGAGCAGCATCTCCTACTAGCACAGCTCTGCGCTTGACAAACGTCTCGATAGGATTCCGATACATCTGGTTATACACCTTCACATCCGTAGCTCCTTCGCAAATAGCCTTGACGGCTGGATGAAAGCCTGAGCATCCGCAATGACATCTTGATACTCAGCAGGGTTAGACCAGCTTTCGAGATCCTTCTCTTTGGGCTTCGTCGGATGCAGCAAGGCACAGTAGAGCAGCTCACCACGGCGACAGGGGTATGTGTTGAGCAAGTGACCCGGCTTGCCCACTGCAGCCTTGTAGAAAGTCGAGAATCCGGGTTGCTGATCCTTGTAGAACTGTGCAGCCTCTGGTCGATCCATAATATCGGAGATCGGCTGCAGGAAGCGGTACATTGACATTGGCAGGCGGATGACTGGTGCTTCGGATCCGGTGATGCGAGGGATGAGCCTTGAGTGCGAGCCGTCCGCGACAATGACTAAGTCCTTGCTGACGGTTGAGCCATTCTCGAGTATTATCGATCCTTGCTCCGGCTCCATGTCCTTCACTGCGGATCCAAGGTGTATCTTAGGCTTGGGCTCTGGCAACGCCTCAACTATGCTCATGATGCCGGTGTGGAGATCGGCGCGGTGCAGCAGCAACATCCGGTCGCCGTACTTCTCCTTGATGTTACTGAACTTCTGTTCAGAGTCCAGCTCAAGCGTATCTGCCTTGATACGACGCATTTGGCAGAAGTCGAGACCGCCTGCCTTTTCAGCATCAAATCCCCATCGAGTCAGGACGCGAGTAGCATTGGGACCAAGAATGATAGCCGCTCCAGTCTCATTACTGAATGTCGAACGCTCATAAACCTCGACATCATGGCCGGCTCGAGATAGCGCGATGGCGGCGGAGAGTCCGGCGATGCCACAGCCTATGATTCCGACTTGCAGACGTGCATGGCCTTCTGAGGCCATGACTGCTTCTTGCAGATAAACCAAAGTTGTTGTCTCTGCAGTATTCTCTTAAAGGAGTACCTCACAAGCTGGGCGATGATTGGCGATTGAAATGGGTACGCAACAGATGCCTTGCGGCCAATTTGTCTGCCGGATCAGAGAACCGGGCGGAGTGCGACCCTGTTTAGTTGTCCGAAGTCAACGAAAGCATTTGAGGTCTGGAAGGAAGTCGATACTCGATATGACTTTCCTCGTTCAGGTTGCCATAGAGGGCAAATCTAGGGACAGCGTGCAAGGCCCACCAGCCGGCGTCAAAGTCCACCCTAAAAGCGGGAAGGATCGTGGTGACGTACTGCAAGTGTCGCAGTACCTATTGGACGCCATCACCAGTGCTAGACTGATCGCCATCATTTTCGTCATTTAGCGTGTCTAAACGCGAGAGAAGGAGCCGCGTATGAACGAGTTCGAGCACGATACAAGAAGCAGGTGCAGCACCATCACGAGTTTGGGAGCGCGGATCACCCAGCCGGGCCCACTGCTCCGGAGCCCCCTTGTTCAAGTCTGTACAACATAAAGCTTCATCCTTCGACATCGTTTTATCGATGATCAGCTTCAGGCCGCCATTATCGCCATTTGTACTTTGTATCTGGATCACCGACTACTACACTGTACGGCCTTCAGGCTGAGTGCTACTGAGAAGGAAGCCCAGTGCACTCCAGCAGTTCAAACGCAAAGTCCTCCAACTCGAGAAGCTTAGTAGCCATCAGCCATCACCGAAGACTACATTCACCCATCGGCACTCTTTCCTGGAACAGTCACTCAGCTACGCAGCATAATGCCCGGCGATCCATCACCACTCGGCACCACCCTCCTGCCCGCCCGCATCCTGCTGTCTGCTACCGCCCTCTTCGGCGCCATCGGCCCCTTTGGAGCCGACTGGAACGAGACTCACATCTACAACCCACGATGGCCACCTCACGCCAAGTTTCATAATGGTCAGACCATGTCCACAGGTGTCGGTCTGGGTCTACTGACTGCTTACTTTGCCTGGCGCCGTACCCATACCGAGACAATGTCTGGCGCGATGGACAACCTGCTGATCGCTACGTTGCTGTCGAGCTTGTACTGGGTGACGCAGCTGAGTGCGATCTTGTATCCCGGCACAGACTGGTGTGATGAAGAGTTCCGGCATCTGGGCACACCGCAGAAGAAGGGAGCGCCTGTGCTTCTCGGTGCGGGATGGGTAGCATTCGGGCTGGGATGGTGGAGAGGATTTGGCTTCGGACAGCACGGGAAGGTATTGTGAACCGCGGAACCATGTTGGGTTTCAGGTGTCTGTGTGGAGGAGGTGTACTCTTCCGCGACGGACGGAAGCAGGATGATTGATGGCGACCGGCTGACCAGTACAATATGAAGTATTTAGAGAGTTTCCCATGGTTCTGAGTGACTCGGGGACCATCTTCACAGTACGAATATTACATCGGGCGAGGCCTGGATTGCGTGTAACGGTCTTAGGATGTCTCGATGTCTTCGTCGCTCCGGATCCTGCCGTGGGGTGCGCAAAACTTGGCCATATTCCGCCATCGAGGCCCCAGCACACAGTGCGGCAGACGATGAATCATGTTGTAGCCCAAGGCTCGAAAAAGGTACTACTTGCACCACGTGCGTCGTGAGTCACTGAATGTTCGACGCTTACGGAATCACCGCCAATTGCCAAGAATTCGGTCTTCTTCCAGGGGCGGCGGGCGCACATCAGCGCCTGGAGTAGCACTTGTGACGTTACTGCTGGCCCATCATTAGCTAAATGTGCTCCCTTGCGGTGACTGGAGCAGGTCGAGCTCGGTGTCATGACATACACAGCGAAGCCGACATGCTATGCTCCTCCGGCTTGGACAGTGCAGGTGAAGTAATGTACATAATGGCCGCTCGGTTCTCTTTCCCTCCCATGTGCTCAACAGCGGCCCCAAGCATCAACCAAAATGGGCATTGAAGAAGCCCTCCCCGCCTCAGCGCGCGACAAGCTACGAGCTGAACTCCTAGCCGAAGACCACATCTTCATCCAAGCCCTGCCCAAAGTCGAGCTCCACGTGCACATCGAAGGCACCATCACCGCCGAGCTGCGATGGAAGTTCACCCAGCGCAACGGCACCCCTCTTCGGATCGCCGCCAATGGCTCTGAGATCCACTCCCTCAAGGAGTTGGAACACGCCATGGACCTCCTTCGTCCGGATCCCAGTCGCGTCAACAACGATGAGGAACGTTTCCAGTTCTTCGAGGCTTACTACGAGGGATTTGCGTGTCTAAAGACGAAGCAGGACTATTTCGACTTGGCGATGCATTACTATGAGAATACTGCGAGGATGAATGTGCGGTATGCGGAGATCTTCTTTGATCCGCAGGGCCACACGGCGAAGGGGATGAGTTGGGACGTGATGATGGGTGGATTTCGAGAGGCGAAGGAAAGGGCGGAGCGGGAGTTGAATGTCAAGTCGGCGTGGATCATGTGCTTTCTGCGCGACTTGTCGCCGGAGTCTGCGATGGAGCACTATGAGGCGGCTCTACCGTATCGGGACATCATCGTTGGAATTGGGCTTGACTCAAACGAGGAGGACCGGCCGCCTGTACTGTTCGACGAAGTCTTCACCCGTGCTCGCAAAGATGGTTTCAAGCTGACGATGCATTGTGACGCGGACTCGAAGAATGCACATGAGCATATCCGGCAATGTGCTTCTGTCGTTGCTGGCCATGGCCTTGATCGAATTGACCACGGCATCAATGCCGCGGAGGATCAAGGTCTCATGAATCTGATCAAGGAGCGCGATCTGGGCATGACTATCTGTCCTTGGTCGTATTTGCGACACACGACTTTTGAAGAGCTGGGGCCGAAGATTCGCACGCTCTTGGATGTTGGGATCAAGGTCACGATCAACAGCGACGACCCAGCTTATATGGAGGACTGTTGGGTGTTGCATAACATGCTACTGGTGAGACGGCTGTGCAATTTCAGCGATCGAGAGTTCCTGGTCCTTGCAAGAAATGCTGTGCATGCCTGCTGGGCAAGTGATGCGGTCAAGGAAGGCATGTTGAGGGAAATTGACTTGGTTCAGCAACATTTCATGGGCGAGCAATGAGCCGGAGCTCTTGAGAACGTCAGCGAGGGACGAGACCGGGAGCTAATAAGGCTGCTGATGGTCGTGGAACCGGGCTCGAGCTTGTTCACGATAGTCAGGTCGTGCCAGTGATGTTGTTGATTAGCTAAGTGGAGAATCTATCGATGGGCAAGCTCCTGACGTACCTTCCAGGACAGCAGGTACGCCGCGTGTGAGCAGCGACTGCTCGAACTCCTGGCACCGACGTCAACGTGCCTGTCGTTCCTACAGATCTCCGGAACAAAGGGGCAAGTACGTATCGACAGAAGGTGCGCTCGCACCCTACTCTGGACATCGCTGGACACGAATTTATGGTCGAGAGGTCCAGCGCACGGCTCAAGCCCAGCTAGGTCGTATGTAGGTAGACAGTAAGGATGAAGATGTGGTGAAGCAAGCCCTGTAAAAGACACCTACTGGCGACCAGATCTCCTTCTGCCGGCGCACCGCCACAGTCCTCCACGAAATTCGTCCGTCAGGCCAACGTCAACCCCGCTTTAAACTCGAAATTGTCCCGCAGTAGCTGCGTCTTTGCAACCTTCACATGGACTTCGCGGAGTCTACTCCGTCGCCCGTACCTGTCCCGCCTTCGGTCATAGAACGTGGGGCTTAATTGTTGATTTTGGAGTGTTGGAGATGGATGCAAAGGTGAGATGGTGAGTGATGCTTAACGAACAGCCGGTAGGAAACGTGCATCGTACTCCTTTGACAATCTCGTCGTCTTCTCTCTCATCCAGATCACAATAGCACAGCAGACATGTCGAAGCCAACACATATCATCCGCTTTATTGCGAACGAAGACAACCGGACACACATTGGCCAGCTTGTGGACACATCAAGAGATGTCGGTCTTGACAGCGTCGACGGCAAGGAGATCAAGGCATACAAGATCAACGGCACTATCTTTGACGGTGAGGTGACGAAGCAAGTGTACACAGTAAAGCAGCTGCTGTCGCCTGTGTCCACGGAGGACTGCAACTATATTCGGTGCCTGGGCCTGAATTACAAGGACCACGCAGCGGTAGGCACTGCTCCTCCTTGACCCATTACTATGCTCTAACGCAGTCTGCAGGAAGGAGGCTTCGACCTACCAAAAGCGCCTATCCTCTTCACCAAGCCCCGCCATGCCCTCGCCGACCCCTACCCAGCGGCCATTGCCGTCCCCAAGGCAGCGCAAGATGGTACTTCAGACTACGAGGCAGAGCTGTGTCTCGTGATTGGCAAGACCGGTCGTGACATCCCAGAAGACAAGGCCCTCGACTACGTCCTGGGCTATACCTGCAGCAATGACGTGTCCGCCCGGACGATGCAGATGCTCACGACGCAATGGTCGTTCAGCAAAGGCTTGGATGGCAGCTGCCCGCTAGGCCCAGTGCTCGTAACGAAGGAGGCAATTCCTGACCCTCAGACGCTTGGGATCAAGGCTATCTACAACGGCGACACCGTGCAGGACGGACATACGAAGTGAGCCTTCTCGTTTGTTGCCCTAGGAACAAAGCTGACATATTCCACTCAGGGACATGATCTTCGACATCAAGAAGCAGATCTCGTATCTCTCACAAGGCACGACGCTCGAGGCAGGCACCATCTTCCTTACAGGCACACCAGCAGGTATTGGCTTCTTCCGTAAGCGAGAGTCGTTCTTGAGGATGGTGGTGACATTAGAGTCTGGATTGAGAAGATCGGCACGCTTGTCAACAAGGTCAAGTACGATGGTTGGTAGAAGCAGTGCTGAAGCATCAGGACGTCAAAAGGCTTGTGTCAATAGATCCATATCACAGACTAGAATCATACTTCAGTCTGCAAGCCATGCTTCATGATCATTGAGCTAACGCGGGTTGACACTAATACTGAGTATGCCCCTGAGGTACAATGTACAGAAATCTACTCTTCGCCGTGTGTGTGATGCCACACGAGGTTCTCCCATCCGCTCGAGTCAACATGTTCGCGTGAGCCCCTCCACCGTCGCTTGTGTACTGCTTACTCGAGGAACTCCTTCGGCACATCAGGTCCCCAAACAGCAAGACCCTCGTGCCCGGCTGGGCCATAGCCCATCGGCGTGTTCTGATTCACCAAATCACCATCCGCGTAGTGCTCTACCATGAACCTGCAAAGATGTGTGTCAGCTTGCGCCCTAGCACTCCGTCACATTCGAGAAGAACTTACTTGTTAGGGTCCCACCAATAATCAAAAATCTGGCTTCCAAGAATATGCCTGCCAACACCCCAGACCGGCTCATATCCCTTGCCTGCCAGCCATTGATGGCCCAACGCCTGCGTGTCGAAATCATGCACTTCGAAACTGCAGTGATGGACGTGCTTCTCCACACCCGGCGTCAATGTGGTCAAGAACATAGTATGGTGATCCACCAGATCCTCGCCGCGATCGATATGCGCGAACAGCGCGACTTCTTTCCTCCTCGGGTGGCCCTGATCGTCTGTCTGGCCGTCAAGGTTGATGTAGAGGATGTCGGATGGGCAGATGTTGAAGTGCTTGGTATACCAGGCCATCTGGGCGGGGAAATCCTCTACGTTCAAGCCAAAGTGGCCCAACTTGTGCACGGCTGCTGGACCGGGCTCGAAGCGTTGGAAGGCGCGTTGTCTGGGCTTGTCGGACTCGTCGTTGTGGAGGAGTTTGGCGGGTTTCGGTATGTCGTGAGACGCTGGGGTTTGGCCGTAGATGAAGTTCACGGGGAAGCCTTCGGGATCGAGGATCGACAGGATTTGGCCGCCGCCGGGCGCGTCGGTCATCTCTTGGATGCCATCGTTCAGGACTGTGCAGTTGGGGAGTTTCGTGATCTTCTCGAGCTCGGCTGTTGATTCGACTTCGAAGGTGCCGCCGAGGTACTTCGGAGGGCCTTCCTGAGCGTAGTAGACGTACTGGTCCGGTCCGTAGCCGGCGTACCAGCGTTGAGTGGGCGTCTTCTTCACGACGTGCATGCCGAAGTCGCGAAGGAAGGTAGTGATCACGTTCAGGTCGGGGTGTTGGTAGCGCATGTGAGCGAGTTTGGTGAGCTTGACTTGCGATGAGCGTGAGATACCGTGGCGTTGCCGCCAGGTCTCTTTGTCTTCTCTGTCAGGGCCGATGGCTTGCGTGTCGGGGACGGAGGCGCCACGATTGGGCGAGGGACCTCTCGAGACAGGCGCCCTGTGGCCATTTGACTGTTCCTTCTTCTGCTTCTCCTCCGTAAGGTTGTGCTTTAGATCTTTGGCGGCGATCATGGTGCCGGCTGACTTGATGTCGTGCGAGTTTCTGGCTCTAGGAACTGCAGGAAGTCCCCTCTGCTTTTCCACGGCTACTTATGCTAGTACTAAGACGACCAATACCAGTCTGTGTCTAATTCCAGACTCCAAGTGGCGTCAGTACACTACCGATAACACCACGATGTGCTTGCTGGTCTAGTTGTAATGGCAAGTCCGCCGCTGTTTGAGCTTGTGGATTGGTCAAGAGGATCATCTACGGTCTCTCTTACCTGGAGACGAAGGTAGTGGCCATCATATCTGAACCATGTCGATCCCACATGGTCTGACACGGCCTCCCCGCATCATATTCGGCACTCTTTAATCGCCGACTCAGTGTCATACGTTCGACAGGGGTTGGGGAAGTTTTCCAACGGAAAGTGAAGAAGACGATGTGGGACAGTCGAACGAGAACGTGGGACTCCAAAACGTCCTGTGGCTGTGCAGTTGCGGGCACAGAAATTAGGCCGAGCACGAATCTCCTTCTCGAATTGGGCAGTCATTCGAGGCGATAGCGCCCTCAAAGAGGCTCTTTCCAGCGGCAGGAGTATGCCCTGCGCCGAAATTAGTGCGTCTCGTTTGTCGTCTTCGTGATGTTGCTGAGATTTTGCAGCTACAGAAGCGATGGTCTTGTCATCCGGCCGAAGTAAATTAGGTAGGGTTTGGAGCACATGCACCCGGCGAAATCGACCTCACAAAGCCAAGACAAGTTTGCGGGCACCGCAACGATCCGACTTCCCGTTGCTTTCCTCAGATCAACTATCAAAACTTCCAACGTTCGTGGCTTGCGGTGTTCGGTTTCAGTCCTGACGACGCTCATAGGGACGTCTATTTCGTACGCAATTATACCCGCGGTAACAAGGGACCAGCGCTTCCGGACCTACCGTGTGGTTACACAAGACTACCACGCAACCCATCTCGGTTTCAACTAGAACCAAGCAGCGAGCGCGAAAGCAATGGTGTTCGTCAATGAGCGTGTCATCCATTACATGCGACTCTCCTGGGCCACTTAGCAACCTTCTACCAAACCGGAGTGATTGACTCCTCATAAATATGTACTCCAGGGCATTGTAGGCCCTGCCTCGATCGGTGTTCTCGCAAAGGGCCAGCCAATGGACCCAGCCATTGGCCGAACGATACAAACGATGGCATGGCCCCATGCGGGACCGCGCTTCGCAGCTCGTTCTATATGACGCGAGCGGGCTGTTCCCAGCAGACCCCAGGAGCTTTCTATGCCAGCCCTAATCAGCCACTTGACGCCGAAGCACAGCCAATCATCCCATCCTGCAATCGCCTTGTGCTTCCTGGTAGCCGTCAAGACGATACACATTCTTTGATCGATCGAGAGTCACCATGGTAAGGTCATCCACTGACTTTGTTCATTGTCTCTTTGTTCCATAGTGGGTAATCACGGTAGTCGTCCATTGACGTCGATCGTTTCTCCTTTGTCTGCAACCATTTTCTTTGTAGGAGCAGTGCTGTGTCTGATCAGGGCTGTTCATCGTTTCCGTTTATTGTTATTCATATACTCAATTCCACCAAGCTGGTACCTTGATACGTTCCATAGCACCGGAAGCCATTAACGAACACCTAAGCCCTCACCACTATCTCACAATGTTTACCACAAAATTCGCGCTATCTGTACTACTGCTGATGAGCAGCGTCTTTGCAGTCTTCGCACACGATACCTCATCGAGCAGCGTTGCGCCGGTCGCAACTCCGAGGACGATGTTTGCTGCTGGCTATGACGGCTGGGTCCGAAGCGTGGCTCTGGACACTGATGGCACCAATTTCACCCTCACAGAAATCAACAAGACAAACGGCTGTCAGACGAACCCTTCATGGCTAGCTCTGCAGAGGGACCAAGAACGACTATGGTGTCTCGATGAAGGCTGGGTGACTGGCAATGGCACACTGAACAGTTTCGATATCGAAGACGATGGGGCGAGCTTGGTCCAGACTCAGCGTCGCAACGTTTCCGCGAGCCCCGTGCAAAGCACCTTCTTCAGTTCTGGTGACGAGCTTGTGATTGCTCAATACGGTGGTCCGCCGAACTCGACCATACGCGGGGGTCTGACATTTCACGATGTCAACAATGATGGTGCTCTTCGAGGCGCTCTCAATCTCACCTTCGAGGCCCTCGAGCAGCCAGGCCCAGCACCTGGTCAAGACGTGCCTAGGGGTCACGGCGTCATTCTTAATCCGACTGGTCAGTGGCTTGTCGTGACCGACTATGGCGCTGACAAGATCCGGACGTTCACGGTCCAAAACTCAATTGTCTACAAAGGCATCGAGCTGGAAACACCGCCTGGTTCAGCCCCGCGTCATGCCAAGTTCGGGAAGATCGGCACAAACGATTATCTGTTCGTTGTGTCAGAGAACGCCAACACGATCACAACGTACAACGTCAGCTACTCTGGAGGACTGCTTCATCTTACCCCTCCCAGTCGTGTCATCGACACATTCGGCGGCAAAGCTAGTGCGGAGGTCCTTAAGAAAGCTAAGGCCTCTGAAATCCAGATTTCCCTGGACAACAAGTTCCTGATGGTGACAAATCGAATGGACAATTCTTTTCCGGAATCCGACTCACTGGCCAACTATCGCATAAACGCGGATGGAAGCCTAGCTTTCTTACAGCTGGTCCCAGTCGGAGGGCTGAGCCCAAGGCAGTTCACCCTGAATAAGGCAGGTGATCTGGTTCTTGTGGCTGCGACTGCATCAGAAACAATCACTGTGTTGCAGAGAGATCCAGCACGGGCCTGATTGGCAGTACTATTCTGGCATCTTTGCGATTCAATACATCGGCCACGATTGGTGGACCGCCAGCTGGAATACCAATGGCGATATGGTACGAGTGAACAGTGCTCACGTGGCTAGAGTCACTCGTACGAATAGCAGTATAGACTTGTACGATTAACGAGACGAGCTCGTAGCGAGCGTATGACTTCCAAGAAGTGTCTATTGTAGGTACATATCCACTCCATTCATTGACTGCTGATTGTCCGATTATTCGTCCCCTTTTCTCCGTCAATCTGAATTTATGTCCTCGGCTCTTTCAGCTTGCAATTAGGGCTGATCGTCAAATTTCAGGACCCCAACATTGTGGATCTGCTCCCCTCCATATCTAGGTCTTTCCAGGTAATGCCCCTTCCAGGTCTGCAAGCTCTACCCCTGTGGCCCCTACTGCCGTTTGTTAGTTGTGCATTGCAATGACGTTATGGCACAGCCTGTTCAGGTAGCTGAGGAGCATTATCTAATCTATACGACTTGCGGACTAGTCGACCAGATCCCGACTGGAGGAAGGCCACAGCGATTGGAGAAAGGCACGTCGCAGGTTTCGAGGCTGATAAATTCGAAATACAGTATCTAGCTTGCAGTGGGGAGCCTCGAGACCGGAAACGAAGCTTAAGTCTCCGACGAGGTTACCTACGCTTAGACACTTCAGGTTGTACTTCTGTTGTCCAACGTCGTTTTGGCTTCCCTTCAATTCTCAGGGATATATCTGCGTCAGGAGCTACAATGTTATCCCAGGAGGGCCTTCAGGACGAGTCGACAAGCTGGCCATCGATGAAGCATCCATTGGTGAGTAGAGTCTTCACGTACCATGACGGTGCCGAAAGCTCGGAAACGAGCGTACGCCCCGAAAACCAGGTCTGGGTGTATCACCTGCAAGTCACGGCGCGTCAAATGCGATGAGGCCAAGCCAGCATGTAAGTCACTGCGAGTTGTGCAATGGTTGATTAGACTGACGAAACTTGTAAGGTCAACGATGTCAAGCGAGGGACCTTGACTGCCGCTACGCAGCGGTGCCCAAGCCTTGGGTGTTCGATGGAACCAGATCTCCGTCACCACTGAGCTCACAGCAAGCTGGCTCAGAGCCGCCGGAGTTGCTACTGAAGCAGCGAGTGCCGCCGATGCAATTCTGGGGTAATGAAGACGAGCAGCGTGCGATGGTGTACTATCTGCAGCGGACTGGACCTCTATTCTCATCATATGTAAGTATCTGGAACTGTAATTTGGTCAACGTTCCCTCGACGAGGGTTACAACGACAAGGTGGGAATGGACTGGGCGAGCATTATCAGAGGGTCTCAAGAGCATTCCCAGAGACCTCCCAGAAAGCACAAATGCCTATGCCTCCGTCAGGCTACTATACTATCCCGTTGCCTTCTGTCCACATCTTTTGCACCCCAGTGCGATGCTGACTACGATTCAGATGCCCAAAAAGTTCGAACATCTCTTTGAGACCGTGTTCCCACGCATCGCCGAGGAACTCCCAGCTGTGCGACATCTCTTGCTGGCGGTGGCTCTCATGGAGAGCCCGGTCAGCAACCTGCATTCAGCTGGTGTACAGCGACATACGAAGCTGATCATATATCATTACTACAAGGCCTTGAGTGAGCTTCGTGATCCGAACGTTCACTACGCTGATGCGGCTCTCGCACCCATCCTCGCTTTCGTTCTGGAGACCCTATCTTTCAACGAGGCCCGTGCTGGAATGCACTGCGTCGGCGCTCAGACGGCACTGGAAGTCTACGGACCCTCCATATCGTTGAGCAGAGACGAATACATTCTGGACGAAAGGCTACGACTATTTCTGGACTATACGTTTCGATTCCGCTGCCTCAGGTGCAAAGTCGGGGATCCTGGTGACGACCAGATATTGCTGGCCGTGGCAATGCGGAACATGGCTGCAGTGCCGCAGAAGTCCCAAGATCTTCGAAAAGTGTTTAGGGAGTATGTCGATAAGTACGAACCTACAAAAATGATGGCGAAAGATGTCGTGTCTGCGGTCGAGTTCGTGAGGAAGTGGGTCATTGCTGTGATCCAGAGCAGGTTTCTCTCCTCTGAGCCTAGTGTTATATTCACAAGCCTACAGTTACTGGCCAACCTCATCATTCTGCTACTGCCCATACCCGTCAGGAATGCCGTTGCAGGAGATGAAACAGAAGGTCTCGGCATCGATTACGTTCTGGACCAGTGTTATTACTTCATGCACCCGACGGAGAACAGCAAGTCTGTCACGGAGGCTCTCAAGGATATCGTGACGATGATGTTGCAGCTTATATCCAGAGGGGCACCGGATCCAGAGCGACGAGGTCGAGCCAAACGGCTGTGGAGAGAGGTCGTCGCCACTGGAAGCATTGCAGAGGAACCAGTTCAGCCCTGGGCTAGTCATACTAGTGTCAATCAGGTGCCAGAATTCCTCGACATAACCGCCATAGACACGCACGCGGAATCTCCGACGGTCAACGAAGCCGAATGACGGTCTACGATAAGATGAACAAGGCGAAGGACCAGGAGAGCACTGGGTAGAGATGCAAGAGCCGAGGCGCCACCTGGGAGCGCGACAAGCAGAAGTGGCCCACACTGGTCGCCATGAATTACACAGTCCGTGAAGTCACGTCGAGGCAAATGCTTCAGTCTACCTCGGTTATGCTGAAGGCCAAGTGTGGAAGCCGAAGAATCGTTGCGTTCTCGACGTCCTCCATGGACAACCAAATGCACCCAGGAGACTCAGTTAGAGATCTCTGCTATGCGTTGATGCGCAGGCTGAATCACATTGCGATACATGCTTGCAAACAGGGCGGCCAGAATTGAAATGCACATCGGGAAGGTGCAGGTTTGGCGGGGCGAAGCAGGCAATCATGATTGCTGGTATCTAGGCAGGCACCTGCAGGCACAAGAAAATTGAAACGCGTCGGTACGCGTTCCTTCACATCACTCGCTTCTCATCTCTTACTTGCACACAAACTGCGAAAAGGTCAAAATTACTTCGCTTAACTTTCATCTTCTCAACAAGCGTCGTGTACCGACTCCGTCTACTATCGCCTTCAATCCGACAGGCTTCATCTCCTCGGTGTTACTGCAACCTCAAGACACGATCCACGATTTACCGCTAGATCTACCCTTTCAACCGCAACGATGGGTGCATGGGGAGGCGGTGTCTTCGAGTCTGTAAGTCAGCAGTAAAAGCACGAAACCCGTCAGCGCGCTAATGATTTACCAGGATCAAGTTCTAGATCTCATCGGTGGCTGTATGGCAAGCGATCTGGCGTCTACATCTGGACCAGTGGCGAAGGCGGTTCACTTGTGACAAACTCTACTTCTGACAACGACGACGGAGAAGATCTCTCTGTCGAGCAAGTCCGCGACCACTTGAACAATGGCCATTTCAGTCGCGTCTTTGACAAGTACAAGAACTCCGAGCAAGTTGACTTCGATGTAACACCCGGACACGGATGCTGCATCTTGACCGCTCTAGCCATGCTTGTCGGCGCCAACATCAGCACCGAGCAGCGAGAATTCGTCCGCAGTGTGTACAAGAAGTGCGGCATGCACAAGGACGGCATTCAACAGATGGGCCATGCTGTGGAGAACTACATCAACGGACAACCATACAGCTTGATTGAACCGGATCGCGTAGATCACAAGATCCAGTTCGCTTTCGAGAAGGCTCGAGCCAACGCCGGGTGAGTTTCTTGACCCATTCATTCACGTCTGTCTGCAACACAGGATCAGCAGCAAGGCGGACTTTCGGGCTGACCAGGGGCTGACTGTGATCTTAGTGGTGGCTTCTTGCTGGCAAACTACACCGGACCGGTGTACCATGAGGAGGGTGTCCCGTACGTACTTAGCCTTCCTTTACATGATGGCACTGACAATAATCCAGCAGCTACAGTATGATGAGTTTCGGCAAACAAATGTCGAAGAAGATGCGCAGAGACAGTAAGTTTTCTTGTGAATGAACGCGTATAACAGTGACTGACTACGATACAGAGGGAGAGCCGGCATACTTTCCAGGCGCTCCGGTGCTCCGTGAGTGCAACACCTGTGGCAAGCTCCCGGAGCTGGTCCCGAGCGGCCTGAAGTTCTGTGGCAAGTGTAAGAAAGTTCTCTACTGCTCGGTTGAGTGCCAGAAGGAGGACTGGGCGCCCTTCCACAAGAAGTGGTGCAAGGCGTTTGCCAAGATGCCAGAGCCGCCTGCCGTTGAGGACTTGTCCCTGGACGCCGACGGTCCCGCCATCCGTGTTGGTAGCAGAATGTGAGGAGACAAGCGGCTACTCACGCAACGATGCTGGATTAGCCCCAATGAGACGACACAATGGGCGTAATCGACGCTTCACTGTTGTTCTGAATCACAGACTCCGATGACCCCTGCGGTCCGAAAGAGCATATCCGCCATGAGCGTCAAGCGAGAGCTTCGAGCGCTTCTAAAGAAGGATGCCGTGCGGAAGGCTTGCGGTTTCTATGAGGATCGGAACATCCTGTCACATCAATCTATCCATTGTAGTGCCCACAACCAGATTGAGAGTTCATACACAGCTACAACCAGATAGAACGATTCCGAGCTTATTCCTCAGCATCGCGCCAGCTAGGGCGCAGTTACTCTGTTCGTTGAGACTCATTGCTCAAGCTCTTTACCGGCCACTGGACTCGCGTCGTGTCATCTCCTCCACATGTAGAGCACTTACCCCAGACCCACTTCTACGGAAATATATTCCACTCACGTTGAAACAAGGTTTCGAAACAGACTTTGAAAGGACAGATCTCCTCCATGACGCAACGCGTCCTCAACTTCGCCAGTCTCTGGAATTACGCGACCTGAGCTGGACGTGGGTCGAAGCCCGCCTCGATGGACTGAGCCTCGAGAGCGAAGCCTTGCGCGTCAGATGAGCCAGGGTCTGGCAGCCGCGAAGCCTGTTGTCGCCAACGGACGACGCGTATGGCGGCGAGGAGCGAGACGATGCAATTCATCGTCCGGATGTAACGGGCTGCTGCCAGTGACCTCATGAATATAAACAGAATGCAACGACATCTCCGAGGACCTCAGCCGCAAAGTTGGGGGACTGCTCATGGTGACGATGCGGCGGCTAATTCCAACATTGTTCACACAACACCCCTGTAGTTGCCCTAAGACGTCGACGGAACAACCATCGTGATGCCAGCGCCACCAGCAACCACGGCCACCGTGACCAATCACCCAGGATCGACTGCCGACGAGATCTTACAGGAACCAGAATGGGGTTCAGGGCATCAACATCGCATTGGCTTTCTTAATCGCAGTGGACGAGTCGCTGGCTTCACGCACGATGGAGATCACGACGAAGAAGACCATGCGTTTGTGGAGGAAGCGCAGCGCAAGCATCGGCAGCTGAGGGCCGAGAAAGGTCGAGGTGACTTAGTCAACTTCAAGGATATCATGAAGGGTCAGACCGTAGGTGCTCCTCTACTGGGCTAGTGACAGAAAGCCTCCACTGCGGACCGCCGCCAAAGCTTATGTGCTAACCCGGATGACACCAGGACTACCATCAGCACCGCCCAGAAGTGTATCCACCGGGCTGGCGCTTCGTAGTCCGTGCAACGGAAGATGAGATCAAGCAGAACAAGGAGTGGCCAGGTGCGTAGCTTCCTGCCGCCTGTATATTACCTCAAGTCCTCTCTGGATCAGACTGGTGGGATGCTAACCCACGAGTACAGCCAACATCAAGAAACGTGAGAAGGAAGATGCTCAGAAGAAGCAGCAAGCCGGGAGCGCTGAGCAGAATGGCAAGCAGAATGATGACCACGCCAGTGCCAAGCAGAACGAGAACAATGCCAGTGGAGATGCGAGCGAAGACCCTGAGCACGACTGGCGGCGCGGAGCGGGCCACGAGGAGACCAAGCATCATGACGCCTACGGCAGCAAGCCCAAGAACGGAGACGAAAAGACAAATGGGCACGAGACAGAGTATCAGAAACTTCTCAAAAAGTATACGCCACAAGAGATCACTTTACTTCGCCATCTCCAGCACGAAGCACAGCACCAGCAGAGCTTGAAGCAGAACCCTGGCACATTGTTGTCTCCCATGAGCCATAAGCTCGTCCAACCAGAGACTTCAATCGACGCTGTGGACGCGCAGACTCCAGACAACTGGATCGCTCGGTCTTCGCACCTCATCCGACGGACAGGCCAACACCCGCTAAATGCGGAGTGTGAGCTGTCTGCACTGTATGATGCGGGCCTCATCACACCCAATCGCTTCCACTACGTTCGAAATCACGGAGCTGTTCCGCGACTGTATTGGGAAGAGCACATTCTCGACGTGTGCGATGGTGCACTGCGACTTCAGATGGAAGACCTGCGGGGCGGGAAATGGGAGAGCGTCAACATTCCTGTTCTGATTGCTTGCGATGGCAATCGAAGGGGCGAACTCAACCGCATCCGCAAGAGCAAAGGCTTCGACTGGGGTCCTGGCGCCATCGGCTGCGCGTACTGGCGAGGTGTGCGAGTTGCCGACGTCCTGAAAAGCGCCGGAGTCGTTATAAAGCCAGGTCACGGCCGGCGATGGGTCAATTTCGCTGGCGCCGATGATCCTAGCGAGGGCAAGTACGAGACCTGCTTTCCCCTTGAGTTCATTATGGACCCGACCAACGATGTGCTGCTGGCGTATGAGATGAATGATCAGCCTCTGCCGCCTGATCATGGCTTTCCGGTCAGGCTGGTGGTCCCTGGCTATGTTGGAGGCAGATCGGTCAAGTGGCTCGCGAAGATCTGGGTCAGCGATGAGGAGAACGACAGCTACTATCATATCTGGTACGTCAATACCGTCCTTGGGCTGGGAAGACGCTAACATATTTTTAGGGACAATCGAGTCCTTCCAAGTTTCATCACTGAGAAGGATGGCGAATTTGCTCAGACCATGTACAATCACCCGAGTACCGCCTGTGACGAGCAGAACCTGAACAGCATCATCGTCAAGCCGGCACAAGGACAAGAACTCGAAATTGCCGAAGTCCTCAAGGAAGACACCTATAGAGTGACTGGATTCGCGTATGACGGAGGTGGCCATGAGGTTCAACGGGTAGAGCTGAGTCTTGATGGTGGTGAGACGTGGCTTTACTGTCTCAGAGAGGTACGCTGAAAGCTACAAGTGGTGCACCGCACTGACAATGGATAGTTTCCCGACAGCCCAATTAGGCACGGTAAGAAGTTCTGGACATGGTTATACTGGTATATCGACATTGATTCGACGCACTTCTTGAGAGCAGAAAGCCTGAGTGTTCGATGCTTCAACGTGTTCAAAAATACCCAGCCAAGGGAAGGCGCCTGGAATCTCATGGGTAAGAAATGCAATCCTTCGTTCGGATGGCACTCATAGCTGCAGGAATGATGAATAACGGCTGGTACACGGTGAAGCCGATGACATCAGCCTCAGGAAAGCTCCTCATGCAGCACCCATACGACCAGACTGGTGACTCCGGTGGCGGGTGGATGAAACAGTCCACGATTAACCAGCTAGCAGCAGTGAAACAGGACAGCGGCGTGCCCAGTAAGCAATTCACCCGAGAAGAGATTGAGAAACATCGCACGAAGGACGACTGCTGGCTTGTCATCAACGGCAACGTCTACGACACGACGTCGGTGCTGTCTTGGCATCCAGGTGGGACGTCGGCCATCCTCGCCAACGCAGGTCGACTGAGCTTGGAAGTGACCAGCCAATTCGAGAGCGTCCACGATGACTACGCATACAAGAAGCTGGCCGAATGTGCGATCGGGACTGTCACTGACAAAGCGCGCAACTTCATGCAGGAGCAGGCGAAAGCTGAAGCAAAGGCAGCAGCGGAGAGCGGAGGTGACAAAGTCATGCTGAACAGCAAGCGATGGAAGCAAGTAACTTTGATCGACAAGAAGCAGCTTTCAGACGACACGTTTGCATACACCTTCCGCTTCCGAGATGCTCAAGAGTCCAAGAAGCTCGGCTTGAGTACCTGTCAGCACATTCAATTCGGCATACATATGCTCGACAAGATGCTCATTCGATCGTACACACCCACCAGGCCGGTCGTCGAAAGTGAAGTAGGCAACGGCACGTTCGAGCTCACGGTCAAGACGTACTTCCCCGACGAGAATCAGCCTGGGGGTGCCTTTAGCAACTTTCTACACGAGCTGCCTGTTGGCGAGCAGGTCGATGTATGCGGACCAACAGGCGAGATCACCTACCTAGGCAACAGCGTCTTCAACATCGAAGGTAAGGAGCGTCGCTTCAAGAAAGTCAGTCTCGTGCTGGGTGGCAGCGGTCTGACCCCGGGCTATGCGCTGCTCAAACGTATTGCGGAGGACGCCAACGATGCGACACAGGTGAGAGTCATCGATGCCAATAAGACTGAGGACGATATCCTGCTGCGCAGTGAGCTGGAGAGGTTGGTTAAGGAGAGTCGTCATCAGCTACAGATCACGCATGTGCTTAGCCACCCGAAGCGGAAGGACGATTGGGAGGACAAGGGAGGGCTGTCTGGACATGTTGACGCTGGTGTAATCAAGGATAAGCTCTTCGCACCGAGCAAGGACTCCGTGGCGTTGCTGTGTGGTCCACCGGGACTGATTCAGAAGGCAGCGTTGCCGGCTTTGAAAGGTTCGTTGACGCTCAGTGTTGCTACGTGTAGGTGCTAACAGCTTATAGAATGGGGATACGAGGAGGATGACAATTGTTTCGGATTCTAAGCGCTCGTCCTGTGATAAAAGTCCAACGACGGAGTTTTGAATTGGGCAGAACCTGCACTTTTCGATGACGCCCTCCTCACGCTCTACTTCATCCTAGTTTGCTCTTCACGAAAGCAAGAGCGTTCTGACCATAGACACTACCATAATTATTGTGGGCTGCAGCATTGTTGCCATTGCAGCAATATGGATCTGCGGAGTCGCAGTACGACCTGATGCGTGCCTGATATGTTGGGCATGAGAAGCCATTAGGGCGAGGGTCAAACTAATCTTCATCAGTGCCTTGCAGCCATGGCCAGGATATGATAACTTACACCACCTGCCGAGCACGAGCCCCACTTGAAGGACGATTCCGCTGGGGAGTTCCTTGGATTGCCAGCCCAGATCACTGCCTTGATTGCGTTGCTGGCAGCTGATGTGATCAGTGGGTAGGTGTAGGTGATACCCTGATTAGGATCTCCTCCACCACAAAGGGCGTTGTCGCCGATCTGTGCTCCCTGGTAACTGTCAGCACGGCTTTGATGTCCTGGATGGCCACGTACCTGAGAGTATCCGACAATTACCAGCCTGCTGTTGGGGCACTGCCTGTTGAAGGAGTTAACTTGGTTGGCAATGTTCTGCGTGCCTTGTTGAACTGATGAAGCATATTGTTGATTAGTGCTTCCTGCAGCTGGATAGTTGATGGCTTCTGCCGTCGCGCCTGGATACGCTTGCAAGATCAAGTTGACAAAAGTACCCGCGCTCCCATAGCCAGCTGGAGCTGTGGTCTCGCGAGCGCCGAAGATGTGAATGCTGGGACAACTCTGGCGCTCTTCGAGCGGTGCGGCAATGGCACCAGTGGCCAGGAGTGCTGCCAAAGAAGCCTTTGAGAAATGCATGTTGTCGAGTTGCTTGGTGAGCTTGTTGAGGTCTTGTGGTCCGGTGAGTGTCCAGGCATACTCTGTCCGCCGATCCCTTCTTGTTCTTATACTACGTTCTTCCCATCGTCCGAATCTCTGTCCAGCTTCTTCAGCCTGTTTGACAGGAGAACCCGCTGGGGATGCATGTCTATCGGTTCCAGTGGACACCACAGCTGAGATCACGCGTCCAACTTCCAGCCAGCCCTGAGTACCTGAGTCACTTCCGCCCGGCCGAGACGAGGATGCCGTGGCAGACTCTGTCACTGATGGGACTGAAAAAAGCGTGCCCAACGATCGTGGCAGGTATGGTCAAGTCGCATCTCAGCATCCATGGCTAATTGTGGCAGAACCAGGCCAACATCAATGAGCCTGAATCACATTTACGGCGTTCACAGGGAGGTCATGAGATCAATGACCAGGGAGTTGTTTCAAACCCAACTACTCCTGAGACTGCAAGAGTATTTCATCGACAGGGTCGGCAAAAGACCTTACGTTGGGAAAGACGTTGTCGAGGGATCGAAGCGAATGACATCGAGAAGAAAGTTTCGAGAGCATACGATCACTATTTGCCGGCCATTCTGCACGCTTCGGCACGCTCGCTAGCATGCATGTATGGATATTGAGGTACGAGGAATGAATTTTGCGGGGGCCAATTTCCCCGGACTCCTCTCGAGCAGGTCGAGCTTTTAACCTGGCGAAAAGTTTGTCCAAGGTCTGGTCGAGGTCATCCAAGGCTGTACAACCCTCACTGAATTTTGCAGTGTGTGCATTCTTGCCCAGGATGATCGATCAGGAAGTGGACAACGAAGTAGACACCCTCTCCATCAGATGAAAAGAAGAAGCGAATATACATCTTACCGCCACCGCTTCTATAAAGCTTAATCTCATCAAGCCTGATGGCATGGCTTCTTACCCAAGCCATCATCACCAAGCATTGACATTACCATCCCTAGGCTTTTGACAAACTGGTCTCCTTCAGGCTCCTTCTTAGCTGTTGCCACCCTCACCACCGTCTGGTCTGCCCAGTCACCGACAAAGCTGAAAGAACCTCAGCTGACCAGCGGGAAGATATGCCTGAGAAGGCACCATCGGCATAGTTCCTCTAGGCATGCTCAGGTGACATGTAAAACAAGAGCAGGCGGGAAACAGCATTGAGCGTACCTGGTATCGTGCCGTGAAGACTGATTCCGGTCTGTGACTGCACAAGTGAACCGGCTGAGTCACTGAATTTTAGCCTTGATCTATTTCCTCGAGGAAAGAACGGTGGAAGGACATATACAAACCTGTCAATATTCTTCCTCAAATACACTCCCACGAGGAGCACAAGATCATGAGCCATTATAGTGTAGTGGTTAACACGTCCCCTTCCCAATCAACAGGCATTTGTCCTAGGCACTTGCTTGCACATAAATCCCACCGTGGAGCGCTTGGCGCGTGGCGTAATAAGACGTTTGACTGATCAGGGGGAGGCATCAGTTCGAACCTGGTTGATGGCATCCTTTTTGTTCTTTATGGCTCTCCTTACGAAGCGAATGGGTTCTGCTGGGATGTGGCAAGTGCCCCGGAGTCGACCTGGCCGAGTGATACGGCTGTAGTGACAATGCGGCCTCCTCGCCGGAACGTGGAAGAAATTGACGCTGTCGAGTCACTACCATGAGAGCCTTCACTCAGCCCCCGATACCTCATTCGTCTCCTTGACTTCACTTGACCCGTCACTCGCATGAGGCCATTGATGGTCCCCAGCCGAGTTGTATAGCTCACAGACAGCACAGAGACTCATTGAATGCACACCAGGAACTAGATTGAAACCGATGCCTGCCTCCCAGTATTCAGCCGGCGTCGTAGCGAGGTGTGTGGTAGGAGCTTCTACCAGGAGCAGACCTCAAGGCGTGCAGTGTCGACCACTCCTCAACAGTGACGTCATTTCGACGCTGTCGTTGCCTGATGATACTCAGAATGCAGTTCATTCATTCGAAGCTTCGGTCTTCGCAACATCACTTTGCATCCTTTTCATGCCGTCTCAACCATGCTCGCTTTCAACATGTAAGCAACGACTGCGACTAGTAGTCCTAATTAGCCCTACTGCACATGCGTTATTCATTGCAGCTTGAATCATCGACCAGAAAACGTCACAGGCAACCCCTGTTTCGTGCGCAAGAGACCAAGCCGAGGTTGGGAGCAATATGTCGGTATGCTGACTGAACAATTCGCTCAGCACGCCAACATTCGCCAGGCCCAATTGCGTTCTTGCAGAGTTCAATTTCATTGGATATTTGACAAGGCAGACATACTTCCCAATCCTGCAACAGCTCTGTCGATTGGTTCAAAGACGCAGCACGATTCCACTCTCCAGCCGCAGAACTGATACATCGGGTCACTGGGCCTTACTTGAGCAGCATATACGCTTCCACTCACGTCAATATCGCAGCATGTACACGGACGTAGCACGCGGTTAGTTAACATGAGACATGTGTGGCTCTCGCGCTACCATGGGCATTGCGGCATGACACACACAGATTCCCGAGCAGCCATGATCCAGCTCCCTTATAAGTCCCCAGGTAGGCCCTTTACATAACATCTCGCTTTCATCTATCTGCATTCTCCCATCCCCTCCCAATCACACCGGACTCGCCCCACTCCACCGCCATGGACGAGCCGACCGCGAGCTCGAGCGAGCCGAGACGGAAGCTTCTTCCCTCGCCCGCCAACGCACCTCACGCTCCTCGTCCGCGTCCTCTACTGCCCACCCTCAAGCCATCGACAAGACCGTCTCGCGTCACCCGACCCACATCGAGCGCCTCCACACCCACCGGCTGCAACACATCCACACCGTCGGATCTCAGGTCGACTCCCGCTATAGTGTCTCTTCCAAAGCCGGTCCCCTTCCCAAATTTGGCGGCGGGAAGCCCTATCCACCAGACATTCCCGCCGAGCGAGAAGCCTACGTCGTCGATTTCGAATCCCCTACCGACCCGGTCCACCCATTGAACTGGCCCACCGGGACCAAACTCATTATTTCCGCCATTGGCGCCTTAGCATGTCTATGCTCAACCTTCGCCTCCAGCGTCCTTTCTGTCGCCACACCAGCAATCGCCTCCCATTTCGGCATCGGTCTCGAACCCGCCTCTCTCGTGTCTGCCCTGTATCTGGTTGGCTATGGCGTAGGTCCTGCTATTTGGGCTCCGCTGTCCGAGCTCCGGGGACGAAAACTTCCTCTTTTGATCGGTCTTTTCGGCTTCTCCATCTTCTCTATCGCAGTCGCCGTATCAAAGGACACACAGACGATCATGATCTCGCGCTTCTTCATGGGCGTCTTCGGCAGTTGCCCACTCGCTGTCGTCGCAGCCATGTACGCCGACATCTGGCGCGCTGAAGTCCGCGGGCTCGCTCTGACAGTCTTCGCTGCGGCGGTCTTCATGGGGCCGATGATAGCACCGTTCATTGGGGCGTTCACTGTGACCTCATACTTGGGATGGAGGTGGGATGGGTATTGGTCAGCCATAATGGGCTTTACCACTTTTCTTCTTATTTTGGTTCTCGTGAAGGAGACATATCCGCCCATTGTCCTTGTCAATAAGGCAGAGTATTTGAGAAGGAGGACGAGGAACTGGGCCATCCACGCGAAACAAGAGGAGATCGAGATTGATCTCAAAGATCTGATATCGAAGAATCTGTCGAGGCCGCTAAGGATGTTGGTCGAAGAGCCTATCCTGCTACTGATGGGGTTCTACCTCAGCTTCGTCTACGGCCTCGTCTATATCTCCCTCGCAGCATTCCCTTTTGTCTTTGTGGGGAAACACCACATCAAACCTGGTGTGGCAGAGTTACCCTACTTGGGTATGCTTATCGGCATGTTCGGTGTTGCCGGGACGAGCATAGCAATGAATGGACGCTGGGTCAAGAAGTTTCACGCAAATGGGGGTCGAGGGATGCCGGAATGGAGACTGCCGTTGGCTTGCGTCAGTGCGGTGATATTTGTGGTAGGTTTGTTCTGGTTTGGGTGGGCGGGCAATTACGAGAGTGTGCATTGGATTGTGCCGACTATTGCAGGTGTTTTTATTGGTGAGTTCTTCCCCGTTCCTGGGTGGCGAGGACGAGTGCTGATAATCATAGGGTACGGATTGTTGGGAATCTTCATGCAGTTGAACATGTACATCATCGAGTCATATCTAATGTTGTAAGTCGAGGTCTACGAATTGAGGCTATCACCCGCTAACATACAACAGTGCAGCATCAGCTATAGCAGGCAACACGATGATCCGATCACTCTTCGCCGCAGCCTGTCCACTGTTCGATCGGCAGATGTTCGAGGCTATGCATGTCAACTGGGCGATGAGTTTGCTGGGCTTTGTTGCTTTGGCTCTAGCTCCCGTTCCATTTTTGTTCTACCGGTACGGGCCTCGAATTAGAGGCAAGAGCAAGTGGGCACCACAGTTGCCAGTTCCGAAGAGACCAGTGGATGAAGAAGACGGTGAAAAGAAAACAGAGGATGAAGGTGTGGTGATCGGCGCTGGTGACAGTACTGCTACTGGCGACGCAGAGAAGAAGGAGGTGGGCGTGTGATGTAGCTGCGAAGGGCAGAATTGTCTACCCTGCTCAAATCCTACAACCTATTTCTTTCCACTCGATTCGTGCCTTCCTCGACCGTGCCCATAGCCTCCCTACATGCTTGCCTCTTTGTCGACGGTCGCGCCTGCCTCTCGTGTGTTGATCCTCCTTACATCAGGCTGTCACCACGAAGAGGTGCATCGAATCGCTTCTGTGGAGGACAGTCAGTGTTTCCCAACGAATGCATTGCATCATTTCCTAGATCCTCCTGCTAGAGGATTCCTGCGTTGGTGGCAGTTGACCCGGTAATGATTCTCTACCTTCTGGGAGCGCGAGTGCTGAAGTGCTCCGAACATGAGGTGATCAAGATTGCATATACATTATTTCCGTAGACACCTGCGGTCCGCATGGAGTCCGCGTCTTGCGATCCTAAGTCGTGTTCGTGACTACATCGTGAACGCAAATGCCACAACGTTGCTTGACGATCTGGCGCATTGTACAAACCATGGGACTTTAGCCGAGGAGCCTGTCACCGGTGGTGCTCACGGCTGGTCTCTTTGCTTCTATTTGGCGAGGGCTCTTCTGCATGTTAAGAAGTAGCAATTGCCTTTGCCACGTTTGATCTCGAGAAGGTCCATCGTCTCTGCGAGCGTGCCTCCTGCTCGGACTCAGCATTCGCGATTCAGCCATAGAGTTGAATCTGACCCACACTGCGCCCTTGGTGGCGTGACTCGTGGTGAGGTACCTGGACCAGGTGTAACGATGGCTGGGGCAACAACAGCTGCTACCGAGCAATATTAATCACGATGAACAACGACAGTTTTTCCTCGATGTGGCAGTTGCAATCATATGGCCCAGACCGATCAGCGGATTGATGAAGTCGAAGAGGGTCCAACGTCGAGTGGCGAAGGGTCGGTAGATAGGTAACAAAGTTGCTCGGCTGTTTGTCATGTGTGGGGGACGTGGAGTGACTCGCACCTGCATGCCCTGCTAGCGTTCCTGCAGTCTGATTATGTACGCACCGGAAAGGGCGATCTCGCAGATCCTACACGACGTGTGCATGCCCTTTCTGGCAATCGAGGTGTTGTGAACATTGTTCCCGATATGGTGCAGATCCGTGATTGGTGCGATACATAACGACTGGGACACGAGGTTGACAGCGGGTCTAGAATACTTCGTAACTTTGATCGATCCCAGCAGGGCGGTCCCTGCAGACAGGTCGTTCGTCCCACCTGCCCACACCGACGTTGGTCAGGTATCAAGTGTGCAGGTGCCGCGGAATCGTGACCATACCATTCGTGCGATGGCACCGCACATATGCTGTAGGCCCTGGGTCCTCCTAGGATTGGCAATTGAGGTCCCCACTGTTGTTGACTATACAAGAACCTCCTCAAGGATCGCCACCAAAGACCACGGCGACATTCATGTTACCTGGATCAGGCGATGTGCGGCGAGAGAGCGCTTATCGGCTATGTTTTGGGGCAAAACCGGGAGATTATAGTCTGTTTGTCATCTGTGTGGGCATGTTTGCCTGTGTACTCACCGAGAATGCAGGGCCCTGCCAAGAAGGCGGTTGATGAATCAGGCGTCAAGCGACTGCTTTGCGCTCTGCACCTACTGCCTGTTTGGTCTGTCGTGGCTTGAATGTCGTTTGTGAGACTGTTGTCGAGATGTACTGGAAGCGAAAACATTGCAGCGGTATATCAGTAATCACACCATGAGGCGAGCCCGACGCCGGCTGTGGCAGCTCGTCGGCCGCAAGCATGGTGTTCGGCTGACCATGATTGATAGCATGGTCGCAGTCGATTCCTGCGATATGCTGGTTACAGCTTGTGGTCTGTAAATCCTGGGGAACAGCCTTCGTAAGGATCTAGACCTCGTACAGCAAATGATGCGCGATTGGGTGATCAATTGTGGGCCGGTGTGAGTTCTGGAGGCCTTGTTGCCCTATCTGCTTTTTTGGGCCGTGTCCTTGCAACTGTACGAACCTTTCAGGCGAACACAGCGAGACTAGGGAATTCGTTTTGGGCAAATGTCGCGCTGCGACGAATCGTCAATCGCTGCTCGCAAGACCATGGGATGCCGTGCAATTCACGCTCGTTCCGCGTTTGATGAGAATGGTTATCTCTGCTCTCGCATATTGGTGTACTCTTTTTTCGTCACACGAAGTGCAAGATCTCTGGGCTTGCAGACCTGGGCTAGAACAACAAGGCGAAACGAGAGGGTTCGAAGCTACGATCGTTGAGGGCCTGCCTCAGGGGAAAATCTGGCTGAGTCAACTCGGTACAGGGAACCTGATAGCGGAATCGTTCTGTATCACTAAGCTGATGTGTAGCCTATCAAAAGCTGGCTTTCGCGATTCAGTCATTAAGTTCCGTTGAGTTCATTAGCAGTAACACGGGAGAGACTCTTGCTGCGCGCCGACTTGCGACAAGCGTTGCGAAGTCTGGGCCGCTGTGCGAGTCCTCATCGAGTACGCACAACGTTGGTCGCGAGCATGTATGAAGTGCGACAGCTGTCCAGGGCCGGGGTCGTCATAGCTGAGAAGACATTTCAGAAGCTTCTTCTCGACCGAGACCGAGCGTCACAGCTTTACACAGGGCTGTAAGAAACACTAGCGCGTTACGATACATGCCAGCTCGATAGGGTACTTTCTTAACCTCGGAGAGATCGCCCGGAGTCCAGGTCACTTCGTGGCGCCCTAGCAGTCACGATGAAGCATTATTTCGATTAGTAGCGTGACGTCTGGACAGAAGTCGCCGATGAATGGTTGATCGCTTCTGTGCGAGATTCGTCCGAAGAGATTGTTCTTCACGTATCCGTAGTGCGAACTGCCGTATAATCATGATTCGGGTGCGGAATAGAATGGCTTCACCTCACCCACATACGCCGTCGATCACACTCATGATATGCGCAGAGATGCGTTTTTGCACCGGGTGAGCAATGAACAGTTCGGCAATGGTACAGTGACAAGCCCTAGCATGAATGGCTACTCAGCACCAATCGAAAACATCTCCTAAAGCGGAAGTACGAGTACGATGCCTCTTCCAGTTACGCCATGGTTTAGCCCCCGGGGCACACTGCCCAGCGCACGGTCGACGACGTACTCGTGGAAACGAGAGCCAGCATGAGCTGTTTCTCCAAGATGCCAGTCAACTACATACGCTGTGGCCGCACATATTATTGGCAAGGCCCATCGCATCGCGCCGTTCGCATGCCATGACTGCATAAGCATACGATCAGCAGCCTCCATTGTAAGGGCCTTGGCTGCGCGCCGCGCTTGGAACCCCCTGACCACCAAGGCAACACGTGTACCGAGAGGCTGTGCGTTGACCCCGCGTACACCATCGCAAATTCTACTGTTCTGAGGAACAGCCAAGGTCATGGCGATGATTGATATTGTTGATCCCAAGTAGACACTGCCATCGCCCGTACTGGCTCGAGTTATGCGAAGTTCAAGGTCAAGTTATGCAAAGCCGCGCCGTGGCTGCAAATTTAGTAACACATTGCACTAGTGTATGGTCGAATGCGAAAAAGGTGATCGTCATGATGGTGCTTGGTTGCCTGGGCTTGGTCGAACGTCGCATCTTACGACTGCTTAGGGTTGTCGACCCGCGCGCGGGTTTGCGCGTTCAAGGGGGCTGCTTTCAATCAAGCGAGCTGCAGGGCATGGTACTTTCATGTCGAGAACAATGTTCTCCCCCGTTTGGTGACTGTTTGTTGGCGGTCTCCCCCGCCGTCAGCGACATGGCAGATGACCTCCAGAAGAAAAATGCCTCAGCATTGATCGAGAAGGTTTCCTAAACGGATGAGCACACATTCGAGGGCCGGGGATTTATTCGCCCAAGCGACATGGCGATTGGTAGACGTGGATGATGGTGAACCGAGTCGCCGTCTCGGCACGGGGTTCGGACGAGTTGGTACGCCCGAGATCACGGAAATCGTTCCACAGCAGACTTTCGGCCAAGACTTGGGACCTGGCGGTAGAATTTGTGCACAACTATTTGCATGTTCTTTGCAATATTGGATTTGGCTTCAAACTTCCGTCCGGGTAGAGGTGTGCTTTACGTCAACATAAGGTCGCCACCAGAGCCTCAAACGTCGGCGTGGCTTTTTCACCATAAAGAATTGCATGTCGAAGCGGAACTCTCTTTGAACTCCATTCTTCACGTCGACAATTCGATGTCGACTCCGGGAATGCCTCGGCACAAGAGCCGCATGTCATATTGTATACTCAAATTGTCGTAGAAGGATACGCGTAAAAGTCTTTGACCTCTGTGAAGACAGCGAGAGATCTGTGCTTGAATTTGAGATTGACTTTCCTCAATCTTTCCACGCCTTGTACACAGTCCTAGATCCCCATTTCTGTCCTTTCTTCAACAACACTTGATCTCGCCACTCTGGAACATTGATTGCGTTAATCCATCGACTGGGCTCAACACAGAGACCAGCGCGAGCCTTGCGAGCGGGAGTGTCCTTAGTCGCGGGCACATCGATGAACTTGCCTGTGTAGAATTGGAAGGCTGGTTCGGTGCTGAAGATTTCCAGATGAATTCTGTTCTTGGCAGAGAACAAAGTCACAATCTTGTTGAGAGTAGACTGCCTTGTATCAAGCGGACACGACGGGTCCTCAGCGTTCAGCACAAAACAATGGTCGATGTCTGGCTCTGTTGGACCCAATTCGAACGGCTCGTTGGCTTTCACGCCAGGCCAGTCCTCGATAGCACCAGTCGGTATTGCTGCATCGTCAACCACTTGGTACTTGGATGTTCCCAGAGTTGCCTCTGTGCCGGATATGCTTTCCGTACCAGTGACGTTGAAGTAGCTGAACAACCGTTAGCATTGGATTTCATGCACAGATGCATTTCCACCTACCTGTGATTCGTGACATTGACGACGGTCTCTTCGACCTCATCGCCAACCAACTCCACTTCATACTCCGTGATCAGCACAGTCTTGGTCGCATTGCCTTCTTGCTCATCAAATGCAGTGTAGTCGACCTGCAACTTCACCGTCCCCGGATAGCCCTCCTCACCATCCTTGCTGACGTAGGTGAATCTGACGCTTTCCTTCCCATCCTTCGATATCGGCTCAGGACCGGAGAATTTCTGCTTGCCCCAACCACTTTTTCCGCCATGCAGAGACTGTTTGCCATCGTTCTGATAGAGCTGATAAGACTTGCCGTTGAGATTTTCGATGCGACCATTCTTTATCCGGTTTGCAACGCGTCCAATCGTCTCGCCGAAGAATGGTGCATCTTTGTAAGGTTCGATGGTGGGGAAGCCTAAAACGATATTTTGCCCTCCGACGTTGAATTCTTGAATCAGTGCGCCAGTTGGCTGGAAGGTAAAGGCTGACGAAGACATTGCGAACACGTAGGAAAGGGTGTGTTGCCTTGTATGGGTGAGAAGGAAGTGATGTTCACACTCATAACAGCGGATCTCATTGATTGAGTAGTAGTATCTTCTGCTCCAGGGCTGGTGTAACTGCCACCGGCAAATATTGAAAAATGACGTACGCGGGGCATTCACCCGCCTAAATTCATCTCATCGTCGCTCGACTGTCGATGGCAGGAAGACTCTGATACAGCGAACATCGTCGAAAGCGTGTCCTGATGACATACACAGCATGTGACGAAGATGCCAACGGCGACACAAGGCTGATGCAGCTTACGCAGGTGCATGCCTTTGACAGAAGCGTGGACCTGAAGGGGTGCATGAGGGGCCGTTTCATCTCGATCTCGATGCAAGCTGCTATCTACAGTGTGCGACCGCCGCTTTTCGACAAAGCAGAGAGTGCGAACATGCTCATGCGACTCGGTACATTCTTTCGGCTACGATAAGTGCAACTGCACTTTGAGTACAACTTACGCCACCAGGTACTGCCTATGAGATCGATCGGGAGAGTGTGCCGAGGTGTCAAGCGCTGCGCGATCGCAAGGAAAAGTCTCCGCTAATTATTGAGCCTCATGGGCTAAGCAAGTGGCTAACAAACACTGCGTTAACTTCAAAGCAGATTTATAGTCAACGACAATTCTTATCTTGACCGGACACCACGGGTACGGGTACGCGATCAAAATCTTTCAGGCGCTGGTAGGTAATCAGACAAGCAACTATTGCGAAAATGGTCCGAATCTTGAGCATTTGATTTGGCGCAAGCACAGCCTCAGTGGCTCTGCGGAGAATATTCATTATGAGTGTGGTATCATGATAGTAAGTGGTCCCTCCCTTCGCTAAAAGTGCTGTCAATAAAAGACACTGGCAGTAATTGCCGGGTTCACAAATCCGTGATCGGCAGGCACTCGAGGCAAATCTGCCTTGAGCGTGGCCCGTTCCGCCTCTTTTCAGAAATTTGTATACATGACGTCTTTAGACATCTGCACGTACTCCTCAATGTGCCGCTGCTTGCGAGTTCTTTCTCTGTCTCAAGCAGGACTTGGAGCGTTTCCGGCCGCCGTTCGATCGAAAACAAGGTTGCGGTATTGTGCTGCTCGCTTGACTTGATCGCTGGTCACGGATAAGGAGCCGGAATGAATATCCAAGAGTCGTCGTGCGTTATCATATCATCGCGGGATTGACAAATCGTTGCATTTCTTCGTGCGCGGGCCAGTCCTTCATCGTGAAGAACGGATTTATGGCTGCCTGATCCTGCATCATCTGTGGCGTGAATTGACTAAAGTTCATGGCGCTGTCCATCATTGGTGAATCGTAGTGGTTTATGAAATCCATGCCTTCCTCGTACTCTGGCACCGATGCCGACCAGCTCAGATTTGAGTGCGGCATAGCGCCGGGTTGGGGGTAAGTGTTTGACTTCGGTGGCATGACTGCGCGAACTTGTTGAGGATAAGGACTCTGATTTGGTGGTGTGGGCGGGAATTGTTGTGATGAGAAAGGTATTTGGAAATGCATCGAGGCCGGTGAGGGCGCGCTTTCGGAACTGCCGTCGTGTGATCCTTCACGCTGCATCATTGCCGCGCCATTGGCGATGAGTCTTTGTTGCAGAAGATTGAGGTCCTCCTCGAACAGATCAGACCCATGATGTCCATCTTGTTTAAGTGCGCCCAGACGTTCAAGTATGTCGTGCGTCAAGGGCACGCCGGATCCCGTCTCTTTCAGAGGTGTTCCTGACCACCCTTGCCCGTTCTGTAACCGCTTATAAAGTTCTTGGAGGCCAGCCACAAGCTGGGTCTGTTGGTTCTCGAGCATCTCGACATACCTAGGCGGCTTGTCAGACATGTATGTATACAGAGTGCTCGTTTAGACTTACCCCTTCGGATACACCTTGTCGTGTGACTTTTTGCGCTCGCCGAACACGCATATCGCATTATCAGCCTTACACCGACTGCATGGACTTGCGCCGTCGCACTGCAATTTGGTGAGTATAACAGCCTTTGTGATCTGGTGCATAGAGACATACCTTTGACTTCTTGAGTCGACATCTGTCGCAAGCTTTACACACACGTTTGCGAATGCCACCGTCAAGCGGCGATGATGGCTCCAGAGGAGGTGTCATCATGTTGCCGCCCATCCTTTGTCTGTCTGTACGGAAATGCAAGATCAATGCCAAGCACGCGTGAAGTCGAAAAGGGTAATTGTGTATACAAGACCAGCAATGCTCTGGATATGTACAGCAGTGATCGAGTTGACCGACAACGAGTCGAGCATACAGTGAGATACTTCGTTATATTTCGAGAGCGAGAGGCAGGCAGAGTCAGTCCCAAACGGTGTCGAGAAAGGAAAGCCTTATATCAAACGGAGTTAATAAGACGGCCGCACAGAGTGGAACCAGAAGCAATAGCAACGGTCAACATCATTCATAAACTAAAATGAGAGGGTCGCATGTCCTGAGAAAACCTTCGCCTACTAGGGGGTGGATGACATGATGAGATACTGGCTGGGTTGCGTCGCACTACTCCTGCTCGGTCACTCGGTAACAAACTCTCTGACAACTGCTCTATCGAGCTGAGCGTGATGCACGGCAGTCGCAGCCCACCATGCTAGGATCAAAGTTAGACGCATGACTGATGTAGGTAGCAGGAACGTACAAAATCTGGAAGTCGGCGACAGGAACAAACACGAGTCCGAGCGCGAGACCGCCAGGACCCGAGGACAAGAACAAGGAGACTGGCTGGGCTGCATAACTCAGCATGAAAAATATTATGGATCCTGCACATCCTTGTTCTTTCTCAATACGGGAAAAGCAGTTTGACAGCGCCCGTGGGCGGATAAACCATCTTAGCGTTCCGCATGTTGCTGTGTAATCGCCTGTGTTGGCGCTGAAGATCATCACCATAGGCACCTTCGAGCTGTGCTGTCCTGCTGTTACCTTACGGCTCGTCACCGTACTGTACGATGATACCCGCGGACTTTCCTCCACTTCCTCAGGGGTGCTGGGCAGAATGATGTGCCTACAGCTGCACCTAGACCTCCTTCACTGACCGCCTGAAACGATCGAGGGTCTGCTGTCGCTCGTAATTGCTGACAACTGCTACGGCAGCGATCCTTTTCTAATCACAAACCAGCCACTTATTCGTAATCATTTCCACAGGGCGCCCGTGAAGCTATAGTACTTGTCAGTGCTATCTAGACGCCGCGTTGCCATCGTCCTTGCGATCGCAACGCCGCCTGATTCTGCCCAATTAGCGGATGAGTAAGAGTTTATACTACAGCACGCAAGCCTGCTCGTACAACCACGAGGCACTACACCCTTTCTCAGCAGTTGTACGGAGCGTGCTCATTCGTGTTCCTTTCATTCTCCCGTTCAACTCTATTCTACTTACTCGATCGATCGTTCAGCATTGGCTCCTGGCTTAATTTACCACGTGATACCAGTCAACGTCCCCTGGATTATCTGCCCTGTGCGTTTGAGTACCTGACTCAGGCACAGCGGACAGCTAATACCTGAACATGGCAGCGCTTGTTGCTGAATAGCAAGGTGCATTTCAGATAATCCTCAACGAGAATCCGAGATGAAATTCTGTCCTTGTTCCTGCGGAGAAGACTTCCGCTGCGGAGCTTTTCTCTTGACTGACCTCAGACTTGCCCTACACCACCGATGCTGTCAAAAGCAGAGCTGAGATCGTATTCATCCATATGCACGATGTCCCGCATCTGAGCTCGGTGCAATTGTCGGAACATCGGGGGTCCTGTCCCGCGTTCCATTACAATGAGCATGAAGTTGCCTTTATTTTGCCACCCCAAAAGCACCCTTACCTGAGCATATCGACGATCGATAACAGATCGTGCAATCGGCATCACTCCAAGGATGCGTGCACTTCGTCGTCTTTTGGAAGCAAGCTGTTCCTGGTCTGGACTTCATCTCATCTGTACAACATCTGGAGCATAAGCCTATAGGAAGAGCACAAATTCACGGCATTCCATGACTGAGCCGCTTAGGTAATTCGAGGAGTCCACTGCACCTGCTCCGAATGGCCTGGGTCACTTGATAGGACGCTTCAACCTTGAGGCTACATATGCAAGCTAGCTCGCCCGTCCGCAGGACTCTTACTTGCTCAAAAGGACGAACTAGGCCTGGTGAGTATGAGGACAACCAATTCAGCAGCTTGTCGAACGTGGCGTCACTCCTACAGCTTCCCGTTGCGAGGGGGGCTCACGAGTGCGTTGAGTATGCGGTCACAAGCACCAGGCATTGCAACTTGCGTAGCTCAACCCTGCGACCAAGGCATTGTCGCGTTGCTCAGCCAGTGTCTTGCTCCTGACAAACACAACGGTAAGTCGGCAAGACTGCGAGAGCGTGTGTGAGCCTACGGGTGAAGTGTAACAGCTTCAAGTAGACTTGGCGTACACAATGAAGTGCGCGCTTTGCCAGCGTTGCCAATTGCTAGCGCACTGCCAATCCATGTGTCCAAGTGAGGTACACTTCTCGATGTGATTTCATCAGGCTTGCATTTGAGTATCATACCCTCTCGAAGGGATGTTGAATGGCTACTGACAGCGCTGTGATGTTTCTGAAAGAGCCCCGGGGCGAATTGCTCGGACTGACAACATGCTTCCTGAACCGAGTAGGAAGAGTAGCCTGAGTCTACCATCTAACACATCCTCCAAACCTGGCCAGCAGCTCGAGTGAGGAAGCTGTGTGAAATGTTCTTTCATCGGAAGAGGTTTCCTCCAGCTCATCGAAATCTGTGGCGTCTTTGCCGGTGTGTTCAAGCTATCTGTCTCGGGAATGGACACGGTCGACTCGTGTCATTCCGCATAGTAAGCTCCGCTGGCTTCGTGGGCCGATTCCTTCAACAAACCAACCTATCTGACACCGATCAGCACGGTTGACCAAGCTGAGACCGGTTGACTCTGACATTGGTAGACCGGATGACGAGCGTTCGCGACTGCCTCGCCCAACAAATTGTGCACCAGCAGCGACCAGCTGACTGCACTCGTACCTGCCTGCCTGAAGCTTTGTTGCAACGCTGCAGGAGCGATCGACTGACGACATTGGCAACTGCCTCTCCAGATACTGTCCTGTGGCAGGAGCGATGGACTGACGACACTCGCAGCTGCCTCGCCAGACACTTGCTGCCGCAATACAGGAGCGATCCGCCGAGGAGGATTGCACCTACCTCGCGAGTCACTTGTTGCAGCACAGCAGGAGCGTCCAGCTGACGCCATTTGCGCTTGCCCCTCCATACCTAGGTGATTTTTCTCGGCAAGAGTGCCCTGCTGGCGGCCTTCGCGACACTGCCTCGCTAAACACTCTCTACGGCAGGAGTGTGCAGCGAGGCAAGTGCCATAGAGAGTACGCTTAAGGAAATCCTAGATAGCTAATGAATTCGGTTGTCGAATCATACAGAAATGATGGTAGTCGTTGCGGGAAGGAATTTCAAGCTTGAATAGTTCCACCACTTCAAACCCATACTTGACATAGAGGTCCTTCGCACCAGGCGTAGCTCTATATAGCATGGGAGACCAAGATCATCTGCTCGCTCTATGCCCCATTTCATTAGCATCGACGCAGCGCCTTGCCTTCGGTATCTCGGATTGGTCGCGATAGCGTGAAGGTAGGCATGAGGTGACCCATGGCCGAAATGTTTTGTGACAACCTCGTGGTGTTTTCTGACCCCGTTGTGGATCAGACGATTGCCCACCTCGAGGTTCGCGTCCTTCGGAAGTGGGAAGTGGTCCGTGAGCATCTCCCTCTCGACACTGTCATTTGAGAGCGTATTGGTCAGCCTGGTCTGAGGACTTGAGTATGAAAGCGAGGTATGCGCACAAGTTTTGTACAATGACAACGGGAAACTTTGTTTCGAGCGGGCTCTGTGCTCTCAGTTGCTATTGCTCGTGTTTCTGCATAACAATGCCTGACGCGAGTATGCTTAGAAACTTACCTATCATGGCCTCTCTGTGGGATGAACTGCCACATCGCATACGCCGCAATGTCCCCTGACATGGCGTCCTTCACCAGCATTATGTGCTGTGTCATATCATCCATGTCCTTCTCCATTTGAGCCACCGTATGCTGTATGGTGTCCGGCGTTGCTCCCTTCGGAAATATCGTGGTGAAGCCGACATCCTGCGACCAAGCTTCAAGCTGGATTGGCGCCAACTGTTCAGCATCGGATGGACTTGCAGGAACCAACACGAGAGCCGGCATGATGCCTGAAGTCGTCCTTTGACGTGCGGCAGTGTCAGCAATTGGCCCCTTCGTCGCTGTCCGGCATGGTTTTTTTGGTGATGGCGTCAAGTACACAGTCCTCCTGGATGAGATAACGACAGGCATGGGCCGAGCCAGCGAACTGAAACAGCAGCGTGGTGCAATGAACCCGCTCGTGCAAATCAGCTTAGCTCTGGCTCTAATTTGAGCCCCTTGGATGATTGCAGTAAGGCCTGGCTGCGATTTACAGGGGCAAGAGTTCGCGCTTGGGCTTTCATTGGTGCATCTGACGTCTACCGAGAGTGCGTTTTGTTCAGATCACCCACAAGTGGCTCTACTGCCAGGAACAACCCCTCGTCGCTCCTTCCCCCGGAGGCTTGGGAGCCCAACCACCACCGGCAGTGAGAAAGCCACAGTGAGCACCATTGCCTAGCTTGGAGGCATGAAGACCTCACTTCAGCATGCACATCTCCACCGCATCGAACTCTCCGGACCTTCACGAAACTTTGTCACGATTTCTTCATTCTACTCGTCGCTGCCGATTCTGCAGCAGCAACAGCTTTCTAGTGTACCGATATTATCGCCCCGCGAACTAACAGCTGTTGAGCACAGAGGACATTCAACTTTGGTCCAGAAGCGCTCTTGCGACAGAATTGTGTTTGACGTGTCAGGTTCTGATCACGATGCTGCTGTCCCAACAGGCCCGGTGAGGGCAGGGCTGCGACTTCCCGACCGGACCATAGCGAATTACACTGAACGGCAACAACGTCCAACATGGCGCTGGTCTACTCACCAGAGGTGCCCTCTGGCAAAAGCACACCTAATGACAACCCTCCCAGCCCGACTTTGACAAACCCTGACTCGATTCTTCCTCGGAACCCATATTCAAGCTATGCTTCAAGTCCGTCGCCTGATCGGCTACCCGTAGCGTCCTCCCCGACGTTGCACGACTTCAGACTACCTCAAAATGCGAGCCCGCCCGACGCGAGTACTGCGATAGGCGTGCCTACCCTCATAAAGATGCCCATACGCGCAAAGCCACTGGCACCGTCCAGTCAATATGCTGCATTTGCGGGCTACGAGCACGGCGCACCGCTAAGTGACATCGGCGAGGAAGAGACGGTGGCCTCTTTGACACCGAGATCGAGGGTGACAAGGCAGAGTCGAAGTCCGTCACCAGTGCACCCACTTTCGCCCACGCCTGCGCCAAAGCCCGCCCTACGGGACTCGACACCACAACGTCGTGGCAGCATTGGCGCAGCGAGTGATGGTTCTGATGAGGTAGATTGGGAGAACTTTGATACGTCAACAATGATGAGTGGACGACTCGCCGCGGATGTCGCCAAAGAGCAAGAACGGGAAGCGCTTCAGAGCAAGAGAAACAGCACAATTTCCGTGGCAGACGGAGACGAGGTGGGCGTACTCAACGATCGCGCCGAGCAAATCCTGGAGGACGCGCGCAAACGGTTGACTCACATGGAAGACAACCTGAGCAAGGCCAGGAACTCTATGCTCTGGAGCCCCAGATCTTCGCCGAACATATCTGAGTATCACCATCCTGCTGGTAGCTTATACCGCTCGATATCATTGGCCGGTGTGAGCAAGAGATATTCAAGGCCATTGAAGGACTCCTCGCCTGTACATGCTCGAGGTTCAAGCGATACAACACCTAGCGGCTTGAAACGCTTATCTATGGTTCCTGAAGCCCGGTCCTCCAGTGCTCAAGAATACGGAAGGACTGCAGATTCACCACAGTATTACAGCCGATCGTCTCCAATCACGCGAGTGCAGTCTCAATCACCTGCAAGCGCTCAGAGCCTCCATTCTCCTATGCGTACGTTGGACGAGGAGGAGAGCAATAGCGATCCCAGTACTACGAAGACCTCCCCAGAGAATCATACACCCAAGGGGCTTGGCATCGACACCAAACAAAAGAACGATGTGCCGACGCTCAATCGTTCTGCCTCAGCGGCCTCCCTGGGGCGACCTGAATCAGCAGCGTCCGTGCATTCGCTTCGTGAGTCGGTGTCAGATCTGCGCCTACGTATCTTTGATATAAAAGCCAAAGCGCAAGCTGACAAAGATCGACGCCGAAGTATTCAAAGGCATACGCCCAGTCCGTTCACGGCGGGCTCCAACCCAGAAAAGTGGTACACCTCTGCACCTGAGTACCAGCAAGGATCCAGTCCCATCAATGCCAGCGCCGGCGAGGGCTGGTCTCCGAAGCACGCCCGAGCAACTAGCCTCGATGCTCAGGTAACGCCTATGGCTTCCAAGACTGTCGATCTGCTGCAGCCGCAGACACCACAGACTGCCATTCCGGTGATCGGAACTCCAGCGGGCAGGACAGATGTCAACACTCCGAATCTCGCCAGGGAGGCCCCTGAGGTGCGCGCAAGGGATTCTGTCATCGATCAGTCCAACTATGAGGACGCAGCCCAGGACCTGGGCGATGATGATCCGGTCGCAGCCTCGGAGGAAGAGCAGGTTTATCTCAACGAGGTGCTGGAAGAGAGTCTTCAGGATGTGGAGCCTGATGTTCCTGACATACCTGAGCATCTCCTGCAAGAGGCTAATGCTGAAAGGCACGAAGATCGGCTGGATGCGTTCGACTATGAGAATATGTTTCTGCATAGTGCTATGGGCAACTATAGGAACAGTCAGAATACAGACAGCGATTCGAGCGACACAGAAAGCGTAGAGACTAGCAGGGCAGACCAGGTGACACCTACGGCAGGTCGTCCCGAGGAAGACTCTGACGAAGATCGACAAAGCCTGAGTGACGAAGAGGACGCGGAAGAACTGCACGGAGTCGATGACAATATTGATAATGAGCAACCAGGCCCTATCCCTGGAGACTTCGACGAAATGCCAACTCCTACCGCCTTGGTCGCTCCTGCCAAGCCATGGATGCGACCGATGCGCACCAACAGTGTTGAGTCTGTATCAACAGAAGCCTCATTTGCCACTGCAACAGAGGGCAGTCGCAGGGACGAGGCCAGCGATGAAGATGACGAAGAAGACTCGGTGCCCCACGAAATCCTCGGATGGGGCAACACAACTGCTTTCCCAACGCCGCCCGTGGCGAGTCCTCGACGCAGCAATACACCCAACGGCAATAGCCACCACTATTTCCCCACTCCGCCGACAAGCGCTCGCCTCGCCTCGCCTACCCACAACAATAGTGCTCAGAGCAATCCTCGCCCTCTCAAAATCGTGACCAATAGCAACACGTCACTGCGCCAAAAGGGGATGCTCACGCCGGTCCGCTCTCCCTCGAATTCAATTTCAACCGTCTCAGCCGGCAGTACGACCCCGAACCGTCCCCTCAAACCTAACAGCACTACGTCGCCGACATCCTCACAAGCCCGCTCCGTGATCAGCAACGGAAGCTCTGCCAACTCCACACCTCATCCTGCAAACACCGAGATCCTGATGGAGTCACTGATCAAGCTTGCGGACCCAGACTTTGTAGTTGATACGCAAGGCAACCAGCAAGGCCGGAGAGGGACGTTTGCAGAAGTGGACAAGGCGCTGGTCTTGGCGCTGTTGAGGGAGGTTGGGACTGTGTGCAATGGGGTGCTACAGGCGGAGAGGAAGAGGGATGGGACAGCTGTGAAGGGATTGAGGAGGCGGCTGGATGAGGCAAGGGGCGTCCTTGAAGGTAGGATGTATAGGAAGAGCGAGGCTCAAGCTGAAGCAGATGAGGACTCTTTCAGGAACGGCGCTGTCGCGCAGTGAGTCAGTGGTCTTGAAGTGCCAATTGGAAGATATATCAAGAGAAGGATTAACCAACATATCACGGAGGACTCCATAGTCGCTATTTGGCAAATGTTGAGCATGCACGTCAGACTGGTCGAGTTTGGAGAAGGAGAAAGAGATCGCTACAACGATTATATTGGGTTTCACATGTCCGTATACACCATCGGTGACGTCCATCATAATGTGCATAACGCTTTCTCTAGCTGCCTATGACTTCGACTTCTTGGTCTTCTTAGACGACTTCGCTTTCACCGGGATCTCTTCCGCCTGTTCTTGCACATCTACCAGCTCCAAGATCTTGCGTGCGCCAACATTGTCGACTTCAAGCTCAGATCTCCGCGATCGCAGGAGCTGCATCAGAGCGTCATAATGCTCAAAACCTGAGGCTTCCAGCATTGCCAGGACAGAAAAGGAGCTAGGCCCGGTGGCCCACTGTATGATCCGTCCAGGATCTTCAGCCGTGATGGTGCTGTAGAGACGGTCATGGAAGTTCAGAGGCGGCTCGATGGGCTTGATTTGGCCTGTCGCTTTATCGAAGTGTCCACCCACTACCAGCGTCTTCAATAGGCGACCTGCATGAGGTGCCTGCAGAATCTCATCTGCCGAGCCATCGGCCAGAGTCGCGATTGCCTGCAATGCATCTTCCTTGTTGCCCGTGCCATTGAGCAGAACCTCAGCCACCAATTGGCAGCCATATCCGGTCTCGATCAGGGAAGTAGCGCTGGAGGTGATGAAGTCGAACAGTGGCTGGCTGAGGGCTTCGACGAGCTCGGCTCTTCTCTTTTCGGGATCTTTCTTGCTGGTCTCCTTACGACGTTCTCGGACCTCTGCAACGAGCTTGAGGTCTTCTTCGACTGTGAGCCATTTTGGAGGACTGGCGTTGAACGGCCAGAGAATGGGTATTCGTGAGACGAGGTGGTTGACCTCGGCGAGCAGTTCGTGCTTTCGTAGCTCGTCATCCATCTCCTTGGCCAGCAGCTCTTTAAAGAGGGTCTTGTTCACTTCTCGTGTATCGTCCATGACTTCCATGACAGCGACCAGTAGCCGAGCACCGTTGGCATCAGCGGCCAATGCTCTGACGTGGGTTTTTAGCGATCCAACAATGCCTCTTCTGTACTTCGCATCACCCGCAGCGAGACACATGGAGAGCAGTCGAGCTCCATTTGGTGTGAATGCCAGGTTTCTGACCAGATCTCCCTCTTCGTCGTCTCGTAGCCAGTCCATGACTTCCTTCTCTTCTGGCCCTCCTTGTACACAATTGCTCCAGTACTGCCACAGGGCGTCGTGAAGAATTGTGAAGCCGGTTTTCTTCATCTGCACCAGCTGATTGCACATTTCCTTGAGATGCTGCATGACTGGGCCACGCAACTCAGGTTTCTGCTCGAGAATGACCTTCAGGTCCCCAGTTGTAGCCAGTTCTCCCTCTCCACCGTCCAATAGGCCAACACTAGGCCCATACCACTCCCTCAACAACAGAGCCTTCTGCTCTTTCGTAGCCGCTCCCCTATACACATCGTCCAGTATCCATCCACTCTCGCTGCCCCTGATCAGCCTCTTGACTCCGCCCCCAAACTCCTCGACCACGATATCCCTACACTCATCATCCACCATAACTAACTTCCCCACCAAGAACTTCGCATACCGACTTTCAGCCAACTCCCGATACTTCCCCTTCAGCTCCCTCGCGATCCCTACCTTCTGCTCCTTTGTGCCATACTTCACCGCGCACTGCACAACCCGCACGGAATCATGCTTGAAGACAAAGTCCTTGACTCGCCCATCGAGGATCTCGAAAAGCTCTTTCACCAGTGCGGTGCGTTCGGGTTTGGGAACGTGAGACTTCCGGCGTAGGCGCTCCCAGATCTTCTTGCTGCGGTGGATGATGTCGGCGTTGGGCTTGGCGGCTTTGCGCTGGAGGGCGAGGGACTTTTGCTCGCGGTGGGCGTCGCGGGAGGATTTGCCTGTTGGGGGGAGAAGGTCAGCTGTGATGTGAGGCACTGTCGTGTGGGGAATTTACCATTCAAGAACGTCTCTTTCGAGTCTCCGTCAGGCTTGACATCTTTTGCGTTCTTGTGCGTGTAGTCCTTGCCTCCACTGCCGTTCTGGTAGGACTTCTTGCTGCTGTTGGTGTCCTTGTCGAATTTGGGCTTCTTGTTCGACTTGTAGTCGACTTCGCCCGAGATCGAACGCTTTGTGCCTGTCTTGGCCGACATCCCGGCGCTACTGGTCACACGAAATCGGTCTATGACTTGCTGACGGTGATACTTCACAGCAAGTGGTACTCGCAGTGAACTTTTTTCTTGCTGCAGTTTTGGAGATCTCGCCGTTTCTCCGCAGCGGAAGATGCCGCCGCCAGATGCTTGGCATTTCGTTCCAACTGACTTCATTCTCATTCTCGACTTGCACCGCGCACCTCTCCCAATTTGTGGTTTACGTGCCTCACACACGCTGTACTCATATCCTACACGTAATCGCCCTGGAACCGCTCCTCAGGACTCGTCTCGGAGATCCACCGACGGGTCTGCTCGGCAGTGGCAGTCATGCCCACTATCATCCTAGGTTTGCCGGAGCTTGTCACGTGATGTGCTTGCTTCTTGGACATTCGTCGTACTTGGTGCTTGCAATGTGCGCTTGTCGATTGTTACATCTCAAACAGCCATGCTCACCTCAAACTCTTAGCAGGGTGCCGATGTGGGGCGAGCAATGGCCCGCTCCTCACCACTTCTCTGCGATATGGCACACAGCTATGAATCGCTCGAGGACCTGTCCTGATTTCGATGATTGATCCTGCCAGGTTTGTAGCTGTCCAGCAGCAGTTTCTTTTGACAACGCCGAGTTTGTCCAAATACCAATCCGGAGAACTTGTACGACCTCAACTGTGCATGATGTCTCCAGCACTTGATATAAGTATGCCATTAGGAGCCGAAGCAGACGTCTCGACTCATCACACTTTCTTGCCTCGCTTCCTTCCATTGGGTTAGCTAGCATCATTGACATCCGGAATCGGATAAGGACGCGAAGATGAGTGGCAGGCCGCAATGGAAGAAGCCACTCGTCGTGGAACAACCCCTTCCAGGAAAGCCACCCCCATCCATGCCACATGATAGTGCTTCAGCCTCGACTACACTGTCAACGGCTCCCGACACACAAGTTCGACACGAAGCAACTCTACTTACGAACCACTATGAGATCGTCAAGACAGCAACAGCAAAATCTGGCCCCGCAACAACGAATTCCCCTCCAGCATCGAAATCGCCCGTCAAGTCGACTGCTTCCAAAGTGTCGGTCTCCAGCCCTTCCAAAGCGACAGCTGCCAGGAAGACCCCTCCCAAATCACCGGTCTCTAAGCAATCAGGCTCAAGTCCGCCGAAGTCTCCTGGTTCGAAGCAATCAGGTCCGTCCTCTCCGCAGGGCTTGCCTGCCACCACAGTTGCCATTAACGACATTCAATTCTTTCGTTACAATTTGACGTTCACACGCGAATTGACCGAAGATGAAATAAAACGGCGAGCTGAGAAGAAAGCGAAAGAGGAAAAGAAAGCGAAGTTGGACAGGAAAGCGAAAGAGGAGAAGAAAGCGAAGGAGCCGGAGAAGCCAGCCGACGACCAGGATCCGGACACTCTCGAGAACAAACTACAGCCTGCTGCGAAGGCCAAACGTCGTTTGATCTACCTGCTGCTCAAGAAACTCGCTGAAGAGGACAAAATTTCGGTCAATGTCGCAAGCGACTACAACTCGTTCTTGGTGACTTGTTCACGTCTTCCACCTGGCGTCACTGGTAACAACCGTCATCGCATCGTACTCTACGGGGATCACGAGCAGTATGTGACTGCATACCCTGTGTACCATATAACGATCAAAGAAGGCCCTCGACTGCTGACACTCGATGAGTTGGCCGCTTCGCAGAAAGGGACTCCTGGTGTGGCCTTCACAAGGGTAGACCAGAAAAACACTGTCGACGCGCTTAATGCTCTTTTCACCCATATCGCCAATCAGGCCACATTCAAAGATCGTTTGAACAGTCCTCGCGCCACAATGACTCGCGTCGGCAGCAAGAAATTCTTCGAACTCAAGAAAACTAAGGACTGCGGCCCTTGGGATATGAAGCAAGAGGCCGAAGGGCTGCAAGCTCGAACTGGCTTCTTCATCAGTGTACGACTTCCAAAGGGACCACTAGCTCAGCCTTTGTTGAATATCAACACCACAACGTCAGCAATCCGGCCTTCCGGCAATCTGGATACTCTACTACGGTCCCACGGAAATGCCAATATTCTACAACTCGCCAGCGTGCTCGAAGGGGTCCAAGTGCACACTACGCATATTGCAGATCCGGTTATCCAGCGCAATCAGCTTCGGCACAAATTCAGCGAACTCGCTGGAGGGACTGTCGCATTGTCCCAAGCTGCCAACGTCACCTTCAACATCACGGATATCAACGGCACGAACACGACTACTACCGTTGTCCAGTACTTCCAGGCTAATTATCCTAATGCAGGAGTGGTAGGAACGGACTTGGTGGTCGACGTCGGTTCCGGGCAACGCAGAACTTTCATCCCAGCGAAGCTGCTTGTCGTCGAGCCTGAGCAAGTCTTCACACGTTCGACTAAGATGGTCAACGAAGCTGCGCGAAGACCGGACGCGAATCGCAACCTCATCCAGGTGGACGGTAAGGACATGTTTGGCGTCGGTCGCCAGGTTGGGCTTGGGCATCTATCTGTGAGTATTGTTGTACACCATTGTTGGTCGTTGCTGATTGTGTACGCAGAATCTCTTCGCTGGTCTGTCAATCCGTCAGAATATGCTGCCTGTTCACGCCAAAGTGTTGGAGGCGCCCAAGGTGTCGTACCTAGGAGCCATCACGAACCCTGCACTGCGCAAAGGCAAATGGAACCTCCAGCAGCAGCGGTTCGCCAGATCTGGAACGGCTAAAACAACGACTTGGAGCGTGCTCAGCTTGCAGACAACTGCTCTTACAGTCAGGGCTAGGTACATCCAGGATTTCCAAACAAATCTCCAAACTGGAATGCAAAGATATGGGCTTCAGGCCACAAAGTGGCCGCGTCAAAATAACCTAGATCCTCTGCAGACGTTCGCCTCTGCCGGTAGAACACCGGAGGAATGGCTGGAACGGCTCACAGACATTCAGAAGAAAGGTGTCGACGTGCTCTTCGTCCTGCTCCCGTCCAAGCACGCGTCCTTCTACACCATCATCAAACAGATAGGAGATCTCGAGTTGGGCCTCCAGACCATTTGTCACGTTTGCGATGATCAGAAGCCTAAGAACCCGCCACGAAATTTCCCAGCGCAGTGGTTTGGGCCCAAGACTGATCCGAACACAATCGCCAACCTGCTGCTGAAATTCAACCTCAAGTCAAGCCAGCATGGGGTCAACCAACAATTCGCGGGCGAAAGATCTTACTTGCTGGAAGGAGACACAATGCTCATGGGCATGGACGTTACTCACGCTGGAGCCGGCGCTATGAAAGGTGCTCCAAGCATAGCAGCCGTCGTTGGCAGTATCGATGACCGCTTTGCACAGTTCCCTGCGGTGCTGGAGGAAAACCAGCGAAGAGTTCCTCTGCCGGGTGCAAAGTACGGCCTACCAAGCGAGGAGATCCACCCGCTGGACAAGATGGTGAAGATCTCGATCGAGAGATGGAAGACGAAGAACGGCAGACTTCCTACTCGCATCATTGTTTTCAGGGATGGTCTCTCCGAGGAACAGATTGAGGACGTTTGTAAGCAAGCTGAGAACAAGCGCATCAATGATGCGCTCACGGAACTCTACGGCAAGAATCACCCCAAGGTCATTACAATCTGCACTGTCAAGCGTCATCACACACGATTCTTTGGCGACAATCGTTCAGGCAAGAACGTTCAGGACGAGATATTCAGAAATCCGGATCAAGGGCCGAACGAGTCGGCATACCTCGATAATCCTGTTCCGGGCACGCTCGTCGACAATGGTGTTGTCCTAGACGAAGCAGGCCCTGATAATGAGCACGACTTCTTCCTGATCAGCCACCACGTGTTCAGCAAGAAGGGCACCGCACGTCCAACCCACTATGTTGTCACCCGCAACGATGTCGAGGCCAAAAAGCTCGATTTGGCGATCATGGTAAGTGACTTTAGCAGAACATACAAGTTGGTACTAATGCGCCTTAATCACAGACCCACTCTCTCTGCTACCTCTTCGGTCGGTCCACCACCAGTGTCAGCGTCGCCACGCCGTCATACTATGCTGACCTGGCATGTGATCGTGCTCGCTTCTACGTACGAGATGCGTATGTAGGCCGCAGCCGGGAAGAGTATGATGAGGAACCGGAAACCCTCAATGATTACATGGCGGTGCATCCCAGGATGAGCGAGTCGATGTTCTACATCTAGAGGCAACCTGCGCACTGAACGATTGATGCTGCGGAGAATGAGACGGAGCGAAGGTGGACAAGATGACGATTGACGAATTTCCTTGTGTTGGCTTACAGGCGTTTTGGCAGTCCTGCTTCTAGGATTTGGCGTTTTGCGTTGGCTTTCATTTTCTTTCCTCTTGATAGACGCATACCATCAGATAGTGGGCTCCGAGGCATTCACTCGTTCAGATAGATAGAGAATCATACCACCTCGAACCAAACGAAGAAATACTAATATTTTGCAAGCTGAAAGGTTCGAGCCATCGCTTCTTCCTCTCCGACTCCCGCCTGTACATCGCTGCTGCCACTCAGTCGTTCCTACCTCTGTATCGCTCCTGCCTCGCCCTCTATCGCTCCTGCCTCTCCATCCATCGCTCCTGCCTCGCCCTCCCTCGCCCCTGCCTCTCCCTCCATCGCTCCTGCCCCTCCCTCCATCGCTCCTGTCTCTTCCTCGCTCCTGCCTCGTCATCGCTCCTCCCCTTTTGAGCATCGCGCCTTCCTCCTCGGTCATCGGTCTTGCCTCCTCACCCAATCCTGACTGCTCACCATCCATCACCGCTTCAACTCCACCCACTACTTCATCCTCACTGCAATCTACCCCATAACACTCACCCGCCCACAACAGACCAACACGCCAAAACGATCGACTTCCAACCCCTGTCCGAACCCAATTCGAAGACTGCCGGGATCTGCGAGGTACTGGGTCCTCATCGTGAAGGCGAAGGGTTCGTATTTGAGATAGGCATTCCTGGTCGGGGGGAGTGTAGTCCTGGATGTAGGAATTGGAGGTTCCCGGGCTGGAAGACGGGCTTGGGTGTTTCGGTAGGAGAAGAGAGTTGGGTAGAGGTTAGAAGGCTATGCTGCTCTAAGGGGAAAGTATAGGAAACTTCGATGATAAACATGATGAAGGATGGACGTGTGACTGACGATCTGATCGTAGTTTGTTTTCTTGAAGCACGGTGCACATCATCATGATTGCGGAGAGTGCTAAGTGTTGCTATTCTGTGCTGCACAATAAGTCTTATATGTCCATATGGGAAAGGATGATTTGACTGATGTACCAATCCATACTCGCAGACGGGGAACTGTCCAGCCCTGCCATCTTTGATTTGCTCGGAGCATCCTCACGATGATGGCACGGGGTGAGCGTATGCCTCTCCCCATTGTGCACGCACACATGTTGTACACATTTGCTGATGACATCCAGTCTGCAAGCACTGACTGATGATGTGCTGTGGTACAAGCGATACTCGCAGTGTTCGATAACGCGATGAGTGCTGGCCACAGACTGATTTCCACACTCAGACACCTCTTGGCAACGCGCTGACGTCTGTTGCCTTCGATCACTTTCCTGCGGCATAGCACCTGCTCAAAGCTGCAGCACCAGCCCACCCCTAGGCGGCCGGTCCGCAGCCTGCGGCTCCACATGCACATAATCGACCCTCGGCGGCGGCTTCTCTTTCTCCGGTCCCTTCGGTCTCCCGGGTGGCAGCTTGCCCTTTCGAGCCCGCTCACTCACGACCTTCGGATCCCATTGCACCGTCCTAAGGCTGCTCGAGTCTCCTGCTCCAGGCGTGGAAGCCGAGACCGGCGTCACTGGTGACATGGCGTTCTGCTGATGTTGTTGACCAGGCGGAGGCGGATATTGAAATTGCTGTTGTTGCTGCTGGGTCTGGTATGTAGGAAGTCCGCCGAACTGTAGGGGCGGATACGCGTACGATGAGGGGACTGCTGCGGGCGGCCAGCCTGGTGGGCCATTGCTGCTCGCCCTAGCCTGGACTGGTGTAGATGACTTCTCAGCCTCGAGACGGTTGATACGCTGCTCTGCTTCGGCAAGTTTGGCCTTGAGCGCCTCGAGCTCAGCTAGTGCTGGGTCCACAGCCGCCGCAGCGGCGGCAATGCCGGCCAGTGGCTCAGCGTCAGGAGCATTGGCGGAGGTCGGAGTCGCGTCTCTGCCGTTTCCTTTCTTTTTCTCGCGTCGGCCCCAGGTGATGTTCTCGCCGGACATGTAGCCCGCCATCATGCCAGGAACTTGCAGTGATGGTAGACGAACGACACCTTGACGCGGAGTCTTGTACTGGCGGCGAGTGGCTTTCTTGAAGCTGTCAAGCTTGTCGGCGGAAAAGTCAATAGCAGTGGAAGGGCCTCCATCGACGCTGGTGGACGAGAGTAGGGTGGTATCCGGATCATCGCCCTCTTCACGGCTGGCTGAGCCAAGGAAGTCGAGCAGTGGCGCGAGTCCGTCTGTGCCAACATCGGCGTTTAGACCGTCTGTTGATCCTGAGAGAGGTTCTGTTGCGCGGCGTTTGGGAGGTTTAGGTAGCTTCTCGGCCTTGGCTTTGCGTTTCCGCTCTCTGATGAGTTTCTCGGGCTCGAAAACTTCCATGATCCTGCGTCGCTTGCTGTTTTTGCGCGGCTGCGGGGCACGGTCCTCGTACGTTGCATGTATCGGGATGTGCTTGTAGTGCAATTCCATAGAATGCTTGGTGACGGAGAACTTGACGTGAATGGTGCCGTGGCAGTCATAGACGGGCTTCATCTTGCGTTTCCCGTCCATGCCCTTGCCCTCGTTGGCAGCTCTGCCCTTGTTGAGAGTGGAATCGTTGCAGAAGTAGGAGAATCGGTGTGCTTCGTCTTCCTTGCTGAGCCAGTTGTTGTGAAAGCTGTATCTGAAGCCATCGGCCTTTGTGACATGCTCGACGAGCGTCTTCGCAATGGCTTTCTGCAGCTTTAGGCCATCTTTCAGATCGGCTGCGCAGGCAGACAAGGCAGCATCGACGCTTAATGCTGATCTGTTCAGCGTCCCATAGAGGTTGGCTTTGGGTTGGCTTCCACCCGAGTAGTCTCCCGTGTAGACCATAAAGGCCGCTGCCGTAGGGAAGTTGAACTCGACAGTGGTGTGCTCAGGGGGCGAGGTAGGGTCTTGCAGGTAGTCGCGCAGCATCTCTTCCATCTGCTCGGCGCTGTTGACGTGCATGCGCACATGCTGTGCCAGAGGGTCTCTGGCCTGCCGGCCTCGAGGATGAACTGTTTTGGTCCATTTTGCACCGACGGGAACGACCTCTTCCGACGCGTTACGATTGCGTTTTCTCTTTGACGAGGGCGCTTCGACGCCGTTGGTGGGTAGCGCGGTGTCGAGATCTGGCTGGATGGACGCGTCGTCGTCCATGCTGGATGGCGAGACGCGGTGCGGAGGAGGTAGTTGATGAATAGGGAGTATTGGTAGTAAGGTAGTTCAGAAGGCGACGACCTGAACTCGAAGTCGAAGTCTCAGGCTTTCTCCGACTGCATAATCGCCTTATTTTGGGGCGCGGCCTACCCCAATTTTGGTGCCCGCAGTTGCCCTCCCGTTGCCCTTGCATTAGCGCCTTGCGACCTTACTCACAGTCACAGATCAGATACACAAATAATCCAGCACTCGCAAGTGAGTCAATGCGCACAACCCAACTCCTGCGCAGACTCATAGGGCCATCACCATCACCTCGACACCTTCATCGCGCTTCACCAACAACCCACCGTACTCCCCCAACCTACACAACCATGGCACCCACCACCACCACTCCAGACCCCTCCAAAGCCCGCCCCATAGTCTTCTCCGGCCCCTCAGGCACCGGCAAGTCCACCCTCATCAAACGCCTTTTCAGCGACCACCCCGACCTCTTCGGCTTCAGCGTCTCCCACACAACTCGCAAGCCCCGCCCAGGCGAAGAGGACGGCACGCATTACCACTTCACCACTCCCACCGCCTTCGAAAAGATGATCGCCGAAGACGCCTTCGAAGAACACGCAAAATTCGGCTCCAACTACTACGGCTCCTCGCGGAAATCAATCGAGGAAGTCGGTCAGGGCAAAGGCAAATCCATTGACGGCTCGCCCGCCGAAGGCCCGAGGATATGTGTGTTCGATATCGAGATGGAAGGGGTGAAGCAGTTGAAGAAGAGTAAGCTGAATCCGAGGATATGTTTCATCCAGCCGCCGGACCTGAGGACGTTGGAGGAGAGGTTAAGGGGCAGAGGGGATACGAGCGAGGAGCAGGTGGTGCAGAGGCTGAAGCAGGCGGAGAAGGAGATTGAGTATTGTAAGAGCGAGGGGAAGGAGGACAAGGTGGTGGTGAACGATGATCTGGATACGGCGTATCGGGAGCTGAATGAGTGGGTTATGAAGGATTTGTCGTCCGCTTCGTGAAAGACTTCTTGCTACGAAGGCGGAAGATCATCTCCAGGTCTGCCCATAGATGACTCGACGAGGAAACCAAGACCGACGTCGCGCAGAACCACGGACTCAGACAGCAATTGAGGAGGTATGAGTTGAGGCCCCAGTATGTCTTTTGAGGTTGGAGGCGATAGAAGACACGGTGGCTGATTGACCTCTCGACTTTTGAAGGGGTATGATTACTATGTTACCTGACAGATAGGTGAAAGCCCGGCTCTCCTTGAGAACGCTGCATCAGAATATATCGCAGATAGAATAGACGCCACGCTGATCACACTTTCATTCGACTTTCATTTCTGCTGTTGACACCCACAATTGCTAGTCGACTAATATCCGTTCATAGTCATTCGCTGAGAGTTCCTGCTCAACTCGCGTTCGGCTGCTGGCGAGATGGGTCTGCTACTGGACATGCCGCCGGCGGCACTGCTCTCCTTGAGGGCCAGCAGTTGCTTGGCACGGAAAGTCTCGTAGTGGATCTGGCTCGTCGTCTCGATGAGGTCTTGCAAATGTGTTCGGGTGAGGAAGTTCCGTAGATAGACGAATTCGCAGTGGTTCTCGTCCTCGATGTTGATGATGCCCCACCGGTTCTGTCGGCCGCGGACTTGTTTGCCATTAACCACAATCGACTTCTCACTGCCGACGACTGCAAAGGGGATAATGTCCTTGATGGTCGCGTTGGTGGCACGTTCCTCATCGTCAAGCTCGTCGTTGTCGTATGGGTACATGCGGATGCCGTGGAAGGCGAATTCCTCTTTTATTCTCTCCTTGAACTCGCGACGCTCCTCCAACGTCAGAGAATCGGCCTTTGCGATAACGGGTACCACGTTGACCACATCGGAGAGCTTCTTGAGGACGACAATATCGATCGGCTTGAGAGCATGGCCGGAGGGTTGGATGAAGAACAAGCAGCAGTGAATGCGAGTGTCCTGAATGTACCGTTCTCGCTGGGCGGTGAGCTCTTTTCGCAGGTACGCTGAGTGCTGGTCCTTGATGTACTTGACAATGGGATCCCAGCTGTATATTGTTAGTTTTGACTCGAGGTGTTGAAGCAGCTCTTACCATCGATCATTGTTGACGAGATCGCCGTAGCCTGGGGTGTCAACGATGTTGAGCCGTAGTCGGACGCCATTCTCCTCAATGACTATACATTGTCAACGCTGTTCCCATGTTCTCATACTGATTCACTCACTGTGCGATACTGTCTGAATCTCGGTGGTGGACCGGATGGACTCGTCTGGCCGCATGCGACCCTTTGAGTCGATGAGGTGGGATGCGAAGAGCGAGTTGATCAATGTCGATTTGCCCAGTCCAGTTTGACCTGTCGCATCGAGTGTTAGCATCTCCTTGTGTCCAGTATATGGCTGCACGTACCAACACAGATGACGTTGAACTGGAAGCCTCTCTTCAACAGCTTCTTCTCAATCTGTTGAGTGATGCTGTCGAAACCGACATGACTCCGGGGGAAGACCGCATTTCCCTGGTGCATCGCCATGGTCATGGTGGAGTGCAAATACTCTGGTGGGAGTGAGAAATCGATGACACGGTCGAGTAGATGATAGTATTGCGCTGTCGATATCTATCTGCACAGCGAAGGCAGTCCAAGGGTGTGGAATGGTGCACGAGGGAGTTGCGACCGCGACAGAATTTCCCTTTCGTTTCCCCGGAGCAGCAATGCAGGTGGATTGCACTCGCCGTTCCCCTATTTCATCGCCAAGACAGTCAGGGATGCAGCCGTGGCGCCTTACCTCTTCAGTCCTAGTTTCTCGGATACTGATCTGCGCAGCTTCAAGAAGTTCAAGTTCGTGTCAAAAGTTCAGAAGCGTCTTCAACGACTTCACCCAGCCACGTCGATCCGCCGTCTACCCATAATTATCCTGGTCATGGCAAGTCTGGCAGCTCCTGGCCTTCGCGCTGGAATGCTGCACGATTTGTCAAGGCAGCTCTCTGGTTCTTTCGGTCTCCTCCGATCCTCCTCACTTTCCATAGCATTGCCTACCGCGGCCATTTCAATACCTTCGATACTGTCAGACATATGGGAGGGTATCTTGCAGGCTGTGCCAAAGAAGAAAACATCGCACATGAAGAAGCGGAAACGATTCATGCACAACAACAAACTGAAAGATATTACTGCCATCAACAAATGTCCCGCGTGCGGCAAGCCGAAGAGGCAACATTTCCTATGTCCATATTGTGTCTCTGGTAAGCGGAAACTGGACTGGTAGTTGTGTTAAACTGACATGGTCTTAGAAATACGAGAAGCGTGGAATAAGGAGAGCAAAGCCGCCACAACCACCTACAAGGGAACATGAAGCAAAACTACCAACACTTACGGAAAGGCATACCTCAGCTCTCGGCGAACCGTGACTGGAAGCGATGGCTTCATAAGACGCCTAGCGATACGCAAAACGTGGTCACGTCCAAGTTCAGTCGATAACCTCGTTTCCAACGAGCTCGTGAAATCTAGCGGATGACTCGAGGCTAGCATCTCTCAGGCCTTGGCTATATGCCGAAAAGTCGAACACTCCAAACGTCCCGCGCTGTGAGGCCGCGCTGCGCCATGAATGGTAGCAACGGGCCCGGTCTCAACCGCAGTGGGCGTAGCAGTGGATCAGAGGCAATGTGCAGAGCAGGGCTGTGACTATCATGGTCTTCGACCAGATCACGATCCGATGGATCGAGGCACCTTGAATCTGCGGTGTGGAAAGAGTCGGGGCCTTGGGAAAGAGCCGAACGCGTTGTGGCATAGCATCTGAAGCTCATTTCGGCTCAACAGGCTTCAGCAGACTCAGCAGTTCTCTTGGGAAATCTCGAGACGGCTTTGCCTTCGATCTCAGTTTGGGAGGATCCATGTCATGGTCCGAGGTGGAGATTTGCTCAGCGAAGGACATGCTCTTGCGATTCACGAAGGCGTGTCTGGATCTAGAAGGCTCATGTATAGCATTGTGTGAACATGGGAATCTGAAGCGCGTCATGCGGGGAAATTTTGGAAATGCACATCTCGTAGAAGCATCGACTTGAGCAATCCTTCTTCAACCACGATCCCTTTTGTCCAAACTGCCTCCGACCTCTGTCACTCGTTCAGATCATCGGCAGCGCATGGCAATGCCTGTCAAAGGTCATCATGGTAGCTCGCGCCCGAAACCTCCGTGGAACGTCGTGCTAACGCTGCCTGCAGTCGAAACAGTACCTCGCCCTGCACAGCATAGATGAAGGTACGCTTCTGCGAACCACTTGTAGCTTGCACAACTAATCGTGTCTGCTAGTCCATGAGACCGACATCTTCTCCCTGGCTACGACTCCAACCCAGATCATCTCCGCCTCCGGTTCCTCCTCCATCCACATCCACTCCACAACCGCCGAAGACTTCCCAGTCGACCAGACCCTTAAAGCCGCCCACAAGACCGGCTGCCACCACCTCGCCGTCTCCACCAATGGCACCCGTCTCGTCAGCATCGGTTTCTCCGGCGACTGCAAGATCTGGAACTACACCGAAGGCATCTGGGCTCTTTCAGGCGAACTCATCGACGACGACACAACTGCAAAAGGGAGCAAGAAGAAGACGACCAAATCCAACGACATCTGGGCTATAGCACTCTCCCACCCCGACGGCCAATACCTCGCCACCACCCGTAGCGATGGTCGAGTCTACGTGTACGATGTTGCAGCCCAACCATTTCAGCGCATCCGCGAGTACGCGGTTAACACAGGCGGTTTCGGCCTCGCCATTGATCTCTCTCCGGACGGCAAGTTCCTTGCCACGGGTCATGCCACAGGAAACATCTACGTCTTCTCCACCGAATCGACCCGTCTGCTACACTCCCTTCCAGGACTGATCAAGCCCGTCCGCGCAGTGCGTTTCTCCCCAGGCTCGAAGCTGCTAGCCGCAGCAGGTGACGCAAAGGTCATCTCGCTCTACGATCCGCGTTCTGGTGAGCAGGTTGCGAATATGCAGGGACATGTTGGTTGGATCACAAGTCTGGATTGGAATCACTCGGGCCAGTATCTGCTCAGTGGAGGGCTTGATGGGAAGGTCAAGGTGTGGGATGTTGAGTTGCGGAAGTGTCTTGCGACGCACAATGAAAGTGAGAAGGGGCTCTGGGCTGTGAGGTGGCTGCCGAAGGGCGAGACAAGTGTGGAGAGGGGAAAGGCGGAGAGGTTCGTGACTGCTGGGGCGGGTAGGAGTGTGAATGTTTATCGGGAGGCTACTGGCGGCTGAGAGGAGATCTGAAGACTGTCGCAACACAGTGTCGACACCTGCAGCTGGACATCGATCACCGCTAGGATATGGACTGCCTCCTCTCCAAAGGTGCCAAGAGCTCCAATGCGCTCCAACAATGGGCAATCGGCTGCCTGCATGATTTACCGATCCCGGATCTGCTTGCCCAGCCGCGTGGATGGAAGCTATTGACATCTTGCTTTGTTGCAAGATGAGGTGTCTTACATCGGCACAGTAAACACGAGCGGAATCGTTTGCTCTGTTTCAGATGCGCCTTTGTTGAAAAACCCGGATCAGTCTCACTGTATGAGTCTTTGAGGTATGTCTCGGGCGAAGCAAGACTGCCATGAGTCCATGAAAGCTCTCCAAGTCCAGAAACAGAGGAGCTTCCAGCTTAAATAACGACCGCGAGCGCGAGCAGATAGGACTCTTACAGCAAACAATTCTACCATTACCCAATACACCGTGCGACTCATCCGCACTGTTCCACAGTCACCAACCCAGGACCAAAGGAAGGCAACAGATCCAGAAGACCGCCATGTATCCGTTCGGCAGCCCCTACAATGCCCTTTTACAGCCCGCTTATGATCAATCCACCCACGTACCAGGCTGCCAATGCGACCCCTGCAAATACCGCTTCTATCAGTATACTCAGCAACAGGAGCAACTGCAGAACGCCAAAGCATCTCAAGAAGCCAGAAACGCTCAGCTCAAGCTGCTGGACGATATGGTCAAACAGGCCAAAGTCGAGAGGGAAGCCAAAGAACAGCGTGAACAGGAGAAGTTGCTGAAGGAGGCGAAGGAGCGTCTGGAGCACATCGAACTCGGCAAGAAGCAGCAGGAAGAGGACGAAAAGAGAGGCAAGAAGATCAAAGAAGAGGAGGCACGGCGCAAGGACCGGAGAGAGCGTCACGCTCGGAGTGACAGCCACCACTACTACGGGCCAGTGACAATGTCGTTCGTGCGAGGTCGGTCGGCGACCCGGAACGAGAGCTACATTGGAGTCGTGAAGGGTTCTAGGCGGGGGAGCAGCTCGAGTTCTAGTAGATTTTGGTTCTGAGGGGCCAAGGGGGAATGTCGCGGATTGCGATGGGCCCACAAGTTCGAGGTATACGGATATGGAGACCATGTTATGAGCGAACAGTGTGGCGGCGGTATGGGTCTGTTACAGACACTGCTCGATGCGCTTGGTTTGATACACTGGCATGGTAAAGCATAGGAATAGACGCTCATAGACTCAACAATGGCAAGTGCACTCAAACGAGCTTTGAGTATCCTTGAGTGAGACTTTCGGATGGATGCTGACAAAGCAATCTCAACTGGTCACCTCCTTCCACTTCCGAGCTGCTCGACGACACTCCTGCACAGTACAGCCATCGATCGCCCAGCGTGCAAGAAACGAAGTGTCATCGTCGAGGTCTCCAGGTGGTGAGCCAGCACGTCGTCCACCGATCCTAAGTCGAGATTCAGCAAGATCCAGACCCTGTCTGACGGCCACCCCACAGCACCTTTCAAAGCACGATACCTGGGGAACATAAGATCAAGCAGCAGTCTCTGAAATTCGAATTAGAGTCTTTGATGACTTATCGAGGCTGTGGGCTAGTTGTCGTTACACGTGATGGCCTCCGTCGTGATGCAGATTGAAGACGATCCGCCGAAGAAGAGATTCAAGCGAAGTCGAAATGGATGCATTACTTGCCGGTAAGTGAGCAGACAGTAGTGGCTGGGCATCCTGTGGACTACAGCAACCGCCACTCACGTCCAGAGCTCTCACAGCTGACGGATCCGAGCAGCATACGCAAAGTGAAATGCGGGCTCGAACGCCCAAGCTGTGAGCGATGTATCAGCACCGGCCGCAAATGTGATGGCTACCAACAAATGCCGTCTCACCAGCCACAGCCACAAAGAGCCCTCGACACGCCCTCAGACCTTGGCCGAACGCAATGCGAGAAGCTATGTCTCGACTTCTACTATAGTGTGTCAGCGCCCACCTATGTAAACTTCGGCAGTCATTACTTCTGGAACAGCCTCGTCATTCAAGCATGCTACCATCAAGACGCAATCCGTCACCTTGTGATCGCATCCACATCTTTGGACCTTGCAACTCAGAAACGAATGGCGGAGGAGAAAGCTAGGGAGGCCTTCGCGATACACTATGGCATAGCGCTACGGTTGCTGTCATCGGCGAAAGAGCCGGAGCCAGAGATCATGCTGATGGCGTGTTTATTGTTCATCCTCTGCGACGAGTACAACAACGACCCTTCTGGCGTGCGGACGCACCTGACGGCTGGTAAACGGATACTTAGGGGACTTGCGAGCAAGAATTCTGCACACATGAAAGACTCCCTGAGTGAGCTCGCACCAATATTCACGCGCTTCGAGGATCAGTCGGATCAGTTCGAGATAAGTCCCAGGTCCGAGGCTGTACTGAATGAAACAGACAGCACTTTCTGGTCCAGATACTCGAAGCCAGTCTTCAAGCCTGGACCTGCTCGAGGTTCGGTGTTCATGGGGTACTCGTCGATGGCAATCGCCACTCACTGCCTGCAGAAGCTGGCTCCGTCATGCTTCGCTCCGGCTAATGAGCGGGCATATCAGCACGTGCCTAGATCGCGGTTCCATGTTGTGCCATCGGTAACGTCTCAGCTGGACCAGTGGCTTACCTATTTCCGAAAGTTCGTCAGCAACATGTCGTCAGCGGAATACGACAGGAAGATCAACGAGATCAACACACTCTTTGCAACGCAGATATGTCTGGATATCATGTCCCGCTGTGCACCATATCTCCGAGAAGACATCTACGACTTACACGAAGCGCGATTCAAGATCGCCTTCGACAAGTTGTCTTTCGTCCTCAACGAGACCACACCGGAGGCTCTCAAAGAGCGAGCAGTCTGCCCGCTTTACTTCATCGCAGCGCATTGCCGCACGCCCCTCATCCGCAGACGCGCTACCGAATGGCTTAAGCTATGCGGCTGGACAGGGATTCGAATGGCGACAATCGCCCAGCAGATCATCAACATGGAGGAAAGAATAGACTGGACCTCCTCAGCCACAGATGTGCCGGCCGAGCGCAGAGTGCAAGTCCTGGACGTTTCGTTCTCTGCTGCGAAAGCTGATGTGCAACCGCTAACGTTGATCGAGAAAGGTGCTGGGCGCGACTCAGTCTGTGTAATGAGCTACGCAAAGAAGCCTTGGGATGGGAGTAACAACGATGTACATATCTTCAGATGGGCAGACCTGCCGGCGTCAGACGAGGCGCTGCATGCTTCGGTGCGACAGTTGTTGGGCCGGGTGGCTAGGTTTGAGCTCATAGCGGCTGGATCGCACGACTCGGGCACATCCTCTGCCGCAACGTGACAGGCAGTCACTTCAAGAGGACGACCGACAGCAGTCATAGGGCCGGGAGACAGCGTTGACACGGTATGATCTGTTGCTGCCCCGGATGTCTTCTCTTGCATCCACCGCGAGGACCGAGAAAGTTGAGCCTTAGTAAACCAGTGTTCAAATTGGATAAATTTCCCGACTGCCATCGTCAACATGGCCTCTTGATTGACTTTCGGCCGGCACTGGCAGTGTTCGGCCATCAGTTGTGTGAAGAAGAGTGAATGTCTCCTGCGTCAGTCAGTGAAGTGATCGTTTCGGCTTGCCTCGGATCTTCACTCTTTGCAGAGATATAAGTCGGCATCGTGCGCCCGACCTTTTCCTCTCTCGCTCGCAGCAAGACAAACGACAAAGCACAAGGCTTCATTGCCATGCTCTATCAGCATTCATTGCTGCCGGGCGGGGCGAGCTGCCTCGACGAGTCTCGAAAATCACTGACTGAATACGTTGGGATGACAGGTGCGATCAACTGAGGACAGAATTACGTCTTAGTCTTTGACTGATCACCCAGATGGCTGAAAGACGACAACAATCGACAGACGGTGAGGCCAATCCCGCAATCAAGCGTGCCCCAAGTCAACAGACTCCTACGGCACAATCCAGCCTCGAGTGCTCGAGAGACATCCCACTATCATTGCCTTCAAGGCGTGAATTCCAAGTCATAAGCCAGCGTTTCCGTGCACAGTTCCTCTCGTAGTTTGTGAACCCTGTAGAAACCCTCGTCAGCAAGCTGCTTCATCTTGCAGTCGGTCATCTTAACAGCAACAGGACCACTCACGCTAGATGTGCATCATGCTTAGCATATACCGCAATCGTCTCCGCCTTGTCCAGCACGGCTACAAGGCCCATATCGTACCCTTGGGCTCGCGAGGCCGTGCTCGCATGGGGTGGCCCGACATCCATCTTCTGTAGGCCAGGTATCTGGCCAACCATAGCCCCAGCTGCCTTTTTCAGCTCGGCGATATTTTCGGATGAGGTGTTTGGCTTGAGCTTGAATAGCACTGTTGGTGATGCAGGCGAAAGTTAGAGCTGGTGTAGAGACACATAAGGCCATGTGGAGATGACAGGTAGACGACATCACAGGTTGGGCTGCAGGGGATGGATGGGCTAAGACGAACCGATGTGGTAGACTGGCATGGTGATGGTCGGCGTTGGGTTCTGTGATATGGGTTGAGAAGGTTCAGCAGCAGGACACGGAATGGAATAGATCGGTCTGTCGAAAAGAAATGGAGTCAACTGTTGTCCTTGGTATTCAGGTCTCAGCAAGTATCGAATACATATGTCTTTATATATGTCCACATCATCGGAGCATGTCCGATAGTCATCATTGTCTGTCGTCCCCAGGTCCGAATATATCCGATGTTGGAGAATTTATCTCCTACAACTTCTACACACCTTTGATTTCTACGATCGAGTGCCGCCATCCATGTCATGAGTCACGAGCTACGAAGCATTTGTGAAGGCCCTTTCGAGGCCTTCGCGGGACGAGCGTGACATATCGTCATGGTTCTTAACCAGATTTCTGTCGAGCATCAAAGAATGTTTCTCCTCAAGAATAGACGCACCCAGACTCATGAGCCCTCAGATCCTCGATGTGAGGAGAGGCGCTGGAATAGGGTGAAACACGAACAGAGATTATGAAGCCCGGAAGGCGACACGCTTGCTCTTGGCATGATTTTGACAACATCAACCATGGGAAAGAGAGGATAGATGAAGCTTCGAAAGTGCCGTGATCAAATACTGGTCGTGTATTGAGCGACCTACCTGAAGGGTGTGCCTGTATGGCACTCATTGGGCAACGCAACGTAGCTGTATGATAGTGCTCAGAGGATGGCTGCAACCCGTGCCACACATCAGATATCAAGGTCGCAGCCACGTATGCAGCGCCGTAGAACCCGACTTCCGCGTGCGCAGCGGATCACATCAGTCTTGAACGCATCAGTATGTAGGCGCAACCGCGCCCTCAACAGAGATGCACACAAGTATCGATCATAGTCATTAACAGCTGAAAGGAAATGTGGGCCGAAAGCGAACCAGTAAGCTCATGACAGCTAAGATCCCCGTGGAGAGATGGAAGCGTCGAGCAGACCAGATTAGAATGGCTCCTTGGGTCGATCGAAGGTCATTGGAAATTCGTTGAAGCAATGGGATGGCGACTGCATACACCGAGGGTATTTGTTGACCTTTGTTATATGTGAAGGAAGAAGGAAGAAGATCGAGAATTCGGACGAGGTTAAATTTCGAGAGAAGGGCTTGGCAGTGCATGACTCGGGTGAAGTGGAAAGCATGACTCGTGCAGACAGATGTTTGTTAGATTCTCTTGAAGCTGTCTCTACCACACTAAATCGGGGACCTTTACTGCCTACAAACGCCGACCTCCTTTCAAACCACCAGAGCAATGCCGCCGAGCTTGCGGAACCCTTCCGAATTCCGTTGACCAAATGAAAACCTATAAGGAACCCGCATCACCTTGTTCTAGCCCCATGGCCACCAGGAGCGACCTCTTGACAACCAAGGAATCTCTTCTGCCGAGTATCGGTACGCTCGGAACAGCGCATTACTCTCGCCCGGAAACAGCTTCTTGGTGCCCTCATCCTCATATTCGGAGAAGCAGGGATTGATGAACTCGAACACAACCTCGCCTTCTTTGGTGACCTCGAACACCCGACCGAAAGCACTTTCACACAGCAAAGTGTTGCCGTTGCTCAAGCGTTGTGCGCTACCCATGAAAGGCGTAAAGAAGTGGATCATCTGACCCCGGTCCCGATACTGCCATACGATCTCGCGAGTCTTCCTGTCGACCTCGATTGCACGTGTGAATTGTATTGACTCCCCTGTGCGGAAGGCACCATTGTCAAAGATGAGTATGTTGCCGTTCTCGAGCTCGTTCGCGCAGTGTTGCTGTGCGAGTGTGTCAGGCCCGAGTCGCCAGATTATGTTGCCGGTCGACTTCTCAATGATGATGACACTGGATACAGATCGCATCGATGCCAGAATGTTGCCGTCTTTGAGAGGATACACAGAGTTGATCAAAGGATAGTGCTCTCGGGTATAATGTGGTTGCAATGGGAACTCGTCTCGAGGGAGTCGCTCTGACACCTTCCATTGCCAGACGAGCTTTCCTTCAGCGTCGAGCTCATTGATCGTATCGGCATAGGTGATTCCCCCTTCGGCCTCTGTGCCAGGCACTCCGCCTTGGACCTTGGCCGAATCTTCTCGGCTGAGGGCTCCAAGCTCGTATAAAGCATTCGTCCGTCGCCATAGTGGTACTGGTCATGGTGACCCAAAGGATCTATATGTTGCCTGACAACCTTCCCGGCAGGATCAAGCTCTGACATCACTCCGCCTCCGTACTTGTTGAAGAACATGAATGGAGCTTTGTGATTTGGAGGCAAAGTGTTGACAGCCAGGTTTCCGTTTGGCAGGATCCGGGCATGTCTGCCAATGCGACCAGGTAACTTCCAGCTGTGCACTTCTTTCCCATCGATGTCAACCAAGTGTGCGGTTGAAGAGGTCAGAGGGCATATGAGAGTGTAGCCGCCGAATGACTTCGCTTTGTTGACGCCAGTAAGCCCGAGCCGATGAGTACGTTTGAAAGTGTTTTGCTCCATGGCTTTGCGATCAAGTATGTAAGGAAGATGTGTTGGACCTTTGTGCTGCCTTGCTGATAGGAAAACCAATGTTTGATGTGCGTATAGTGGAAGCAGTATGACAGAAGAATTGTATCGTCCATACTATATAGGACATCCTGCTGGAAGCATTCGAGAGCGGTTGTCGCCGTGAACCAATCATGAGCTTCCGCGGTATACCGTCGGCATGCCGCGGCCTCCCAAGGCCAGACTTGACACCATATCAGCAATCTACAACACAAGTTGACTACAATCAGCAAAGCACGCAATGATAGCGACAATGTCGTTATCAATTGTGTGTATCATTCGTTCTTCCGATATGTCTATATGGCGGCTTCCGGGACACTGCACGGCATGCCGGTGGCATGAGAATCCTATATAAGATAAGGACTATCTACTCGCAAAGATCTCAACGAACCAGCACCAGAGCTTCTACAAAACCTCCAAGCAACATTTCTGACGCGCCAACTCGACAGTACGATGGAGAAGCTCGACCGTAAAGGCCTCTCAGAGTCTGAGGCCATGCCACCAAATGACTATGACTCGACCAATACCGACACAGTACCGGAAGCAGAGAACATCGACGGATATGATCGTACTCTTGAGTACACGCCCGAAGAGGAGCGCGCAGCGGTCCGACGAGTCGACTTCTTCATCCTACCATTCATTGTGCTCCTCTTCTGCTTCCTCCAGTTCGATCGGACCAACATCGCAAATGCCCTTACCGATACCTTCCGGGCTGATGTGCACATCACCAATTACCACATCAACACAGCTCAGACACTGTTCATCGTCGGATTTGTGATAACAGAGATCCCCTTCAACATGCTCAGCAGATATTTCGGCCCTGAGAGGTTCCTTCCCGTCACGATGATCCTATGGGGCATTGCTACATGGAGTCAGATGTTCATCACAAGTCCATCCGGCTTGTACGCCTGCCGCTTCATCGTTGGTGCCCTAGAGGGTGGTTACATTCCCGGCATGGCGCTCTACATCAGTAAATTCTACATCAATGAACAGCTGGGACTGCGCTTTGCTTGTTTCTGGGCATCAAACTCGATCGCTGGAGCTCTGTCAGGACCATTGTCTATTGGACTTCTGTCACTCAGAGGACGAGGTGGACTTCATGGCTGGCAATGGCTGTACTTGATTGGTAAGTGTCTTGAGAAAAGCTCAAGGCGTTTACTAACTTAGATATTAGAGGGTGTACTCACCTGCTTTCTGGGCGCCGTTGGCTACCTATATCTCCCGCATTCCGCCGCTAAGCCAAAGACCTTCTTCGGCCGATCGTGGAGCCTCTTCACACCCCGACAAAGCTCAATTATCATAACTCGGGTTATGCGGAACGATCCATCTAAGGCTCTTCGTTACGGCAAGCCAGTGCTGCCGTCACACATCCTACAGACCTTCGGCGACTGGAGATTGTACGGACACATCCTCTCGGCGTTCCTCTCCATGGTCATGATCACGCCTATGAACACATACGCCCCATCAATTATCAAGTCATTGGGCTTCACAGGCCTTCAAGCCAATGGATTGAACTCGGTGGGAGCTATCGGGGCGCTCTGTATCTCCATCTCGTTAGCATACAGTAGCGACCGCTTCAAGGAGCGTGGCTTCCACATTATCGTCGGATTTCTCGGAGCCGCCGCAGGCCTTCTTTGGCTTGCTCTGGCACCGAATAGCGTTGGCAGATGGGTTCTATACGGCGGAGTTGTGTGCACTCAGAGCTTCATGGGAACGGCTCAAGCCATTAACGCGGCCTGGCTGGCGGCGAAGATGGAAGACCATAAGCGACCGATCGCGCTTGCAGCATACGTGATGAGCATTCAGATTGCTGGTTTCCCGGGTGCTCAGCTGTTTAAGCAAGACGCTGCCCCGCGGTATAAGCATGGTCTGATTACAGCTGCCGCGCTGGTCATTTCTGGAGCTGCGGTGGTGGCGGCCTGGAAGTTCCTTTACCGCATCTTCGATCATGGGGACGGTGGTGTTGAGACAGTCAAGGGTCGTGATCCTGAGCAGTAAAGCATGAGCTTGTCTTTACGAGTTGGGCGGCCTCTGGCCGCGAAGTACCTAAATAGGTATAACATTATATCATACAAATGCAGGGGACTAGCACCACTACGAGCGAATGAACCCTCGCTTCCCCTATTCACTGATGGCACTGCTGTTGACCTCCTCGCCGAAAAGCACTCCAAACTTCCCATGCAGCACGTCCAACCGATACATCTGCGCCGGCCATGCCAGCCACGCCTTCAAGTCCTCAAGCCTGAGGAAGTTTGTGCCACCCGGCCCGACATCATGATCATGTCGTCTGGCCTGATCCGGAAAAGCCTCGAAGATGGCAAAACTAGTCTTGGAGAAGCGTGTACCAAACCATGGGCCCGTTCCGGGCTCCTTGTTTACGCCGTCGTTGATGTCGCGGAGGAAGCCGGCGACGTGGTCCTCGTGGCCGGGGGCTGCCTCGAGGAGAATTACGTAGCTTACGGCCTGGTGTTGAGGCTTCGGAGCCGTGGATCTGCATGGAGGGAACTTCAGGGTTGGTAGGGGCGGACCATGATGAGTGTGGGTTTGGGAAAGAGATGGTGGTTTGGGAAGCCATGGTTGGCGGGTTGGAGTGCAGAGAAGTTGGGTTTTGGTAAGGCACTGGATGTGATGGTGATGGAGAATTGTAGAGAAACAAGAATGCCTGGCTGGAATACTTCGCTTTATCTGTCTTTCAAACCTGGCTGGTATATTCTCTAAGTCGTTGCTGACATTTGCCAGTGCTCCAGCTTTGTAACTAAGTCAACAGCTTGCCTGTTGCCGATACCTATCACTGCGTCGATGACAGTGGACGGCCCTGAGAAGTCAATGCAAGACCCTGTAGGCGATCTCTGTCCGTTCCCAACATCACTGGGAAGCAGGAGGCATTCAACGTCAATGCCTAGCAAAGCTAGCGTGCTTCCTGAAAAGGTTCAGAAGTAGTATCCTACTTAGGTAATGGGCCCGGAGGATGACGTGCATTTCAGGCTGAGGCACTTATCACAGTCTACTAGCTGACCGAACATACTCGAGAGTTGCAGCTGTGTTTTCACTTTGTCAAATGTTTGCTGTTGAGTCTTCGAGAACGGGCATGCTGCCGCGCTGGTGAGTACGGTCCCAAGTTGGCGGCAGCTCATCAAGCGGTGATGTCATTCGAGGCAGATCTCCCGACGATCATTGTGGCGGCATTGCGTTCTCTACTGCTCTCAGACGTGAACTTGTTGTGAGTCGCGAAGAACGACAACACTTCGGCGGGCAGCTACCGAAAGGCATCGTCATGATGAGATGTTGAGAAACTGAGCGCAGGTACTTTCCCAGGGACATCACGAGCACGCCATTGAAGAGCCCTGGCTTGGCGACCGGCTTCGATGACCTTATCTCCCGAATCCTTATCTTCCATTCGTGCATAGCATCTTGCCATTCCTTCAACTGCCAGAGATGTACAATGTAGGCAGTAATGCCGCCACTGCGTACCGAGCGGAGTGGGAAGGCATGTACCTCATGTAGAAAGCAGAAGACACGGTGCTATCCGTGTGCGTCTGCTGGCAATGCAGGAACGTGTCTCCGCTGTGTGACTCTAAAAACGGCATGTTCACTCGCAGCTCCGTCGAATCATGACAGAGAATCTGGCAATGGCCACCGTCATCAGCCTGACTTCTCACAATCGACGGTCGACACAAGGCAGGTCAAGCTGCTGCTCCAGCTTCGCCTTCGACTGACCATGGCAGATTGGATCGTCTAGAGACTACTGTGGCTGCACTTGTCCAACGACTAGACGCCGAGACCGGGCAACATAGAGACACTGCACGAAACGGAGACGATGCGGGCGATTCGAAGTATCCATCACGGCGTCCCTCTTCGCCTCCTGCTGATAGTGCTCCCGTTTTCATGATCCGAGATGCTGCCACTGGAATAGGACTAGAATCTCCTAGTGCCACACAGGCAACTCCGGCTCACTCTCATGGAGTTCTCGAGCTTGCTGGTATATCAAGACAGGATGCGCTGTCCATGGTATCCATGTGAGACTGACACAAAAAGCAAAAGCTTGACCGTCTAACAGAGATCCAGGTTCGCCTACCACTACGGTCGCTGGGTTCGCTTCGATGAGTCCGCTAACCCGGAACACCTCCTCGCTGATTTGCAGAATACACCTCTTCTGCTCTGCAGTGTGCTTCTCATAGCTGTACGCCACATTTCCAGCACGTCTGCAACGACCTCGGCTTCCGTACTGCTCAACGAGGCTCAGAGTCTACTAGCAAGCTCCCTGCTTGGCGTTGCAGCAGATTTATCGTTCTTTCGGTCGGCACTTATCCTGAGTTTGTGGTCCACCACGGTCGGTCAAGCGCCTCTAACCATGGACGGTTGGCTTCTGACGGCTTATGCATTGCAACAAGCCTCCGTGTCTTCTGTCTTTGGCTCATTCACTCGCAAAGCTCCTACATACTTAGATGGAGACGAGCTGGATGCGTGGTATATCTGGAACCACTTGTGTTTAGCACATCTACAGTAAGCGCCTTCGATGTAAGAGATCGATGGCTGACCTGTTGTAGGTACTGCATAGGCATGCAACGAAAGCCAGCAATTGCATATACACAGATCAAACAACACGTACGGCTCTTCGACAAGATACAGAGTAGTTTGCGGACCAATTTCGAGGAACGGATGCTCGCAGAAATCGAACTATACTGGATCATTTACGATCAAAGTTCTTCTCGCACCACTGACAGGAGGGAAGCCGAAAGGACGCTGCAAAACTGGAGAAAAGAGTGGACTGCACTGTTCCGTAAGTCAATCATCTGTGCATGCGAATACGCTGACCAGAGCCAGAGCAACCGCGGTCGCAGTTCCTTGTCATGGGTGATCATTTCGCACTGCTTCTACTTGCCAGTCGATCAAAGTCAAGGATTGCCAACGACGATGAAGCACTTTCCGAGCTCGTTCGGCTTTCAACATCAATTCTGAACCTGTTCCTGAATACTGATGATGATCGAATACAGCATTTGACCGATCACATTTACCACATCTTCACATTTGCTGCGATCACCTTATGTCGTCTCCTCGAAGCACACGAGGCACGACTTCGAAAGTCTCACGACGTTGCCTCCCTCGATTCTCTAGTAAGCAGGCTGGTATTGTGGCTAAAATCCGTGGGACCCAAGAGCCACGTCGCACACATGCTTGGCAGTGTGGTTGCTTCCGAGCAGAAGCGACTGCGACCAGAGTCTCAGCCTACACCTATCGGGAGCATCGCATCTGTCGAGTCGTTGCAGTATGATTCTACATTGATGTTTCCAGACTTCTTCGAGGCCTTTGACATGGACGCAGAGAGCATGTGGCCGACTTGGGATGTAGGCCATATAGAATGACCTGCAACTATACTTGATTTGCTTCGAAAGTGCGCGGCAGGCACCATAGCTGCACGATAGATCGCACAGCTTCGTGTGAGCGGGAAAGCGAAGCCAACTGTAGGAATGGAAGGAGCAATAGAGGCTCCCACAACAAGGCAGCTATGATGTCACCTCTAAGAGCCGTGCCCCTCGCCGTTTGCCTCGTTGCCTTCTGAAAAGTGGTAAAGATGCCAAACTCTGGATTTCTGTTCAAAGTATGCTACGTTGACGTGACCGTCTTGTGTTGGACTTGAAAATGTCTTTGAATTGAAGTCACACGACCACAGAGCCATGGCACACAATCACAGCCACAATCACGATCACTACGACGGCCATGGCCCCCTTGAACATGGCGACCACGACCACTCGCATGATCTCGAACCAGCGCTACAATCCAGTCTTTACAGCCAGATCGACTTCGACGCTATCAGTACGCTCAACGAAGCGACACCGCGCTCCGGCGCGGCCATCGTGCAAAAGACCTGGAATGACCGCCTCAACGACACACCCATCCTAAACAGCGACGCAGACGAGCAACTTCTTATGCACATCCCGTTCACTGGATCCTGCAAGCTATACTCGGTCATCATTCGCACCTCAGACACACCCTCTGCTCCGAAGACCCTCAAGCTCTTCCGCAACCGCGACCAACTCGACTTTGGTGATGCAAGTGACCTGAAGCCCATACAGACTCTGGAGTTGCCACGGACCAACGAGGTTGCTGAAATACCGCTGAACCGGGCGCAGTGGAACATGACCACGTCGATCCATCTGTTCTTCGAGAACAACCATTCGGACGGCGAGGAGGACGTGACGACCATCTCTTATCTAGGGTTCAAGGGCGACTTCATGGCGCTGAATCGAGAACCTGTCAATGTGCTGTATGAGGCAGCGGCCAACCCAAGCGACCATAAGATGATCCAGGGCTTGACGAACAGCAACACGCAGATGCCGGGCCAGTAGTCGTAGCGTAGCTCTCCAGATCCAGACCTCAAATGTATCAACAAATTCAAGCCTTCTCACAGTGCGCACTCCTCATGATGCCTCCAGCGCAACCCTCCTCGCTCTTGCCCGTTCCTTCTGCTTCACCACCTTCTCCTCCTCCGTCTCAACCTCCACACTCGGCACATCAGGCAACGTCCCCTCACCCACCACATCCCCATTCGGCGCATCCGGCAACCCAACCACTTCCCTCTCCAACGCCTCCAACTCATCCTCAACCTCATCCTCCTCCTCATTACTCATCTGCCCCGCCAGCGCCTGACTGATCTCCTCCTGATACGCCCTCGCCTCCGCGCTTTCCTCCATCAACTTCTCCACTGCCTCTACCCCGCCCATCTCTCGATTGATCTTCTTCAGCACCTCCGTGCCCTGGCTCAGCCCGTACAGCACATCTTTCTGCACGAGCGCGAACTCCACGCTCGACGTCAGCTTCTCGAGCTGCTCGAGCTGGGCGTCGGTTTTGGATAAAAGGGATTCTTGGTATTTCTTGCGGCGCAGGGCGAGGAGCGCGCGGGGCTTGTCGCCGCGCGCGAGGCAGGTGCGGGCGACTTCGGTCTCGCGGGCGGTGAGGATGGTGATGCGTTTTTGGTATTGGTGGAGTTTGTCGCGTTGGTTCTTCATGTCCAGGATCGCCCTGTTATCGGCGGCATGTCAGAACTTCTGGGCGTGGGTATAGGCAAAGGGAAATGTGTAGCTCGTGTGGGGAGGCTCTTACTTGTCCTGGGCGGAGATTTTATTCTTACTGCCTGCGTTGCCCATGGTGACTGCATGATCAAACCGTCCGGGGCAGGCTGCGTCAGCGGATAGCTGGTCTGGCGACGCCGATCGTGGTCGAGGCGATGTGATCGAAGTGCCTGTTCCGATGCTATCTGGAGAGCGATATGTCTACGGTGACGCAAGACAGCCAGAATGAAAACCGGTTGACTAACTTATTTTCTTCCCATTCTAGACATTTGCAAACGAGAAGCCTCTCATGGATCTCATCAGATCATAAAACGCGGCGAATAGTCCGGTTCTGCTTCATGTACGATGGGACATGTCGTATATGCTCACGAGCACGCGAGAGGTGCTGTCTCTTGACCTCTTGGTCAGACGACATGTTCCGTAGTCAATACGGCTGGTAGCTTCTGCTGCTCGCGATATGTGAGCATAACGATTAGCAGTAACATTAGGCATACTGAGCTCGCCCCACTGCTAAGACTCTGGTTTGCCGTCGTCCCTCATATCTTGCTCACATGTTGTTCCCTGCTTTTTCTTCTTGGACTTCTTTTTACTTCTTGTAGCTTTGGCAGTGGAGCGTTTGGACGTCTCTCTATTCTGCTCCATCTTGTTGGTCTTAGACAGCTCTCCGAGATCCTCGTGTATCTCGGCGATCTGCTCTTGGAGTTGGGCCATCTCACTGGTATGCTCGTTATCGGGTTCGTCGGCATCCCCCTTTTCACTCTCGAAAGCAAATGGAAAAAGCTTCACGGCCAGACCAGCATTCTTCATGACATTGTGGACCCCGTCTTCGCCGGCTTGGAAATGTACCACAGCGAGCAGGGCTCGCAAAGCAGCCGACAATATCTTGTCCGTTGGTGTCTGCTGTGAGTTGTCAGCATTCTCCACACCCATTCAATACAGCAGATATTATGGAGCTATCGCAGCCCGTCTGTGCCCCTAGTGTAACTACGCTGGGGCGAACTTACGTGCTCACCATCGCCGACGATCGCTCTGTCCAAACCGATCTCTCGTGCAGCTCTTCCATATTCCGATAAAGAAGGCAGTGGACGCTCTATGCCGCACTCTGTACAGCATTTCAGTCTAGCCATTCGACAACCAGTCACGCAGTGGACCAGAACTCGATCTGCTTACCTTCACCCTTGTCAAGCCTGCTTGCAAGCCAGTGCCTCCAGAAGTAATTCGCTATGATATTAGTCCCATGCGAGGCGAGTGGAATCTTGTTCCGAACCGCCTTACCATGTATATAGCGCTCGCCGCCATGAGCGTCGAGTGCCGCAGCCGCGTGCGCAATGTTGTCGTCTTCGAACTTGAAGCCAAGCAGACTCCCGGCCAACCCAACACGTTCTATAAAGACATCCTCGAGCTTGAACGCCTGCGCGCCTGGCTCGTTGGGTTTGGCTTTGTTGCTGTCAATGTGACCCTGGGAAGGCGAGCTCAGGACTTCTGGTATGTCGCACGGGTCTTTCGTGGTGACCAAGACTTCTTCTGTAGCCTCGATATTGCTCGTTCGCAGATCAGCGTTGTCATCGCCCGCGCCATTCTCTTCGTCCAGACTTCTATGCAGTAGCAGAGCACTATCAAATCCACCGATGTCGCCAGATTGTGCAAGAGCAGCACTAGTCTCTGTCATTGGAGTGGGCCAATCTCTGCCGTAAACCCAGTCGTCAGCGTTCCTCGTTGGTTTCAACGCGTCCTCAGTGAGTTCTATGGGACCGTCAGCGTCCTTTGTGATCACTGGCATTTTCAAATAGCCAATATGTTACAGAACATGATCTAATGCGATGTCGCCACCATCGAGATGTACTGCTCCTAGCACAGCCTCGAACACTGTGGCTGCTTGCCCGGCGACTTCACCAGTTGGTCTGAGAACACACTGATAGATCCCAGTGTGGACTGCGTAGCGCTTCATGGTGTCGTTATTCATCCTGTGATTGAAAGCAGGCCAGTGATCTTGAATTATCAGCTTCTGCCCAGCGAATTCAGAGGAGAAACTGACATCGAGTTATACCGCTCTGCAGGCATGCGAAAATCATCCTGGACCGTACCATACTGTCCCCGTATATAGCGAGACTGTTAGCAGTACTCCCGAACGGACGGTTCAGCGCCCTGTTGCTCGAAGAACCCCCATCCAGTGTATTAGCAATACGTTGCTGATGCCTGAACTTGTAGCTCAGAATCTCTTCGCACTGCCTCACGGCATCCTGAATTGTCGTCGGCGCAGGGTGCTCTTTTCTCGGCGTTGTCTCATCTATCGTTGGAAGTATGCTCGTTAGCTCATCTTCGGCCCTGACATCTCGCAACATGCGAGGGATGAAATAGTTTGCGACCTCTTCATTGGGACACTTTGACCGGAGCTGAGTAACGACTCGGTTGAACTTGAGAGTTTGCCGCTTGTGCTGGGCAAGGAGCTCGGCGTTTGCGGCCGGGCTCAGTGCTGGTGTTTGTTCCTGTCTCCCACGCAAAATCTCGCCAACGCCCTGTAAAACACCATTGAGATTCTTAGGCCAGCCAGACGGCTGGAGCGATTCGAAACCCGAAAGCTGGAAGAGGATGTTGTCGAAATCTCCTCGGATAGCTGACAGCTCCGAAGCCGAAGTTTTACGCTGCAAGAGGGCTCTATGGTCGCGAAGTGTTCTCTCAAGGCTGAGCCCAAGTCTCGTTGCAAGTCGTGTCGCTGGAGCTAATCCCATAGAACTTTTCGGAGTTCTGCAAGACCAGGGAGTAAGCCAGCAAGGCGGCTCTGCTCGGAGAGTGGGTCGAGGGTGCGTCCTTAAAAGCAATGACTTTGATGTGTAGCGTTCTTGCAGCTCAAATAACAGTTTACTAAGGCAAAGATTCAATGGTGGCCCCTGGGAAGCTTGGCTGCATATTCACTGCCCGGATGATCCTGGTGTACATATTCTAGGGTGCAGTACCTACTTATGTGTGATCTCCTACCTAGGTACTTCTCCTAACCATTTCTTGTCTTCAGGCACATCTGCAGGCATCCCCTACCTTCTTCGACTTACCCTTTTGCAACCCAGTCACGAAGAATCAAAAGCAATCCGGTATAAATCACGTGTAGCAGCAAGCTTTCTGTACGGTCAATTGATGACCGTGACGAGCAATGCAACAGCACGAATTCCACCCCGCGATCGCCCACCCCGACCGGGCCTGGAGGGAAATCGAGCCCAACATCCACGAAATGACACTGAACTCCGCCCTAGGCTCACCCAGACGGACTACGCTGCAGCGATGGGCGCCCAACACGGACAACGTCTGCCAGGATTTCTCACATGACTACATTGAGGAGATCTATATCGTGGAAGGCTCCCTGTCGTGCGAAGACGACCCCAGTCGTGGCGTGAAAGGTGGAAAATGGGAGAAGGGAGCTTATGCTTATCGAAAACCTGGCATGAGGCACGGGCCCTTCAGGAGCGGTGACCAGGGTTGCCTTATGTTCATTGTATGCTTGCCTGTGGAGAGTGACCCTGGATCTGCTGGAAAGTAGCAGTCCTGCGAGCCACATGCAGGGCTTTGTCGTTATACAAGTCGGCCAGTGCTTCATGACCTCTGTCCTCAATTGCACCTAAATGCTCCAGCATTGGTAATGGCCCCGAGGCCCGGTGAATGGCGTGCGCGTGGAGACAGTGGAGAGAAGATGGACATCTCCGATCGGCAACGAGCCCGTATCTATATTCCTTCCTACGGAGGACTCTGCGCCACAATATCAGAGCAAGCCGTCCAAGTTACTCTGCCAGCATACACACATGCCCGCTATGGTGGAATTCATCCCGGAAACGACAAGATCATGGACGACCAACCTCGACGGCGTTCCCGCCCTCACCCTCCGCACTAGTCCCACCCCAGACCCCCACTCCCTCCCCGTCGACCACGTCCTCGTCAAAATCCTCAGCGTCAGCCTCAACTACAAGGACGCTGAAATAATCAACGGACTCTTCAAGCACCACAAGTCCAGCGTCGCACCCCCAAACCTGATCCCCTGTGCCGACAGTGTCGGCGTGGTGGTCGCCGTCGGCCCAACCTCGACCCCCACCACACAAGCCTCCTCCACCTCCTCGCCACCCAAACCGAAATGGTCCATCAACGACCGCGTAATCTCAGTCTCCTACCCCCTCTACCTCACCGGCCCTGCGGCCCCTGCCCTTCTCGCAGCCGGAGTCGGCTCCGCAACCAACGGGGTCCTGACCACCTACCGGGTCTTCCCCTCTCACGGCCTCGTCGCCTGCCCGCCCTCCCTCACCACCCAACCACATCTGGCATGCTGCCTCCCCATCGCCGGTACTACCGCCTGGATGGGCCTGCACTGGTGGCGACCCATCTCTTCCTCCCCTGAGCTCTTCGTCGCTGGCGATCGCAGTTCGGAGAGTCTTCTGCTGCAGGGGACAGGTGGAGTGAGTATGTTCGGTCTGCTCTTCGCATTTGCAGCCAACTTCGCGCACGTCATCTTGACGAGTGGATCGGATGAGAAGCTCGCGAGAGCAGAGGAGTTGGTGGCTACTGCGTTCCCGAAGTCTGCGACGAAGTTGTCGACGATCAACTACAGATCCACGCCACAGTGGCACAAACGCGTTCTTGAGTTAACGGACAACGAAGGCGTGGACATCATCTTCGAGAACGGCGGTGGCGGGTCCCCGAGCACGAACTCCACTCTAAGGTCGTTCCAATGCGTCAAATTCGGCGGCATTATCAACAGCATCGGATATGTAGGTGGGAAGACCGACATCCTGTCCCCCAGCTCCGACTCAGACACTGCCAAAGGAGCAATCGACGGCGGCAACGATGAAATCGCACAAGCAATGTCCACAAATATAAATGTACACGCCCTTGCACGCAATTTCACGCTCAAGGGACTGCTCAATGGGCCACGGGATCGGATGGAGGAGATGTTGAGGTTCGTGGAGTATCATAAGATCAAGCCTGTGGTCGACAAGGTGTTCTCGTTCGACGATGCGCGCGACGCGCTGCAGTATCTGTGGGATGGAAAGCATTTTGGGAAGGTGGTTATTGAGGTTTCGCCGGATGCTTGAGACTGTCATTTTTTAGTGTCAACGAAATGGGAGTAGCCACAATCTGAATGAGGCTGGTAGCGACGTACCACAGCCCGCACCAGCAACCAGATCCGACATCTGACGGACCATGGCGCCTGAAGGAAGCAGACCGACATGACCAACGAAATCAATGCGAAGACCGCCTTAGTCGTGCTCTGGAGTGGTTCGCATACGTACTCCGTGCATGATATGGCGGAAGCTGGAACAGTCGCTGTCAGACCCTGAAGCTGCAGAGTGTATGACGCCTTGTACGGCAGTCCCGTCAGAGTTGAGCAGCTTCCAGAAATCGGCAAGACGGGACGGGGAACAAGGAGCCACTGCGAGGTATTTCCGTACGGCGGCCTTTGATGAGGCTGAATTGCTTGTCGCGCAACCTGTAAGGAATCCCAAGCGCACTGTTCACGCGAACGGAGTGAACGATTGCAAGACCATCGTATATGATCAGAATGCTTGAGCTACCATCGTCACTACTGCCCTTTGCAGGCTCTATCGTGTGTACTGTCTACTCCCTGTCAATATCGTACATAATGATACACAGGCGTCGGAGAGCGATCGCTTTCCTCCTCGTCCGCAGCATAATCCAACAAGAAGACCATTCCGCACTAACGTATACACTGCCGTCATCTCATTATACATTATACAAAACCCAAAGATACCCTCTCTTGCCCTCTTCCTCAACTAACCAAAACTCCCAGGAATCTTCAGATCTTTGGTTTTGATGGAGCTCGCTCCAAGTGTGTCGACCGTGCTCTTCGTCATGGAGCTGAATCGCTTCAACTCATCGTCCATTTCCTGACCGTCTTGGTGTTCGTGACTGACATGCCCATCAGGACCGAAGTCCTCAAGCTTCTTCATCAGTCGCTCTTTGACTCTCTCCTGTTCTTTGCCCAGCGACTTTTGGAAATCGAGCGTACTGTCGCGCAGCTCCGGACTTCCTACTGGGCTCCTCATACGACTTCCTTCCGGCTCGTTCGTCTCAGCATTCGGAGTGTTAGCTTCACTTGTCAGTGCCGAAAGGCTACCTACGCAGTCTGCATAGTACCGCCCCCAATCAATCGCTTGCGTCCTTGGGAGCCGAGCAGGTCCAGACTGCGTGCTCTCCGGACATGACATTCTTTTCGTGATCTTACGCTGTGATGTCTCCGTCTCTTGGCTCAGCTGGGCGTCGAGACTTTCTTGAAGACGTCGCAAACATGTCTCCGTGAGTAAGTCGTGGTTATGACCACCTAGACACTCTAGCTCTGGATACTCGAGAGCATCGCCCAGACTGACACTGCTCCGATGGCCATGAAAAAGAGCGTACTTGCGAAAATCAGTGCTGCTGCTTCTATACATTCTTTTCCACCTGCCCAGAAGGCCTTTGCGATTCTGTCGCGCTCTCGCGGCTGGACTGAGCATAGCCCGATCACGCAATGGCATACTTTTACTCTTGTTCTTGTTGAGTGTCTTCTGTAGGCTGGAGGGCAGAATAGTTGACCACTTGTGATTTAGTGGTGGCTTGTTCTCGTCTGACTGTTTTGGGGGCAGTGCGCCACCAGCAGAGGTGAGAAAATCGCGGGCGATAATATCGTCCGCTTCCCCAGCAGCACCATTACGTTCGGCCCGGGTGTGGCTGGGAAACTTGGACCAAGCGTCAAAAAAGCTCTTCAGCGGCGTGGTTGAGGTGTGGCCTTTCCTGCTCGAAGTGCCTTGGCGAGCATCACCGAGGCCCGGCATGCGTTCCTTGGGAGTTTGACCATGAAGTCGACCACGGGGCAGCGCAGTGTCATCAGAAGCTCGCAGTGCGGGTCCTGGAGAACCGCTAGATGAGATAGCGTGCTTCTTGAGTGCTGTGGCGTTGAGGGCATCATCCACACTCCGAGATCTACGAGTGTCCCACGACGAGCCGGAATCGATTCTTGGCACGACAGGTGGCACGTTGTCCGTACTCAACGTGAGTCTTCTCTTCCTGCCATCTCGGTCGAATCTTGGGACTGTTAAGAACTTGTCATGGTTCGGCGGTAGTTCGCGAGCTTGCCGAAATGCTCGAGCCCAATTGTCCGCGGCGTTTTCTGTGCTTTGAGATTGAGTGGGTCTCCGTTGCTTGCTGTTGCGCCGGCTCCGATCGCAGTGAGCATCACCAACCATCTTTGGTGTACGCTGGCCGATGGAACCGGGAGCGCTCTGTGCGATCGAATCGGCGCCATCTGTGAGCCGTAGCACATCGTATCTGCCAGCTTTTGTTGCAGAGCTGACAGTCTTGTGCAAGTCCTTCAAGTCAGTGAGACTGATCTCAGTAAGGTTCTCGTTGCGTCGATCCATTGCTTTGCCAATGCTGATCTCGCTCATCTGCTCGGCACGACTTCTGGATTCACGCAGATGCTTCGGCAAAGGTGTTGGACTGATCTCCCTCTCCCTAGCTCGTTGTACTGGTCCATCAGCGAGGCGTTGGCTGTTGAAGGCAGTGGATGCCGCAGGCGGATTGTTCTCAGATGAGCGCCTATTGCGGCGTTGAGTGGCGCTGGATGGGCCACTGTCAGGGTTCACGCCGCGATTGTGCCTTTGGATGTCCGAGTAGTCTCCTGACACCGATCTGCCACCAACAGCAAGACTGTGCGGATTGAGCAGCGATTGACGTCTGCTGACGCGAGCAGTACTGCAGTGGCTGTCAGTCGGTGGAGCGGTATTGCTCAAATAACACGAGCTTGCGTTATCCTGCAACGCTTGGTGCACGTCTCGACGAGAAGAGCCGCTGTGGGCAGAAGTGACAGTCTTCCAACTCTGGCTTTGGTCTCTTGCTTTCGAGAAATTTTCGAAAAGCAGACGTGTTGCAGGGTCCGATGGCTGCCGATTATGCTCATTTGAGATGCGTCGATGACCGCTCACCATACGCGAGTCATCTACACTGAAAGACCGTCGAGACTCACTTGGAGATATTGTGGGTGATCGCACGGGCAATTGAATCTGGCTTGCTAGCCTCTGGGAGATCCGCATGTTGAACAGATGGACGGAGTCAGAGTCTCTGTACAGTGACGATGCCATCGTATTCGATCTTGAAGGGGCCATGGTGGCATCTAGCTGCACAGGAGGGGCAGCACCATTTGTATTGCTGTAGTCGAGCTCTTTCGTGGGCCGCGGCACGGGAACCACCACGTCCGCCGTGTCACTCGAATTTCTATGCTCAGCATACTCCAGGTATTGAGGATAGAGCTCGGATATCAAGCTTATCCGCTTGCCGCTTTCTGACGTGGTGTCTCGCTTATCCCTTGCAATTGTAGTCTCTGGAGAGGAGTCGTGTTTCTTCCTGATCTCGATACTTCTGGGCAAGCTGGACGATCGCTTCGGAGGCAGGAGGTGCCAATCTGACTTCGCTTCCATGATGCTGGGAAGACGGCCGGGGCGTACTCCCGGAGAGGTCGATATCTCAATGCTTCCCTCGTCGACTCCGGAGCTCACGCGACGCAAGACTTCCTTGGGTGTTTCATCATTGCGCATCTGCAAGGCATCCACGAAGGACATTCTGCGGAGAGGTACCGAGGGAATGGGTGGAAGACCCTTCAGTGCATTTGACCGACCGTGACCTGAAACCCTGTTGAGCTTTGAAGGAGGGCTTGTGAGTGACCGAATGGATGAGCGTTGCGACTCCAGCTTTTCAAGAGTCTGCTGTACAAGTCCCGACTTGAGAGTAATGGTTCCAGCGCTGCTGGCGAGCACAGGGCTGTCGAGGCTCTTCGCATCACTATCATAACCACCCTGACTGGCGTTCCTGGAAGCAAGCAGGCAAGACAGGCGCGCTGTGGAGTGGCTGGCGGGCGCGGTGCCTGTGCCTTGTACGTCCGGAGGACTGGCTTCTGCGATGCCACCCAGATCACTCGTCTCACGGAGCGACTTCTGTATGCTTTTCTTTGAGCTTGTCCTGCTTAGGTGTCCGCCAGAGAGCTTCTGTTTGATATGCTGGCCTAGCTGCTCGACACGACTGGTTGGTCTCGGCGTCGAGGGCTCACCGAACTTGAAGTCCAGATCGAGCGAAGGCCGGCTGGTGCGTTTGTAACCAGGAGTCGCTGCTGCGGTGTGGTAGCCACGAATGGATGAGGAGCTGCTGAAAATATGGTGAAGTGCAGCAGCGTCATCGCTGTGAGTCTCGCTCATGGATCCATGTGGTACGGTGTTATACGATAATGGTACAGACAGTGCTGATGCAGGTACTTGAAGGGTGGACAGACTAGATCGGCCATCTCTATCGTCGTGGGATCGCCAGAAAGGAGTGCAGCACAGGAAATGAGAGATGTTGCAAGTGAACTCATACATGATTAAGGCCACATTCGGAGCACCGATAATGCATGTGGTGGGGGAGTTGATGGCTTCAGGAAGAGCCAGCTGTTATTGGCAGTAACTTGGTGGTTGTTCCTTCCATACTGGGTGCCTTCCCGCACCATCTAGATCCATTCATCGTTTTTTGGAAGGCGTCCACGGGAACTTGAGGAAGGATGGTACTTCGGGTTCCTTCCCGAACTCGATCCTGACCAGCCACTCTTCGAGCTCAAGCTCTTCTGACTGCTTGCACTTCTCGGCATTGGAGGTCTGTAATATCTGGCACCTCCAGGCGAACTAGCACTTGGTGTAGTAGTACTTTGAATTGGTCGTGGACTGTCGATCGGTCTAGGAGGAGTTCGGTCCTTCAATCCAAGCTTCTGTAGCAGATCGCCAGGCTTCATCGAGCGCCGAAATCGAGAGGATTTCCCGGGCTTGTAAGTTGCTCCTAATTCACCACCATGTCTCATGCCTGCCAGAGCTGTTGCCAGCGGACCACCTGCTTCGCCATTGCTTGTGTATCGGCCAATATCAGGCGGGTACACAGCGCTGATTTCGCTCATAGTATCGGCATCCTTCCGGGTGAAGTTGACTTGTCTGCCAGACGAAATCGTGCCCCACTTGGCAGGCGCCATCTGGACATCCTCCTCAAGCCTTTGCAGTCTTGGGGTTGGGTAGTCGTCCTCCTCTTCCTCATCTGATGTGAATATCATGACATTCGAGCTTTTGGACTCATCGTGCTCACCCAGAAATTGACTGAGGCTTTCGACCTTGTCATCGGAGACAACAATATTTGGAAGGCCCCACGACTCGGTGCTACCGCTTGGCTTCACCCTGGCCTGCCGACTTGATTTGCCTGAGGCACCCATGTTCGTTTTAGGAGTCCGCGGAAACGGCGATGTGGATGAACTTGCCGTCGTCAAGGACAGCTCCGGCGATCCAATTGGCGTCCTGGATCGACCGGCGCTCGCCACATCGTGTATCATTCGTTGCCTCGACTGCACAGCGGACTCCCGGTCGTGTTGCAGCTGCAGAATGTCATCCATGCCATGCGCACTACTTGGCCGGCTTGGCCGACCAAGGACCTGCGACAGCTTATCGCGTCTCTGATGTGATGATGTTCGCACGCTCGAAGATCGCCGCATATTGGCTGGCGGCCCCGACTGTGTCTGTGCTGATGAATAGTGCGCAATCGCAGGAAAATAGGAATCGTCGTCGACGTCCGAGAAACCATCGAAATCCGGTTCCTCCATGTACTTCGATACTGGTCGCACTGGTCCGTGCTGACGTAGGTCCTTCTCGGCCGGCTTTTGAGGACTGGGCGATCGACCTATGTGCCGCACAGTGTCCGTATCGGGAGAGCGTGGCCTTTCAGTCTGCTTTCCTGTGCTAGGCGCCGGGTCTGCAGGCTTATCAACAGAGGCTCTCGGCATAACGAGTTCCTGCGGCTTCTCATGCTGAGGCGAAGACGCCGGACGTTGATGTTGACTCGAGACATTCCTCGGCAGGCGACTGACCAGATTTGGCGAGCTCTTCTTCTTGTTCAGTGGAGGAGCGGGCTTTCTGATCTCAGAGGCCGTTCCCTCTGTGCTGGTGCTAGGCTTGCTTAACCCAGAAGCCGTTCCCTCTGTGCTGGTACTTGGCTTGCTTTTCGCAGTAGCAACACCGTCCGTTACAGGGCCAGGCTCGAGACTGAGAAACTCCTGCACCGATATCGAACGTGTATGTGGACGGTCAACATGCTGCCCAGGCTCTCGCTGCGGCCCTCGAGGCTGCCACTTTGGTTTGCGCGGGGAGCGTGGCACAGTATCGAGGAACTCATGCAGGGACAGCTTATTGATTGCTGCGCTCGCTGCATCGTCTTGCGCGGATGCTCCATTCGTCTGCGCCGCCTCAACCTTCCCCAACTGCGGATCGTTCTTGCCTTTCTCAGTCCCTACTGGTGTATGGTTCACGGGCTCGCCTGCGCTCTCTTCCTCTGCGATCGCAGCAGCCAGCTCTTCATTGTACCTCGCTTGAATCAGAGCTCTGACCCCTCCACTGCGACGGGGCTTCGTAAGTCTGTTACGCGGCTTCCTAGAGGTGTCATTCGAGTCGGGGTGCGGCACGTGTGGTTGTGGATTGGTAACGGCTTGGTGAGTGCTTGCCAGAGCAGCTCGGTCTCCTCCATCTTCACCAACATTGCGCGCGAGCAACTCCGCCGATCTCTCAACAGACTGCTGTTGTGATACATCTTGCTCGACCCGCACTACCTCGTCATCAGACGTGTCTGAATCAACAATGACCACCCTCCGACTTGAGTCCTGGCCAGAGGCGTGACTGAGCGCAGTCTCGGGACGTCCCGACGGACCTCGCGGCCTGTACGTCGAATTTTTGGTATTCCCAACACGCGACGGCTGATCTTCCCGCAAGTACTGCAGCTGCTGATCGTTCGGCAAGGAGATCAGGCCCTGACTCGAGTAGTCGGCCAGCACTAGATTGTAGGAGTACTTTCCAGGCATCCTGTGAGCTCGGCCTCACGCGGATGAGGAGCGAAGAGAAGCAACACAGCACACAACAACGCACAAAAACGCCAGGCTCACGTTCGAGACATGGTAGCTGACTTCACCAGCAGAAATCAGCTAGCCTAGCCAAACGGCAGCAACCGCAACATCATCTCAGCTGCGCAAAGTGGCCAGCCCGATAGGCGAGTCGCACCAACACCAAATTCGTGTTTTTTCTTCAGGTACCGCGATCCCCGCGATGGATCTGGCCTACCGGCATTATTCTGGGCGCTCATCTCCCAGTAGTTCGGTGGTCGCGCGGCTGAAAAGCCGGGGGTGCTCCCCTGGCACTACATGCGACGACTTGCATCCGCGCGCCGCGAGCCTGCAGGTCGTTGATAAAGTTCAATCAATGATATCAGCTCGTCTGTGTTTTGGGCAGCAGCGGGGCTTGTGTCGTGCATGAAGCTTTTCAGAATAAGAAACGTTAGAAAAAGCCGCTGTGCCCGTTTGTGGCACTGACACGGTCTGACAGATGCAGGTGATACGGATCTGTCATGATAGGCTTGGATTTGTGCTTCTACTGGCAGCGCTAGGCGATAGGCCAGCCTGACGGATGCCAAAAGTGGTTGCGGGTTTCTTTTTCGATAGAGCATCGAGCTAACGCCTGTCCCGAGATTTCGGTAGCCAATGTTGCACAAAAATCTTCTTAGGTGCCGAACAATGCTGCCCAACAGCAAGGTTCGGTACGATCGCCCGGAGTTGCATCCCCGTGTTCACAGTTGGCCTGGCCGATGGATGGCAGCATCTGCATCCTCGCAGCCAGAGGAGACGAAGTTGAGCGTTGGGCTGAACCCGTCCAGACTTCTGGACAACCAACGTTGCAGAGAATCTTCACATGCCCCGTTGCTCTCTCCCCATGATCAGATGACAGAGTTGGCCTGCAGGCAGAAGAACGCGACTGCATAGTGCATAGTGTTGATAGACTCAGGGGATGACAGCGTCATCGATTCGGACATCTGCTAATGTTGTACTTACTAGTGCTACATTATTACACAGATTGACAGGCTTTCCGACGCTCGGTTTGATGCGAACAAGAAAGCTTGATCCTGCCGTTTCGCCATCACAATAATATCAATAAACCTGAAATCAATACTCAAATCAACGCCCCGTTTGTCGTTCACGTCGTTGGAAAACCTTCTGGCCCTGCCATATCCATTTGCCGTTATCTGCCAAGTTGCCAACGCCCACCTAGTACCCAAACATCATCACTGCCCTCAGCTCGAAGTGCCGAGCGCTTCAGCCTGACTCATCTGAAAATACTCCAGCGCCTCTCCCACCGCAGCAGGTGGATGCTCCTCAGTCGCCGTAGGCGGCTCAGTGCCGAGCCCACTGTCGCTGCCGTGCAAGTCGCTGTTGGGTTTGTTGTCGTATCGTAGGCCTCCACTCTCGGTGAAGCTGGGCGGCGGTATAAGCTGGAACCAATCATTCCCGTCGAGGTCAGGCGTGGCCGCAAAGTCGACTTCATCGAATGCCCCATCGAGAGTAAGCGCCATCGAGTTCGGTTTTGCTGCTTCCAGCGCTGTTGTTTGGTTCGCCGGCGTCGCAGTGATGGTCAATTGTTGTGTCAGCCCATCATCGACGCCTCCTTCTTCAGCAGCGCTCTGGTCCGCTGCATTGTCCAGGTCGTTCTCGTCCTCCTCTGCAATGGACTGCGTCTGACCGTTGATCGTGCCGCCAATACTACTAGCATAGCTCGCGGTCCTCCGACCACTCACACTTGATCCTGTGCCACTGACCTCGCTTCCAGTACCGTATGCCAGGCTGTCTGTATACATGTAACTGGTACCACTGACGATGCTGGTACGTCGTTCTGTGCCGGCATCACTGAATTGCTCATCGTCATCGTCGCCTTCCGCGCCCTCATCAGCGCCGTCGATGAGTGCAGTTGGATCGCCAAAGTTCTCCTTGTCGGCCACGGTCGTTACTACGCCATTCCAGCTGGGCTTGCGGCTGCCAGCGTACATGCTTGGGTTGCTCTTAACGGATTGAGAGCGTTTGAGCCCAACGAATGAGCTTGCAGGCTTGGGTGCAGGAGCAAGAATCAGAGCACCGGCACGGTCTGGTGTTGCTCGTCCAGTAACATGGCTTGTGCTGAGTATACGGCGATCCGCGTTCGACTGTCGAGTATTCGTGCCTGATCCGAGCGGTGTACGCTTCTTCAGAGTCATGCCGACAGCAGAGCCAATTGCAGACCCTTGCTTGCTGGCGTTAGCAGTCGACGGCCGTGTTGTTGCTGTGCTCGATGTGGTGCTGACGACTCGCTTCAGAGACATGGAGGCATCACGCTCTGCAGGCGAGATCTTCTTCGAGGTCGGCATGGCTTTGCTGGTGCGAACAGTTCGAGCATGATTCATAAGACCTTCGAAGATGCGACGTTCGAGGGTCTCAGCACGACTGTTCATGTCACGCATCTCTTCCTGGCGAATGCTGAGAGCGGTCTCAAGTTTGGCGACGTCGCGAGTGAGCTTCTTGGTCTGGCCGCTGAGCTGCTCGTGCTCTCGGCGAAGGTCTGCCATCGAAGCAGCCAGTGCTTCTTTCTCCTGTCTCAGCGACACGATCTCTGCTTCGACCAGCTCCTTCTGGGCGGTGCGTTTCTCGAGCGCGATTGCAGCTTCAGTGGCCGCCTGGGCTCTAGAGTCATGATGTTCTGCCATCAGACGGCTCTGAGTAGCGACCATGGCTGTTATCTCGCTTGCAGCAGCAACAACATGGCCATGGATTTCGTCAAGCTTGTCCAGTTTCTCGAGCTTCGCCATGTCCCCAAGCTTCTCATGAGTGGTTTTATGATGATCGTCGATAGAGAGTACATCTCCTTTGCTAATGCAGCATGAGAGATCAGATTGTTGAGCTTGTCGTGGACTTGCGAGTCGTCATACTTGTCTGGTGGAGGACTCTCGCGGACTGGGCTTCCTGGCGCTGGAAGCAAGGTAGGAATCGATGCCGGTATAGAGCTGACTCCAGACTTGATCTCTTCAGTCGCTCGAGTGAAGGTCTCGCTGTGCTGCTGAGAGTGCTCGTAGTGTCGGGTGACAGCGTCCAAGACCTCCTTGATTGCCGACAGAAGTGCTGGCTGGCTCTCGGTCACCGTGCCTTCCAAGCGTAATGCTGCTTCCACAGCTTTGGCGATCTCTCCACGAGTTTGTCCATGCTCGGAAGCATTCGCAATGTGCAGATCAGATATCTTCAAGGCCGCTTCGTCGGCCTTTTCAAACACGATCTTTGAATCGTCTGACATGCGTTCGCAAGTCTCGGAGACCGTGGAGCCAAGACTGTCCATGAGTGACTTCAACTCACTCACAACGGTCTTGATCTCGGTGGCGGCCTCGGTCTGAGCCTTGCTGGATTCGCCGAAGGAGGCCATCTTGACATCGCTAGCCAGTTGGGCATCGTCATACTTGGTCATGAGCTCGGTGAACTTCTCTTCGATGGCCGCTCGAATTTCAGCACTGGTCTCTTCATGCTTGCTGAACAGGATTGACGATCTCTCCTCAGTGTCGGTCTTGATTGAGGTGTGCCCTTCTGCGATCTTGCTGAGTTCAGATCTGACAAGCTCAGACAATTCGCCGATGCTCTCAGCAGTAGCATACGTGCTCATGCCGTCATGATGCAGCCCCAGGACCTTGTTCAGTTCCACGATACCCTCTTCGCTGCCGTCGAGCTTGGCCATGAGCTCGTCTCGTAGATCTCCAAGAACGCCTTTGACATCGTCGATCTTGCCGGCAATGCCACCGTGCTCAACTTTGCGAGCTTCGAAAGCTTGAGCCGTCAACTCGTTGTCAGCATCGTATTGATCTCTAAAAGCTTTCAGGCTGTCGCGAAGATCCACAACATCGTCCTTGGTCGGTAGTGCCTCGAGATCAGGTAAAGGCAATGCAATGATCTGGTCCTTGATCTCACCACACAGTGATTTGACGGCTTTGAGGTTTGTACCAGACAGTGTGCCGTCGTCAGCACTCAGAGTACCGAGGTGCTCCTGCATTTCTTCGACAGCTTTCTGTACGTCTCGGACTGTCAGCAGCATCAATTCTAGATCGACTTTGTCGCTGCTTTCGGTAGACCTCGTGGCTGTCTCCTCTACGGCGACTTTGATTTCGGCCAGAGTCTCTTCGATGGCATTGAGCTTCTCGGATTTAGCAGCAGAGTCTACACCAGGTGAGACAAGCTCGTCGATGGTAGCTTTCATGTTGCGTATCAGAGTCTCGAGGCGTCCGTGTCTTCCTTACATGCTGCGTTGGACGGCATCACAGCTTCCGGCGCCGGTGCAGCAGGAGCATCCCGAACTTGTCTGACTGTCGCATGTATGCCGTTCAGAGCAGCGTGAAGCTCGTCGATGTCATCTTTGTGTATGTGGACCTCAGACGGGACTTCAGATGGTGGTGGTGGCATATTGTCCAGCGCCTCGACCTTGATTCGAAGTTGTGTGATCATGACTTTGAGGCCCTCGATCTCTGTAGTGAGTTTGTTCTCATCGTGCACAACCATCGCCCGGTCTTGCGGATTGGACGGGTTTGCCTCAGACTGTAGCCTACCAATGTCCGCTCGAACATCCTCAATACCTGTCTTCAAGGTATCCAGGATCTCATAGCTGCTGGTCAGGTCAACTGGTCGGTCGATCATCTTCTGGAGGTCGGCACGTATTCCATCGACGCCTTCCTGGAAAGCATCAAGCAGCTCGCTTGTGTTTGACAGGATGCTTTCGCCATCACCTCCGCGGTTTCCTCCGCGGTGATTCTCCATGCCTTCGCGCACGGCCTCAAGAACATCCTCTCGCTGGAGAGAGGCTCCAGAGCTGACCAATGTTCCGGCCAGAGCTATACGCATGTGCTCGAGCTCCTCTTTGACCTGGCGAACGATGTCTTCCGTGCTGATATTGCTACCAACAGCGGAGCTCCGATCATCACTGAGGTCGCGGATCGCATCGAGAATGTCTTCCTTGTCCGAATCAGGCTGACCACGAACCATAGACTTGCTGATGGTATCGCGCAGGTGCTCAAATTCTTTTTCCATGGCATCGAGAAGTTCAGGAGTATTTGCGCTCGGCTGCGCACCACGCTCCCTCAGTGAGCGATCAAGATCTTCCTGCATAGTGGCAAATCCTGATTTGACAACGTCGATGATTTCCTCCTTGCCAGTGACGTCCGCTGCTCGGTCGACGTAGCTCTGGATGTCCTGCCGTAGGTCTTCCAGTCCATCCTTCAGGGCATCGAGGACTTGCTCGGTATCCCGTCCGCTAGCTGCAGAGTATTGCTGGAACTCGTTTTTCATGCTACCCAAAAATTCGTGCATTGCTTCAACGACACGCTCGCCCATGCCGCCTAATGGGTTTTGCTCGCCTTCCAAGCATGATTTGATAGCGTCGAAGAGGTCATCACGGTTGAATCTACCTCTTTGGCAACAGGTGGCTGATTTCTCATGCCCTCTTCGACAGCATCAATGACTTCTCTTCGGCTAAGACCGCTGCTGGTGCTCAACGAAGAGGGCGCAAGCAATGGAGCTGGCCAATCAAAGTTTTCAAGGACTTCTCGAACCGCAGCGAAGATCTCGTCGCGTGTGACCTGCTCTTGAGACTCGACCCGTGGTGGTGTGAAGCCGGCCATACCCTTACGCACGGCATCGAGCACCTCGTCGTAGGTGATGCCTGCTTCGTGGACCGTCGGCTGCAGAGGCTCTGGCATATAAGATTTGAGACCTTCCTGCAATGTCTCGAGAATTTCGTCTCGTTCTAAACCGTGGTGTTCGAGCGAGACTTCAGGCTTACACTCTTCCCATGCTTCCTTGACAGCAGCAATAATGTCCTCGCGCTCAGCGTCCAGATCGCGGTCAGCTGCTGGTTCTGGACGAGGCATAGTGGCGATGGCCGTGGTGACGGCATAGACAACGGCGGCTGTGTCCACGGCAGGCTTCTCAGGTTTTTTGCTGTGTTGTTGGGCTTCTGTAACAATCTTGTGCATATGTTCCTTGAGCTCAGCTAGCGCATCGTCCACAATAAGATCGATATCGTCACGACTCGGGCCCGATGAAGCTGGTTCAATCGCTCGAGCTGAGTTCTGTGCGCTCTCTAGTTTCTTCGCGATTTCTCGACCCATTCCGAGCACTTCTCCTCGCAATTCGCGGACTAGAGCCTTGACCTCATTTGTCAGACCGCCGTTCTGCGACATAGACTGCTTGACACTTTTTAAGGACTTCAGTATATCGTCACTGGCCAAGTCGGAACCAGCGCTCATGTTGGAGTCTCTGCGATTGCCCTCAAAACGCACTTCTAGCTGATTGTCGCGTCGAGGAGAGTCAGTGTGACGAATGATCGACTTGGCGTGCGAGTCGTCTTTGATCTGACGAAGATGACCAAGAATATCTTCCAGCTTGGACATTATCTTTGGGTCGTACGCTGGCTGGGGCGGCAGAACAGTAGTTGATGATGGTACCAGTGCCTGAGACCGAGCGCTCTCCATAATATCAAGCAGTCGTTCCTGGCCTTCCTTTGTAGCCATCTCACGTAGCACCTTTTCCAGAAGAGCGATGCTAGCCGCGCCATCGGCATATGCCAGCGACGGAGAAGCCGTGATGTCTCGATCGAAACCGGCAGAGAAGCTTGTTGGACTTGCAATACGTGGAATGAAACTCTTCTTGGGCGTTGATTGCTTGTCTTCTAGATAGAAGCCGAGGTTGGGCGTGGACCTCGCAGCCTCTGGAGCACCGAGCAGTCGTTGCTCACGGGCAGTGCCGCGCAGATCAAGGTTTGAAACAAGCTCTCGCAAGCTGCTTCTGATATCCTCATCTCTCTTGTTGGTCGCATCTTTCAAATTGTTCAGATCCGATGCATTGTCCTTGCTTCGCTTACTGAGGTTGGCCATTTCACGCTGAAGATTCGTCGCGATTCCTGTGATATTTAGAATCTGCGATGACAGTGCCTCGAAGGAGTACGAATTCGCTGGAGTGGCGCCATTTGTGACATCGCGCAAGGCCGTCGAAGCCTCTTGTCGGCTACGAATGGTCTGCAAGGCCAACATCGGTGGAGTGTTCTCTGTATCGAGGTTGCGAGGAGCGGGCGTTGGGGAGTCTGGGGCGCGAGTCGGGCTGCGATCCTTGCGGCTCGACCTGATGTCCTCAAATTCGACGTGCTTGGAAGAGCGCAAGCCTTTATCTGGTGATCTTCTCTCAAGCGAATCGCTCAGTCTGCCGATGCTGCCGCTGGTCTGGATTGTCTGCATGCGACGATGTTGTGGCTTGCTTGGGCTCTTCTCGGGCGACTGTGGTGGAAGCGGAGAAGGATTGCTTGTGTAGCTACTAGGTGCATTTTCGCGAGCTCGCGCTTGGATCAGTGCGGCGGCTTCCTCAATACGAGCTGATGTGTTGGGACGAGTGATCGGGCTGCTGTTGCCTGGATTCAGAGGAAGTGGTGGCGGTGCTCGTTCAGGATCTGAGCTGTCCCACCTGTTGATGTGTTAGCACATGGCAGACCAGTAATGGTGTGTCACATACATGGGAATATGGATTCGTCCATTGTCCGACGAGAAGGAATGCTGATGCTTGACCAGACGGGAGTCTGATCTCTCGCGTGAGACATCCCGCGAAGACATGATGGTCAATGCCCGAGGTTCGACGATCTGTGGAATGCTGTTGCGGAGGCGATCGAGCAGATCATTCGACGCGCATTATGCCCGGTGAATCTCCTCGATGAGAAGCCAGAGTACGTCCGAAGTCGTCGTGAAAGCAGCAAGCAGTACACAAAGCCTCAATATGCTGCTAGAATGAGATGAATGCTGATTGAGACTTAAGCGACCATGACCTTGTTCACAATGACGAGCACTAGCGGAGGTGCTTGGCTTCTGCTTTTTGGAGATCACTGGCGTTTGTCAACAGATTGCCAGTCGTGGTTAGCTCATCTGGATCTTCCCGTTTTCTTGTCTCCGTCTAAATCCGTTGATCTTTCTTCGAGCTTGGCACTCCACAAGAAACTCGCACAACTGCAACCGCAGGTCAGTCATCGTGAACTTCAGTCGACCACGCCAACCACAATCTACCGCCCAAAGCTTCACGATGAAGTTCCTCAAGGTCGGCCGCGTGGCCATCATTACCCGCGGACGCTATGCTGGCAAGAAGGTACGGCTCACACCCTCAACGGACCTGCGAAATATCTTGTCGCAAGCGTCTAGTTTGAACGAACACGGAGCATCAACTGATTCAATACACAGGTCGTGATCATCCAACCCGTCGATTCCGGCACAAAAGCTCACCCATTTTCCTTCGCCCTTGTCGCCGGCGTCGAGCGATACCCATCAAAAGTCACCCGCCGCATGGGCAAGAAGCGAGTCGAGAAGCGATCCAAGGTCAAGCCATTCATCAAGCAAATCAACTACAACCACATCATGCCCACCCGATACACATTAGAACTGGAAGGTCTCAAGAACGTCATCTCAAACGACACATTCAAGGAGGTCAGCCAGCGGGAAGATGCGAAGAAGCAGGTCAAGAAGGCGATGGAGGAGCGATACCTGAGCGGAAAGAACAGATGGTTCTTCCAGCCTTTGAGATTTTGAGCAGACCGAAGACGGCGAGATGGGAGCTTTTCGGAACGCGCGGTCATCCACGACCAGCGGAAGCACGCATTTGCAAGCGGACGGCATTTCTCGACCAGGGCACCAATGAGTAGTCACGATGGAGAACAGAAATGAAAAATCCGATACCACAGGTTCATGTTTTCGAATCATGAAAATGTTGCAACCGACGTCTCAGTCAAGGTACAAATCGTCCTTGAGACGAGCAAGGTTCCGAAACAGCCCTCCTCCATCATGTCGAGCAGGCCTGCCCTGCGCAGATGCTGTTCTGTGTGGACTGCCTGTTCGAGACCGCTCAGAAATACCTCTCGCCTCTAAATTGCGCTTGCGATCGTCGACGAGTCTCTGTAGACCTTCTACAAAACGTATGCGGACCTTCTCTTCGCTCGTGCCCTTCCAGAGACCGGCCAATTGCCTGTACTCCTCCACTCTCCGTGAAGCAGCCTCCAGGCCCGCAGTTCCGCCACCATCTGAATCAAGTAAATCTTGTATTTCGACTCTGATCTTCTTCGTAGCATCACGCGCTTTGTCGTCCCCGTCAGTGGTTTGAATGCCACCGAGCTCCGGCGCGGACACAGTGATCAGCGACGAGCCGAGTTCCGAAGGCGGAACAGGCCACTTCATGGCCTCGCCAAAGAGGTTCACAACTGCCTCGAGACGCTCCTTGACCTGCGTCAATCTTCGTAGTTGCGTGATGAATGCGGGCTCCTGCTGTGGCTGTGTCCCAGGCAGGCTTTCAGCGTCCGCTCCATCTTTCTCTGCTGAGCTGCTCAAAACTTCCTCGCGAACAAACAACCGAATGTCGTCCTTGAGAGTGTCCGTCAAGAGATCGTAGAACGAATTGACATCGCCACGAAGGATTTCTACTTCGTACGCAAGCCGATTGCCGCTGCGCAGAATCTCATCCGTGAGCACAGTGAGATCTGACGATGTGCGGATGTTGTGCGCGTTTATCTTGGAAAGGGAGGCTTGCAGGTCTGTAGAAGCAGTCTGTAACTGACCAGTCCTTGCGATCTTGCCGGACTGCGCCTGCGACGAGAGCGTCACCGTAGGCAGGACATCGTTGAGGTAATCGACAGCATCAAATCGACTCCGTGAAAGAGGCTGTAGTACTGGATCGGCCGTCGACGTAGACATCTGCTCGCTGGTACAACAATGACCACCCTTGGGCCCTTTGATTCGTCAAGTGTCCCGCGCCGAGCTTTTCCGACTCATCGCCTTCTATCGAGTTCGACTCCCGCTCTGATGAACCAAAATCTGCTGTCTATATACCCACAGCAAAGACACCGACCAGCCAGTACGCCTGTGGCTTGGGCGCGATCAGCCGGAATTGATCTCCGAATAGCCTAAAGCTTAAGCGCCTCCCCCACAAGTTGTCGTTTGCCTGCCGACTTGACCTCGTCTCTTCACTTGATGAACCAGGCAACCACGCCCCGCCCCTGGCTCTTTGCCTGAGGGGCTTTTGGTCTACCACTGCACATAATGCTGAATTCTGAAGTCACTTGAGCTATTGTAGAGCACGACTCGAGACTCGGTCTGACTCCTGAAGCTGCATCTTTTTTCGCGTTCGTCATTCTGCCCACCCGTGCCATGTTGTCGTCTTGAACCAAGTCGAGACGCTTCACACAATCGCGTTCGCGATCAACCCTCCACTGCTCCCGACTGAGCAACTGTCACTATCATTTCGCTGACTTGACAGTGGCCGAGTGATGGACTCTCTTCAAGGCCGATTACCTTGTTGAGGCAACTTATTGTGAGGCAGGAGTGTTTAACGGCGGCTGAGCGACCTTAACTTCTGTTGCCTTCCAGAGTACCTTATTCCACAACTTTCTTTAAGAGAGGTACTTCAGTGGGAGATCTCTGAACACTCACACTACACACCTACCAGCGACCTCCACTTCTCAACAGTCCACCGCTCGTCCACGATGGGTCGAAAACTCTTCCTTCGACACACTGAGTCGCTAAGCAATGCGATACTGTCGGACGAAGGCGAAGTGTCGTTCAGCTTTCAGCATGGTTCACGCATCTGTCGCCTCAAACTACTCGCTTCCGACCTCGGAGAATACCCTGACGGCAACACTTGGTTTCTGTTCACCGACGACGATGACGCCGACAATATCATCACTAATTCTTTTGAGCTCATCACTCCACTGCTCTTCGGGAAGCCTATCGCCGATGCCATAGAAGAGGTAGCTCAAGCACTCACAACAGCCATCTCACAAGGTCAATCGACACATCCTATAAGCGTTAACGATTCCGATGGTGGACATGATTCAGAGGAAGAGGATGAGTACGAGTTCGATGACGATAACTTTGGTCTAAGTGATCATGAGGTTGAGCCAGCGCAGAACTTCGATGTCACGAGCCGAGGTCGCACGAAGCAGTCCTCTGCGGGCTCGAGAGTCGACGCTAAAAAGATCAGAGCAGACCTACTTGCTGCAAGGGAGGCCGGCTTCCGCGTTGGCGTCATCGGCAACATTGCGACTGGTGGCATAGTCTGCGTTTCAGTCAGAGTGACGAAAGTCGGCATTTCCGAGGAAGCCATGCAGGCTTGGGGCTTGAAGCGATCGCACTACTTCGTATTGATGATCCGCTTCCCACATGGCTACCGAGATGCCTCCCAGATTCGAGGAGAGAACGCATCCACCAACTTGACAGATATGCGAGTAGCACTGTGCAACAACTACAAGCCATCGAGAGACGAAGCCTTCGCCGCCTTCGGACAGACAACCACTGTCAATACGACCGTCTCTGCATCGTCCCGTCTGGAGCCTCTCTTCATCGGTACACCGCTAAATGAACTCTTGCGAGATCGCTTCGCCAAGATCATCGAGTTCAGAGAGTCATGCGCTTTTAATTGGCCATCTGCGGAAGCCTTTGTCCACGAGATCCAGGGCAAGTTGAATATCAACGACATCAAGATGGATGAGTATTATCTTCCAGACGATGACAATGCCAAGATGCTACCTGCCATGGTGAAAGCAGACGCGATGGATGGCCATCTGCTCAAAGACGTGTCATTCCCATTGCTTGCCATGCAATTTGCTTTGCGTCATTTTGTGCGATGTACAGAGTTCTGTCTCGTATGCCACTACAAAGTTGAGGATACCTTCGAAGCGCTTAAGCCTTACGTCTGTTCAAGACCGTTGTGCCTCTATCAGTACATGGCCCTTGGGTTCGGTCCGAGCATCGAATGGGAATTACTCTCTCAGCCTACGTGGTAGACCTTCTGGTCAGCTTCTGCTATGCTGCCGCGAAACAGAGCAGACTCAGAGAGTTCCCTGTCGGCATTGGCCTGAAGGTCCCTCTATTGCCTCACTACACGACACCGCTACAACAAGCCTCGCGCTACTCCTATGATGCTCAACCGACTTCATCCAATTCGAAGACGACCGTCTCGAAACCACTATTCAGTGCGAGGCTGGACACTGTCAAGCATGAGCTCCTACTCACTAATGATCAACATCCAGAAGCCAAATCACTCCGAGTGGGAGACTGGATTGTCGCAACATCGAGGGAGATCGAAGGCTGCGAATCGCACTACCGCGTACAGGAAGCCATGTTCCCTACCTATTCCCTCGGGATGCCGGTGCTTCTGACCAAAAGCCAACAAACGACCTCTGCGTATTCGCCGTATCCGGTCCGGCCCGATACACCTCTCAATACAAGACCTTCGACTCCTGCAACTAAGCTGCCGCCTGGTCTAATCGAAGTTGAGTGCTATTGCTATGATGCAGAATTCGACGAACTGGAACAGCAGCACAAGCAGCATGCAATTATCACATTACTTGACACGCTACCTGCTGTCGTTGACATGCAACAGTACTTGCAAGCCCAAGAAAACAGTCAGGAACCGACACTCAGAACTTGGCGAACTCGAATTTCTGAGTCCGCGCTCAACTTGCTTCGATGGATCATAGCTTCGAACAGATCTTGCATCATGCAGGTCGACACCTTGAAGAGTGATGATGGCCCGGAAGCCATGCAAATATCCAGACCTGATGATCGTGTTGATGGTATGGACGGGTGGATGCAATTCAAGTTTGCTATGGGCGCACCCGACAAGGAACAGAGATTCATCGACTCGATCTCCAAGGAGACAGCGAAACAACAACACCCAACCTTGTTCGCTTGGCACGGTAGTCCCATCAGTAATTGGCATTCGATCATTCGCCAGGGCCTCAACTACGAGGAGACCTTCCATGGGCGGGCATTTGGAAATGGTGTCTACATGGCGAACAATCTTGCAACAAGTCTTGGTTACTCCCATAATTACGACCACCAGCTGTGGCCCAACAGCGTGCTGAAGGTCTCAAACGCGGTTTCTCTGCAGGAAGTTGTCAATGCTCCGCAGAAGTTCGTGTCACAGACTCCTCACTACGTGGTCGCCGATATCGACTGGATCCAAACGAGGTATCTCTTCATCAAATCATCATTGACGCTTCCTAGCACGAGCAGCGCTTCTGTTGATGAGTACAACCAGGACCAGGCCAGAAAAGCATTGAACGAGCGCAGTCAGCCGATCAAGCTGCCCATAACGGCCGTCTCCAAGTCTCGTCGACCTGCTATTGGTCATGCTGTGACGAAGATAGGCGACAAAAAGACGAGACAGTCCATCACCATCAGTCAAGCCATGGCCGAACAGCTAGAGGACGATGGCAACAGTGTCATATCTGACGAGGGAGATCGCGCCTGGCTGTCGTCTGACAATGATGGCACGGATGATGATCTTGTCGAGATCCCCGAGGAGATCTTTCTGGCGCCAAAGACGAAAAGCAGAGGCAGCTCGAAACGCCGCAAGCGAGACCAAAGCATGGAACGCTCCAAGACCGACTTCATACCAGGCACCCTTGATGTGAGCAACATCCGATTTTTGAAGGCGCCATCCAATGCTATACCGTCGGCAACCAAAGCCCTAATGGCATGGTTCAAGGATGCGCTCAAAATTCAGGATTCGACACCCGCTCATCGTCTTGGCTGGCACATTGACCCAGAGCGCATGGACAACATGTATCAATGGATTGTCGAGTTGCACTCCTTCGATGCTAAGCTACCACTCGCCAAAGATATGAAGACGGCCGGATTGACCTCCATTGTACTCGAAATGCGCTTCACCAACGAGTTTCCGTACGCCCCTCCGTTCATCCGAGTGGTACGGCCTCGCTTCTTGCCCTTCAGCCAAGGCGGTGGCGGCCATATCACCGAAGGTGGCGCTTTCTGCATGGAGTTGTTGACGAACAGCGGATGGATCCCGGTTACGACGTTTGAGGCTGTGATGCTGCAACTTCGTATGGTGCTATCGGAGGAGGAACGTCCCGCGAGACTGCTCTACCGAAATGGACCGTCTTCCAAGGAGAGTGCTTACGGTGTTGGTGAGGCGGTCGCTGCTTATGAGCGACTCTGTCACACACATGGTTGGAAGGTGCCTGATGGATTCAAGGACTTTAATGCAGGTGACGCACGGGAGGCTTATTGAATGAAGTGGATGGGTGGTTCGTTTTCCTAGTCTGGCGTCTGCCCAGGCGGGCTCTGCATTATTCTGGAGCAATGACATGCATCAAATGAACCTGACGGAATTGAGCGAAGGCGCATGGGTACTGGGTGGGCTTCACGGAGTTTCTTGCCGCGGTAGGCACGCAACGGTAGCATCCTCGGGCAGGCATGGCCCAGGAGGCTGCATATCACGAACGACAGAAGCCCTGACACATGTCGTAAGATGCGAGACATCTGGAGCAACAAAGGGCTCCTCATAGTAGTAATTAGCTAATACTAGAAAATGCATGATATCAGACCAGTTGCATTCTTCGATGCATATGATAACGTGACACTGACATGAAATATAATTGCATGTGAGTTGTGCGCGCAACCATGTGTTCGAAGCGTTCAGGAGGGCTCTGGCACATGTGTTACAAGTAGCCGTCGGACAATTTAGCCTGCAGCGTGTTCAAGCCCACCAGTACCTGACTGAGTTGAATACTTGAAGTCTGCGAGCAGATCCCAAAACTGAGAAGCCGCCAGGGATGTGGTCAAAAGCACATGTCACCAAATCCCACAAGAATCTCAAGCCACATGTCAGACGCTACTTCTGTCCTTAGCGGCCGCTGATACCTCATGCTAGCACGCAGTAATCGACCACTACCAGCGGCTACGCCCTTCCGAGCCCACGATGCCTCATCCGCGACATGACTTTAATCCGCCATTGGTAAGAATTCAACGCCCGGTGGATGTCTGACATGCAAAGAGGCGAGGTGTGGCGAGTGCCTCTACTGTATAGGGACATCGAGGATTTTCGGATTTGGCACGTGCAAAACGGAGAATTCCAAGCGCTGTTCTACGAAAGTAATATTCCTTGGATTTGGGCAGGTATAAGGTACCTTGCTGCGAAAGGCCTCTGGCCAAGTCAAGAGAAGAAGCAAACTCTGTCCGAGTGTGAGATATAGCAATCGCGAAGAGAGGCTCTCACGGAACTGCGCGGAAATAGATGTTGCTCGAGGACAATTCTGGTGACACTGGGCTGCAGAAATTCTAGAACGACAAGGCGGCTCTCCTAAACTGTGCGACGATATTTCCTTTTCTACAAGAAACAGGATTCTGAACGTCTACCATTAAATCTTAACGTTGACGTCTCGCCCTTATTGTTCTCCCAGCCTATCACTGACGCCGGAAGCATATCGTGATGAGTCTTGACAGGACGAGGGGAGAATTGCAGAGATAAGGCAGGGAGGTAGGCACCTTCGACAGGCATGCAGATTGTCCTAACAAGGGGCCCTGCAACGCTGGTCTTGATGAGGTCTCGGGAGGAAGGTGACACAAGAGTCAGACGCAAGTACGGAGAAAATGGTGGTTGAGATGTGTAGACGTGAGGTTGCGCCTTATCAATAAGAATCGGTGGAAGAATTGTCCAGTCCACCGCCGCAACATGAGGTGAGGGACGCCCGGGGTCTGCTGGATAAGGTGGCGTAATAGGCGGCGGTGAACTAGAAAGGGGTCCGAGCTCGACTCGATCGAGGGCAGCCACTGGAATTGTCACATGTTTTTTGTGGCAGGAGGCAAATGCAAATGACGGGCACCTCCAAGCTTCACGTTCAATCTTCTGTGGAAGGAGCATTCCAAGTTCGCGATCAAGTCAAGAACTATTCTGTCGTGGAAGAGAGGTCCTTTCTTCTTATCTGTTCATCGACTCGAACAACACATCGTTTTTGCGTGAGTCAAATTCAAGTTCTCTCGAACCATTCAGACCATTACGACCACGTCCTGCGCAGCGCTTGTCGATACGTGAGTTGCTCCACCTGTTTCTGAATGCTTTCACATGTCACTCATGCGCGCTCGCAATCTTTCGCAATCACTATCAAGTCCCAACATGTTCCTACCTTACTGTTCTCAACGCGTCTCTTGCATACCTTCTGTCCTCGTTGTCTCTCATACTCGAACAAACTGCTTACAATCCTTGGACCAGTACCTTAGAAGATAGCGTCTTCCGATACAGTCGACACAATGGGTGACGCAAACGGCGAGCTCCCTCAGTCCTCGACTCTCAACGTGAGCCAATACCATCCCATGACCACCACAGAGCTACAAGCTGACCTCTCTCTAGCACTTCACATCATACCCAGCCGTCTCTGACACCGTCTCTGCCTTCAAGAGCAACCCCTACGGCGCCAAATCCCTTGAGTACGGCAACGCCGGCTACACCAAATTCGTCAAGCCTGCTCTCCCCTACTTCCAGACACCCGCCGCATATGCAAAGCCCTATGCCGCCAAAGCCGATGAGATCGGCGACGCCCTGCTGAACAAGGTCGACGAGAAGATCCCTATCATCAAATCAGACACCCAAGAGATCAAGAAGACTGTCAGCGACTTTGTCTTCTGGCCTGTAACCAAGGGCTATGAGACCAAGGACCATGTCTTCAAGATCTATGCCAAGGAGAAGGAGAACTGTGGTGGTCAGGGATATGTTGCCAGCGGCAAGGCGGTTGTCACTACCGAGCTCGTCATCCTGTCGGAGCTGTTCCACTGGGCTAGCACTTTCCTTCAGACTAAGAAGGAGGAAGCTAAGTCTGTGGTCCAGGAGAAGACCAACAACTGATCGGACGTTGCTGGCTTTGCGTTTTATTTGAGTGAGGAGCTTGCATTGATACCCACCTCTGTTCAGTTCAGTCAACACAACCGGTCACCATGTCCAGGTCGTCCGGCGATCAGACCAGGTCGGCTGCTTGTTGACCGTCGCTGTCATCTGCTGCAGGTGATTCCTCACTAATGGGAAGAAGGAAGGGAAGGATTACACGGTAGCGACGCTGTTCATAGATTTTCGGACTGTCATAGAATGTTAAGGATGATATGGATTCTACTCGATCACTTTCTGATCGGACTCAGTGACGTTCCAGCTGACCGAGAATCCAACCCAATCCAACTGACACTCGTCCCATCAAGTAGCAGCAAATGCTATCTTGACATGGCAGGTCGCCAAGTAGGAGAACGAGGTTGATGGAGAGGAGGAAGAGGTAGAGTTGTCGAGGGCAAGACGACTATATATATCTCTCCAAATCGCTCCAGCGCAGTCAATATCGACGTGAACACGAGACTACCACTCTACTGAGTGGCCTGGGACGTATTCACTGATCGCGACATGGCTCAGTATTGGAGTGGCCTCCTGTCGAGCGCGTTCACTTGAATGATGGTTCCCTCCGCGATCTCGCGCTCGGCCGTTTGAGGTGCGGTCATAAGATCCTCGAGGTACCTGCCGTTAACTCTCACACCTACTCTACGAACTTCGCAGGCTCGCAAGACGATGTCAGCACAACAGCCAAACATTTCAATGGTCGGCGTTTACATCAAGAACAACGAAGCGCAAATCGGCTGTTTGTGCCGAGCGGAAATTCCGGTGCTCGGTACCGACTTGACTTGACTTTACTGCAGCGCGCTTTGCAGTACACCTCGCTGGGACGGAAAGAATTCCAGGCTATGAGACAGTGCAACTGGGAAGAATGGATTCGTGGCTTCCAAAAGTCCATCTGGCTGCAGCCAGTCATCAGATCGCAATGTCACTTACTGGCTCTCGATTTGCTGGGGCCTCCAACTCCCCCGCATCATCGGAAATAATTGAAGTGCGAGGGGGTTCAGCGAGGACTGCCGTCAAGGACTTCAATGTACTCGTCCAATGGCATGACTGGCATTTCAAGTCCATAGGTCGATCAGCAGAGCAGAGTGACAGCAACGCTGTGCCACGGTCTTGAAGTGGCACCGGTTGTAGCCGGGATCTGCTCGGTGCGCAGGTGGGCATACCGTCCGCCTATGGTGCGCTCTTGACCGAAAGGCGCGAGTGCACTGATTGAAGTTGGAGTTCCTGCCGTGCCTGCCTCGTACCTACCTCCATTATAAGTTGCGATCGCTGATATATCCGAGGCTCACTGTTGTAACCCACTTCGCTCTCTACCACTCCATTTTGCACTACTATAACGTCAGATTGTCTTGTCGTTCCCAGGGCGAAATCAAGCGTTCGCAAGTAGTGGTGTCTTATCAGTCGCAATCAGCGATCTTCTCCGTCATCGCTCAACGAGTCCATACCCACTGAACGAGGATTGAAAACAGTAAGAGAACTCCCGTGGTATATCAACCCACCAAATAACCTGTGTCAGCACCAAAACTCCTACCTTTCCAACCACTACCACCATGGCACCACCAGTCGCAACCGAGACCACCACCGAGACTGAGACCTTCCTTGGCTACGACGAGAAGCCCAACACGGCACCTCTCGAGCCCGGTCTGACCCAGAACGGCGCAAAGGCTCAGGCGCAGAAATTCCCCTCACCACCCAAGTTCCAGGACAAATATGAAGAACGCGAATACCTCAAAGGCCGCCTAGCACTTGCCTTCCGCATCTTCGGCAAGCTAGGCTTCGACGAGGGCGTCGCCGGGCACATCACGCTGCGCGACCCCGTCGACCCCACCACCTTCTGGGTCAACCCCTTCGGCCTGGCTTTCAGCCTCATCAAGAAATCCGACCTGATCCTGGTCAACCACGACGGCAAAGTCATCGACGGCGGACCCAACCGTCTCCTCAACGTAGCCGCGTACATGATCCACGCTGCCGTACACCATGCCCGCCCAGACGTCATCTGCGCTGCCCATAGCCACAGCATCTACGGCCGCGCGTTCGCCACTCTAGGTCGTCCGATCGACATCATCACCCAAGACAGCTGCGCCTTCTACAATGACCTTGCAGTGTACAACTCTTTTAAGGGTGTTGTGCTCGCCAAAGAGGAAGGCGACAACATCGCGCGTGCGATCGGTAATAAGAAGGCCGTAATCCTCCAGAACCATGGCCTCCTGACCACGGGTGCGACGGTCGAGGCGGCGGTGTTCTGGTTCACCAGTCTGGAGAAGTGCTGTCATGCGCAGATGATGGCGGATGCGGCAGTGGCGGGTCGTGGTGGTGCGACGGTCAAGATCGATGACGAGGATGCTAGCTTTACGTACAAGGCTGTGGGCACGCCGAGAGCCGGGTGGTTCAGTGCGCTGCCGGCGTTTGATGTTATGGAGAGGGAGATTGGGAAGGAGTATCTCAACTAGGGACGTACTTGAGGAGCGAGATACTTGCAGGGGGAAGCCTGATATGTATATGAATCCATTCGCTCAGTAATCAGTATACCTCAACGAGATCTGCAAATACGATCTTCTTGGATCGTTCAAGCGATCGAATGGCCATCTGCATATGCACGCGTAATATTTGTGCACGGAAAACCATGAAATGGCCATTGACCTGCGCTGCGACGCGATGGGCAAGTTGCAAAGATGGCGGCCAATGGAGGAAATTCTGGCGGTATCTCGAGCCGGATGACAAGACCCGCATTAATTTTCGAAGTCGCTTGAACTTTTTCCATGAATCGTCGTGCATCTTTCTCTGCGCTATCATCGACTTCATTTCTGCCCTGTGTACATCACCTTTTCAAGTCGCTTCAACAACGTGTAGTTCTATCAACAGTCGTTCTTTTCCATTCCACACCGAGCCAACATGCTCGCACCCGCACAAGCCGGGCGAGCACTGCGCTCGTCCCTTCGACTCCTTTCTCTGCAGTCGTCGACATGTACACTACGCGCTGCACGATTCACCCCCAGAACAGTCCTCCCATCTTCACAATCAATACCATCAGCAGCCTTCTCGTCATATCGCAGACTCCAGCAAAGTCAAGCAACAGCAGAGGCAGAAGCAGGTGAAGGCTTCAAGCATGCCTCAGCCGAGATGACCACCTTCCAAGAACTGGCCGACAATGGAGTGATACATCCCAAGATCATCAGCACCATCACTGGCAAGATGAACATTCACACCATGACCGACGTCCAGCGGATGACCATCAACGAGTGCCTCGACGGCTCAGACGTCATTGGCCAGGCAAAGACTGGCACGGGCAAGACGATCGCCTTCCTCATGCCCATCATCCAACGCTTAATGCGCGACACCACCCTCACCCGCGGCCCTCCCTCAGCAGGCGACACCCGCGCCCTCATCATCTCACCCACCCGCGAACTCGCCGAGCAGATCGCAGTCGAAGCCCAAAAAATCGTTCAAGGCACGGGCATCAAAGTCCAGACCGCCGTTGGCGGCACCCAGAAGCGCATGCACCTGGACCTCATGCGCCGCAACGGCTGCCACATCCTCGTCGGCACACCCGGCCGCGTCAAAGACCTCATCTCCGACCGCACTTCCGGCGTCACCCTGAACCACATCCAGACCTTCGTCCTCGACGAAGCCGACCGCCTCCTCGACGTCGGCTTCGCCCCGGACATTGAAGAGATGCAATCCTACATGCCCCCTCTCTCCGAGCGCGACCGCCAGACCCTCATGTTCAGCGCCACCGTCCCCAAATCCGTCGTCGGCCTTGTCCGCCAAGTCCTCAAACCAGACTTCAAATTCATCCGCGCTGTCGACCCCGACGAGGCGCCCACCCACGAACGTATCCCGCAAAAGCTAGTCTACCTGAAGGGCCTCGAGAACACCGTCCCCGCCATCCTCGAGATCGCGACCAAGGCAATCGAAGCACACAAGCTCGACCCAGCCAATAACCCACCTTTCAAAGCAATCGTCTTCATGCCCTCTACCGCCGAAGTTGCCCTCACGAAAGCCTGGCTTGACAACCTCCGCGACCCCGCCACCTCTGGTTCGGGAGGCATGTTCGGCCGCCACCCCTTAGACCCCTGCCGCATCTTCGAAATTTCCTCCAAACTCGACCAGCGCCAGCGCACGCGCTCCTCAGAGGGCTTCCGCAACTGCGAGTCCGGCATTCTCATCTCCTCGGATGTGACAGCTCGAGGGATGGACTTCCCCAACGTCTCAACCGTGATCCAGACGGCGATCCCACAGACCGAAGACCAGTATGTCCACCGCATCGGGCGAACCGGTCGTGCCGGAAAGGACGGTCTAGGCTATCTACTACTCCAAGAAGACGACAAGCGCGCCTGGGAACGCAATTACTCGCGCAGCTTGAAACTCACGGTCGATGATACCCTGCACACTGCTAAACTTGACATGAGCACGGGCGCACAGTTACCGTCTAACATCGCAAGAATCATGGGCATGGTCGAGAAAGGCATCCGCCAAGTCCACTTTGGCCAAAAAGCGGATGCGTACCGCGCATCAATCGGCGTCATGAAGCAATCTCTCACAGACCGCAGCCCGCAAGAGCTAGTGGATAAAATAAACCAACAAGCACGATGGGGCTGGGGTTTGGAGAGACCTCCCCCGTTGAGCCAACTCATCATTGACCGTCTCGGCTTGAGAAACGCAACTGGCCTGGAGATTCAGGATGAGAGCAGGGGAGGCGGTAGAGGATTTGGTGACCGCAATGGCGGTGGCCGGGGCGGCTTCGGCGGCGGTCGCGGACGGGACAGCTTCGACTCAAACAACCCCTTCGGTCGCGAGCCCATCGGGTATGGCAGCCGCGCAGCAGCGGTGGCAGTGGCTCGGTGTTTGACGAGCCCGCTGATGGAGGTCGCGGCGGCTTTGGCGGTGGCCGAGGAGGTGGCGGCAGGAGTGGAGGCGGGTACGGTGGAGGTGGCCGTGGCTTCGGTGGGGATCGGGGAGGTGATCGTGGTGGGTTTGGTCGGAGATGATAGCTGTCGATTTCGATACCCCTGAGAGTCTGGCCGCGCACCAGCAAGTGGTTAAGGGCACTCGCGCCCAGAACGCGGTGCCGAGTCGAGCTACCAGCGCCGCGGCAACAGACCACATCGTGGTGATGGACAATGAGGTTGGTCATGCCACTAGTTCCGCCTTCGTCTCGACCAGGCTGAAAGGAGTCGACATGCGCACTCGGTCAATCCGCCCGGTCCCGCGCAGATCACGACGCTACAGCCGCTGCGCAGCGATGACACCACCATGTACAATACAAAGACCATACAGCAAAGAGGGCGACCGACGCTGTTTGCCTCATCTCATGCGGCGCAGAACAGTGTCAGCTGCTTTAAGACTGGACTTACGCTGCCATAAAGCGCGGGGTCGCGTCAATATGAACGCAGCAGCAACAACGGCCACAAAGTCAAGATCATGCCGTCATCGTCACGACGTCGATGCCATATCCCTCAAATCTCAACTCTTCAATCGTCTCATCGAAGACGGCGTCTTCTCAACATTGTCTATATACGATCTCCTGGGGCGGATGGGCTGCATTGCCGGCGTTCTGACAGGGTTTCTGCAGAAGCCCTGGGCATTATCTAGCTCAGAGCTGTGCGGCCGATCGTAGCTGTCTTATCTGGGCCTATATGATTTCTCACCTGTATTTACTTGTACCTTGGAAGAGAATCATATGTGTGTGCGAAAATAACTACAGTTCCTCTGCCATTCAATTTCTGCTATCACACAATGCTATGGATACATGCTTCTGTTGGGTCAGGCTAGTGCAGAGCGAGGAGGAATTTTGAGAATAGGAAATACAAAACGAGGCGACACACGTGTTGAATCCAGGCACCTGTGGCTTTCATTTGCGCCAAGACTGGCATAAGCTTATGACGGAGCTCGATCATCGTTCTTTCCAGAGCTTCAATGTTGCAGACAACTATCTCGTGTCAAGCAACGACACACGCGCCTACCCGTTGTCTCCCCTTGCGACTGCCTTTCGTGTTGAGAGCAACTTCCTTTTGTCCTCGCTGCATGTCGTCCAGCTTCTGACCCCCGACCTCCCCCATGAAGACGAAGCGGCCATAGGCCTCATTGGCGGTTGTTGAGCATGAATACGATGACTACTTACATGCCAATACTTTGACAAGCGCCGGCTCTTCAGCTGGCTGGGATGCGTGTGTCACCTTGACGTGGATCTGGATACAAATTGTTCGCTGGTGATTTCACGGGCAACTTCAATGAAGATACCTATATGTGGCTCTACCTACCTACACGGTTTTTCAGGGGTGCTCAACCATCTCGTCGGTTTTCTCGAGACTTACAGTTGAAGACACATTGGCTACGCCCGATTCATTCTCTCAGCACAAAACAAATAGACCCACAACCTCCCGGACTCACAATGAGCCCTGTCTCAGCCTGATGTCCTGTGGTCTACGCCGGACCCGTCTGCTGCCCACTGAATTCTCTAGGTTCATCAGCACCTTCAGAAGTCATTTCCAGTCTGACAGCGTCGGCATTCCATCTGCTATTTCGTGCTTTGTCAGATGGGTTGGGACTGACTACAACCCCGAACAGCGACGTGAGTAACGGAGTGCCAAATATGGATCCAGACTTCCAGCCATCAGTTGAAAATCTACAAGAACAACTCAACCGGGTCCAAGCCAAGAAGCCTCAATTCCTCGCCATTGGCCAAGATCTGTTGACTGATCTAGCTGCCCGTAACTTAACACCACTGGCGAGATCTGAACAATTTGACGAAGTCGCTGGAAGCATTCTGAAAGCCCAGGGAAGGCACGATGCAAAGATTTCTAGTAAGGTCACGACATGGCTCTCGAAGCTTGCGCCTCTTGCCAGCATCGCTCTAGGCGTGACTGGCTTCGTAGCCGAGGTGAGTTTACCGACTCCAAGTGCGCGAGCTGTGACTCTAAGTACTGAGCCTTTTCTCGAAATCGACGCCCTTCCATGCTGGAGCAACAGATGTTGCTCATCATGGATGACTTGGCCATGGGGACGCTAAGACCCTAGCATTGTCACGGGGATCAAGCTCGTGGGCTTGAGATGAGCCTCACTCGCGCAATTCTGCGCAGGATTGAAACATTGTGGATTTTCTGGCCAGTGAGGGTGCCGTTGGAAGGACGCCCAGTACTTTCATGAGTCACAATCTGATACGATGAGCTGACTGCAACCTATAGGCCGCGCCCGTACCTGCCCTCAGCCTTGTCGTCACTGGCCTTGGAGCAGTACTGTCGGTGAGTAGGACCATACAGCCAAAGCCACGGGAAGCTGAAGCATTCTAGTTTGCAGAGAAAGAAGGGCAGAGGAGCGAGTCGGTGGTAAAACAACTGGAGTCGATCTCGTACAACCGGCGGTCCGTCGAAAGGGTCGTAGATGCTAACAAGACAGGCGACGCAGACCTTACATCAGCTTGTATGATGACTTTTGTCGAGCTCAACAACTTCCTCGCCATCAGCATCAGATATCTGTCGACTACGCTATTCCTGCGGCTTTTCCAAGGACTGAGTGCTTCAAGCGTTGATGAACGGAGCGCTGCGCTGAACGCTGCTTTCACCAATTTCGATCGAGTCCTACAACACACTGTGAATTTGATCGTGCTTGAGGACAACGAAAATCGACTTCACCAGGAGCTTCTGTCGTCATTCGGTCCCTTGCCACTGTCAGAATTCTCGCGGGAGCAGGATAGGTTGTTGTCAAACCTGTGTGCTGGTACAGGCGACTGGTTCCTTGACTCTGATCAAGTCAAGGCCTTTCTGAATGGCGATATCTCATGGCTATGGTGTCAAGGGCAAGGTATGCGCACCGCTGAATCACTGACACGCTGAGCTGATCATGGTTTAGCTGGCGTTGGGAAATCATACCTCGCGTACGTTGTCCTCGTGACGGTCTGTCTCTGCTAAATTTTACCAGTTCACGTGTCATCAATCATCTGGAGATACAGCTGCCTCGGATCAACAGTGGCCCAGTTTCTGAACTTGCAATATTGGCCTACGTATTTTGCCACAACAACCATGTGCGTAAGGCAGAAGGCGATTATATGGACGCCCTACTTGGGGCGATTGCTGCTCAAGTGCTGCGACACCGCTCCAACAACCTGCTCAGGCTAGGCAACGCGTTTCGAGACCAGCATAAGCATAAGGCAACCCGTGGCGCCGACTACATGGCTTTTGTCAAGTCCACATTGCCCTACATACGTACCCTCTACCTCATTGTTGATGCCATAGACGAGATTGGGCAGGCCTCCCTGGTGAGTGTCTTTGCACGGAACCTGGGGTGGCTGCTCGATGATTCTGAAAACAAAGTTCGGCTACTCACTACAACGCGACCGGGCATTGTGCCACAAGATAACTCCATTTTCGATTTGCCATCTGTCAAAGTCATGAATGTCGAAACAGGTGTCGAAGATCTGCAGACTTATATCCAGCAACGAATCGATGCAGCACCCCCACAGTTCTTCAGCCTACCGAAAGATTTGCGGGACGAGATTGTGGCAACAGTCGTTCCGCGGAAGCAAGCCAGGTAGTAGTCTCACCAAGCTGTCTTGGAAATGGACAAGCTAACAAATGGAGGTTCATCTTGGGGCGGCTGCATTTTGATGCTTTGCACCTGTCGGAGCAAGGAAGTCCTGGAGAGCTCCGGGCTGCCTGAGTCGACTGAAGCCCGATGTTGATGCTTACTACGACGATGCCGTGGCGCGGATTGGCAAGGCCGAAGTCGTCATGCGGCTTATGCTTTGGATACTAATCCTTCCGCGTGCCATAACCGAACGTCAACTTGCAACCTGGCAAAGCATACATCCCACACAGCGCAAAGGCCCGCTGCATATCCAGGAACTCCTTCATGCGATCGCGATCTCTGGAATCTCCCGACCTGAGAGCCTTGTATCGATGAGAAGCTTCCTGCCTGAGAGTATTCCGTCGCTCGTGGGAGGCTCAGGAGGTCTCTGTGTCATGAATCCAGCAGAAGACACAGTCTCATACGCTCATCCAACAGTGCAGCAATACCTTCTCCGCAGGCGAACCTCCCTTTTTCCTAACATTGAAGTCGATCGTTGCAGAGCCTGTATCGCATACTTGAGCCTGAAAGACTTCGAAAGCGGCGCTTGCAAAACCCGATTGGAGTGGAACAACCGACTTGAGAAGTTTCCAATTCTGGAGTACGCGGCTCGACACTGGTGTCAAGTCCTTGGTTTCGATCAGGATTCGGAAGAAGTCAATCGCCAAGTCGAAGACCTGATCGTCCAACTCTTGTCACACGATGGGCTCCGCGCCAATCTCGCTCAGTGCCAGGCGTACAGCAACGGGTGGATGGGAGTCAAGAGCATCCACATCTCACGAACCACGGCGCTTCTTGTTGCCATGCAATTCAATTTAATGGGTGTCATGACCAAGCTGCTATATAGCAATGTGAACCAGCTCGAATTTTACGTCAACGAACAAAATGAAGCTGGACAAACCGCTCTAGACCTGGCTGTCACCGCGGGTCCGGAATGGACGGCTCTTCTTCTAGATCATGACGCGGAGGTTCGAAGCGATGCAGATCCTAGGCGTGGCCGAAAGGCACGCAGCGCGCTGGACGTTGCGCTTGCATATCTCAGCAACCAAATTCGGAATCGCGTGGTCGATGGCGTCTGGTCACACAGTCACCTCGAGGTCGTGAAACTTCTGCTCAGACATGACCCAACGCTGACCGTCGATGTGCGGAGTGTAGCCGAATCATCACTCGGCTGGCTCAGTCGGTACAAATATAGGACCATGATGCCAGACGTGGATTTCGACTTGGAAGAAGGTCAATACGTCGATGCACGTCTGGCGAAGGAACGTTTTGAGGTCATGGAGCTGGAGAGCCTCCAGAAGATGTTGGATGCAGAGCAATCAGCACGACGGCAGCAGCGGTGGTGGGAGAAGTGGCAACCACGGCGGCGCACGGCATCGACATTCATGGAGACTACCGTATCTGATTCCCATTCTGACTCCGATTCTGATTCCGATTCCGAGACCGACAGAGCCGCCCTAGCGCAGCAGATGGGCAATCTCCGCGTCCGTCGCGGGCAGCTTCGGGATGTCGTTGGTCCAGCAACGCGTAGGAGGATCAAGGAAGAGCGACCCATGATGGAGGAGTGACGAATCGCGGAAGAGCGACGCAGGCAGGACGGGAGAAGAAGCAGATCTGTCAGATCGTCCCACGGATGAGGAGCAGGTGGCTGGGCTGGCTAATTGTGCATGTTTGCTGGGAAGTCGAACATTTTCTTGATGCAGTTGTCATCTGAACCTGGCAGTCAGGTTTACCTCACGGCTAGGGATCAAGAACATGGGGCACGGATGCTTCCACTCAAGCCAACTCGAAAAAGGACTCTGTTTGTATCTTCCGAGCAGCAATACTTTCGTTCTACTTTTCAGAATTCTTTGACGGTGATCCCAGGTACCGAGCCCAAAGCATACCCATGCAGTTCTAGCCGCCAATATGCGTCTGGTGAATCTCGTTGATTCTCAAGCACTTCCACCCATAACCACCTCCCGATCCTTCGATTCAGTATCTCGTCCAGCCGCTCCCCAGAAGTGGAAAAAGCTCCGCTCCACTTGTCGTTCGCAGAAACATAGCGCTGCGTGCTAAGCGAAGATACCTCATACGCGCAACGTCTACTTGCCACGATGCTGCTTGATCTCCTGCTCCGAGATCTCCCTTAGCTTATTCACATTAGCAGTCTCACCCGTAACCGCACCCTTAACAACCTCAATCGCTCGCCCAACCATGGTGCCCTTCGCCAGAGCATACGTCGCAGTCTTGGCCTCGACCTTGATCACACCAATGCGAGGATCGTTTTCTGAGCCGTCGTGCTTGCCATCTCCCAGGTCACCAAGCCAAGCCTTGAGCTGAGGCGAGTAGTACTTGGCGACTACTGATCGGTCGTTGATCACGGAGCTACACCGCTGATGGAAGCCCATTCGCCGGAAGCGTTGATGAAGGAGACGTTGACGTGTGGGTCGGAGGACAGGTCGTCGGTCTTGCCGGATTGGTTGTTGGTGTGGAAGATGAGGTCGAGACCGTCGGCTTCCTGGTTTTGAGGTCAGAAGAGCGAGGAGAAGGAGAGAAGAGCGAGGAGAAGGAGAGAGGAGTGATGAGAATGGTTTCAAGGCGCGGATCACAGTGTAGCCATGAAAGCGAGGGAAGGCAGATGTTGTGGTCGGGGAAGGTGTCCAAACATACCTGACCGGCGACAGCCATAGCTCGGCTAGCCAGCAGTTCGCCCGAGCGTGTGGTCATCATGCCGAATTTGCTGCTCTTGACAAAGCTAGACAGATCCTCGATCTTCTGCGCGGTGCCAGGCTCATCCTGGTTCTTGTCCTTGTATGGGTCGCTTGAGGCCATCCTGACTCTAGTTCTTTGACCGAAGTGTGGTCTTGCTACGAGTCGTGAACGAGGGGATGCGAGTGTGAGTGTTCTAGTCAGGTTCGTCGAAAGTGGGATGCGAGGAAGTAGTAGCATCAAACAGTGAAGGGGAATATGAAGCCGAGGGGCAGAGAAGAAGTGAGGTGATGGGGCTATATGTGGTTGTTCGAAGTCTACGTCATTTGTGGTCCAGATGTCATCTCTCGCGCTTTCCATTGTGCCACACGCAAGATGGATGTCACGAGAACCCACCTCGAGTCGGAGTGCGCCTGCCGCACATTCGGAAGACACAACGTGACAGCGGTGCTTATGGCGGGGCATGCTTTTGGAGAAAGTATCGATGCCAGTGGGATGCAATGAGCAAAGATGGGGGAAATATTGCAGCATCGCAGTTGGACGGGAAGTTGTTTCCACGCGATCCTATGCTGGCAACGCAGCTGTCGGTTCGACATGGGCAGAGTCGTTCGTACGCTTGGGATACATTTCCCATGAACTAGGCGAGCGTAAGCAGTATCAATTCTCTTCCTTTGCTGCAACATTAAATCTGTCGGTGGAACATCTCGATCAACAGGTACGAAATCGTACGGCCAATATGCATGCAGAATCGTGACGTAAGGACGAAGCACAGAAATTTTGCTGTGTGAGAAAACAAGCAGTGCCTTCGCCCTTCGTCCGCGAAAAGTCAGTGCGTTGTGCGTTGCAAGTCAGGTACTCGTGAGTCGATCTACTAGTGACTGCTGCATCTCGCAGGTCGCTACTCGTGTACCAATACAAACACCCTTCACACAGAACGGAAGAGGCAGCAAGCAGGCAGTGAATGCCTTGGCGCGTTCACTGCCTGAGTCCGACGACATGGGAAGTATGACGACAGCTTCAGTTCGGTATCCATGAATAGAAAAGGGGATCCACAGAGCAAATGACTGGAATCAAGTAGTTGTACTCGTTTCTGGATTAGGAGAAGTATTCGCTTTTGTACATGACATATATCACCCATCTATCGCAATTCGCAAGCTAGCAGTGGTATCTCAGTCGATCTCTTGACTCCATCTCATCAAGCTTGCGCCGAATGGAAGTCTAACTGCTAAAATAGTCGTAACGTGCGTGAAACAATGCGCGAGCATCTTGTGTGTATCCATCTCTTGTGCGTCATCTAGTAGCCATCGAACATCGAGTCAAGCTCGTCAATATCAATCATCTCAGGACTGATCAGGTTATCAGTCGCATTATACATCTCCACATCATCAAGGTTGAGCAAAGCCGGAGCTTTGGCCATCGAGGCCGGCTTGGCTGGAATGACAGGGCTGCTGCCGAGCATCATGTGTTGCTGTTGCTGTTCGCTCAACCGAGAGGTGTTGAAGAGAAGGCTGTGGTCGCGATTCTGCTGTTGTTCGGGTGTCTCCTGCGCTTCCAGAATCGCTGAGTGGTCAACTTCGACTGACGGCTGAGGTGCTTGGAGGCTCATTCCACGAGCTCGAACGGCCTGAGCGGTTTCGGTGAAACCCTTCTCGTCCGCTTCCAGTGCAGGACTTGGTGCTCTGTTTGATCGTCGTGCCCGAACATCTGGACTACCGTCTGGATTGAGCGAACTGCGACCACTGAATGGCTCACCAGGAGTAGGTGGTGTAGGAATGCCGATGTCGTCCTCTAGATCGGGCATGAACAGCTCAACCTCTGGACTTGGTGAGCGTCCTCGCATTTCTGCATCGCTGTCGTCTCCGGCCACGCTAGGATCCGAAATACTAGGAGTGAGGCGCTTGAGGTCGGCCAATGTTGGCGGCAGGATGTCATCCGAGTTCTCTGGTAGCTGTCCTCGCTTTTGTGTTGTGAGGAAGAAGAAGACCTTGCGAGGATGTACGGGAATGAGTTCCTTTTCCAGTGGACAAGGTGAGAGGGGCGTCCATTGTCGCTTGAGATACTGGCTCAGTCGAGAAGAGAGGAGGGCGGCAGGGTTCGCGGAGCTGAGTCTGTTAGCAATGCAACCAATGTCAATGAGGACAACACCTACTGAGCAATGTTTTGATTTGTCGATGCTAGGACTGTTGCCAATTCCTTGATCAGATGAGGTCTGTTTGCTGTCTTCTCCAGTTGCTCAATGACGGCAATGACGATATCGTCGTTAATGCCTCAATGTCAACCTTGCGCGCGATCTCGACATCGCCAGGCGATGGTGGAGGAGTGTGTTCTAGCTTGATTCTCTGTGGCTGCGAAAGTCGCTTGGAATGCGCTGGTGGCGACCGCGCCGGCGATCGTGGACTCGAGACTGGCGAAAGAGGCGCTTCATCGGTATGAGATCGCTTCTGCTTCTTCGTAGGTGGCATTTGCGACAGATCTTCGGATACAGTTGACTTGGAGTTCGCGCGGTGTAGCCGTGTAGAATTAGGCACTTGTATACCGAGCGAGGACAGGGAGATTGATTTCCGGCGAGTGTTGTACGGCATGCTGGCGATGTGCTATGGTCGGCGGAGGTATTGTGGGGGATATATGGAGGAGTTCCAGCGGTATTGAGCGCGGAGGAAGAACAACAGTCCAAGTAGAATACCCAAGGGGGCAGTGTGTCACAGAATTCTGGATGATTCAGGCTGGGGTTGCGCGGCTGCAAGGGGAGCGGTGATGCCAAAAGTTGACGTCCAGGGTCTTTCTGATTCGTGGAAGCGGTCAAGGAAAGAATGTGCCAAAGGTCGGATGCAGATCTGACGGCGGACTAACCATGCAGGATGTCGTTTGGCGTAGAATTTCCTATGCGGTGAGGAAATAGATGGCTGTCGTTGAAAGTCGACAAGTAGAACGTGGCTGTTGACAGTGAGTCTCTCATGCAACTGCAAGCTTGTTCCTTGCGCGAAAACGAGATATTCTCTCAAAGATGGCGATTTTGGCGGCCCTGCGCGAAAGGGTCCTGGAGGTCCGAGCTCGTTTTTGCTGGCCCTTGACGCAACCCGTTGTAGCTCTATAAGCGACGTGTGTCAGGTTTCTGACCGGCTTGGAAGTTTGCTTCTCTCAACACCAGCTTGCGCGAACTGTAAGTCGACGGGAAGCAGATGTGTATGGACGGGTATGCGCTCAGGCTGCGAAGGCAGTTGATCGGTAATAGCTAAAGCACATTGGAAGGTCGTTGCTCGGGGGAAGACATCTGGTATACTCTCGTGTGCCACTCATCGCATATTTTTTTAGGCTTCTGGGATGGTTTGAGACCCCTGCAGTGGACCGAGTTGCCACCTACCATGCACCGATTCAATGGGAAGCTAAACTCCGCCTGTGGATTCCGATGGTGAGAAAGTTGAAGCTGAGCCAGTAACACGCTTGTCCAATGCTGCTAGTAGCGCCTATGTACACCCGCGTCGGCATGGTGTAGAAAATTTTGGATGAATATTTTTATTTTCACCAGCAAACTGCAACGCTGCTAGAGCTTGAACCTGACCATTACGTATCCAGCATCTGCAAGCTGCGATCCTGGCGATGCTGGCCTCCTGAGCTGTTCGCCCGTTCTTTCACCGAGCAATGAACTGTGCCATGGGGACGTTCTGCCGGACGATCAAGTAAATGGTCTGTGGGTGTGTGCGGATATGAACCGTCAAACGAAACCGTACACTTCACCTCTGACAGTCTATTCGACGAACAGAACTTTGATTCCTCAGGCAATGCGTGAAATTGACTGCAGTATATCCGTACGAGGCGGAACCGCGCATCGTTGCTGGTGAGACCGGTCTGCTGCCTGCTTGGAGATGGCTTTCAAGCATTCGTGATTGGAAGAAAGGTGGACTGACGGCAGAAACGGTAGAGCATGATGGGTCCACGGGGTGCATCAGGATCCTTGTCGACCATGCAGACTTAGCCATCGGAAGTCGCTCTGACGCTACGATTTGCTCGTCATAGCAAGCACGATTGGTTCTCCTGCCATGGTAGACTTTTGAACACGGTATTCTGCTTATTCCTCATCCAACCCATGTGGAAGGAGCAAGGAGGCCAATGCCTCAGGACGGAAAAGCACATGCACTGACAAACCTCGATATCTCGCACTTATGGTCGATCAGATTGTCGCACCAGCGCGTGAGCTCTACATGCAAACGCGTCGTAGTATAGAGCTGTACTTCGTGGTGCCACTGCAAATGATTCTGCCGGCCCCGATCATCACTGTCTTCGCGCTATACATCATGCCAAGCGGTCAGCCGCGCAGCTCATTGCCCGAACAACGACGGAAGAAGAGTGGAAATCTACGTCCTATGGAGCTGAGAGACACTGAAGGAAGGATTGGTTCGTTGCGTTGGAAGTCTGCGGAGGCTGCAATCCGAAACGCATGGCTGTCATAGTGATATTATATCCACGGGCTCTTACTCCGTTTGCCGATCGTGTTCAAGTTACGAGACACTGACTTTATTGGTTGTAGTGATGCCGAGTCTGTACCTTGCGCTTGCTTCAAAGTTTAGTAGCTGTGGACTTTGCAGCTTATGTCTCTGAAATGTCAGGACGCCACTGTCGTACCTTGCGACTATGTTGGTAGAAAGTCACCGCGTGAACGGTCGTTCTACTGACACGCAGACTGTGTCCTGTGAGCAGACGGGCGTATAGCTGTTGGTGCAATCCAGGGCTTGAGCCTTTCTCAGGTGAGTAGGATCTTCGATGCGGCTGAGAAAGAAACTGTTGAAGCAAACCCCGGATCTAAGCTGCGCTGATCCGAAGTCTCCTCGCTTACTGTTTCGAGGTTGCTCTTCTTTAGCTCGAAGCCAATTGTTGCCCAGAGTGTTGATTCCGTGCTACGGCTACTCATGATCGTTCGATCGCAGACGTAACCGCTATCTGTTCACCGAATCATTTCCTTGAACCTCACCTTATCAGCATAGCTCATGTGAGCGCCGATATTGACATGGAAGGCACTCAGAGCCGGACAGTTGAGCCTGTCTGCGCGCCAGAAGCTGCGCGATTTTCGAGAGCTACTTGGTCCGGTGCGCTGCTCAATCAGCCTCGTTGTGTGTCGTCGCTATCATCGGCCTCAGGACAATCTCCCACGTCGTCCCAGCGTGATATTGCCGTATGCGCTCGACCTTGAGGCCGCTGTCCTTGATGACTTGGTCGATGTCCTTGTTGAACCAGCAGCCATAGTGAAGAGCATGTAACTTCGCCTTGCTGTCGAGGTAGTTATTCAGCCATTGATACTTTCCATGTCCGTGTTCGAGCAAGAGTATTTGACCGCCTTGGTCAGCTTTCTCCTCGTCGCCCCTGCCCGTCGCAGCTGCCTCCCCAGGCTGACGACAGAGCCTGCCCAGCGTCTGCAAGAACTCGACCGGCCGTGCCATGCTGCAAATGCCAAATGTCTGGACGATCGTGTCGAAGCCACCTTTAGGCCGGTCAATGACGCCTTGGTTGTGTGCATCGCCAATGACAAAGGTCACATCACCTCTGAACCGCTCGTCCTCTGGCTTCTTCAGCTCAGTGGAGAGGAACTTGTTCGTGGCTTGCTGTACCATGACCTCGCTCTGGTCATTGAAAGTAATGCTTGTGATCAATCTGTCGCGACTCCGCCCATATCTCTTTTCTTCCTCTAGATCGAAAGGTCGAAGATCGTAGAGGTCCATGTTACGGCCAGTGCCAACACTGACTTCTAGAACTTTGCCATATGCTTCGTTGATCAACCGCCTGCGCTTCGCGCGCATGAGCATGACTGACTCCTCACTATCGATCTCACGATCGAAGTCGCGGCTTTCATCGTTCCATCGGTGCGAGACATCGGCATTCTGCTCGATGTTCAGCTCTGCATTCTTCTTGATCGATCGACGCTCCGCAAGGAAGAATGTTACGGCGTAGATACCTAACGCTGCTCCGAATACCGATACGAGGAACAAGTACCCTGCACGACTTCGGCCCGATGTTGCTGGCAGATTCACTGCCGCTTCGGATCCTTCGCCGGCTCATGAGGTGGTCTTCGCGCAGGTCTGCTCGTCCCTGCGCGAGGTAGGCTGGATGCGGCTCGGACAGTTACAAAAGCTGTAGATCGTGGGTGAAGGACAGCAACGTTCAACCGGGCGAAGCGCCTCGCAGAGATATTGGCAGCGAGGTGAGGTATAGCAGAAGCCCGCGACATGACCTGACGCAACAGCAGTCGTCGACGGCTCGTGGCTAGCTTGAATGCAGTCTGTTGAAAACTAAGGCGCGTGAATCGCGTACGGAGCGGAAGAAGTTGTTCCGCTCCGATCAGACGTGAGATCAGCCTCACGTGTCTCTATGTCTCCCTTCCTAGCATGATGTTAAACCAAGCGACTCGCGCTACGGGTGATAGTAGTCAGACGGTGAGGCAACATGACATGACAGGCCAGAGAATATCTTCAACTCTTCGAAGATATAAGTTGACTCACTCTACATTCCACCATTGAATTTAGCCGGCTATCGATCAATCTGCCTAGTGAAGTCTTTCATACTGACACTATCGGAATTTCCTACGTCTTCTTGTACGCTGTGTGCTTCGCACCTGTGACTGTCTTCCAGCCTTGCCTTTCAAACCGACCCCGATGGAGATTGATCCTGCCGTCGCCAGGGCGCTGAAGCAGGCACTATCCTTCTGCGTACTGTCCAATGTCTTCGCTCAAGGCTATTCGTCGTATCAGGAACAGGTATGGGGACTTGATTTTGGCGGTTAACGGAGTTATGGCCGCTGACGAGGAATCAGAGACTAGCTATCAATCCGGCAGCGTTTGTCCGCTTCCTGCTCTTCACGGCTATTGTCACACCGCCCAACTACTGGTGGCAGAAATGGCTCGAGGACTCATATCCGACCAGAGTGCCAACTGGACCTCGACAGGAGAAGGAACCTGGCGCCAAAAGTGACGACAAGGCATTTTCGGTCACTAACACCATCATTAAGTTCATGCTTGACCAAAGCATCGGATGCTGGGGCAACACGCTGGCATTCATGGTCCTTTTACCTCTTCTTAAGGGCCAGACATTACCTCAGATCACTTCGACACTACAGCAGGATTTCTGGGGTATGGTGATGACATCTTACTCATTCTGGCCGCTGGTGTCTATTGTCAATCTGGTCTTCGTGCCATTCAAATACAGGGCGCTCGTCGGTAACACTGCGGCGTTCGTGTGGGGCGTCTACATTGCCCTCATCGCGAGCTAGCCTGGACTTACAGCGTCATTCCGAACCAAATGGCACGACTGGCGTTGAGGTCCTCTCACGGTAGACGGTCCTTGGTGATTCAGAATTGATGTCACGCTCGGGCATCCTCAGCTGCCGCCTGAGTTCCCCTTTAAGAGTTCCTCTTCCAGGTCCATCCGCCTAGGCCCAGCCCGGCTCCCGTCCTCGCAGCTGTGGAAATCCACGACCCGCTCCTTCCGCCACGACCAAGCCTGCCTCAACTCCGGGTCCAACTTGCCCTCCACCGCATCAACAATCCTTTCGCCTATGACAGGGAAGAATTTGAACCCGTGTCCCGACCCACCAGTCGCCAGAAACAGTCCCTTATGCTTCGGGTGCCAATCAATCAAAAAGTCTCCATCTGGCGTGTCGCAATACCAACAAATCCTCGTCTTCGTGAACGGCCGATCGCCCATCTCAGGCAGCATCTGCTTCAGCGCCGCCCGACAAGCCTGCTGGCCCTCCAGCGGCGCCGGAATCCCCACCACAGGCACGCTGACCCTCAAGGCCCTGCCATCAGGTGACTCAACACCAGCAGGATCAAGATCTTCCTGATCAACAAGCACATCACCCTCCCGAACGCTCTCCATATGCCTATACCCAAATCCATGCCTCGCAATCTTCAACTCATTCCCCTTGGGCGGAATCATAAACATGCCCTGACTCAAATTTATAACCGTCGGATTATCCTTCAACCTATCCCTCTCCGCATCTGTAATCTGCAAATACGACAGAATCTGGCCCGTCGCGACTGCCCGTCCCTGCAGATCAACCAGACTCGGACTCCACGCGCCCGCCGAAACGACAACCAGATCCGCAAAGATCTTCTCACCCTCTCCCTTCCCCTCAAGCTCAACACCAACAACCCTACTCCCCTTCCCCTCCTTCTCACTCAGCAACCTCCTCACCTTCGCCCCAGTCCTTATGCTCACCCTCCTCCCCTCCTCATCCTCCTCCCGCACCTTCCCCAACGCAAACCTGACCACCGCCTCCGCATCCGCCCACCCCGAATTCCAATTAACATACCCCCAATCCCCCCACCCTCCCCTTCTCACTCAGCCCCGCCGCCACCCTCATCGCCTCCTCCCCACCCTTGATCTCCTGCACGCCCTTCCTCCTGTCCCTACCCTCGCCCAATCCCTCCGCTTCCGCCCCATCCTCATTCATCAACTTCCTCACGTTCTCCAAACTCTTCGCGACATACTTCTCCCCGTCCGGCACAACATACCCCTCCTCTCGCGTTTCCAGACTCCGACCATCGTGACAGTCAGCAGCCAGCAAGAACCCGCTCTCCGTGTACCGCCCCTGCCCACCCCACTGATCCTGTCCTTTCCCCCGCCACAGCCGCTGCGCCTCAGCAGCGAGCTTCGCGTACACCGGGTTGGCGTAGTCCGGGCGGATGATGCGGGAGGCGTCAACGCTGGAGCCGTGGATGTTTGGGAGTTGCGGCGAGGCGTCGAGGAGGGTTATTCGTGTCGTTGTGGAGAATGAGGAGCGGCGCAGGAGGGCGAGGGTGGTGGCGAGGCCGAATTCGCCGGCGCCGATTATGAGGATGTGTTGGGGTGGCTGTGAAGAGGTAGACATGTTGATAAAACAGGGTATGCCACTCGAGTGACGTCCAAGGAGGCGGCGAGAATGAGATGTGAAGGTCGTACGAGCGTCGGTCTGCGCTCAGCGGGTGATTGAATGTTTCAACTCGAGATTGTTGCTCTCGTCACTCAGATAGTATAGGTTGGTACCCGCGTAGACTCGGTCTAAATATCCCAGACTTAAGCACTGAACTCCAACCGTCTTCCATCCGTTGAGTCCTTCCGCCGTTGATTAATCGCCTGGATTCGAGGTGCAGCCAATCCAGTATCTATATGAAGGCTTTGCGCGAAGCAGGGAAGCACGAAGCAAGATGCTCTCGTACAGTATACTGTCTCGTATGGTCTGAGGTAAGAAGTGTACCGAATACCTATCTATGCAAGCTTGCAATGCAGGCGTTCAAGGACTCGGTGGCCACCGTGACGAATGCTCACCAAGCAGGTCCTTAGGAAGGAAGCTGTGGTGAGATAGTCTACTGTCGAGCACAAAGAGCGAGAAGGAGCTAGTGTAGATAGACATCAAATTTATTTCGACGAGCCGGACCGGCCTCGACCACCCATCCCACTTCCACTTACTTCCACATGGACGTGGGATGTGTCACACGCAGATCGTCCCGACGGCTCAGGCCTTTTGTTTCCTTGCATTCATACCTAAGCCTAAGAGACGGTTTGACTGTGCTAACAATGCGATAGGAGGTGTGAGTATTCGTCGACGTGGGAAGAGCCTCGGAGTAGAGCAAGTCGGGCTAGAACAAGTCGGGCGAATTCAGGGCCTGAGAGCGCCGACGTTCACAAATGAGGACACGACAAGATGGCCGAGGTGGGAGGACCAAGAAGCAGCAGATGAACACAGCGAGAACGTATACTGGGAGAGTAAAGTATCCATTTTGTCTGACTATCAAGCTCGCCAGTACGAATAGTATCTGTGTCGTATGCTGTTGAGGCGATCGCCGAGCAATAGCAAGCCTTTCCAGCATATGGTTGAGAAATACGGATAGATGTCCGTCTCCCATCGTCGATGAGCTCGTTCAAGCACATCGCATCCTCCATGCACGTCTTGTTACCCACGATTGATCTTGGGTATCAGACGGTAAACATTCTGTTCCGCTGTCCAGCCGACAGCGCATCCTCCATTTTGGTCTCACAAATCACACCGCCCATCAGTTCCACGCAAACACTATTGCCGATGATGGGTATCGAACGCCAGATACGATGCGGTATTGGTCAAATGACCAAAGAGAAGTAGCAGGCTGGCAGTGATATCGTCCAGCGGTGAACAATGTCAGCCTTCCCGACGCCTTGTATCTTGCGATGGCGACATCCAAGAAAGGTCTAAAGTTGGGTAAGAAAAGCCTTCGATCACCAGTCCATTCTTTTGTTGGTGAGAGGCCAGAAATTCAAATCGCTGTGCGCCGTGCAATGCTCGTCAATAATCGTGACAAGTAAATTAGCCGTTCAGTGATGCTGCTCAAGTACCCCCGAAGGGCTCTGGTGCGCGCATCACTGACGGATGAGAGGTCTTGATACATGAGTGATCAAACCGTGCTTAGACTTTGCGGAAGTCTGAAGAATGTTAGGATTGCAACTTCGCGGTGAAGATGAGGTCAACTTACCAGACAGCGTCGGGTAGATCAGCTCGAAGGCCGTGTAGATCTCCTCGCGAACCTTTGCACCGGTCAAGACAATCTTGCCGCTGACGAAGATGAGAAGGACGATCTTGGGCTTCATCATACGGTAGATGAGACCAGGGAACAATTCGGGCTCGTAGGAGCTGAAGTTGTGATGCTTGGACGCAAGACCCTCCAGACGGATAGGGAACTTGATATCGCAAGAGCCGACAATGTTCTGGATCTTGAAGTCGGTGAACTTCGCACCAAAGCCGAGCTTCTGGATGATTCTGGCATACTTGCGAGAAGCTAGCTTAGAATCATCCTCAGACTTTGCACCAGTGACGACCATCTTGCCAGAGGCGAAGATGAGAGCAGTGGTCTTGGGATCACGAATACGCATGATTACAGCCGCAAATCGCTGGAGAATCGTTAGTTGAGCACGGCCAGCAATGGTGAGAGAACGTACCTTTGGGTTGTACTCAGCGTTCCTCGCATGAAGCGCGATCGTCTTGAGGTCTAGGCGACAATCAAGGTTGACCGTAGCGACGATGTTTCTTGATGAAGATGTTAACACTGTTGTCTTGAATGCAAGATAACAGGTCAATACTCACTGCAAGGTAGGAACAATACCACTGCTACCCCCAACAGTGCCAGCACCAGGCGTCGCAGCAGGAGTGGCGGGAGTCACCCCATTGCCATTGGGCGTAGCTGCTGCTGACCGTTCATCTTCGCGTCCTGAAGTCCATCCTTCTCAGACGGTGGAGTGAGATCCCCAGTACCACCTGGATACGACAACGAAGAAGGTGAGGTGAATGCCTTGGCTTGCTGCGCCGTCGCGGGATGAGTGGTAAGAGTATCCATGGTTGCGGAGATGCCAATCGGGATCGAACCGAAAGTCGTGAATGACCAGATATTCGAATCGGAATCGTGAATCAACGGTCGACGAGACTATCGCGCAGTCTGAAATCAACGGTCAGAGGATTTCGGATTCGGTCGAGTGGCGAAAAGGTTGGAGAGATGGGGCAGGCGAGCCTTAAGTATTCTTTGAGGCGCAGTGAAAGTGACTTGCTTGGGTACAAGTGACGGCCGCGAATGACTCAGACGATGCCGTTGTCAAGGGCAGCGCGAGGAGTGATGGAAATGAGGTGAAGATGAAGCGTACCGAGAAGTGGGAGATAACAACTGAATGTCTCCCCTACAAAGAACTGCTTGCTCTTGACTCAACTAAAGGCAGGTCCAATGTTTTCGCGGTAACGGTCGACGACGAAATCGGCGACGACAACGGTGTGCGATGACAGATGCGATCGATGGTAGCGACGATACCGACGACGACGATCGATAGCGAAAGTGCGATATATCAAGAGGAAGGTGAGGTGACACCCAAGATGTGAGGATTGCGCTTTCTTTTTTTTTGGATTACAATTTCGGGTAGGTGCGACCGACTTGCGCACGCTTCGCACACCCTGTTCTAATTAAGAGAATGGAAAATCGCACTGTTGGACAGTTGCGACAAGGTGGAATTCAATCGGAATCGATGGAAGACCGTTTGTATCGGATTTTGGGAGGGTGGAAATGGGGCTCCAGGGAGAAAACTTGGGGCTGGAGCTTGGAGGAGCGGTTTCAAGACCGACGAGACGCAAAGAAGGAGAAAATCCGAGTCAGGCGAGGGGGGCGCGACCTATTTATTCCTCTGAGCCACAGTCCGCCGCTGCTTTACTCAAAGAATTTGCGCCCGCCCTAAACCGCTTCGCCCACGCAACCACCACGCTATCCTAGGCTTTTGATTGGTGTCAGTGCCGGCAAACGCGCCTTTGGCTACCAAAAGTCTCAGATTAGCCCCTGCAACATTCACCTTTTCTATTGCTTCTTTTACCATCTCCTGGCTTCTCCTTTTATCACCGTCGCATCTTTACCTACGAGCCCCTGAACCATTTTATAGGTCTGGTCTGCATCAAGCGACTGTTTGGTGAAGCGACGACCTGCCGCAATACCTATACTGCGATTGGGAACAAACGACAGTACGTGCATGGCCGAGATGTAGGTCGAGTGAAAGAATCGAAGTGGCCAGGAGGAATTTTGCACATGCTTGGGGCTTGGGAGTGACTCACAAAACCCGAGCAGCCAACCAAAATCCTTGCGCCCGATTTTTGAGCGTTGCCTGGGTCAGGTGATCATCTGACCGGTTGACAGTTCTTGGCGCGCTATGCCCATCGACGCCAAGCCCTCTGTGATGCTGCCTCAAGGTAGGAGCACACAAGTACAATGTATTCTATTGCCGCTTGAAACTGCAGCAGGCATACGTGCTCGAAGGCTTTGACTCAAGGTACTCAGCACGCGCAGCAGATGAAAGTTCGCTTCGGGTAGGTGGCCTGGCCCATGAGGCCGTGGTGGATTCCTACCATCTCCCGCGTCTCGACGCTTCAGGGAATTAATAACCGGGCCTCTCGCGAGGACGACCCGACGGTTGGAGTACCTTTGGTATCGACATCATGAACGTCGCCGACGATTGCACAAGCAGCTCAACTAGTCCAGAGCACGATCGCTCAAAGGCACCGGCCTTGACCAGGTACCGCGCATATGCCAACGAGCGCGACTAGTAAGCATTCAATACAGGCATAGCGCGCGACCAGCCCTTCAGAAGCGGGTCAGCGACTGCGCTCTGTGTGAGAAGCAGGTGTAAGCACCGGGAAACATGAATCGGACAACGACGAGAGCTTTTGGGCCAGCGACGAGCACATTTGTGCTTGTGCCGCGTTGTATCTCGTCCCTAGAAGAAAGCCAGCGCATTCGGAGGACTCGCCACCCCGCCAGGAACATTCATCGGCGCACTCGTCAAAAAGAACGTCCATCTCTTCTGCCTTGCGCACTCCTCACTCAGCGCCTCCAAATCCCACAATTCGCCAATCGGCATCCCCCAACCCGCCAACAACCACTGATGCAAATGCCACTCCTTCTCCTCTGGCGGACACGGCCACCTCTCAAAACTTCTCGCATCCCCCGCCACTGCCGCGATCTTCTTCTCCCACAAAAACTCCAGAATCTCCGGGCACGCCCCGACCCCAATATTGTCCGGCTTCGTATGCTGATATAGCTTATCAAGCTCCTCTCTCCGCTCATTCGCCATCGTCTCATACTGCGCCAAATACCCCGACCTCACAATCAACAGATCTCCTGCCTGCATCTCCCCCAACGGCGTCCCCTGACTCTCCGCCGCAGCAATCAACTCTTCCCAGGGTATGGCGTATGAGCTGTACGCGTCCACCCCATCACCCTCTCCTTTCCCCTGCTTCCACCGCCACCAATCAACCAACAGCCCCCTCCCCGCAATCCCCTTCCTACTCATATGCTGAATCCCATTGGCCTCCTTCCCCGCCTCGAATTCCTCTGCTTTTCGCCCCATATAGTACATCCCCTCCTCCTGATACGCATAATGCCGACACCCATCCCACTGACTACTACACTGCGTATTAAACGCCCACTCATCGTCGAACGCATGCACTCCCCTCGCCTTGAACTTGTTCTCCGCTCTGATCTCCAGGTTCTTCCGTGGGTGCTGAAACCGTGGGAAGGTCGCGCCTTGCAAAGTCCAGTTCAAGCTGACGCGCTCGCCGGTCAATATCTGCGTGCGGGCGGCGTGGGCGACAGTGGATGGGGTGAGGTGGTTGAGGCTGCCGAGTTGGTCGTCGGGGCCCCAGAGGGACCAGGCGTTGCCGCGTGGGCCGGGGCGGGTTAGGGGAAGGTCTTTGAAGGCTGGGTAGGGGCGTTGCATTGTGTTGTTGGTTTTGTTGCTGCTGGTGGTAGTACCGTTGACGTTGGTGGGTTTGATGATGGTCCCGCTGTTAAGGGCTGCGTCGCCATTGGCGGTTGGTGATGTAGTACTGGGCATGATGATTCTTGCTCCAATACCGATGAAAATCAATATACTCCTTGGCGTATTGGACGACAAGTGATGCTGCTACTTCCGTAGGTTGTCGCTGGCGTTGGTGTAGATGGAGTTGTTGTTTCACGAACATGTCCTTCGAGAAAAGTTCTAGATACTCGGTCCACGTCGTATGAACTCAACAGCTTCCCGTTCCAGAAGCCGTGGTCCGGTCAAGCTTGCCGTGATGCCGACTCGGTATGATGCCGAAGCTGTTACGCCAGTAGGTGGGTCTATTCCAGCAACCCCAAGTTTCTCCGCTGAAGGCGGGCTAAACCAGCAAGGTGGAAGCGAGTGCAAGATGTCATCCGCCCTAAGGCATAATTTCTTGCTAAAACACCGAAGCGTCCGTCGGGAGGACGTCCGAAAACATGCCTCGGATACCTGCTGCAGCTCCAGTTCTTTTGCTGATTCAGAAGCAAGACGAAGCTTCGGCTTTGGGCTTCGCGTGCTTGTTTCAACTTGGCTAAGCTTGTGCACGCCGTCGCCCCTAGCTTCCGTCCCGTGTACTATGAATGAGGTCGAGCTTAGGCAAAGGGCGTTTGCTCGGGCTCCCGCTTGACGGACGCTTCGGTGCTTTGCACACAGAACGTCCGGGCGGGGTCCGATCAGTCTCAGGACTTACCCACGGGGCGCGAGCTGGGCTCACTTAGTGCATGTGGGAAGCGGCACCATATTGCGGGTGGACGGCGCGGAGGCCGTATACTGGAGAATATATAACACATCTTTGCAGCGGGTCCAGCACTCGGTCTAGCATCTTTTTCCAGCGGCAGGATACTTCCTAGCTGAACAGCAAGAACAGCACCATTGCCCACAGATCAGCTCTTGAGAGACATAATGGCCACCACGTCTCCTATCGAGGAGAAGCCCAGGAGTGTCCTCAGCGAGAAGGACGTCTCCGGGGTCGAGGTAGAGCGTTCGCGTACCGAGCATCAAGAGATTGTGCAGCGGTATGAAGACTCGAAGGCGCGCAAGCGCGTGTTGAGAAAGGTATGCCTTGTCCAAGCCCAACCGCAGTCTCGCTGCGTATAGTCCCTGTAATATTGGCCCTCAAAGGATATGAATGCTGACTTGACGGGACAGATCGATATACGTCTCATCCCGATCATGGGTATCCTATACTTGATAAGTCACATCGACAGAGCCAACATCGGCAACGCAAAGATCGAGGGCATGGACAAAGATCTAGGCCTGGTCGGCAACCAGTATAACATCGCCAGCACCATTTTCTTTGTTCCATATATCATCTTCGAAATCCCGTCCAACATGGTCCTCAAGAAAGTTCGTCCCAGCATCTGGCTACCGCTCCTCGTGGTATGCTGGGGTACTGTCATGACCTGCATGGGCGTTGTCAAGAACTTCCGCGAGCTCATCGCGTGCCGCGTCCTCCTCGGTACATTCGAGGCCGGCTTCTTCCCTGGTGCTGTCTTCCTGGTCAGTTGCTGGTATAAACGAAGTGAGCTGCAACAGCGGCTCGCTCTCTTCTATACCGCATCAGCCTTCTCTGGAGCATTCTCAGGTCTCCTTGCCTTTGCGATTGCCAAGATGGATGGTGCACGTGGCATTGAGGGCTGGCGCTGGATTTTCCTGATCGAAGGCGCTGTCACGGTAGCGACTGGACTGGTCGTACCGTTCCTGATCACCGACAGTCCAGAGAGTGCCTCATGGCTCTCGGATGACGAAAAGGCTTTCATCAACGCCCGCCTCACTATCGATGGTGTCATCGCGACGACCGAGGAAGGAGACAAATTCAGCTGGAAGCTCTTCTTTGCGGCAGTGCTCGACCCGAAGGTCTGGGCTGGTATCGTGATGGCATGGGCGAACTCGGTGCCCAACGCTGCTTTCAAGTTCACCATGCCTCAGATCATCAAAGGACTCGGCTTCACCTCCTCCAATGCACAGTTGCTGACCATTCCACCCTACTTCTGCGGTGGTATGGCTGCCTGGATCAGTGGCCGACTTGCAGATCGCTTCAAGTGGCGCTTCCCCTTCATCGCAGGACCGCTCACGCTCTTGATGATCTCTCTGGCGGTGCTCTTCGGCCTCGCAACAAAGGTCAAGGACAATGTCGGAGCACTCTACTTTGCCATCATCCTGGCACAGGTTGGCACGTACCCGATCCTGCCGTGCATCTCAGCATGGACTGGTAACAACCTCGCTCCTTCCTGGAAGCGATCAATTGGCCTGGCGTGGACTCTTGCTGCTGGAAACATTGGCAGCTTGGTCGGAACAAACATCTTCCTGGATAAGGAGGCTCCCCGCTACCAGACCGGTTACGGAACAGCCTTGGGCTTCATCTGCTTGGGTCTGGGAGTTGCGTGTGCTCTGGAGGTGTGCTTGAAGATTGGGAACAAGAGGAAGGAGAGCATGTCCGAGGACGAGGTGCGGCAGAAGTACACTGACGCGGAGCTGGACAAGATGGGAGACAAGAGTCCTCTCTTCCGGTACATATTGTGAGGAACTTGGCCATCGACGGCTATAGGACTGATCAGCTGGATTCAGATGCGGTTCTAAAGCCATCGTACTTAGGTAGTTCACCAGTAGAATACCAGATGATATGCACAAGCAATTGCCAGATGCAAATATTTGAGCTGCTGGCGTACAGGCACTTTCGCCACGCCGGATGACAAGCGCTTTCGCTTTTTGACTGCCGCTTGAAAGCGGCTTGGCGTTGATTTGGTCTCCAACTTCCGCGCGGTGCGCAGGTCGATGTTTCCATGTTAAGCAAATCTCAGTCGCCGTCATGATCAATCCTCAAAGCCTGGAATGCTTTCAGGACCGCCGATGTCCTTCAAGAACTGATCGAAGTCTACGTCGGGCTTTTTTGCCTTCATCGAGCGCTTGAGCTCCTTCTCCAGTCTCGAACGCACTTCATCAAGATCGGCCACAGGCTGATTAGTTTCATACTGCAGCAGTTCCATGTAACGGTAGAACACGCTCTCGCAGCCATAGTCAGCCAGCTTCTGCTTGAAGTCCTGAACCTTTGGATCGCTCGCTCCATTCGCTTCGCTGACCTTCTCGTGAACACGCCAGAAGAGCCACTGATCCTGATAAGACACCAATGCGCAGTCTTCGAGTTCCTCGATCGTCGCACGACCGTCCTCGATGAATCGATGCGCATCTGTCATGCCCTTATAGTCGAGGTCCCAGTCCCTGTCGAGAAGAGAAAGACCGGTCTTGCTGGTGTAGGATCTGCTCATGGCAGCCTCCACTTTGACCTTCATGGTCAGCTCATCCTCAACGCTCCAGTCCTTCTCGGGCTGCGCAATGCTGCTATCCCATTTCCTGCCCCTTCTCACGATGATCTCCTCCTTCTGCAGACCAACGCTCATACGCCATCCGAGATGTCCAACAAAGCGATTGATAGCACTGCCTGCCACGAACTCGCGTGGCCAGCTTCCAATCAACCAGAAGATAGCATAATCGGACGCGAAGAGAAACGTGCGGGCGAACACCGTAGAGACAGTGTCCTTCTTCGTCGCTATCGACGGGTCGATGGCGTAGGATGTGTCGATGTTGAAAACGTCGATGATCAGACTCAAATAGATCGGTGCAGCGTAGTAGATCCGTGCAATCATGCCCAGTACGATGACCGTATTGAGAACGATGGGCACCAGGAACGCTTGCTTCTTTGCAGCTACTGGTGTCTTATCCACGTGTACGATGTAGATGTGATCGCTCGGTAGTGTGGATGTGAATGCCTCGAGTCCTCCTGAGACTGCTTCCCATGGCGTAGGGAATTTGGTAACCTTGGCTGGGGTAGTATTGGGCTTAGGCGTAGACGTCGATTTGAAGCCCTTCCTTGCACGAGCCATGCTGACGACCACTGATGCAGGATATTCAGTGCTTGTCTATGGCTTGCCACATCACGAAAGATCAGATTGGCGGTGGAGTTGAGAAGTTCTCGAGATATTCCAGAGAAGTGCTACGTAAACCATCCACCTGGTGCGCGCCTCGTCTCAAAATTGCTCCAACATTCGGGAGACGTTCGTTCCCTTGTTCTCTCCTTCCCATTTTCATCAATTCCTTACAATCACTGCAGCAAGTGTGATTCCTGTGCAAGGCGCAGGGGACGGTGACATGGCTATCCGACGTTGCGTGCCATCGAGATCGAGCAGCACTGATGCATTGTATTCCCCAGCAGTACGCTTGAGCAAATTTCTATCTGAGCACATCAGCTCGTCGTCGCTCACGATGCTCTCTCGGCTCACGATGCCTGGCCGTCGAGCGTCATTCTCATCGTCAATGTGCCCACGCAGCCAGGGAACAATTGACCTCCTCCTTCGCCGGAACCTAGAAAGCTTTATCGGTCATCCAGATCTTGCGAACCAATCCTCGGGCGTCGGACAGCTTCCGAGCCCTGCAAGAGATACTATTTTCATCGCCCCCAGCTTACCCTGTTACAAACCATCTCTGTTCCCTTCGGGCACCTTCAATCAAGACAAGTGCTTACTTCTGCCTTTACCCCTACGAATTGGCGTTTCGACAATTTGTATGGAGGTCGTACGGTCAAGAGCTCTCACTGATGCGCCTAGACCAGCCCCAAGCTGAAATCGTGCTACAAGCCGACAGGTAAGCAGATACTCGGGATCTGACAACTTGGCCCCCCAGGCGCAGTCGACGATGAGGGCTCCTTCTTGCGAGGGCTCTCAGACATACCTCTTTCTAGAGGATAGTTTCGAGGGAGCAGGCTTATTCCTTTTGCCCTTTGTTGACTGCGCTGTTGATCCTCAGGATCTGTCTCCTGATCTTGCTTTCCTTGTGCTCTGAAGTCCTTCTTTCTACTAGCGAGGTCCCGCGATATTCGACCCTGAACGACCGTTTCCTACGCGTCCACAAGCCCAGCAACGATGTCAAACGTTCACTCCGAGAAGATCGACCACGCAGTCAGCCGTCTGACCGACGCAGGACTGGGCAACAACAATCAAGCCGCCTTGAGCACGAGCTCGAGCAGCAAGGGTGGCTCCAACACTAAGTGGATCATCATCGGCAGCGTGCTTGGAGGCGTTGGCCTTCTATTACTTCTCGTCTCCGCTTTCTTCTGTATCCTTCGCAGACGCAGAAAGACCAAAGCGTACAATATTGTCCACCGCGGCGTCGACATGCCCTCCGGGCCTGGCGGACCACGAATGAGCGGTGGTTTGATGCCAGTAAGTCAGATATCTGTGCCCCCAATCATACACAGAAGTATTGCGCTTCCGCGGTTCACCCTGCTCAAGAAGGTCATATACAATTTTCCCTACAATATGACCATCCACCCATTCACCAAATCCACTAACAGTCCCCACCAGCTCTGGATGTCCAACAACGCCCCCTCAATCTCCCACACCCCACCCACCGCCCACCCCGACAACCAGTCCGACATCGAGAAACTCCGCCGCTACTCCTCAGCCGGCCTCCCCTCTGCCTCCCGCGACTCCTTCGCCTCCGCCCGCAGCGACGTCACCATCGGCCCGCCCACCGCCGCACGCTCTCGCTCCCGCAGCCCCGATGATCGCGGCCGCGACGCCAGCCGCTCACGCTCCGGAACGGGGCTGATCAGCGAGCGAAGCCGCAGCCGGAGCGCGAGTCGGGATTTCTTCAATGCGGACGCTGTGGGCGCGGGCGAGAGTGATATGATGGTGAGGAGTAAGTTTAAGGAGAGCGAGTTTGGGGGTGCGTATGAGGGTGTTGAGACGGGGTATGGTGGGGATAAGCGGCAGCAGTTCTGAGTGTCTTCCTGGGCGGTGAGACGAAGATGGGTAGGAAGATGTGTTGAATGGTCGGGTGGGAGGGTGGCGTTGGCGTTCGTGGCGTGGAGTGCGAGACATCAAGATGATGTGACACCAACATGGTGGAAAAGCTCTCTGCTGACAAGGCGTACGGCCAACCGTTGTCGCAGGCATGCTCGACAGCTCGGGTGTACGATTGATGCTTGGAATGCCTCCTCTTACTAGGAGACACCGGTGACGAGACTGGTGGCGGCAGATACGACAGCGAGGTCCACAGCATCCTCCATGGATGCCAGACCGGTAGCGGCTCATAGCTCTGAGGACCACTATGGGAAGAATCACGGATCTACATGCTATGTACTCATGCGCATACGCATTCTTCTCCCGCTCCTTCCACGTTGCGCCGACGTTGTTAGATGGTGATGACGAGCCACTTCTCTGAATTTGCCCTGTGCAGTGCAGTGGTGTTCGGCTACGTCCTATACTGCAAAATATCAGTAAGCCAGTCACGGTCTGTAAAGACTCTCCACCATCACTTCGTACGTAACTTCGCAGAATCATGTAGACTTCCCAAAACGACCCTCCAAGGGGACAAAATTTGTATGGTGTGGGGAGTAAAAAAAGCCATCGCCGGACAGGCGGTGTTTTCTGAGGACTTTAGGCGCGATCTTAGGCGACGCCCGAACAAGTTGGGCGTCGAGTCATGAGGTCGCAAGCCCGGGAGAGGGTCTCTTGGGGCATCACTGTGCGGCCGCTGTACGATTGTTAGGCGTCAACAGGCTATGCAGTTTGGGCAGATTTGGGGTCGATGCACCTGGAACGCCCCCAAAGGTGCGCTTGTCATCCGGCTTTCGGAAGTAATGGTGGAGACCGGATGACAAGATCCCGTCAGTGGCGACTGGTGGCCCAAAATCCCGAGTACAGGAGACACTGGGGGTAAGAGCACATCAAGATCGACCTTTCTCATCACCGAAAAAAGACAGCGCCATGAAAGGCAGTTGCGGCGCACTGCACTTTCCACTGTCAGCCAGTTATTTACCGCGTCAACCGGCTCGGGTTCAGCCTCTCGTGAGACCGGATGACAAGCCTGGCGTCCTTTGTCAGCCGGTCTTCTTGTGACATAAGATCAGACCGGTTGACCATGTCGTTCCTGACTCTTTGACTATGAACGATGGCGACAGCTGAGCAGCGTCCTCCCTCTGATCTGTGGTACTATATTAGTCGCTACGGACGTGGCTGCTGTGATCTAATTGTCTTACGTCTGCTCCAGTCGCAAAATCATGCAGCATAGCTAATAGCATTGTTCTGGACATATATATTTGACAACGTGCCTGGTATTCGAACTCTGTAATAAACCACGAAACAAAATCATGAGAGGTGCTGTTGTGACATACAGACATTGAGGATACGGTCTAGGTACTGTACATTCATCCCAAGGCCCACAGCTGGTAGCTCACTCCCGTCACCTGTATAGAAAATCCGAACAACTTTTTTCGAAGAACGTTCCCGACCGTACTTGCTCCGCTGAATATCAAAGGAATGATTGGAACGATTTCACCGTGGCCATATGATCCACGCTCTCGCCCACAATGGTGAACCTGCGAAGTGGCTCGCTCGCTTGCTGAAGTGACAGACGTATATCCAAAACCCCCACATCCACATCGAAAGGTATAAGTCTCAGTCGAATAGTCGTACAAGTCGTGTCCCATCCTCTCCTCCCAATCAGTACATAGCCTGAAATCCCAAATGCCTGGGCTGCTCCCCACTAATCGTAACATTAATCCTCGTCCGCTGACTCCCTCCACTCCCACCGCTTCCACTTCGATGCACGCTCCTCCCATCGATCTCCTGTGGCGTGCCCGGCGGCCGCGCCGGCAGCGGCTCGTCTAACCTCGAATTCCTGCCTCCGGGCCCTGTGCCTGTGTTATTGCCGCTGTCGGCAGAATGGTACGTTCCCATCGTGCTACGCGTCGTCGTGGTATGGACTGTTCCATCCGGAGAGTGGATCTCGACTACGCTGACGTTTTGCCCGCTGTGTCTTCGGCGGTCACCGCTTAGTAACTGACGTGACTCGCGTGGTGATGCGTAGGCTTTGTTGTCGAGCTCGTGCGTGCCGTAATGTGGCGGTGGCGGCTCGGCAAGCTCCAGGTCGGATTGCGTGTGGCGCAGACCCATCGGGTTGTCCTCGTAGCCTCTGCGACGGGCGTTGCGGCTCTCGCGACCGTTACCGCCGCCTCCTATGGTCCGCGGGACGGGTTGTGGGATACCTGGGGTGTCTTGCTCCGGTAAGCGTTGCTGGCCGGGTCTGAAGCGCCGACCGCCACGCCGACCACCACCGCAGATGGGTAGATTGTGGCGTTTGCGTTGTCGGACGTATAGGGCTCCGCCGACAAGGAGGCCGAGAATGACGGCACCGACTGCGATACCTATGCCTGCGGCAGCGGCGGAGCTGAGCCCTGACGATGAGTCGTCGGTCTCGGATTTTGGTGTCTCGGTCGGACCGATCCCGGTAGTGTTTGGGTTGAGTATGCTCTCAGTGATCTGTAGTACACCGTTCGCAACGAGATAGTCTGTCTTGTCGAGCTTAGCCGCGTCGATATAGAAGTCATCGTCGATCTGCGTGAACATAACGTCCAGGCCAGCTGCTAGCGAGGGGTACTTAGTCCCGTTCTTCCATGTGGAGGAGTACAGACAGGGGCTGGTGCGGACGACGGAGTAGTTCAGCACCTTTCGAATCTCCTCTTGCTGTAGGCCGTCGAAGCCTTCGTAGTTGGCGCCAAATTGTTCATTATTCGGTGGGAAGATTGAGAGATCAGAAGCAGTGTTGACAAGCTTGAACGAGGGGAGTGAAGGATCCACGAAGCCGCCCTTGTTGAGGAGTGCCAACAAGTGAGTCAGCTTGAGTTTGCTGATGGTCGAGCTGAGTAGATCGGGAATCGTGAGGACAGTATCGGTGACTTGAATCCAGCCGCCGATGAATGGGATGTCCGGTGTAGTGATCTGGCTGACAGCGCGCAGGCCGGTCACAGCGGAAGGCTTGCCGTCAACTGAGGTCAGCTCAACGACTTGCCCGCCTGTGACGTTGGCATAGCGTGTGTCGTCGAGTAAAGAGTGCGCGAAGAATGAGTTTTGGGCGAAGTCCCCAGAAACAAGTGATTGCTGTAGAAAGTGATAGCGCATCAGAACATCAGTGTAGTTGCCATCGGCGGCGAGTGCCTTATTAGCGGACGACCATTTCGCCCACGCACCGTCGTCGGGAACGATGACTGTGGAAGTGTAAGTCGTTGTCCGAATCTCTATTCGATGTACGTACCCGTGAATGGTCCATTGCTACCATCGCTGACAAAGGTAAGTAGATCTGGTATTGCTTCTAACTGTTGTACGAATGTTGAGATGCCAGACTGGCTCTTCAGAACCGAGAGAAGATCTTCATCGCCGAGACATGTTGCAGCAAAAAGCAATACAGCATATATGAGCAGCATCATCCAAGCTGCTGCTCAGCTGATGTGTCGCAGAAAGGTAGTCGTCCGTGTGAGGTCGTCGAGATGTTGCATTGCCACCAACACCGAGCGAGTGGACAGGCATATGAGGGGAGCGATGGGTCGAATCAACACGAGATTCACGAACAAGAGGATTCATGAGGACCCCTCGCAGGGCAAGCACGCCGTCGAATTGGCTGTTGCTATTATGCGCCACGCGAATTTCGGTTCATCCATGGCGTCCATATGCCGGAAGGGCTTGCGATGAGTCTAGCGTTAGGGCGCTATACTTTCTCAACGGCCATCGCGTTATGTTGGGCCACTTCCCTCACCGTGCCGATCCCGGGATCTCGCAGTCGCACATACCACCAGACGTATCCTGGCGATTGCTTCGAATTTGGATACTCTGATTCGCGACACAGTTGTGAGCAGTCTGTCACGGAAGTTTGAGCACCGGTATCCGCGCTGTTCGTGGCCGTTTCTGACAGTAGGGTTGGGGGGTTGCAGAACGGGCGTGTTTCAAGATTTTGCTAAGACCGCCATCCTTGCTCGTGCACTTGCGGCTTTGACAGGGTGGACTCTGCAATGTCGTCTGGAACTGGCCAATGTCTTGCGATCTCGAGCCATGTGTTGACTCACACAGGGGCAGCCCTGGTGTTTGACGAAGTTGTGGGGGCGATGAATTCAGGGGAAGTTCTCTTAAGCCTTGCGAATGCATGAAGCTACCAGTCTTGGCGATCAGGCAATCCAGGCAGTATAATTGGATGCCGTAGCTAAGTTCATCGCTTCTTTCTCTCCCACTGCCGTATTCGAATGTAATCAGCCACAAGTAGATCAACTTGCGAACAATCCCATAAGCTGCAGGGTTGTCAACGGTCTCGTTGACATGGTCCAGAGCTTCGAGAAGTACTTCTATACCTGCCGGTCCTTCCTCATGCACGTACTGTAGCTGCAAGTCTCAGGGGAGAAACGTCCGGTACACGAGGACATGGGAGCCGTCGGACACAGTCCAGCCTGCAGAGCCTGAATCTGGGTTAGCGATCGCCAATGCGGGCATGCATTCATAGCGTCGGGCGCGAATTGTCCGTCGAGCATGGGGTTCTCGTAGCCCGCAAGGCGGTGGTCAACAGGCTACTCATCACACCATACGGTGTGTCTCTCGGAATTGGGGCCATTGACTCGTGGCAAACCGCAAGAGCCACCTGTATCGCGGTGGTCACAACGCGATTGGCTTCGTAGTGCTGACACTGCGGTAGGTGCGTGCTAGATGTACCATGCGAAAATCCGAGAAATGAATAGTATGCTGGAACTCTTTCATGACAATCACACTTTGAGCGCGTGTGTGTACCTTCCTGACAATGCGGAAGTTCTGACTGTACCGTAAGTAGGTATTCTATCCAGAATATAGCCTGCGCATGGCAGGTGCGATAGAGGACAGCTACTTGCTTGCTTGACGGGGTCCTCCGTAAAGCCATGGGTATGAAAGTAATGGCAGCAACAGTGCCGAGTGCTGTGAACTGGCAAGGTCGTTTCGCGACGGCAAACATATCGTGATAAGAACCTCAATTTGGAAACGTCGCATGTGAAACGGCAGTGTCAACACCATGCATATTCGAGACATTTTGCCTAAATATGAATCGGGTCCCTCGTCGTTGTTCGTATGCTAGACTTGACAGAGAAACGCCTGCATGCTATGCCTAACGAACAGATCCGACTTTCAGCATAGTTTCATAAACGCTTCATCTCACCTCCCCACAACACTCTTGAAGCTCAGACCCTCCAAGAAACCCTGGAGATCTTCCTTCTGCACCTCCACCACACAATGGTCAAAACTGTCGATCTTGAGCCTAGCCTTCGTCTCCTCCACGACTTCCTGAAAGCAGAGTCCGAAGCGATTATGCCCGTATCCTCTAATCTTGGCCTGCTTGTCTTCCTCCGCGTCTTCATCGTCGCCGTCAGACGACTCATCACTCTCACTCTCCGTATCGTCGTCTTCCTCTTCGTAATCAGCATCGTCACCGAGTGCAGTGCGGCGGAGTTGTCGGCGCTTCTCCCGCTCTTGTTGCTTCTTCTTGCGCTTGTCTTCTTTCTCCGCACGGCGCTTCTCGCGCGCTTCAACCTTCTCTTTCTTGGCTTCTGTGTCGCTGACAGAGCCGATGCCTCCGCCTGTGCCGACTATCAGGTAGGTGCCGCGCAGCTCGTCCAGTGCTGCTATTACCAGTGGCGTGGATTCGCCTGCGCCTCTTTTTGAGCTTTCGTTGACTTCGATTGATTCACCTAGCCACAGAGCGAGTTTGACAAGTGCTCCAGGACTGTTGGCGAACAGCCCAAGATCTGGACCGTCTTTGACGACTCCGAGGCGGAAAGCTCGAAGATGCCGCAATTGCTTCTTTCCCATCAAGGACGAACCAGTCCGGTGAATTGATCTGAGCAGATGCTGCGCTGTAGGTATCGCTGCGATCAGCTGTGCTGAGTGATTCGGACCAAGAGCATCATACGCCGCGAAGAAGCGTGGGATCAAGACTTCTGAGCGGTCTGCCACGTCAATCGGTTTGTCGGTAGATTGTGTCGAGCCATTATACGTGCCCGAGGACGATTTGGCTGTTGCTCGAGCAGAGTCGCCCACATCTAGTATGGCACCAAGTATGACACCGACGTCGATGGCGCTGAGCTGTGCTTTCCAGCCCCAGGACCGAATGAATCCCCACCCCTCTTGGTCATACGTTGCGTGACCATTCCCAGTCGGTACAATATCGTCGAGGCCATACACGCCGGCATATTGTAACAGTCTCTCTCGAAGCATTTTCTTCAGTTCCATGTCCATGTGCGTATAGGTCTGCTTGCACTGCGTCAAGGACACGCCCATCTTGGCTAACAGCTTGTGCAGCCTCTTGACGCCATCGTCTCTCCACACATGTAGTCTCGACGCTAGATATGGTGAATGAAGCATACTGTCGTATAACGACCAGTGCCGCAGAAGCAGAAAGCGTGGGTCCGGCGACAAGCGAATCGAGTTGTCCGAAGGTGAAGTCGGACTTCCAGATCCCATGAACAACGAGCCATCTTCGAGCCTCGGAGGGTTCTGGCGACGGACTTCGTCGCGGAGAAGAGCATACGTCCGCGAAGATCTCGTCGCTTTCCACGATTTGTGATAGTCATTTGGCAGATGGTGTGCTTTTGGTCGCGACGTGCCCAGACCAGTAGATGTGTGGCCTGAAAGCTCTAGCGAAGTGACTCCGACGATGGCAAGCCAGAGCATATCGTTGTCTTCCCGACCGAGCTCAGAAGCAAGAGAGTAAGCCAGAGAACTGATCGGCTCCGAATAGGAGTTTCCTATTCCGTAGTACTTTTCGAGCACACTTTCATGAGACCGCCTGAGTGCCAGTAGCTTCTTCCGAAGCTGTCTTGCAGTCGGCTGCTTGGCCTGAGGTGGCGGCGAAGACGGCTGTGACGATGGAGGCGTCCTGTTCGGTGAAGCAATGGCGGATCCGGAATTGCTCCGTCGCCTTTGACGCGGTCTTTCGTCGTCCTCGTCACTTGATTCATCGTCATCTCGATCCGACCAGGATTTCCTTTTCTTCGAAGTGCTCGTGTGATCGTCTTCGATCTCGTCATGCTCATCGTCGTCCTCATCGTCCTCACCATCTTCGTCATCGTCGACCTCCGGCATGTCCACCAGCGCACAATACGCGTCCCTTTCAGCGTTGAGCTCGTCGACGATATCACCGTCATCAAATACGATGACACCGCCCTTTCCTGGCTTGTATGCTCGCTGTATGCAACCTTTATCTACTCCCGGAACCTTTCGCCTAATATTCGCGTCGGTCTCTTGCAGGGGCATGATGGGAGGCTGTCCGCCAAAGACGTTGTGGAGATTCCACGGTCTTCGTGCGTCCAACACCCAGACATCAACGCCTCCCATAGACTCCGTTGGATCGTCACTGTCTAGACCCAGCATGCTCGAGAGGTCAACTAGACCTCCCACGCCCAGACATATGACTACACCGCCACCGCCGCCTTCTGTGGTCTTCATAGGCCGGACGAGCGTCTCGCCGGCCCTTTTGACATCCTCATAGCCGGCGACTGGCTGGATTTTGTGCGGTATGTAGTCGCGCTTGAGGAGCGCAGCAAAGATGCGGCACGCGCATATCGCGTCTGGGTCGAGGGAGGAGAGGATAAGTACGGGTGAATCGTGTGGCTGGTAGGTCCGGACCAGTTGAGTGTATAGGTGCGAGATCAGTGATCTTGGGAGGTACATGCTGGTACGTTTGTCACTGTCTAGAGGTATAGGATGGATGCTTGGACGCGGGCATGGCTCAGGCAAAAGAAGCCAATGCCTGGTCAGTCTGCGTCGAAGTCAGCGTGCGGTACGTTTTGACTGCAACGAGTATTCGTCAACAACTCTCGGGTACGATGCAACTGATCTGATCTGCTGTGGAATGGTCGTGTTTGTGAGAGCAATGCGGTGGATCTCGCCGGTCGAGGCACGCGCCGCCAACATTGAAAAAGCGCGTCAACTCCACAAAATGACGTCCGGACGCCAAGTAGTATCTTCGATCCCGATCTAGTCTTCCGGCGCAGGGAAAGACCTCTCTTAACGCCGTGAGCGCCGGTACCTGCATGGCGCTAAATCGACAGTAACCTCTCACTGTCTACGAATGCATCGTTCCATCTCGCGAATGCAATGCAATGTGCTTAAGTCGGAGTATGGTGGATTAGCTCTACCTCAATGCGGTACAGGTATCAGCAAACACCGAGATGGACCGCCCAACTAACTACCTCTGGTCATCACTTTGAGAACAACTTTATTCTCACGACCTGCTTTTCCATCGCTCATGACGCGATCTAGTATAGACTGGGAAGCTGCTGACATGATCCGGCAGACCTTTAGCCTTGGAGTATTGTGCTTGTCGGATCGACGCATACCACAAATTATGCTCATCATACGACATATCGTGTTGCCTGATTCGACACGACGATTACCGAGCCTCAACTCTTCATCTACATGTCACAGGTGAGGTTTATTAGTTTACCATGATTCCGCCCCTTGCACGAAGTTCTCCTCGCCATCCCAATTTGCCGTTTATGTAGCACACCAGCATAAGCCCGGGTTTCCACGAAGGCCCAGTCGTTCAGGTTCACCCAGCTAACAAAAAGCGTAACCTTTACGTGTTCATCACCTAGAACAACCTCCAGCATCAGGACCCGGTCTCATTTGCTGGCCAACCTTACCATATTCCCAGCAGAACACTACCGAACGCGCAGACATGCCACCCCATTCCCTCTACACCTTAACACGCTTCTTCACCCAAACCTTCTGGCTCCCACCCGCCCCAACCACTCACCCCAATTCCGAAGTCCCGGCGTACATCCCAGCGGACCTCTCCTCCAAAACCTACCTCATCACAGGTGGCTATGCTGGACTAGGTCTAGCAGTTGTCTACCAGCTCTACTCCCACCACGCCACAGTCTGGATCGCCGGCCGCTCCGCCTCCAAAGCCGCCGACGCGATCGAGAAGCTGCAGAGGGAGCACCCCGACAGCAAAGGTCGATTGTGGTTCTTGGAGGTTGACTTCTCGGACCTAGCTAGCATCAAGCCCGCTGTGACAGAGTTCAAGCGGCGCAATGCCACACTTTCAGGTCAAGGCAGTGGGGAGGGAGGCGATCTTCACTGGCTGAATCTCAACCACGGCATCATGACCCCCGAACAGAGCGCGAAAGGCGCGCAGGGCCACGACATGACCCTCGCAACGAATATCTACGGCCCGTTCCTCTTCGCGAAGCTTTTGCGCCCTGTGCTGCGCGAGACCGCACGGCGGAGTAAGCCTGGGGAGGTGCGGGTCAGCTGGGCGGGGAGCGTGGCGACGTATTTGTCGGCGCCGGTTGGCGGGGTCGGGTGGGTTAATGTCGAGAGTGATGGGAAGGATAGGAGAAGGGACTTGGTGGGTCATGATCATGTTGGGGTGGCGTACATGACGTCTAAGGCTGCGAATTATTACTTGGCGTGTGAGTTTGGGAGGCGGTTTGGGGTGGAGGACGGGGTCTTGCATAATGTGAGTGGCTTCACGTGTGATTCTCTGCTTGCTTCTTGCATATGTTCATGGAGCGTCTCTCCTTTGAGATCCAGAAATCAACGTCGAGCCTCTATCACAGATTCTCCTGCAATAGAGTCCACAACTGATCGTGCCACTCTAGTCCTATAACCCAGGCAACCTCCGTACCTCCTTGCAACGCAATACTGCCAGCCATAACGGCCAGCTGGGTTACTGGCTCATCTGGAACATCATCTGCCGCCATGGTCCGTTGCACGGAGCTTACACGGAATTGTACGCAGGGTTCTCGCCAGAGCTCGAATTGGCAAATGATCAGGGCGCATGGATTGTGCCTTGGGGCCAGAAAGATGTGATGCGGCCGGACATCGCGGGTGAAGTGGAGAAAGGGGAGGACGGAGTGGGCGGGAAGTTGTGGGATTGGTGTGAAGATATCACGAGGGACTTTCAGTGATCAAATTGAGCTTTCGCTGGACTTGTTTGCTCATGAAGGTATGTAGTAGGCCGGTTCGTCGTCTTAGCTACCATTTGTTGCCATTGATGGTCTTTTCGGCCGGACGCTCCTTCAACCAACACCCTCCTAGCCGGTGACACGTGATACGCTGACCGCAAGTATCGCAGATGGTGAAGGGTACAGACTTGTTGCTAGCAGTAGTAGGTTTATCCTTTTGAGATCGTTAGCATTGGGTTCATCGACGTTAGCGTGGACATCGGCGAGCAAGACTTACTGACTGCGGTACTCGGAGTGAGGAGATCATGTTGAGGTTCGTGCATGGGGTTATGGATTCACTGTCTTCGGCAGGAGTGGTTGTGCGGCTTTCAACCTTGTCTTTTTGATTGCGAGCTTCTTTGGCGCATTGACGTTGCTCTTCGTCCAGTCTCAGCTGGAAAGCGATTGCCAAAGCCGCATCTTGTTGCTCTCGTTGCACGACATCGTCCATGCGGATTTGAGCAGATCGAGAGATGCCAATGTCCACAGGTGGGTGGACATTGCCCCAACGAGGCCTCGGCATTGCGTATGCGGATCTAAATGGATGAAGAGGAGCCAGTATGCAGAGATGGTCGTGCGCTGCGTTCTGTCGAAAAGTGTCACGAGTGTAAAGAAGCTGAGGTAGACTGATTGTCACCTGAAGTGCAGATCCTCGAAGTCTTGGCATCGAAAGTGACAGAATGAGAAGTGACGATGACTTTAAAGGCGATTTACCTGAGACTGACTGAAGGTATATATTTGTTTGTCGAATAATTTGCTTCCGAAGCCGACCACAGATTAACGAAATTCGAGTTCGCAGAAACCCTTCACTGACCCTGGAGTGTACTTTAACTAGGCGCGGAGTATGGTTCTCGGATCGAGTCGAGATGTGGTTGGCTTTTTGCTTTTTCAATGTCCATCTGTTAGCGGCTCGAATGCTGTGAATGAGATTCTGGTTTCTTCTCGTCGAACGCGCAGAGGACTCCCTGGCTGCTGTCGAAGCAGATTGAGCAAGACTTCGAATTGCTGCGGTGACAGGCGTGATCACAGCATGTAAATGTTATCTACCACAACACCACACCCTTCCTTACTCCGGTATCCTCAAAACAACTCTTCCGCCAATCTCGAAGTTCGCCAGACCTTTGACCACATCGTTGATCGCATCGAGCTCCCTAACCTCCACCTTCGCCCTGACTTTACCCTCCTTTGCCAGCTCCAACAGCTCCGACATCGACTCCCTCGTGCCACAACTACTTCCCACAACCCTCAGGCTCCTTACAATCATCTCGAACGGACTCACAGGCAAGTGAAAATTCGTCCTCGGTATTCCAACACATACTAAAGTCCCAAGTCTTCTCACAAGCTTGAACGCCAGCTCATACGCCGCTGTCGACCCGACACCGACGACAACAGCGTGAGCGCCGACTCCATCTGTTAGCTTTAAGACTTCCGCTTCAATGTCGTCTGTTTTGAAGTCGAGAAAGGCGTCAGCGCCGAACTCGTCCACGCAGAGCTTCCGCTTTGCTTTGCCGGAGTCGATCGCAATGACTTTGTAGCCTTTCGCTTTCGCGATCTGGACGCCGAGGTGCCCTAAACCGCCCCCTGCGCCGGGCAGCACCAGCCACTGTCCTGGTGAGAGATTGGCTTTGGAGATTGAGCTATACATTGAAAGTCCAGCACACAGTAGCGGAGCGAGTAGTTCGCTGCTCAGACCGTCGGCTGCGTTACCATCTTCATTTAAAGGCGGCAAAAGCGTAACATCCTTCGCCGGCGCAGCTTGATACTGCGCAAAACACCCTCTGACGTTCCGCCCGGAGTTGTTCTGGTTCGGACACGCCGTCTCATCGACAGCACAAGCAGCACAAGTCCCGCAGACGGACCACTGCCACTTGATCCCAACTCGATCTCCAACCTTCACATGCTGGCTGGCCGAAGAGCCCAGCTTGACAACAATACCAACGCCCTCGTGGCCAGCGATGTCGGTCTCCATGGGCGTCTCATTGTAGATGGAGTGCACGTCCGAGTGGCAGATTCCGGAATGGGTGAGCTTGACGAGGACTTGGTCTGGGTCAGGGGTCGGGATGGGAATGTCGTGGCGGATCTCGCACTGGGCGTTGGGGCCGGGGTTGGGGACCACTGCTGCTGTTTGCGTGCCGGTGTGGTTGGTTGTGGCCATGGCTGTGGCCTTGAGAAGCACAGTCAAGGGATTCGTTGGGTGTGTCTAGGTATGCTACTACCTCATCTAAGGAGTCGTGTTGACAAGCTACCTGTCCAGTAGGCGATCAGCCACAGACGCAAAGGGAGCAGCCTTGTGATAGAAGCAGGAGACTAGCAACGGCACTGCGGTGCAGACTCTCCAGGGCGTCCTCTGCAGGTAGTACTTGAGATTTTTATTCTGATATGTGTAGTCGTTGTCGTTGCAAATGAGGCAACTCTGTTGCCCTATCCAGGAGCTTCGGGCGAGCATGATGCTAATAGGGGTCTTGGTGGGGGTGTCATGCGGGGGATGTTCTCCAATCCTTCAAAATAAATTCATGCGCATCATCGTCATTCAAACAACAGTACAAAGTTCAGAATAGCAGTGTCTCCTCCCAGCATCAGATCACCACCGCCGCCATGTTCACCGGCCTAGTCGAAGCGATAGGCAGTGAGTTGTCCCACACACCGCTTCATCCTGCCTCAAATCCCCACCACCGCCTCCGCCCGGGCTGACACCGTCCCCCACAGCCGTGACAGCACTCAAGTCCCTCGACGACTCAGCCACTGGCGGTAATGGCACTTCACTCACGATATCCGGATGCGCCAGCATACTCGACGATGCCCACCTCGGCGACTCCATCTGCGTCAACGGCACCTGCCTCACCGTCACCGAGTTCGATTCCACCTCATTCAAAGTCGGCGTTGCCCCCGAAACCCTCCGGCGCACCAACCTAGGCCGCCTCACCCAAAACAGTCGGGTCAATCTAGAACGAGCGCTGTTGCCACACACCCGCATGGGCGGCCACATCGTCCAAGGGCACGTAGACACAGTCGCCACCATCCTCTCCAAAACACCGGATGGGAACGCTATTACTTTCCGCTTCCAGCCTAAACCAAATCCCGCGGACGGGAGTTCGGTGCTGCGGTATATAGTGGAGAAAGGCTTCATAGCGCTAGACGGAGCGAGTCTGACGGTGACGAGGGTGGATGATAGCGAAGGGTGGTTCGAGATCATGTTGATCAGCTACAGTCAGGAGAAGGTCGTAATGAGTAGGAAGGATGTTGGGGAGGAGGTTAACGTCGAGATTGATCTGGTGGGGAAGTTGGTTGAGAAGAGTGTGGGTGCGTATTTTGAGGGGAAGGAGGGAGGGTCGGCGATGTTGGAGAAGATCGTTGGGAGGATGGTTGAGGAGAGGTTAGGGAAGTCGTGAAGGGGTATAAGAGCATCATTGTGGCGAGAATGTCAAGAAACAAATCTGGACGCCCTTCATGGCGCGAGAGCTCGTCTGTGAATTGTGGAGGGCTTCAATGGACCAGTCAAGGGATATTGTACAGTAGGTGTTGAAGCATTGGAGTCACGATTCAACTTGATCATGCGACTTCACTGCTTCGAGTGACAGGCTTTATGGAATGAGCATATTTCTCGGTGATTCTGTTGATTCATTGGTCTTCAATCACCCACTATCAGCTACTGTCAATGTCGAATATCGCTATTCACTATCGGCTTCGAATACTAATTCATGAAGCGCTTGTGCTTCGGTTTCGACAACGTCTGCTCTCACTCGATCTCTCCCTTCTTGGTCCCAAGCCATGCGACAGCACGATCGACCGAATCCATACCGCCTCTGGCACTATCAAAGACGCCATTCATGTGTGTGCTCAGCTCTGTAAGTACCCTCATCATTTCATCGTCGTCGAAGTCTTGGTAATGTTTGTCGAACAGGGCTTTCATGTCGGCCTGGCTTTTGTTCTGATTTTCGTGTCAGCGCGGTCTGGTTGGTGCGAACGGCAGCAATTATCTGGAAGGAAATAACTTACCATGTCACGTCTAGCAGAAGCCAAACGATTCTTGACCTCAAGCAGCTCCATGACAACATTATTGCCGGGTACAGCACCAGCGACTGAACGACCATTGTCGCTGACCTTGCGACGCTTCGCGGAAGAGTTCGCAGCCTTGGACTTCTGGGCGGTACCATCCTCACCATCTGAGTCTAGATTGATCGGGTTCTGCTTGCTCCCAGCCTTCTTCTTGCCTCCGAGCGGCTTGACCGGGTGGAATTTCGGAATCTCATTGGAATCGCGTCTCTTGCGCTTCTTGTCCGGGGCTGTGTTGTCGCCAACGCCCGATGGCCGGTGGCGATCAGGATAGATTGGGTGATAAGGCTTGGGAGGTGGACGAATGGGTAGCTGCTGAGACTGTCTGCCTATGACTTTCCTCTTGACAGCCCAAATGAGATCGAATAGAGCAGGATGGTTGTTCGTATCGAGGCCGGCACGATAGGCAGCATTGCAGATCTCGGCCTCGATACCACGCACTTCGAGGGCTAGCCATGTCAGTAGACGAAGATACACAGGGGTCAGAAAGCTTACGGCCGCCTTGGAACATGCCAGTGACACCAGTCTGTCGATGTTCGTAAGGACACTGACCGCTGAAGCGGGTGCAGTATCCAGTTCTGGACCAATTGAGACATGTACCCATCTGGATCATGGGTGGGTTGAGCTTTCCGGTATCATAATGTGCATAGGGACATCGGATGGCACCTGTAGGAGTAATGTTAGGACAACCGGGACCCAAGGCCCAATAGCGGCATGTCCATTGCCTAGTCTGTGCTAAAGATGGTGCCATCCTAGGCTAAGATAGGACTTTGAGGTAGGACAAACTGGGTGAATGGGCCAATGCTAATACTGTAGGATGTTGGGTGTGAGTGGTAGAAGTGAGGCCGGGCAAGTCAAAGAAGGCAACGTGTGACTGCTCTTACGTCACACAGCAAATTGCTTTCGCTCCTTCCCAAGCAACCACAGGAGTTCCTACCCAGCTTGAATGTCTTACTCAGATACCTGTCGGATGTCCCTCATCTTTGCTTTGCTCAGAGGAAATCCGAACTTCTGTCTCTCGACAAGTGATAGCGTAGTCCTTCGACACATGCTTGGTACAGCGGTCATCTGTAGTGTCCTCGAACCAGCTTCGTCCATGGCCCTCAAAGACATCGCGAGCCATGTAGACCTATTCTTCTTGTTGAGCTGTGAATCAGTATATCATTGAGCTTGGGCCCCTTCCGCGGCTACGTAGGCTGTAACGCGAGTCTCCCTCACCAATAGCCATCCAAAGTCTTCGATACCAGACCCATAAGCCATTGACATGCCATCGCACTGCCGTCAGTCACGTGGACTTAGCATCGACGAACCACGCTCGATATCAGAATTCGATGTAATTCGACGGCACAAAGCTCATACCGCGTGCGCAGCAGACTAATGGTCACTTGATGGTCAGCGCATGCAGTCGGTCTCTGTCAGATGCGCACGATTGTCATCAGACCCTAGTGATGGCGTAGTACCAAAATCGAGAGCACGTTGCTCAGTAGCCTCCTTCGTCAATGTCAGCAAATGGGCATCTCATCTCTTGGAAGCCCCGAACTCGGTTTCCGCTGCTCGTCAACTGGCACTCCGCAACTTCAGTTTGACTTCATCACGACCTCGTCACTGCCTGATCGTTTCCTCACTCCTCACTTGCTTGCTCCTCACTTCTCTCCAGCAACCACTCTTAATATATTGCATCTCCAGATTTTGCTTCGTAACCTACCCCGAAAAGAAGGGTATGGTGCTTCAAGAACTAAAGTACTTGCAAGTACATTGGGGTCGCTCCCTAATTTAAAACGAAAAATTTCTGAGAGTAAGCGCTCGGGGACTTCACGCAGTAAGTCGTGGGCTCCCCAACATTATTGCTTTTTGTAAGTTGCTAACAACGTCTGGAGGTCGAACCCAGTTGGAACTGCCTACATGTCTGCTCTGAACGCGCGGTCTGAACCCTGTGTTGGTTTTCGTGGCTTCCTGGCCGGAAGGTGCGAGGTTGCCTTGTTGCCAACGCCCGTGGTGTCCGGACTGGTCGTCAAGTGAAGTGACTGTGTCTTCTTTATTGCGTCAGCTCGAACTTCAGAACGGTCAAAATCAAGTCCACGGGGCCTACGCTCACTGCAGCAGCCGAGAGCCTGCCCATAACTCCTGTGATTCTGACCTGGATAGCTTGGACTTGAAAGCATGAAGATCGATGTCGTGAAAACAACGCTTCAGATGTCGAATCCGCCGGAGATCAGCCGTCCGTGCCTCGGCAGGAAAGCTGCTGCACCACGAAAATCACCAAAAGTTACACTCAGAATGCACGCTTCTTTCAGGCACCGCGGCAAACGATCTCCGACGTCCGTAACTTCCCTTGCAGCTTAAGACATTCTGTAGATCACATCAATACATATACATCGCGGCCTTTGCCTGTGTGCCCAAGCCTTCCTGTCGTGCCGAGCGTGCTTCAAGCTGCCGCAAGCAAATCGATTGACGAGCTCCCCCTCTCCAAGCATTCTCGGCGGCCACACGTCTTCCGTCATTTCCATCCGTCCGCACGCTGGTCAGCTTCCCTGGACGTTTGACGGTCCAGCAGCTCGAAGCAAACGCCAGATCACTTTTGAGCTTACCTGCTGTGGAACAGCTCTACCGTTCTTTGGCCAGCTCTTTCGTTCCAGCTCCGAGGTTGGGCACCGGAAGTCATACAAGCTGGCATGGCGCCGTCAATACCAACCTCAACAGCTGAGCTGCCCTCGGTCGAGACAGTGAAAGAGGAGGTCAAAGAGACTGCCAAATCAGCCACCTCCTCCCTCCGAGACCTCGCAGCCGGCGGTGTCGGAGGCGTCTGCGCCGTCATCGTCGGCCATCCATTCGACTTGTGCAAAGTGAGGTTACAGACCGCCGAGAAAGGTGTATACAATGGTGCTATAGACTGTTTGAAGAAGGGCATAGCCCGGGAGGGCTTACGCAAAGGTCTATATGCTGGCGTGAGCGCGCCGCTGGTTGGTGTGACGCCTATGTTCGCTGTCAGCTTCTGGGGCTACGGTGTGGGAAAGAAGCTCGTGGAGTCAGCCACCGAGGTGGAATACAAGAACGGCACACCACAATATACGATCGGTCAGGTATCGGCGGCTGGATTCTTCTCTGCCATTCCGATGACACTCATCACCGCGCCCTTCGAGCGTGTCAAGGTGCTGCTGCAGATACAAGGTCAGAAAGAGCTCAAGCCCGGTGTAAGTAACTCTTCTCGACTCTGATAGCCACCCAATTGACCGTACTGTAGGAGAAGCCCAAGTACTCGGGCGGTCTGGACGTTGTACGCCAGCTCTACAAAGAAGGTGGAATTCGTTCGGTCTTTCGAGGCAGCGCCATGACTCTAGCTCGCGACGGACCAGGATCCGCGGCATACTTTGCGACCTACGAGTACATAAAGCGATCACTATCACCTAAAGACGCCGACGGAAACGCAACGGGCGACTTGTCACTCACCGCCGTCATGGCCGCAGGTGGCACTGCCGGTATCGCTATGTGGATCCCGGTCTTCCCAGTCGACACGATCAAGAGCAGACTACAAAGTGCGGAAGGCAGCCCTACAATGTCAGGAGTCATCAAGGGCGTCTACAGAAGCGGTGGGATAAAAGCCTTCTTCCCTGGCTTTGGTCCTGCTCTGGCTAGGGCAGTGCCGGCCAATGCAGCGACATTTCTAGGCGTCGAGCTGGCACACAAGTTCATGAATCAGACTCTTGGCTAGATTGAGAGCTGATTGACAAAAGGACTAATGCGGAGCGCGCCTGGCGTCCAGCGATCGTCTCCAATTGCAACCAGATACCCCATAGATTAGCGAAATGCATATGAGTTATCACTAGCCGCTTTCGCCGAAGCAGCATCGACAACTGTTGAACTATGGAGAAGCGACGTCTTTCACCGTGCAAGCGAGCAATTGCCTGTGCCACGTATATCTGCAAGAGGTCGGCCACGTTGATTGTGGACTCTTCTGATGCAGGTGGCCGAGAGATCATTTCGAGTCGAAATTTCGCCAACCATTTCTTTCGTTTTCGTCAAATTTATACTACGCTCGCCGATCCCTCCGATCACACTGCGGCCATATGCAGCATCGAAAGGCGAGGTTGGCACCTACTGAAGCAGAACCTGTAATTTTGCCTGCCAACACGAAGCAGGTGGAGCCTGGTGTTCATCGAATGCTCTTCGCCTTCGTAACGTAATGGTCCTCAAATGGTTGCAGCAGACTCGAAGACAGCCTTACCAGATGGAATCTTGTCTACTCTGATGGAAAGAGCCATGTTGCGGCTCTTGACGGGAAGTGACAGTCGAGTTCTAAATGCAACCTGCTCAGTCCTATCTACCTGATCACTGCAGAATCTGGAACATCCAGCATGGGGTTTTCTGCTTTTCTTTGTTTATGCTTCTTGCAACGGGTTTTCTCTCTCGAGTCTCTTCATGATTGGTGGAATCTGTACCCTCCGAAATACGCTCTTGCAGGTGATGCCTCGAGCCGTTGCTCCAACCACTTGGGACGGAAACACGCTCTCTACGAATGCGGACAGCATACCTGCACTCGAACAGTCGCTGCCTAGCCGATGAATGATACTTGGTCGGTCAGAAAGGCGGCCGGCGATCGATCGGTCCGTCATGTTGAAGATGTACATCCATTTTGGGCAACGCTGCACTTGACTGCGTTCACGAAAGGAACATCAATCCTGGCAGCAGAGCCCACGAAGTCGAAGATTGTGGTCTGCGAGCTCTGGATCTAAGACACTGCTCATGGGAAAGACAGATTACTACTCTCCTCGCGGCTCCGCACTGCAATATTGGTACACGCTATTGCTTTTACATCAGTCCTCGAAATGCATCCATCCTCACCGACCACACTGGCCGAACTACACCGCCTCGATAGTCGAACATCATCCCGCGAACGCTTCCTAGTCTGGCAACTTCTGGTCTGGAAGCTCCGCATGTTTGTTGAAAGAGGACAACGTGTTCAAAGCCGACATGATCAACAGGTCCACCAGTTCAAAGCGTTCCCTGCGAGAGTGAGCAAGAGAAGTTTGTTGTTCTATATACTCGTTGTTGTCCATCCATGTTCCTTCAGCCCGCCTTTGACCTTTGATACATGAACTCGCTTGCTTGCTCCACAATAGTCAAAGACGAATGAGTTTGATCAGAAGTTCAAAGAACGCGGACGACTTCTGGCAGTACTTCAGCATTGCTGTCTTAAGCTCAATTGCTGCTTTCGTTCCTTCCACCTGAAGCATCAGTTTTGCTTGGCATACGTCGGTCCGAACTCCGCGACTATGTCAACCATCAAAGCTCTTCTCAACAAGGCTTCCTCCCCTTCCCCATCCGTATCTTCGAACACCACCTCACAGACTTCCAGCTCCGGGACTGGTACACCAACACAGTCTCCAGCTTACAGTCCAGCACTACTCTCACCCTTCAACTCCACCCTAGGCCTTCATACCAATCATACCCTCCCGCTCCCGCTCTACCAAGCTCGTCCTAAGCCCAAGATCGTCAAGGATGCACCAGTCTTTGCTCCCGGCCCGACGCGCGGACCTGTGAGATATCCAGTCCATGTGTATACAGGCACAGAAGGAAAAGACACCAACGATCAGACAACCACCAAGACCACCACTTCGTCAGTGTCCTCTGACACCAAGAGCAACAAGTCTTCCATCTCCTCCTTCTCCTCGCGTCGGTCCTCTGCTACAAGTCTCGGCAAGGCCAGCAACAAGAAATCCACTAAGTCACCATCATCAACATCAACAACCAAGGTCCAAGCGGTCGCTCAGAACAATGTCATCTCTCCGCAGACACTGCAAGCATACCACGATAAGTTCTCCGTCTTCCCTGCTCAGGCCAACATTGCAGAGTTTCCTCGCCACATCCCTTACAACAGCGAGAAGCGCGTCTTCCTTGAGGCAACTGGACGGGACTTCTTTGAGGTCTATCAATTCACCTTCAAGATCCCTTCTGCTGGCGGCGACGAAGAAGGTCATGCTGCTGGCGAGGGCAATGAGAAGATGTGGACGATGTTGTGGGATTACAATACGGGTTTGGTGAGGACGACGCCGCTGTTCAAGTGCTGTGGGTACGGCAAGGTGAGTCTGCTTTCCACCTTTTTGAATCAGATCATGATGGCTGACAAACATGTCCTTGGGCTAGACTACACCAGCCAAGATGCTGAACAAGAACGTCGGTCTTCGTGACATCTGTCACTCGATCACTGGTGGTGCGTTGGTTGCTCAAGGTATGCTGCTCTCCTCCTTCTCTCCTTCCAGTCGGCTGTCGACTTACCTTGCTGACCACCACCCACTTCCAGGCTACTGGATCCCATACCTCGCCGCTAAACATATCGCCGCCACCTTTTGCTACCGCATCCGCCACGCCCTCACACCAGTCTTCGGCCTCGACTTCATCGACTTGTGTGTCCCGCCTTCTGATCTGAGATTTGGCAGTAAGTCTAACTACTCCTCACCCAAACGCTTACTTTCTTCTTACCCTTCCTAACCTACTCACCCATGCGACCTCCCCGCCAAACAGTCGCTGACGGAATCTTCCCAGGCATGCTCATTCCCCCGTCCGTCACCCAACAATGCACGACTGAAGCCGCACTGTACAAGCAATACGAAGCCGACCACCCCACCGTCCGTCCCGCTGCAGGTACAGGCGGACTTTCTAGCCGTTCCGGCAGTCCACGACCACCTCGCGCTCTCACTCCTATCGCTCCTGCTCCACGCTCGCCAGTCTATCGGCTCGTCGATAACGAGCCCTTCCGTTGCGCTACTCCCTCTGCTACATACAGTGGTAGTCATGTTGTCAAGCCAACTCTGCGCTTCAAAGCCATCAACTCGCGCCCCCTCACTGACGTTAGTGCTGCGGAGAGCGATGCAGTCACATCCATCGATGAGGATGGCGACGATGACGATGATGAGTACCTCAGCCCCGCCACTCATCACTCACACCCCAACGCCTCAACTCCTCACTTCCGCAACGTGGCGTGGCGCAACACCAAAGCCCGTCGTGGTCGCCCCACCGGCATCAAGACTGTGCCGCGTTCTCACCCTGCTGGCGATGACGACAACGAAGACGACGATGGAGCCACCAGCCCAAAGAGTCTTGTCTCCACCAGCACCAACAAGTCTCGCGCCAGCGGCAAGAGTGCTGGGTCCAAGCGTGACTTCGCTCAGTTCGATGATCAGGGCCTTGACTTCCAACACGCCGCGTATGCTCATGGTGGTCTCAGCGCGTACTCCTCCCCGATGAACAGTCCCAAGCTCCGCAAACTCCACCAACACCAACAGAACCAGCGCCAACAGCTGCAGCGTCAGCAGCAGAAGGAGGTTCAAGATGCTGTCATGCAGGAGTATGAGGAAGAAGGCTATGATGCTGATGAGGAGACTTCGGCTGACTCGAAGGGTGGCAAGGCCATGAACCAGACGGAGGTCGATGCTGCGAAAGCGCTGTTGGGGCTGAAATGGGGAATGAAGATGAGTGATGCGGGACGGGGACGGGCTGCTAGTGCTTGATCTGTTGAGAAGGAAGGTCGAGCGGGAAGGGAGAGGACAGAATGGACATGGGTGGGGACTTTGCAACTTCTATTGGGGTTTTTGGGTTTATGCATGGTGCGTTTTGCTTTTTGCAAAACGATGGGCATTGAAGGAGCATCGATTTGGGTCTAACACACAGGAAGAAGACGAACCAATGCGCTGATTCTCGTGCGCATGAGCAGTACTTTGCGAGCAGATAGCACCGGCATGCATTGATGATCACTGAAAGTATGTCTTCGCACTCAACATCAAATTAACCCGTCTTCCGGTCTCATGCAAGTTTATGCCTGAGCTGGCTGAGGGGGCATGTAATCATGGAAGGTGCTGGGTCAAGCAGGCACCTGCCGCAGGTGGCGGTGTCAGAGAGCATTGATGGGAAAGAGCGATCCCTGTGCGCTCCTGCTGTGCTTGAATATCTGGCAGCTGGCGAGGGAAGGCGCGGGTGCGATGTGCAGTTGTCTTGTCATCCGGTCTTGGTCCTTTGAGGAGTGAATGGTCAACCGGTCTCGCGTGAAGTTCTGGTCAGACCGGATGATGATGGAGTGGAGGGGAGTCTGGTGTTGGTCTGTAAATGCTTCTTGAGGGCTGGACTTGTGAGCCTCCCGCTTCATTCGGTCCACTACCCTGACTACTTCTGCTTGCACTTCTCGCTGCCTTCCTCTCTTTTACTGGGTCTCTGCAATTTGGACTGCCGAAGCTTACTGAACTTCACGCTCATGACCACCTCTACTTGTTCCCTTCACTCATCTTCTCCCAAGCCTGCTCACGGACCATTCGCTCAAGGTGTCGCTCCATCTCACGTCCTGCGCGATCGATGCCTCTGACAGGCGCGTAGTTTGACCAAACTTGCTTGCCGTAGTCAAAGATCAAATCCTCCCTGATGAACGTGTAGTAGGATTCGTTATCATCCGTCTCGTACTCGATATCGTAGTCGCAGTGGCTGCCCCAGATGTGCTTGCAGAGAGCTTGAATCCGGTCGCTCTTCTCGGTGGACATTGCGGTGGTCGAGTGTATGCTGTCTTGACGGAGGCTGGAATGTTCGGCTGTGTATGGCGTATGGTGGTTGCGGCTACGGTTGATGTTGCTGTTGGTAGTAATCGAAGAAGTGCAGGGAGTCAGTGGCTCGGACGAGCTTTAAGTAATTGGGAGAAGGTGACATCCGTGCTCGTTGAAGGGGTGAGGACCGTGCACTTTCTCCTTGGAACTGCGTCACGCCCTCTCGATACCATCACCCGTTGCTACTCACTCACTGTACCAATACTGTCCCTCACCGCCATCACCTGTTGTGTATGTGCTCCAAGTCACTGGACATACCTCGAACCCATCACAAAACCATCCACAACGTCAACAGCACCACGATCGAAACATGTCGTCCCAACAGCAAGCCTCCGCGAGCGGCCTGCTCGCCCAGGACAAGCCAGCGCAGGTCACCTATCGGTGCATGGAGTGCAATACGTCCGTCAAGCTCGACTTACCGCCGCCTGAGAAGATATTCGCTCCCTGTGAAGAGCGCCATATCCGCTGCCCGGGGTGTGGATATCATGTGCTTTTCAAGGAGCGGACGAAGAGGAGGGTGCAGTACGAGGCGCGCTGAGGGGAAAGTTTGGGACTGTGAGGCCAAGGACGAGACAACAGGGCGGGAGGTCTCAGGTGGTTGGAGAGGGGAGTATGAGCACTGGGGTTTTGGGTATGGAGATGATGCCGTCTGGAGATATTCTTTGGCGAAAAGAGAATTGTGCTGTCGGCGAGATAGCTTCTGCTGGGGGGAGGGGGAGACGAGGGCATTGGTCGGCGATTGATTGGCTGGGGAACCGTCAAGCTATTCCTACCTGTCATATCCAAATGTTTCATGGAACCTTTCTTTTCTCACCTCTCCATACTGCCTTGCGAGAGTCTCCCTCGAACCTCGAAGACTTTATCCGAGATGCTCCCGTCCACCTGGAGCCTGCACGAGGTCGCCTGGTCTGGACCGGGTAAATGTCGCGTCTTCGTCCCCACAATTAAGCCGGGCTTGAGGCTCTTGCAAGCGATGGCGACGCTCCATGAGTGAGACTGCTGCCATTCTTATAGCAGTTCCTCGGGCTCAAGCGTTCGCTCTGAGCCTCACGGGACTGGAGTCAAGACCAGCGCTGGTAGGGAAGCGCCCATCGGAGAGAACTCCAGAAGCGACATACGACAGATCTCCAGATGGCCGCCGCCAAGCGTTACGCCACCTATCCCAGCCTTGAAGACCGAGTCGTCCTGATCAGCGGCGGAGCATCGGGCATTGGCGCGGCCCTCGTCGAAGCTTTCTACAAGCAAGGCTCGACTGTAGTCTTCATAGACATCGACGATGGTGCTGCCAACAAGCTGATCGATATTCTGACCACCGCCAGTAGCAGCCACACCGACGAAAAGGAGAGACTCGTATACCGACATTGCGACCTCACCGACCTCCCAGCCCTCGAGAAGACCGCCAAGGACATCCTAGCCAAATTTCCAACAATATCAGTGCTCATCAACAACGCAGCCTTTGACAAGCGCACCGCGACCAAAGACGTGACACCAGAATTCTTTGATTCACAGATCGCGGTCAACCTCCGGCATTTCTTCTTCCTAACCCAACACATCGCCCCTTCCATGATCGCTGCCAAATCGGGCTCAATCATTAACTTCGGAAGCATCAATTGGGTCGTCAAGTCCGTCGGGATGCCGCTGTACACGACCTGCAAAGCGGCCGTCGTGGGATTGACGCGGACCCATGCTCATGAATATGGGGAGCATGGTATCCGAGTCAACAGTATCATGCCGGGAGGCATTGCAACGGAGCGGCAGGAGCGGGACAACTGGGGGCCGGATGCGAAACCGTGGATGTTGACGCAGCAGGCGTTGAAGTACACGATGATGCCGGATCATGTAGCGAGGCTGGCGTTGTTTCTGGCGGCAGATGATAGCGATGGAATTAGTAACCAAAGTTATCGGGTCGATGGTGGCTGGACTTGAGGCGACACAGAACCAGGAAAGTGCCATGGAACTAGTGGGTATGTCAGGTAGGAACAGACCGTTGCCCAACGATTAATCTCCATGACACCGTGACGTCTGTGCATTGCCTAAGTCAAAACAGCACAGCTACCTTATCGTCGGTCCTCTTCCCGCCACAAGATGGAGAGCTCTCTATTCGGTGCACCATTTCTCACCTAAGCCTCAGAGGCCTCCGGAAATAATGACCCGATTGCTTTCGATCATTCGCCTGACGTCGTTGTCTACTAGGCTAGCCGGCGAACTTTCAATCTCGCTTCACACGTGACTGCTAATGAAAATAAGGAAGTCGCGAGGGCTGCACTCGAAATACTGAGAAGTGAAGCACTTGTCAAGCTTTTCATCTCACGAACGCACGACTCATGAAATTTTTCTTTCTTGTTCATTGCAAGACGACGCACAGTACGCATTGTATCCTACCCAGCTACGTCGTCCAGGAGACATCGTGGTATCAAGAAGATGTCTGAACGACCAATCATGGCCCGAGACGTGCGCGGTGTTGTATCTCAGACACAAGAACAGGTACGCCGCAATAATACTGACCGACCCTCTCAATCCATGCTTCCGACGCTGATACTCTGTAGCCTGTCGTCGCAGTCAACGAAGTGACCATGCTAAGCGTCGAACGCTCTCAGACGTTCAGGTTCCTCGAATTACCAAGCGAGATCCGCCAGCTGGTCTACGAATTCCTCTTGGCTGGGTCTCGACTCGCTATCGTCCGCCCCAAAGACAGGAAGCGTTTGAGGCTCGAGTACGATGAGGATACACCGGAACAACTACCGTCAATACTGCTCGCAAGCAAGTTGCTCAGAGCAGAATCTCTACCGGTCTTTGCGCGAAGCTTGAGCGTAGAATTCCACAATCGTTGCTGGGCGGCCGCCGACGTCGAAAAATGTCATGTCCCGGCGCATTACTTGGGTGTGGCTCGATCAGCGCAATTGTGGGCTCCTTACAACGAGCCGGTCAGCTCCTGGATATGCCCAAGCTGGAAGAGGTACGCTACGGAGTCAAAGTCTGCCAAGTTATTCCAAATGTTGCTAGACGATTTCGGAGGAGTCTCGAGCTCAACCAAAGCCATCTATTGGGCGTTGAGGATAAGACCATTGGATTTGCCCTACAGAATTTCGAAAGCAGGTCCCGAACAAAGAACATAGTCCTGGCCTCCACTTGGAAAGTTCTGCTGTTGTGCACCACCCGGTACTACGAAAGGTCTGTCGACGACAGCTCTTGGTACACATGCGAACAGGTAGGCAGATAGCTGGCTGCCGTCTCCTGAATCGTGGGCTGACAATGGACAGAAATTCACCATCCATTATCGAACCCGAAAATTGATTGATTACGAGGCCCCAAAGCACATCGATGAGAAAAAGAAGTGAGTCAGCGGTGGTAGTCCTGGGCCACCAAAGCGTGCTGGATGCAGAAGTATTCTGGCAGGCTAAGGGTAGCTTTCCAACGTCAGGTGGGATTCATACCTAGGTACGTAGGCAAGGTACTTATTGCTATCAAACATACACCACTTAGCAGCAGTGTGGGTATCTGTACGGACCGTAGCAACACGTCTGCGGAACTGGAGCTGCTTCGAACTGTGCATGCATCCAATGATACTCAAATGCAGTTTTGCTCCCACTTTCACTGCACATGCCAGGCTCCGGCCAGTAATACTAGCAGATAATGCCAATCAATAGTGGGACAATCGCGACCCAGACAAGGTCTCTCGATCCACTCTGCTCAACGACCACCACCATGAATCGCCCTCATAAACTGCCCCACACTGTCTCCCAACAACACCCTCGTCTCCACCACCATCACGACCACGAACGCCGCCCAAGCCAAAACGCTGATCCCAGCGACTTTGGCCATCAGCTTGAGCAGTCTGACACGACTCGCCCGTGGGAAACTCTTCCATGCCTCCTTGATCCCAATCTTCCCCTGCCCACCCAGAATCTCCGGCGTAGTCCGTCCCTGAAAGCTGCGATCAAACTCCACGATCGTCTCGTCCTCCTCCGGCAACATCGACGCCGCAACGCGGACCATTGTCACCAGCGCAGGGATAGTGCATGCGACGAAGAGGAACAAGAAGACGAGGTAGGCGAAGAAGGCTTGCGAGCCGGATATGTAGAGGTCGCCGGTGCCGGGTTCGTAGTTGGGGTCGGAGCGGAGGCGCTTGAAGGAACCGAATGTGCCCGTGAGGAGGAGGGGCAAGGTGAACGTGAGTTGGGTGCAGACGGCGAGGAGGAAGACGGAGGGCGCGATGCGCTTCCAGGTGCGCCAGGGCGGGACGCGCTTGTACCAGGGCTTTGGGGATGGGTCGGAGATTACGATGCTGAAAGGTGGGTGTTAGTATGACAGGACTGATCGGGAGGAGGGTGGGAGGCTTACTGAACCCATGTGAGGTGCAGACGTGCGAGCATTGTCTCGGCGACGACGGCGGCGAACGCGAACGCGTATGGGTACGTGCCAGGCGACATGGTGAAGGGTGAGGCGACGATGTTGGTGATCAGACTGCGAGTGAATGTCCACACAAGGAAGACGGACAAGCCGCGGAAGCGTGACCAGAAGCCGCCCTTCTCACGGAGGTGCTTGAGAGTGGCTCGGATGGAGGAGGTGAGAGGCTGGTTCTGCACGAGCAGCAGCTCTGGGTCGGTCGTCTGATCTTCGTCGTCACCAGTGTATGGTGGCGGTGCATCGCCATCTCTTGCTTGGACAGGCATGTAGGCCTTTGCTGCGGGTGACTCGATCATGCATAGCGTTGGAATGACATGGCCAAATGTGTAGGATATCGAAAACATAATGAACATGAAAGCGAGGAACGTGAGCATGATCACGATCACCGCGAACGGGTTCATTCTGATGTTAGGCGCATCAGGGTCGTCGTGGGGGACGCTGCCGATGGGCATGATGGGCCGTCGGATTGTGGTAGCGAGTTTGTGTGAGGGTACCAAGTGTCGTAGTCGTTACGGCAGAGATCAAAGAGGCAGCGTGAAGAAGGAATGAAGAAAGGGAGTAGTCGCTGTAGAAGTGAGATCGAGGAGGTTGTAGCGTGTAACGCAATGGGGCGCAGTTGAGGAGCCCAAGACCAAAGGCCCCGGGGCCGGGCTTCTTTGTTCCGTCTCCGATTAGGCGCCACTGAAACAAGGCACAAATCCCGCCCCATTTCTTGCCTTGTCAGGCAACTTGAACTGAGTACTGTCTCACCGTGAGCGAGTGGCAAACCGTTAGCCGCCTCGCATTTTTCGTTGAATGTGTATATGGAGAGCCGAGAAACCACGATGCTGACACGAGGGCAAAGCTCATCCTCCGAATCGAAAAATCCGGAAGAACGAAATAAAGCACTACACACGTACTTTGGCATTTGAAAGTCATAACTAGGCCAGACCGGCTGACGCTGAGAAGCGCTCCAAATATACATGCCAACACTTCTACACACAGCGGCTTCCCAGCACCAAAATTGGGAACATCTTTCTGCTTGGTCCTAATGCATTATGTTCCTTCTGTCCCTTCGCTGCTCTAATAACTCCTGGGTAGACCCAATACTTTCTCAGCCACAAAGCTCTTGATCATCTCTCTGCTCACCGGCGCGATTCTAGGCACGAAAATCTCCCTCAGGTATCTCTCAACATCGTACTCCCGCGCATAACCCATTCCACCATGACTCATGACACTTGTCTCACATGCCTTGTATGCTGCTTCCGCTGCTAAGTACTTGGCTGCATTGGCTGCTACGCCTACCGCATACTGCGTTATCGACTTATCGTCCTTGGAGTTATCATAGAGACGTGCTGCATGGTAAGTAGACAGCTTCGCGGCTTCCAAGTGCATGTAGCACTCTGCTAGCGGATGCTGTATTGATTGATTCTGCCCGATGGGACGGCCAAATACCACTCGCTCCTTCGCATACTTGGCAGCTTTTTCGATCGCAGCATAACCGATGCCGAGAGCTTCGCCGGCGAGGAGACACCGTTCGGCGTTCATGCCGTGCAGGATGATCTTGAAACCCTGGCCTTCCTTGCCGATCAGTGTATTGGCGGGGATTTGGTAGTTATCGAAGAAGACCTCGTTTGCGTCTACGGCATTACCACCCATCTTTCGGATCTTGCGCATGTCAAGGCCAGGAGCATTGCGATCGAGGTCGATGCAGAACATGGACAGACCTTCGTTGGGTTTGGTGACTTCTTCCAGAGGAGTGGTACGGGCGAGGAGGATCATCTTCTTTGCGACTTGTGCACAGGTGATCCAGATCTTCTGGCCTGTCACTGAGTAGCTGTTCCCGTCCGATGACTTCAGTGCGGTGGTCTTGAGACGTAGAGTGTCAAGGCCTGTATTGGGTTCTGTGACACCGAAACAAACGCGAGTCTTGCCGGAGATTATGTCGGGAATGGTCGACGACAACTGCTCCTGGTTGCCGAACTTCGCCAGCGGCTGTGTAGCATATACGTTGGCGTGTATCGACTGTGCGCCTGCCATACCGGCGCCGGACTGTGTGATTGTTTGTAGCATCATAGTGGCTTCAGAAATGCCTAGACCGGCTCCGCCGAAGTCCTCAGGCAGAGCTATACCTAGCCAGCCGTCGGCCGCGAGGGCAGCGTGTAGCTCCTTTGGATCGGTCTCAGTCCGGTCCTTCTCTTGCCAGTATTCGTTCGGGAAGTTGTCGCAGATCTTGCCAATAGCATCTCGTACGGTCATCTGGTTCTCTGTGAAGTTTGACATCTCCATGATGGTTCTCGACCGATGTGATACAGAGAAGTTGCGATTGGCTTGCCTGTCGTGAGACGTTATAGGTTTACATTGTGTTCGTAGGCATGCTGCAGGTGACGGTCGCGTGAGATGGGCGAGGCCACGAAGAGTAGGTGTGCGAAGCGCCATATTGGCTGTCAGTAGAGCAGAAGCACAGATCGCAGGAGTCAGTGGTCTCGAAAGACTAAAGCAGAGCAGGTCAGGAGCTACGAACCTACTAGGAAGGAATCATGGAGGCCATATATTGCTTGCCGGCAAGGACATCGCAAAATGAAAGCATCATTTTGGGGAACTCGTTGGAGAGGATAGCCCTCGGTGGTTGCTATTCCGAGGTTAGTCTCTCGGAATTGGCGGCATCTCATCTCGAAAGTGGTGATATGATGGGGTTGAACAATTTCGAGATGCTGGAGAAAGGCAAAGAACCGGAGTTCGAGAGCAGGCCAACTCCGATCGCGGCGAGCACTTTCACGTGGGCAGAAGTCTGAATGAACAACAACAACAGACATCCCATATCCTTTGACACCATCAGATCTAATGCTATCATTGCGTCTCGCCCCGAAGACCTCGTTGTACGATGTGTCCCTGTCGCTGAACGCGCTCAAGCCCTCCTTTCTGGATGCAGATCAGAAAAAATCTCGGCTTTCGTATCACACGAGAGCTGAGCAGTCCACTTCGTGTTCTGGTTTGTTCGTGCAGATACGTGCTTTGGCCACGCGAAAGTCACCCCCGAAGCTCAGTCCCCGCGGCTCGTGCCGAACATACAGTAGCTACGATGCCGGTCGCTGATGATGCTTCGGCAAATACCAGACAGCAGAGGCAAGTGCAACACCATGATTGCGGGTTTGGTCGTGTCCAAAGGCCGCCGCCACATGCCCATTGAATAGACCTGAAGTCAGTCTACATTTTCAGGGCACATCGCTGGCTGAACTGCCAAGTGTGCCACCTTACTCGGCATCTTCCGCGGCAGCGTTCGACGCGCAATCGATTGATTTTTCCGAATTTCAATCTCCCTGATTTCTGCTTGGCTCAAGTCTGCCTAGCACGCCATCTTTCCAGCTTGTGTGACCGTGTTCCTTAACAGCGAATCCGGGGTAAGGATGACGTCGTAGCCACTACTTGAGGTTCCTTCTGTTGTTGGTCGCAATTTTATACGATCGCGAGGACTTTTGAACCTTTGCCCGTGCCAGGGTACCGACGGGGCTTGGCTGTTCGAACGATGCGAGTTCAGGCTTGACCCATCGGGTCGTATTTGCCAGGAAGCATCGAATAACTCTGCTGTGGTTGACTTGACAACGCTGTCTGCACAACAAGTCTCGCGACCAGGCACCCAAGTCTGCATCAGAGCCTTGCCTGAAATGAGAAAGACACACTTTCGACGCAGTGACCAACGAGCACAGAAGTTCTTTGCATGGTAAAGGTACCCCAGAGTCATGCCCCTGGCTCAACATCAAACCGTGGTCGGTGGCTTTTCTTGGCTGAAGACCGCCCTGTCCCTTTTGTCGGTTGCCTCGTCTCACTACTGGTTCATCGGTCGGAAGGACGACCTCAAAAACTTCGATTGCGGCCATCGCGTTGGTGCCAAGGACAGCTGCCTAACCAACGACGCAAGACTGATTAGCAAGGACGTCCAGGAGCTGTCAGCCTTACCATCCATGTGCAGCTGGCAAGCAGCACCCTGCAGAGGCTTCCGCCGACGGCCTTGTCTCATTCGGTAAGCTTGACTTGGCTACTGCAAGACAGACTGCTTTTCGGTACCCTTTCCAGCACATACCCCGGAAACTATCTCAGATGCCATGGCGAGGCAGACAAGTCACAGCTCACCGGTCCGATGAGACTGAGATTCATCCCTGCGCGATGAGGAAGGCTGCTCAGCTCCGACTTCTCATCACGATGTTGTCAGGCTGAAGAGTCAAACGAGGGCGATTCCGCCACATGTATATCAGTTCCCCTCTGGATCGACCTCAGGAACAGATACCTGCAGTCCCCATATCACTTGAAGCTTGAACGTAATAAAACTGATCAGCCATGGCCGAGTCAACCCAACCCACACCAAACCTAAGCACCAGCACAGACAGCCAACAGCCCTTGGCTGGTGGCAGTGCCAATCAGCCACTGCTACCACCTCACCCAGCTCTCGCGGTCGCAGATCTGAAGAACATTCAAGGCGACGTGATCGTCGGCCTCCCGAAGAAAGCGCAGAAGTTCTTCTTCTTCACCATCGCTGATGTCGACACCTTTCGTAAACGCTTGGTCAGTGTAATCCCACTGATTACGACATGCCTGCAGACCTATGAGAATCGCCAGGCCATCCGCAAACGACCCAGGAAGGAGGACCGCTTGCATATGAGCGGTGTAAACATCGCTTTCTCGTGGCGTGGCCTGCAGAAGGTATGTATCCCATGGCTGGCACAATATGTGAAGCTGGACCACAGCTGATCATACTGTTCAGATCGATAAGGACCTCTTCCAAGGTGGTGCGTCAAAGGACCCGCAGTTGTTCGAGAAGGGCATGAGAGCAACCAGACAGAGCCTGAGAGATAACCCTGACAATTGGGATCCCAAGAACTGGGAGCTCTTTGATCCAGCACTGGACAAGAAGCAGGGCTTTGATGTGGCGCCAGATGGAGCCGGACAAATCGATGGCGTATTCAATATTGCCGGCGAAGAAGGCCCTCGTGTTGAGTCCGAATGGGCGAAAGTGGCAGCAACCCTAGGCGATTCCATCAATCAAGCATTTGTACTCAATGGTGCGGTAAGGAAGGGCCCAGAGGCTGGACATGAGCAGTAAGTCAAACACCTTGTTCAGTGTATATAGCACACTAGAATTCACACCACCTAGCTTCGGCTATATGGATGGCATCTCCCAGCCCTTCATCTTAGGCACCGAAGATCTGCTCGGCCCATCTCTCCCGGGCCAGGGCGAGGTCGAGCCTGGCGTCATCCTCCTTGGCCGTAAAGGTGACAAGATCGAGAGCCAGGGCCCCAGTCCGGCCGCCGACCTCCCCGAGCAGGAGCGTTTCGCTTGGCAAAAGGACGGCACGTTCATGGCCTTCCGCTACCTGCGCCAGAAAGTGCCAGAGTTCGACAACTTCCTTGCCAGAGCCGCCTCCGTAGATCCTCGTGTGAGCAAGGATCTCCTCGGCGCGAGGATGGTCGGGCGCTGGAAGAGCGGTATGGCCTCGCTTTTTCAAGAAATCAGCTGCCAAAGCACGAACCAGCTGACACATCCCAACAGGCGCGCCACTCGACATTGCACCCTTCCAAGACGACCGCTCTCTTGCCGCCAATAAAGATGAGAACAACAACTTCCAATTCGAGGACAACGATAGCATCACCTCCAACCCACATTCGCGGTGCCCGTTCGCTGCACATATTCGCAAGACGCGCCCGCGCAAAGACCTGGACCCCAAATTCATGGACTTCGAGCGCGTTCTCCGCCGGGGCATCCCTTACGGTCCCGGACTCGACCCAAAAGGGTCAGAGAGCAAAGTCAGCAAGGCCGATCGCGGACTGTTGTTCGTCAGTTATCAGAGTCACTTGAGTCGGGGGTTTGAGCTAATGCAGAAGAGTAAGTCGAATCTCTTCCATGCCGTTGTCGCTGTCGCCATGGCCCATGCGCAGCCACAGGTGTACTGACATGATGAAATTTCATGCATAGCATGGGCAAATAATCCAGACTTCATCTTCCGCAAAGACCCCAACCCGGGACTGGACCCTATCATAGGGCAGTCACATGCCGACCCAACGGAAACCGATGTCACAAAGCAGGGTGCCAAGCTGCGTCAATCCACGGGATTGTTCTCCGCGAACGCAAAGGACGGCACCAACGAGAAAGACGAGACGACTGGGGTCGCCGGGTTCAAGCTGGGCGACAAAGGGGCGCCCAAAGATGCTGACGGCACAGACAAGGATGAACTGGGTGAGGAGCAAGGAGAGGCCAAGCACGAGTGGGTGGAAAGTAGAGGCGGGGAGTACTTCTTCGTGCCGAGCTTGAGCTCGTTGTTGCAGTATATTGCTTTGTGATGAAGGGCATGAGCTATGTTTGGGCTCGGCCAGGCTGGATCCGCGGCAGGATGTTTCAGAGGGATAGAGGAAGTATCAATCAAGTCATGCGAGCTTGACAGAATGATTGCATTCCTGAGGGTTTTCCCTTCTGCTTCGCGGGCGAAGCGATTGAAGTAGCACGGTGATTGCTGGTGTCATTGAGACAATGTACTGTGCTGCTCATTCTTTTCGAATCCTGTACTGCTATGTAGCTCTGAGTGAAGCGCACTTTCCTTTGACGAACCTGGCAGCGACAACGATGAATGGTGTTTCCTCACAATTCGGCCATGTCGCTAGGTGCTATGACCCACCGTCGAGGTTAGGTACTGTACGGTAGGCATGCGAGATCATCGTAGCGGCAGGTAGAACTAACACGAGAAGTGGCTAGAACAACGCTGCATTGCTCTGCGCCATCGAAAGCTACCTCGTCAGTCCTCGCTCGCATTGGAATATTCTGAGCACTAGTTCACTGTGAAACAATTGATGAGCTCAAGCTGGTAGACCGAATCACGACCTCGAAATGAGTCACGTGATACGGCGAGATTTGACCATTCCGATTTGGGCCAGCATCAACAAAAGCCGACCATGGCCGTTGCCGAACCTCCAACCCTGCGCAACTGCCTTCATCAGATACATCGACTGCATTTCCCGTCATTGCATCGCCTCAGCATTGCTTTCACAACATCACAGCATGATGCTCGAACCTTGAAAACATCGATTGCGCGTCGGACTTACAACAAGCGGTATCTAATACGTCGACGCGATGGCGAAGACGGTGGGGAGTGCGGCGTGGATCTCTGCAGAGAAGGAGAATGTGCTCGACATCCTTCGGACGGAGAAGGAAGAGCTTGTCTTCCCAGCTCAGCATGAGCTCGAATGGCTGAACGAGCATATGCAGGACATCTTCAGCTCGAGTCATGCAAACATTACCAACGTGTTTAAGACGCCGGGCAAGATGCATGGGAAGACGCCAAAGACGAACAGGAAGCGCAATGTTGAAGCGCGTGTGGTAAGTCCCTTGGCATGTTCTGTTCGAAGCAAAAGCTGATAGTGGTAGCCACTGAGCGACGTCTTCTCAGTGAAGCCAGCTCAGAAACATCAGAGCCCCACGAAGATACATTTCAATAAGCCACCTCCTCGATTCGAGATCCCCGCGGACGCATCACAGACACAGAAGAACATCATTCCGTCGCAAGCAGACTCGGGATACCATACATCCACGCAGTCGCAAGCAGATCCCGACGAGTCCATGTATCCCATAATCGAACCAGTACAGAATGAAGAACGAGTCCCCGTGCGAGAACAAAGTCCGGAACGGCGAACGACTGAGGGCTCTTTCCATTCCGCGAAAGAGGACCAGACTACCAAGATCACGCGAGAAGCTCAACCCAAAGCGGCGGACGCCGCTGCGCCCGCCGAGTCACAAGAGCAAGCTCCCCAGGAGCCCCAACCAGTCCCGCAGCCAGAGATTCCACAGGAAGAGCCAGCGAACGATGATATCGAGATGGACGACATCGGCTCGCCCTCAGACGAGTCTACGCCCGATCGACCACTTGTCAGGAAGGGCAGCCTGACCTTCGCCTCACTACCAGCTCGAGAACCGATGAAGACGAGCATTGGTGCTCGCGTTTCTCACCAGAAGAAGTCCTTCGGCCCTTCGAGGAACAGCCAGTCCCTCCACCATGCACCACCCGTGTCTCCAGAGAAAGACGAGGATGAGTTTGATGAAGATGATATCGTTATGGGTGATTCTCACATCGAAATTTTGGGTCATGATGAGTCCGCCATGGACGCTCCTCTCTTCAAGCCAGGCAACAGAAGCGCTGCTCAAAGACTACAAGAGAAGATTGAGAAGCTAGGCCAAGCACCACCAGCAAGGGCGTCTAAATCGATTCCTTCTGCATTGCAAGCTCGGCCGTCTGGCGCGCCACCGGCTCAGGAGCAGCAAAAACAGCAAACTGCCGACGATGATGATGACTGGATCAAGCCACTGACCTCGCCTGCTAAGTCAGCTGCTGCTTCTTCCCGCCATGGTGGCTATGAATCAGAGCCTGGTGACGAATTCGATGTCCGCGCTCCAGAACTCATCGCACACGAAGAAAGAATGGCTGCTTTCTCGCCATCACCTCCGAGACAGCGCCCAGGGTTCGGCCATGCCAAATCTGCATCCACAGCCACACTCGCGTCTCCCGCCAAAATCGCCATGGGCCAGCCTCACAGTCCAGCAAAGTCTATCTCTGTCTCAAACCCTGCTCAGCAACCCACAACTACCCCCGAGGGATCACCTCGTAGACTGCTGAATCTTAGCGCTTCCAAGTCCCGCCTGCAGTCCATCATGAAGTCAGCCAAGGGTCTCTTTACTAGCAGTGCGAGCGTCTCAGCGGCGGCGAAGCTGGAAATACAGTCACCTTCGGCAAGACCGGCACCGAACGCGATGCCGGGTATGTTCCCACGAGGTGGCAGTGTCTTGGAAGACAAGCCTCTCCCAAGAAGCCCCGCCAAACCAGTCAGGCGCACCAGGAGCTCAACAGAACGCGAGAAGGTAGAGAAGCGCAGAGAGGACGACGCGAAGGCCATGGAGCGCATGAATGAGCAGCTGCAACAGGTTCGCGAGAAGGAAGCGCAGAAGGCTGCGAGTCACAAGCAAGCCACAGAGCAAAAGACCGAAGAAGTGCATGCCCCTTCGAAGTTACAGAGACCGACCAAGCCTATTCGAGAGCCGACGCAAAAGGCAAAGCCTGCGCCGGTCGCGATCAAGGTGGGAACGCTGTCACAACGTGTGCCAATGGCCTCCTCCATCGCATCCAGTTCTCAAGATGTGCTGCCAGCCGAGCCGAAACGTCCCGGCCTAAGCAAGAAAGCCAGCACATCATCTATGAACTCTGTCTCTCACTTCAAGACCTCTACAACGACCTCGCAGCCAGCTAAACCCAAAGCACTGCTTGCCGCAGAACGCAAACGCGAAGCGGATGAGCGTGAAGCGAAGCGAAAAGCCGAAGCGAAACGTGAGCTTGAACGAAAGAGAGAAGAAGCTCGTCAGCAGGAGGCTAAGCTACGAGCAGAGGCAGAGCGAAAGGAAAGAGAACGTGTCGCAGCGGAACAAGCCAAGCGACAGGCAGAGCAGCAAGCTAAGCAGCAAGCAATTGAGCGAAAGCGACAAGAGGCAGCTCGAAAGGCTGAACAACAGCGACAGGAGAGACAGGATGCTTCTCGCCCGCCGTCTCGAGCTGGTGTGTCTCAGCTCGGCACATCTCAAATGGCAGATCCCTGGTCAACCACCCCATTCCAACAAACCCCGCGAAACCTGCCAAGCGACCTGTGACGATGATGCAAGCAGAACGCAAGCTCCGAAATTCGGCCAGGCTTCTCAGCAGCAGGATGCTAAGCGCCGACGAACCGAAGACGAACACGATCCAGCACCCAGACCAACCCTCGCAGGAGCCCCTATCCGACAATCGAATCTTGGCAAGAAGACATCCATCTTCAGTTCCTCTCATTACGCGCCTGCTCCACAACCCAGTCAGTTCCCTCAGCCACCATCTCGAATGCAGCCTCCTCAGATGGGCGCGTATTCCCACCAGAAGATCCCCTTTAACAACGCAGTCACCAACGTACCCAACAACCCGCCTGCCCAACACAACAAAACACCAGCATCAGCACACCACAAGACCCCAGCTTCGGCCTTCAAGCAGACAATCGGAGTGGTCAAGTCCTCCCCACAATACACACCCGGTGAGCAGATCCACCTGCCCGAGATTCCCACGGACTCCGAGGACGAAGACTCCGACGATGACGACAACAACAAAAACGCCTTCCCGATCCCTGACTGGGCGACACCCGGTCACCTCACGGACCAATTGATCCGGCAGGAGGGCATGGATGGGGACGCAGTGTTCGGGCCGATTGCGCCGCTGAAGATGGAGGAAGTGTTCGACAAGGGGAACAAGGAGAGACTGAAGAGGTTGAGGGATCGGACAAGTAGTGCGAACTGGGCTATGAGTGGCGATGGGTTGACGCTAGAGGAGGTGAGACATGATCGGGAGCAGAGGGAGATAATGCGGCAGAACGGTGGTTGGAGATATGGCAACGGGGGCTGAAGATTGGGTCCCCAACGGCAACCAGATGGGTCACGTAGAGAAAGGCACAGGATTTGATGATGGAGTTGACGCTGGCCGCTTACCTGGCGATTCAGGCCTGACAGGACATGAGACATGGGCAGTCAATCGGGCGGAAGACATCCTGCGGCCAGAGTTGGTTGGCATTGTATCATTTTAGCATCAGAACCTGGGACTCGTGCAAAGATATGTGCACTAGAGGACGCTCAGAGTTGAGCATCGAATGTAAAGAGTCGAACCTACCAAGCATTGCTCTCCTATGAGCTCGTGTGTTTGCGCCTTTATCTCCCTTCCATCGCGGAACAGCTTGTGTCCGGCTTCTAGGGTCATGCACTTGACCTGCGCACGTTAAACTCAACTGATCCGTCTGTCGATAGCCGTGGTCTCAGGCCACCGGCATCGCGCTAGTACTTCTTCTCTTTGCTGACCTGTCATCCGGTTTGGCCAAACACCAGCATTAAACCGGTTGACAGACGCACAAGGCCGGATGAAAGACCCCGCGCCTTCCCCTCTCACACCTTCCTGCCCGAGTCTCTGGTACGCAACGACAGCAGGAGCAGCACACAGCCGATCGCTGCTTCTCAACATTGCTTGACAGACGCCAACGAGCGGCAGGTGCCTCTCACGAGACAGCACCTTCCGCGATTGCTTACCTTGTCAACCGGCTCGAGCAGGAACCTACGTGAGACCGGCTGACACCCTCCCTCGCGGCAAGAGACCGCCTTCATCTGCACTTGAGAGTCTGCAGAACAGCACAGTGCTTTGGATCTCGTGTGGATTCTCTTACACACTCAAGGTCGCCTAATGATCAGAGACGCTCTTAACCTAGCCTCACACTGAAATACACGGCGCTGCCATATAGACCTCTGACAAATTGCGCAGCGTTATCCCTGGCGGCGCAGGATCCAGATCCTGCCACCTCCACGTCCCTGACTTGCCCTGTTCGGAAGTCCGCACATCGTCCCATCCGAACAAATCGATCCACGCATTCACAAAATCCGCCGCTTCCTGCCTCGCTGGTGGTCCGTTACCTACGTTCCAAGCTTGCTCAACGGCGGTCCACTGCTGTGCGCCTGCCTTACGAGGTGCGGCATTCCAGCTTGAGGAGGCTGTGTCTGTGGTGTTGGGGAACTCGACGTCGGACACGATCTTGGACATGAGGTCGATGGCGCTGAAGGCGGGGATTATGTCTGATGAGAGCGTAGGTGGGGGCGCGATGCAGGTTGTGCCCATGAGGAGGGGGATGGAGGGTTGAGTGCTGCCGTTGAGGAGGTCGCTGGTGTTGGTGTTGGGGGACAGGGGGTCTTGGTTGGGGTCGTCTGGAGGGGTGTTAGTATTTTGCTCTCGGTGACATGTGACAATCCGACTCGATGGGGAAAAGAAGGTACTTACAAGCACCCCAGAGCGCAACAGGGCAGGATTTGTCTACACGCTCAAGACCCCAGATTTTGACTTGTTCACCGGCCTGCTCCGAGGCGATCTGGATAGTCATGGTCGAGGTCATGGTCTGGTCTTTAGTGATGTGCATGGGTCGCGATTGCAGCTTAGTGTCGGTCGAGCCGACGACGGGTTGAGCATTGACTTGGAGGGTTTGTAGTGCGAATATTGATACGACACGGAAAGCGAATGTACCAGCACGAACATTCCATGTGTCGGCGTCGGTTGAAGTCTGCGAGCCATTTCCAGTGGCCATACCGGAGTCGACAGTCAGCTTGTGTCCAGGATCGACTGCTGGGGTTATGAGCAGTTTCGTTGGCTTAACCTGCTCTTGCTGGCTATCTCCGGGTAGCATGACCTGCTGTTGAGTCTTGCTTTGCTGCAGAAGAAGGTCCCAGAACGCAGGCAGCGTGCAAGCAAGGGTAGGTCCCGGGTCAGGGCCGAAGTGAATGTCAAACCCAAATACCCAGAAGTCGACATGGACATAGCCCTGGATGGGCAACCCAGTAAGATGCACACTCGCCCCAATCTCAACGTCAATATATATCGTCACAAAGAGCAGGTCGAGTGAGAACGAAACACCAACCGAGACGCCAACATCGCCGACAAAATTGAACGGCTTGTAATTGATCAGAAAGTCCGCCCAGCAATCGTAGTGCGCTCCGAGGGGACCACAGGACAGTTGCGCTTGCAAAAGACCGCCCGCCATGCACACCTTGGGTGTGATTGCGAAGTAGGCATTTCCCGTGATCGACAAGCAGTCGTCGAGAGACCAGTTGATCGCTAAGCGCGGCACATCGGGGTAGTGCGCAGGCTTCTGGTATGCTGCGTGATACCCACCTAGAGAGAAGACCCAGTCTCCTGAGTGCTCGGATCCGAACCACGTCGCGAGCGCGAAGCCTCCCGTCAGGTGGCAATCTGGATCCAGGATGAAGGATGACGGCGCCAGCTGTGCGGTCACTATCAATGAACCGGCCTGGAAGTCCACGACACCGGTGATGCCAAGCTCTACGTACGCCAGTTTCCCCTGAGAAGAAGCCCCATCCGTTTCCGACGGAGGCACGGTCGCGATCGCGTCAGCGAAGATCCCGAGTGTCACGTATGGGTTGAACTCGACAACGACAACGGCGTCGATTGATAGCACGGAGAAGGCCTCGACTTTTGCACCGAAGGCTAGCCATAGGCTTGAGGGCCGTGGCGTGATCCACACACCGTCCGTGAGGTTCGTTATTGTAGCCAGTGGATCGCCACCGACTTTCGATGTCATATTGTCGCCAATGAATGGGAATTGGAACACCTGTGACGCCGTAGGAAGAGTGACCGCAGAATTGTACCCGAAACCACCACAGACGTCAGAAAGCTCGATGAATTCGAGGTCGATAAGTGGTCCCTGCAAATCAGCAAACAGAAACACCGTGTGATAGGATGTACCCGATGCTGGGGTGATTGTGCCATATCCGCCTGCCGCGAGGAAGGTGTAAGGGTCAAAGTCTACGGCTACACCGCCAACGTACATGTCTTCTCCTGGCTTGCTGATGTGGCTGAAAAGGCCAGAGATGAGGACTGGCGGCGCGTTGAAACCAATAGCGAGGCCGCTGATTGTCGCTTCCGGCTTGGGAAACTTGGTCAGGGACATTCCGTTGCTCAGATCGATGCCGAGCCCGAAGCCTAGGAGTTCGAACTCGATGGGACCAAGGACCATTTTTGCGTCCATGATGACGAACAATGCCGAGTCTTTGTACTGCAAGCCAATGTTGGACATGGTGAGAGGGCCGAACGAGCGTGTTGCTGCAGCCATGGCTGGCGGAGCAGAGGGGACATCCGCTGGAGGATCCTCCCGGACCACAATGTCCATCGATCGGGACCTGATCGTCGTCTCGCGACCTCGCAGGACCAAGGCGTGCTTGGATGGAGCCGGATCCTCCTTTTCGCCCAGGACATAGTCGAGCACGACAGTGGCTGATTGTTCTCCTGCATGACTACGATGAAGTGCTTGCCCTCCTTCAAGACGACGTCGGTGGGTTTAGGCTGCGAGTTGATGTTCTTGTAACGGAAGGTATCGGATATGTGAAGTGTTCCTAGCTCATCATTGATCGCGCCGATTTCCTGGACGGTGAAACCAGGGAAGACGCCAGGTGCTGCTTGACCACTGCTGTCCTGGACCCAGATGAAGTCCATCTCGTCAAAAGGCTGCGGAAGAGTACCGAGGATCGGCATCGATATATCATGACCGAGAGCTTGAACCGCAACGCGCAGAAGACGTTTTGGACTGGTCCCCTTAGGCCAGCTAGCATGGAAGAACTGCACGTAAGTGAAGCTCAGCACGTCCAGATCGATGTTGGCTATGAAAATAACATAGTCTCCGAGTGGCGCTGTACTTGACTTGAAGTAGTCTATCGAGACAAGCCCGCCTTTGCCGGCAGCTGACGGGATGGCTATGTCGGCAACGAAGCTGGGCAGGCCCGTGACGTCGTCTGAGATGCTGGCGATGACTGACCCCAGTGTCGCGGTACTAGCTTGTTTGGAGTCGGCTCCTAGGACGGCCGAGAATCTCTTTTCCGGAGGATTGTATGTATACGTCAAGTCGAGCTCCAAATCCCCGAACAAGAGAATGCCCGTGAAGAGAAAGGAGCTGGGCTTGCCAGAGGAGTATTGGTACTCGAGGTCCAGCCGGCTTATGAAAATCTTTGCCATCATCTGCATGGCTGTGTCCTGCGTATCGCTGTCAAAGAAAGAATATAGAGCTGCGACATTCAGGTCTTGGAGATCGGCAGCCAGTGTCCAGTTCGCACCTGCAGCGGTTTTGGAGTACATGACCCGCCCGTCTAGGAGTGCAACGGGCCAGTAGGTCTTCGCTGGGGGCGTAAGCTGGACTGTGAACGTGAGCTGTACCGTAGGCTCGGCTGTTGAGCCAAATTTGTAGCTGGCTATTAGTCCCAACTGATTGAGCGAAATAGTTGGAACGTCCACAGGCGTTTGCGGAGGAGTAGTGATCAAGCCACTGAAGTAGATACCGTCAGAGTCGATCTGTAGGAGGGCCTGGCAGACATTGTGGGGGATCTGATCGGGTATGGAAAGCAGCTTATCGCCATTTGGATACAGATTCTCGAGGTTGAAGGTCCTGGCGAATGTGTAAGCACCTTCTTGATCAGGCAGGGGATCGAACTGATCGAACGGTTCGAAAAGCGGATCGAGTCGAGGCGGCAGCGCGGGAGGTAATGGTGCTTCAAACTGTCAGCCTGTTCCAGCAGACTCTCTAATGGGATGCTTCGAGGGCTGGAGGAACTCACCAGGCCATATACATCCTGTCAGCTTCCCAACTTTGCCGCTCGGGTAGCAATATGTCAACCTGATTGCTACTTTGGTTTGGTCCGTATCGGTCTTCTCCCCACCAATGGACAGCGTGACTTGAGCATCAAATTTGCAGGTTACGACCTTGGGCCCTTTGTTGGTCACGGCGATTTGCACATACACACGTCGCAGCTGGAGGTTCTTGTCAAGAAACGCAGCGGCCTTATCAATCCACTGCATACATGGAAGATCGACACCGAGCAGCTGTACCAGCCAATCGACACAATCTTGCAGAACACCTCCTGACTTGAATTCCAGCGTGAAATCCAACGTTTGTGGAGAGAATGTCATCGTCATGGTAAACAAGAGGGTCGACTTGTTAATCGACAATTGGGCATCGGCAGAGACGAAGATCTGCGGCTGCGTTTCCACCTCCGCGCCACTAACATGAGCGACATAATTCATGGTCTTCTTCGCAACAACTGTTGCGCACAGGACCTGTAGTCCCGAGAGGTGAGCCTCGAGAAACCTGTTGAAAGTCGTCAGGGCCGCGGTGTCTAAGTGTGGCTCTAATCGGACCACAGTACGGTAGTAGTAGCTAGGGACGAACCAGATGGCGTTTCTGTCGCCACGGTCCTTACCTGGTCTCAATGTCAATGTGACGTCGCTAAGTGCGCCAACAAGGTCGGCTCCGGGAAGCGGCTGACCAGCGAAATGGAAAAGGTCGTTCAATGTGAAATCGACGTCTTTCGCTTCTGGGCTGAGACCAAATATGAGCGTGTCATAACCGGATAGCAGCCCGTTCGGCTGGAGAGCTTGGGCAGTGCTCAGATCAAATGCATTATTCACTGCCGCTGTGTCGAAATCAAGCGATGGTACGCCCGTTTTGACCGAAGGAATCGAGATTGTTACCTGGAAGCTGGCTACGCTGGTCGTTGTGGTACTCACGGAAAAGTTGGTAGCAGGAAGGGCCTCAGTGAACCAAGCGCTCCATTCATCTTGAGCAAGGATCTGTACGGTGGTGGCTTTCGTTTCTGAGGGTGGGGTCGACGATAGTGTCAGCATACCCCAATGCAGAGCTGTGATGAAGTCGTTCAGATCTCCTTGACCCAACGAGAAGGTCGTTGACGAAGTTTGTTCCTGCAGTGCCGAACAGAAGAATGTGTACCCTGTCGTGGGAAGACCACCTAAACCAGTCTCAATCCCTATGCTCGTAGCTTTAGACGCTGTTGTATGCGGTCTTGAATTGACCTTCCTGCCTATAACTGTATCTTCGGCATCGTCATCAGTATCCGATCCTTCATCGGGGTCTACATCTTCACCCGCCGAATAAAGCTCTGGCATGATTCTGACCGTGCCCAAGTTCTGCTTGGCACTCGGTTGCGCAAGCCGCATGGTTGTGCGAGGTCCAGTGAGCGTCTGTCGCAACGCCATGGTCCGTCTTGTAGTCATTTGTGCCTTGGGTGCCACCGAGCCGAAGGTATGAAGATGGCCCGCAAATACGGGATCATTGACTGTCTTGAACGAGACTTGGCCATCAGTAAGGTCTGTTGAGCGACATTGAAGCAGCAGAAACTCGATGGTGCTCTGATCGCTTGCAACACTGTTCGCGGCGCCAACGGCAGCGGCGCCGGGGGCCGCACCCGCCGCACCCGCCGCCCCGACCCTTATCAATGACAGATTGTCCCACCGATCGGCCACAGCTTGATTGAGCCACGCCAGCTGCGCAGTCCGGTTCAAGCCGCTGGCGCCAGTAACAGGGTCGTTGAACTCCACGAGAGGGCTGGCAACACCGGTAGCAGGGGTGATAGAGTTGTACAGATTGGTGAGGTCATTCCGATACTTTGCTTGACCGATTCCATCGTTAAAGAATGCGCCTGGGGAGATTTTCCTCGGGTTGCTGGCCAGCCATGTTGGCGGAATAGTGACCGGCATTGCGACATAGAGGTAGTATGGATAACGACAGGGCCAAACGCGGCGCACTGGCCTGCGTCTAGGTACTTTCAGCCATTGAGCTTCGATGTAGAACATTAGTTCCCAACCTGTGAGCGACTATCAGCATCTGATTGTTGGACTTCCGCATGCGTTCGGTGCCAGCTTTATCGGACTTACTTACGTGGATGACCATAGTCGTTGCCCGCCGAAATGATGATCGTTTGTGGATCCCAATTTTCTAGAATTTCTACTGGCGTAGAAGTAGCTGCGCCATGGTGTGAAGACTTCATGGACATCAGGTTCCGCGATGGGTTCAGAACCCGGCTCCATTTGACAATAGCCTGCTCAATGTCGTAGCTTAAGTCGCCAGCAAAATAGTGCGAGAGCCTTCCGTCGGGCCATATGATCATGCAGGCAATCGAGTGTTGATTGGTCAGCGTTGGCAGCGCGTTGACCACGCCCAGCCTGAGAGGACCGATAGTGTTACGATCTGCAGCCACGCAATACATACCCGGACGCATTTCCTTGTTGATCCGTTTCTTATGGACGTCCTGCGAGAGCAATTTCTCGACCGAGGTGATAGTCGTAGGACTAGTAGTGGTTGGCAAACGGTCTCCACTGAAGAAGTTGGCTCCTAGAAAGCTGGCATTGCGCTGTGTGGAAACTTGTATGAAGTTCTCCCTGATACCTAGAATCACGCCGGCAGCCATGTCGACAACGCGAAAGCTACAGGTCAAGCTCGGTCCGGTAGTGTCGAGCTGCACGAAGGCCTTCGCGAAACCTTTCTGCTCTGTCATTCTGGTTCCAGACTTCCCATACCAGTACGGCGCATATAAAGTTGTTTCAGGGGCTCCGGTGCGTGAGTTATATTTGAGATAAGAGCACTGGACATCGTCAACCGTCACTGTTCCAGCATTAATTTGGGCTGCCATATTGACGTTGAACAACCTGACGATACCGTTCCAATGGTCTTGATCCCAGTGGGTGACGACGATCGAATCAAATTGAAAATTCGCTGAAGTATTTGTTATCGCAACGCCTTGGCTGTCGGCATAGCCTGCAGCCTGAATATGAGCCAGTGTGGCATCAACATTCAAGAAGCCTTGATGTCGATTGTGACCACCATCGATGAGAACAGCTCCAAGGATCCGAGGTAGGGCCAGCAGGGCGCCACTGGCGGCTGCGCGTTGTACCAGCAGATGGATGGCGCCATCACCCATCTCAACGTTGATGTGATAGCTGTCGACATTGTAGACAGCCTGGGATGTCATTGTCGCCTCGGGTGCGCCAGCTGCTGGGCCCAGTCAACGAGCGCTTAGAGGGGCTGCGAGAGCAGACCGTCACCGACGGGTGAGCATGCGCTGAAAAGCTGCGGAAAAGCAACTATCGCCAACGAACATCAGCCGTTCATCATAGATGACTCGATAGACATCGCCGTGTCTATATCGCTGTGTGCCTGGCTTGACGGGGGCGTCTCTCAGAATTCGATAAACAGGTAGATACCTAATCATGTAACATTGGCTCCATTTCAGTCCGAAAGATACGAAGTAGGGCAACCATACTTGGGTCATGGCAACAACAACGTCGACCCGTGAAGTGGCAATAAACATGGCTGTCTGGCAAAGCGCTCAAAAATGACAGTGGCTGGACGCGCTCATGCAGCCAGGTGTGGTGGTTTGCCAGTACTGCACGGCTCTGTGAGCTGGACCGGCTAATCTTGCCATTTGCTTGGCAAGAACGCGTAACTCGGCGCCACCAATTCCCGTCGTGCATGGGAAGCTAACTACCGACCTACTGCAGGTATGAACGAAAGCTGAGCTGAACCAAGCTAGAATCTTCAGCTCGGCTCATGCGAAGCCACCATACTTTACGCTGGACAAGCAGTCCAACAATCCTTGATCATGGCGATTTCGTCGACTGGGCGAAAGCCTTGTCTGTTGGAGCTTGGCCAAAGGAGGCGCGTGGAGCGGATCATTCCGTATCGTGAACAGCAAGCGTTGGCAACATCAGGCACGTCTTTAGAACGGACGAGGAATGGTATGCCATCACCTCGTCGAACGATCTTGCTCCTGATGTTCGGACGCGTCAAAACGACAACAGCCGTACAGACTGTGTGATGATCCTGCTTCGGGTCTGTGAACACCTACTACCACTCACACTCACACAGTACGACAGTTGTGTGTGAGCGCAGCAAGGCTTGCCTGTCTGGGTTGGAACCATGGACGACCAACCAGATGTTATTTGCCTGCCCATGAAGGTTGATGCCTTCGTTCTGAACCCAGATGTTTGTAACAATTCAAAAACCAAGATTCCACCACTCAGCCAACCGAACTATACCTTCCTACGCCTTGATGCGAACGAAGTGCAGAGCGATGTACTTGGACATGTCGACCTACACGCTACAACTCCATGTCACGTGAACCGGCGAGTCATGGATCTGGGCACGAACTCGGTCAGATCCCATCGCTTGGTGTCTACTTGAGCTGGACAGTACCTCGTGTTTATCGTAGCGGAACAGCAGCAACGCCTGAGGCTAGCGGATCACAGGCTGCCAGATCAGCAGATCAGGGCTTCTCAAATCCAACAGATCCCAGCTTATCTGACGTCTCTGCACCAAATTTCAGAGCGGCTCCGACACGTTGGTTGGTCGTGCGGACGATACAACCAGATTCAATGATCCCCGCAGGCGCCATTCCCGCCGTACAAGGCTGGGTGATCGAGGGGGACCGTCGTTGGGATCTCCAATCCATTCCAGCTGGGTACGATTTAGAAACGGACTTCACCCCCTTCGTCGTTTCAGCAGCCGACAACAACGACAATATCGAGCAGCAAGCCGAAGTCTTTGTAGGAAACAAGACAGACGCTACCATATGGACAGAGACTGGCACCAATGACAGTCGCATAGCGCTCTCGCTATTGACCTCAGCGAATCCTGTGTTCGCAGACTTCCAGCCACACAACAGTAATGTCTTCAGCATGCTAGATAATTTCCAGTACGGCCCGATCGAGGCGCCCTTGTACCTACAAGCCGCTACGGCTGACTACTACGTGATCGGCTGGCACTACAATCCCGCGGAGGACGTGTTTTATATTCCACAAAACGTGGCGACAACCCTAGGTGCTCGATTGAAGGCTTGCAACATGGCCCTTGGTCGTGACCCTAGCTCTGACAATTGGAGTGGCAAGACCTCAGGAACCAGGCTTTTCTGCCACGGCGCCATGTATTCTGTGGACTGGAAGGCTAGATGGACCGACCCAAGTACCAACGCGTATGTTGGACCGAAGAGGATACCAGCCGACGACGCCTTTGCAGCCGTCAACAAAACCATGTCCATGGCAGTCGGTACCACTCCATTAGATGCGATGCTGGCATACGTGGCGGCACATGTGTGCGACACAAAGGATCCACTGTATTCTATTGAACAAGACATCGTCGCCATTCAGGCTCTGCTCATTGCACAAGACGACGGAGTCGAAGCTCAACTAGAAGCACAGGACTTGGTATACAACTACAACTATGCTCGAGATGAAGGCGGTGTCCATTGGCACATTTCTGGAGACGATGGAAGTAGTACACCTGTCAATCCGGACAATCATACTCTCCAAGCATTGGAGCAGCTCAACGCGACTCAATTGCTCTTGGACTCTGCGAATCGACGCGTCAGAGCGCTTCAGTGGTCCCTATTTGCGGAATGGTGGAAATATGTCAGCGACGCAAGCCAGAAGAAGGACGCCCCTAGCGTGCAGAAATGTGTCACTTGCATAAAAGACAAAATTAATGCTCTCGGGAATCAAGTCACTGGCCTGAAATCCAGCATAAAAACCATTCAAGACTCGTTCCCAAAGCTTGTAAAAGGGACGCAGCCACGATTTTTCCAACAGAAGGATCCTACTTTGTTCGTAGCAGGTGTACAGCCTGGATGGCCGACAGACTTCCTTGACAGTCTGACAACAAGGCTAGCTTCACAAATAGTCACCGGATCTGGTGCCCCGGACAGCGATTTCCAAGCCTTTGTGACCACTGTGGTGCCACGACTATCCTTGCCGGAAGCAATGAGCAATACTGTACAGGGTCTACTGAACGAGTTTATACTTCTGAATCCTACGAGTGGTAGCACACAGAAGCCAGGTGCCGGCCAATTTCTTCCGCTGTATCATGATCAAGTTGGAGCAGCCACCGGCTTGACGGTCCAAGGGCTGGGCTGGCGAGACCGGTGGGAATCCACGCAACCTTGGTTCCCGTTGTTCCTGGAGTGGGAAGCTGAGTACACTCACTTACCTTACAGTGATTGGGAGCTGTCTGATCGCCCGGTGCCTGGCTCGAGTGCCTATCTCACCCAGGTACGCTACAACATAAAGAAAGGGATCAACTTAGCCGACGAAATAGCCAAGGAGTCTGCTGTCGACAAAAGGACTATCTCTGGGAGGATCATCATGTTGCCTCAGCCAGGGTTCTCCCTAGCCACCAAAGTGAAGCAGCTCTTTAGCAATACTGTTCCGGAAGTGTTAGACAAATATTTGAGTAAGGATAAACGTGATGAGCTTCTGACCGGACTCGGCAACCTAGCATCCATCTCTGCGCCGCTCGCAGGATTCTCTGATCATCTTGTTACTCAAGTCCAAGGCGGACACATCAAACCTAGTAAGCGGCTACTGGGCGAAAAGGCTGTTCCTATGCAAGCGGCTGTCAAGAGCGAGGTGTCCATCGGCCTAGACGAGATTGGACTCATGGGCATCCAAACAGATCTAACACCATATGGTAGCCTGGTAGAGTATTTGCCACCTGATTACAGTGCGTTCAAGCCAGTCACACATGGTCAGTTCCGGTTTACGAAGATGAATATCATCGACAAATTCGGCCAAGCAATTCACGCCATTGATCCTACCCCATCGGACACAGATACTCCTCCCGTATGGCCATGTATCAGCGACTTCTATAGTTGTCAGTGGTTGCCTGCGCCGATGGAAGACTATGCCAACACTGTCATTCGTGACAAGGAGGGCTGGTGCGAATATGTCCAAGTGTCCCCGCAGATAAATCAGATGAGTCGTCTGAACGCCAATTTCGTGGTTCGAAACTCCCTTGCCACTGGCCAACCCTGGCGGCCAGTAATGGAGTGGGAGAACCCTATCTGGGGGTGGATGGTTGTCAACTATGCCGACTATGGACTCCAATTCTTCACAGCTGAAGGTAAATTCTACCGCGAAGTTCGCTTGGGAGGTCCAAAAGGAAGCACGGTCCCCAAGCAGCCGTTCCTGCCCTTTGGGCCAGCTACGGAGACCAAGACTCAGCTGGACTTCCTCATTGCACACTTCGCTGATCCAGACTACCTGCAGTCTTTCATTGACATGATCAACGCCGCATCTGAGCAGCTAGCTCCGGCTCCGGATTCATACGCTGAATATCTCTCGTCGTTGGTCGGGAAGCCACTGGCGCTGACGAATATCGGCTTCAGCCTGGAATTGGCCACGGACCCCCTCACGAACCAGTCGACCAGAAACAATGTTGCACCTGAGCTGCCGATACTTCCCCCAGGCTCGCTACCACCGGATTGTCCTGATTGTGAACCACTCCCTCCAACTCCTGTCCCGACTTCAGCCCGACCTGGTCATGAGACAGGAAGCGTCCCTCCATCTACGGCACCGCCCAACTATCGTTTCAAAGTGCACGTAGGTGACAAAGACCGCGTCTATGACGGCTTGCTTGGGTATTTCAATCTCGCTCCGGCTGCGAAGAATTTGAGAGAGGGTGACAGTCCCCAGTGCGATTATGATCTGACGAAGATATTCACCTATTACCGCTCGAAAAATCCGTCGATTGCAAACCCAACTCAAGCTATCACAACCGACAACTTTCCAGAGCTGGACCCATACTATCTCCGTCCAGACAGCTACACGACCGGGCTTGATTACAGCCTGGCACGGAATGCGAAGCTCACCATTCTAGGGTGCATATTGGACCCTTTCGCCGCACTGCACTTGTACTCCGACATCCTACCCATCGGCGAACTCAAGCTTCCAGCCTGGGCGGTCCAAAGTGCTCTGTCCGCCATGACGGCTTTTTTCCACATGGGACCTCTCGTTGTCACGGCAGACGTCCCTGTCTACGATAGCCACTACGACCTGAGCAGCAAATCCGTTGACGGAGCGAGCACCGAGCCAGTCTTTCCCGACGCCACGATTGGGTTGCCATCATTGGCCCAGGCTGACTGGACGTGGCTGCAGCCCTACGGTGTTGCAGCTTCGACCAGTGGTGGCGGGAGACTGGCGCCGGGGTCGAGTAACACTCCGATTCCTGGAGCGGTGACGGTAGAGACAAGATTCATGGGCTTGAAGTTGGGGAAGACGGATGCTATGCCGCGGTATGACAAAGGACCATACACGGCGGTAGAAGGATATTTACAATTGAGTTCGCCAGTCACGAAGCCGACAACGGCCGCCTGAGTGCATTCCATACATCTAGCCTGGGGAACGCGACGAATTTATGTGCTCGTTGTTAGGCCACGGCAGGCGCAACCCCACATCGCCTACAAGGACCTCGTCCTACAGCGTCCTACTACGCCACCTATATACTACTATCCACATGTGATTACATGCCTGATACCCTTACATCGTAGATGTTATCGATTTAGCTATCGAATCGTGTACGTTTTCGTCTGGCTTGAGCCACGCCTGGTCGCTACTTCTTCGCCCTCTGTTTCATCCCCGTTCCTCTACTCAATTCATCTTCCCGGTCTTACTAACTTTTCCCTCACAGTTCCAAATAACACCAAACCCACGAGAGCCGGCATCCAACCCGCGAATGCAAACCATGAAGCACGGCCCACCATCCAATGCGGGTTGCTGCTCTGTGGATCGGAGTTGCCATCCAGAGTGTCTCCATCCTTGGGCACGTTGTTCACTAGAAGGTTCGACCCGAGCAGATTCGCCAGGCCGAGCAGCAGAACACCTAGAGCGATCGAGAGGTGCGTAAGGGTGCCAATAAAGGTCAGCGTAGAGGGCCAGCCATGGTGGCGGCGGTGCCGACGATGGAGCGCTTGGTCGTCGGGTGTGTGCTGCCGCTTTGGGTAATCGGGGTGACGGACATGGCCGTGATGTTGGTGGTGAGCAGCAGGTCCTTCCATAATTTCTCCTTCCATGTTCGTCATCGCTGCTGGCCTGGACGAAGTGCCGTCCGCCTTCTCCTTCTCCTTAATTGCTTTGCTTCTGCTGCTCTGCCCGCCCGACCTCCATTGCCGTCTACCACCTCCTCGTCCCTGTCGCGAACCATCCTCGCTTGCTGCTCTTCTTCCAGCAAAGCAAGCTATCAACCCTAGCACAGAACTCCACACAAATGCCAAACCCATAAACACTATCCCAGCAATCAAAAGATTCTGTGTATAGCTGATTTGCTGACATAAGTACGGCAGATCAGCCCAGACAGTGTCGAGGCTGCACGTGGTTACACTACAGTCGTCCTTGTAATTCGCCCGGACCGTGGCGTCGAGATCCGGCGCTTTCAGAGTAGGGAGACACTTCTTGAAGGGCCCGCGGTGCCTGTCGTTGATGTAGTATGATGTGCCGGTATTATCGATATACGTGTAAAGCGAGGTGGCCCAGTAGGAGGAGGTAGTGGCGACAATTGCGAAGATGAAGGAAACAAGGGTGAGGATGGGAATCAGCAGGAGAGCGAGTATCGTCAAGAAGGAGATTCGTTTCATATTTGGGAAGAGTCAGGGAACTGTCCCTACTCTGCGTGGGCGTAGGTAATCGATGCCATCTGGCGCGTTGTATGACTAGGAGTGATGTCGACGGCCAGCAGGGGAAGGTATGCCAAGGGTGAGTATGGACGACAAGTCTTCCAACAGTACAAGCAATCACATGCCCGTGGAAAACGCCTCCTGCACATTGTTTTCAGCTACTCGTGATAAGACTGATTCCGACCTGCTAGATTCCAGGGACACGAGGACGTCTGATTCCGGGGCATGCGGGGCTGCATAAGCTTCAGCCAGCCGCATATCAAAGCTTCTTTGGCGTGTGCTGCCAGTCGCAACTTTACGCGAGTGCTTAACTGCAGGCTTGCAGTAGTTCCACAAAACTTAGGACTAATGAACTCACGGAATCAAGGACACACGCCGCGTGCAAAACGAATCGACAACTGGCTGGCTGTCTAGTAGCAGAGTATGGTGAAGGTAGCTGGAGCTTGAAGATACCTCATTCTACTCTAGAGGCGGGCTGATCCCTGAGCGACCTTCATGAAGGGTGTCTCAGAAACACCTGATCTTGATGAGGAAATCCGCTGGAAATTTGGGACTGAGATTGTCGTATGGTACGACCACGCTCTACACGTCCTCACCGTCAGAGCTTTGATTGTGGCCAGAGACAGCAAAGACGTGGACACATACTCGCGGAAAGAAACACGACACATGGAAGACAACAAACCTGGTCGTTGGGTACGTGTTTGATACATGCAGACATGACTGCTCCAGCGTCTGCTCAGCAGTCGACTCCTAGAGTTCACCGTCACAGACCAGCCTACCGTGCTCGCCATCTTGTTCTCAAGCATGTGCAGAAGCACATCACCAAGGCTAAGAGGGGAATTGCGGGTGCTGAGCATGATGCCGATGCCGATCCCCCAGCGCTTGACCCTGGCCAGGAGCGGCTTTACTCGTTCTACGCACCTGGCTTAGAGGCAGGAATCCACGACATCACGGTCACTCAGAAGATACACTCGCCAGCCGTTGAAGGAGTTCCGGCTGACGAGAAGGATGTGGTCTCCACGAAGACCTTCAGGGTCAGTCCGCCACGATTCGCGCTTCCAGACGGCGAAGTGCATTCCACCTACCCGCCACAAGGTCACGGAGATGAATCTCGCGTTTTACCGCACGTCGTCCTGACGGATCCTCATCTGCCTGGGAAAGGCTGGGAGATGTGATGGAAGAAGCCTCGGTCTCAGCAGACGAGTTTGCGCGCAACAGGACTCCTTGGCTGGCTCTGTTGAGCTTCAGTGACGATGCAATAGGCCAGAACGAATTGTACCTGCAGCCGAATCAGCTCAACGGGCCTGACAGCATATTCCCGCCATCAATGCTGCAGCCAGGAAGCCCACCAATAGTACAGTCCGCCACGTACTCGATTTACATGGCTATCCAAGACCTATGGAAGATGTCCGCCTACGTGACAACTCCGATCAACGCAAAGCAGACAGGTGACCCGGTTGATGGAAGTACGAAAGCCAATATTGTCTTTCTTCCGACCAGCCTCTTCACATCATTCGTCACCAAATACAACAATGATGGGACACCTGTCCCTCAGCAGAGCCAGCCTGACGTGTCTAGGTACAAATATTTGAGTCATGTGAGACACATAGATACCACAGGGATGACCGAAGCCGGTGTACAGGACGATGGCTTGTTCAGTGTTGTGCTCGGCCATCGCAGTGGTCCGATCAGCATCACCAAGCTACTACGGTCGTCGTGCATCTCGTCTCGATTGAAAACGTGGTCGGCAATCCGCCTGGAAGTGGTATCCTTCTTGACCAGATCAAAACACCCTATGTGGCATTGGCTTCGTTGTACAGCTGGTCATACCAGTGCCTACCACCTGCAAGTCTCTCCGTGGCCGATGCTTTCGCAGACGTAGGAGCTTCAGTCAGTATGCTACATGGTCCACTCCCGGCCTCGGCGAATAGCGCCACTCATCAGGGAAAGGTAGTTCCAGACCGCGTCATGCAGCGGATCAGAGACGGGTACTCGCTGGTACGCTATCGTACACTGAGTGGAGATGGGACGGTAGCGCTGAATCGTGGGCCACTCACGCCAACCCAAGTCCCTTACCCTTTCTCCGACACAATCGGTGGATGGAAGATGTTTTCCAACTTCGGGTCAGACTTGCAGATCCTCGACAAACAACTCGGATCATGGATATCACCTACAGCACCGCATGGCAACTTGGCAAGGCCTTGGCTATCGCAGACAGGGGTTTCGCCTCTGCGCTGACACGGCTCAGGAATGCGATCCATGCCGGTGCAGTCGAAGCGACGAAGAAAGAGCTTCTCGCACACCGCTATCGAAGCAAAGAGTCAGTCATCGCACAGCTGACAGATACCATGGCGGGTCTTGAGGATATCTTCCAGGGAGATAAGCAGACGGACATGCTTTCCAGATGGAAACGACCTCGAGAAGCACGAATCAATCTGTCACATCGACAGAACGATGAGACTGGTAGTACGTATCTGAAGCACGGGCGCGCCACGGCGCGCAAGCTAGCCTCGACAACAGACGGCCATCCAAACCACGCTACTCCAGAGCAGGGTCCTCAGACATTGAAAGATGTCAGCAGTACTCCTGATCTTTACAATGAGTTCAATACACCCTACTCGAACGATTGGAAGATAATACTCAACTGGGTCTTAGACAAGATGTACCTGTCCAACTTACCCGCCCACTATTTGATTACCGACCCGTCATGCTTGCCGAACGAGACCTTGAGGTTCTTCCACATCGACCGTAATTGGATTGACTGCTTCCTTGACGGCGCCTTGAGCCTCGCCAATCAGGTCAGCCGAGACGACGACCAAGTACGTGGCATCATCAAGTCTATCCTCGAAATCTACATCACCGGTGAGCTATCTCCCTTCTTCGGGTATGCTCCTCAGATACCATCCTTTGGATTCCTCATGCGGTCATCACTTGTAATGCGATTCCCTGATCTTGTGATCACGGCTCCAAGAGCACCAGGGGACCTGCGAGCGCCGATCTTACGCCAGGAGAATATCGCCAAAGACACATTGCTGGTGCTGTTCGATCGATTGCCCTCACATCCGGACTTCAAGTCTCTGATAATCAGTCAACCGCAGCATCAGCAGTTCTTCTCGCTTGGTGCGACTCTCGGCCCTGACCCAACAGCACCTATTGGAACACCACATCCACCTTTGGAGCTGGAACTGATCTACACCCGTGTATATGCTCCCGTTGCCAAGATCGATCCACATGTCAAGATGGAATATGACAAAGACGTTTTCAAGTCTTCTGACTCGCCGACCGTTTTCGATTGGAAGAACAGAACCTTGATGTTTCCTGCTTTTGCTCAAAGGGTCTATGACAAGATCAGCAGCGGAATGAACAGCATTGTGCCCAACTTGCCGCAAGACCAGGTAGGCCCTCCTGCACCGAATTATACGGATACAGTGGGTCCGGACTGCAAAGGCTTGCCATCCTCAGCACTGCTGGGGATCCAAATGAATGAGCCCATGTACCAGATGGAAGTCCAGATCCCGTCCCAGGGCGTAGCAGCCACGAGCATCGGTCAGACAAAGAGCGCGGACGTGACGAAACCCGTAATCCCAGCAGCATCGCCGCAGGAAGCGCCACAGATGCCCTCGAGCCCGCAACCGTACCAAATCGCAATATCGGAGCCGTCACGAAGACAATTCCCCCTGCCCAGCCCCCAGGAGAGAAAACGGCTTCCTCCGAGCAACTTTAAACACTCAGAACTCCCCCTCCCGCCTCCCCATCATCGTCCCCGTCGAATCCCCACGCATTTCTTCGACCCGAGTAGAACGCCCAACTTCAAGCTCGACCCGCCCACAACAGATCAGAACTTCGCCATCAGCTGCCACCACATCAGCAATTTCGGCAAGCCGGTACCCACCAACATTAAAGCACCGATGGACCTCGTCTTCTCCATCCAACTACGCCAAGGTTATAACACGAACTGGCAGCTCAACTATCTACACTTCGAAATCCCCATGGAGACGAAGACGAAACCCACAGCCGCGACGAGCAACACTTCCGCCCCATTGCTGCGTGCGAACTACCAAGACGCGACCGCCGTGATGCTCTCGAACCAGCGCTTCAACGCCTGGGGACCCGTCGCCGCAGCGGATAACTCGTTTCTTAACGTCGTACTCCAGCCGCGCTGGGCCCCCAAGGCAGCGGCACTGGATTTAAAGCAGGAGTGGAGCTTTGTGCTCAATCAGGTCCGTGTCGTGCAGGGCTACACGGGGAAGGTGAGGGTTAATGTCATCCAAGGCTTCACGGCGGTCAATGGACCACAGCCGGAGCAGGTCAGAGGTTTCATTCTTGTGGATTTGGCGCCGGCGAAATCGTGAGAGGCGTCTGCAGAAGGAGGAACAGCATTGAAAGTAGCAAGAGACCGGCGTGCCTGAAGCGTTCATGAAAATCGATGTCATCTGTTTTGCTGCGCCGGCTTAAAGGTTGCCAAGCGCAACTACAGATGACCAGCTGTTCCGTGACCAAAACCCAGCAATAAGCCATTGATTCTCATCGTCGCATGTCGAGTCGCCGCAAGCCTTGAACCGTGAAACAGCACACAGAATGCAGTGAGCTGCATTCCATGTTCGGTCCACAATCAGTTGTCCTGATGTATACCACTGAAACACCGTTGAGCCCAAGCCTTCACATCTTGCCGCTGGGGTTATCAGTTCCATGAAGGGATCCATTTATGGCTGCCCAGATTACATGTCGCACTCACCTTGACCAGATTCCTTCCTCCGAGGTTGTTGAAGATGTCAAAGTCGACGGCAGGGCTGGAGTCGTGAGCGTCGCTGTGGTAAGGTCTTCAGGCAAACAGGAGCACTGGTGATTGTGAGTATGAGGCCCGGAGTGATGTCAATTATGTTGTTGGACAATACAGAGATGTGACGCTGGTTCGGAACCAAAGAGATGGTGACTGCAGCCCAGCAGACAGCAGCTGGCTCTTGCCTCCGAAGAAGTTCTGAAGGTAGAAGGTGCAACGATGAAACAAATACAGCTACCGTATCCCAGGCCAGGAGCCACATGAGAACACGAACATCCATTGCGAATTACCTCTTTCAACCAACACAAGATCCCTCGTCGCATTCATGAATTACAAGCACGTGGTAGGCGCGATGGCGCCACTGCGCAGAGACCATCTTGTTGGCACGTAGCGACGCAACGCGACGCGACGCGACCCGACTCGAACGCGCCACTGCTGTCATCGACAGCCTCACGCGATGAGCACATGGCCTGTGACTCGAGCCCGTGCGAAAATGCCTTCATTACCAGCCCCGAAATCATCGTGATGGGTAGGTATCTACCTATGCAAGTAGAGAAGCACCATGTTGCTCGAGCGGATGGCATGACGTGAGTTGTAAATGGCGGAGATTGCAGGAGTTTTGTCAGCGGCTGAATGTTGGAGACGACTTCCAGTTGCATCGTTGGAGTCGGAGCACTCACTTTCACCATCCCACTTATCACCACTCACCTATAATATACACTTGACTGGACGTTACACCGGCGACATTCCTGCATCAACGGGCTACCTTAGTGTTATCGCCATCTCTGTCACGACTTTGGCTCACTCAAAGGGCACACCTTCCCGTCCTCCAGCCTCTGCGAACCTCTACTGGCTGAGCGTCTACCAAGTGCTGGACACGAATACCCTGAAAGCCCCATAACATCTGTATTGTGACTGTATCATTATCCCAGCGCTAGAGTTGTCGAGCGGACTTTCCAGGCAACGCGATTTACAGCTGTCAGCATGGGGTCGACTTCCGCAGCCGCAGGCCTGCTGGCGCGGCAGCTGAAACAAATGAAGAATGATAAAGACATTCCAGGCATCTCTTGCGGCCTCGTTGATAACAATGTCTTCGAGTGGGAGGTCATGCTAATGATTAACGATGATTGCAAGTACTATGGCGGTAAGTACCACACATCTGACAGAATTGCCACACATCGGAGCCGTGTACTAACGTCTCGAACAGGTGGCTTCTTCCGTGCCGTCCTTACATTTCCAACAGACTATCCACTGCTACCACCTAAAATGCGATTCACAACTCCAATATGGCACCCCAATATATATCACCCGTCCGGCGACGTATGTATATCAATCCTGCACCCACCAGAAGACGACAAGTATGGCTATGAGACGGCAGCCGAGAGATGGACTCCTGTACAGAGTCCCGAGACTATACTGTTGAGCGTCATCAGTATGTTGTCCAGTCCAAACGATGAGAGTCCCGCAAATGTCGATGCGGCCAAGATGTGGCGCGAGGACCCAAAGGAGTTTAGGAAGAGGTGTAGAAAGATTGTGAGAGAGAGTCTGGGCGATGAGTGACGAAATTGTTGGATAACCACAATCTCTGTGCTCAGGAAATGGTGCAGAAGAATGCATAGTCGACTAAGTGGCTGTAAGCATGGGTCTGGCGTTGGGCTTCTCGGGCATCACTATTTACACAGGCGCATCTCCACCGAGAGTCGGGGCTCTGGCTGTGACTTGGCCAGCGCCAGCTGAGACGAGGACAGGAGCAATGAATTTATACATCCGACTTACTCCAAACAGGTCAACATGCAGATACGAACTCCAGCAATGGCCACCGATATATAATATATCTAGTACAGCTCAATACCATTTCACGCGCTACAGGGTACGGCATAGTGCGAAAATTGTCAGACATCCGCTGCACCAAATACCTAGGTATGCAAACTACCATGAAAGCCAAGACGAAGACTTTGCGCGGGGGCCTGTGGCTGAACAAGATCCAGCCGGCCATGTCACTAGGAAGCTAGTTCAACGTCGATACAGTCGAGTTCCTGCGCCAATTAGTATCTACGGAGGATCCACTGCATGATGATTTCTCATGACATGCTTGCCGCTCCCGTCACCGGCTGGATATTCTGATGCTTCAACGGCAGTAATAATACAAGCAAGCCGCGCTTTCCGGTACAGTAAACTTACCGGAACGCCCCTGCCAAGCAAAAGCCTGATTGATGGGGCGGGAACACTTTAAGAACGATGGACGCCCACAAGGCGGAAGGACATCTGTCGAACTCCTCTCCAATGCTGCCCTGTCCTCTCTGTGTGGCACAGCTCAACACCGCAGAGCTGCCTTCCCACTGCGACCAGCGAACCTCATCTGAATCCAGCCAGCATGGCCTTGTGTCCATCCCCAAACAACGCACTAGCCGTGATCCCAACTCGTGCTGATTACCTCTTGGGTATCGTGCAGCACTATCTCCTCGATCCTATCTACCTGCTCACCAGACCTTTCTCACCGCTATATGACTGGCTTGCAAGCTACTCGACTCGCCTTTCTTGATGGTCTACGAACCAGAAATTCCGACCACAACAATAGCCGTCGTAGGGGCATGCTATTTGGCAAGCGTCCTCATCCGAGTGGGGGACTTTGTATGGCTGCACTTCTTGAGAGCGTCAGACCTGCAGATTTACAATCATGCTCCATCGCCTCGCAATGGCCCGCTTAAGATGTTCGATGAAGCATCCGAGAACGAGGAGAGAGCACCGACCCTCATCCACTCCAGCCCCCACTCTTCAAACGAAAGCCCCGTTGCACAGTCCGAAGCAGCATGGGCCCTCATCACAGGGTCGACATCAGGCATTGGCCTTGGCTACGCCACCGTGCTCTTGGAGCAAGGCTTCAACGTCGTTCTGCATGGTCGCAACCTGTCCAAACTTGAGCGAATCCGACTAGATCTCCTCACACGGTTCTCCACCCGTCAGATAGAGACGTTAGTGATCGATGCAGAACAAGCGTTCTCAAACGTACCGTCTGACAACAAGGGAGGTCTTTTCGATCATCTCATCCGTTCACGATTCAAAGACTACAACCTGACCATCCTAATCAACAATCTCGGCGGCCCAGGAACACTTACCCAGGACTTCCCACTTTGCACCACCCATGCCGCCCGACCTACATCTCACAACCTCGCCGCCATCAACATCAGCATCATGTTCCCCCTCGAGATCACCCGGTCGTGCCTGCCAGTGCTACAGCACAACTCACCCTCACTGATTCTGAACGTCGGCTCCGCGTCGGGACGCCCCGCCATGCCACTGCTAGGGGTGCACGGCGCGGTAAAGGCGTTTCAGGAGGCTTTCAGCCAATCCCTAGACGCCGAAATGCGATATTTAGGATTGCAGACCAAACCGCAAGGGCTTCGATTCGGAATCGGGGCAGCAAAAGGAGTGACAGTACGTTATGATCTCGTAGGCATGTGCGCCACACCCGGCGCAGGCGGAGGTGGCGAGAAAATAACGTGGATACGGCCAGACGGCGAGACTTACGCACGAAGCAGCTTAGCACTGGGCAGTGCGGCAGGAAGGGGCGTGTGCTGGGGCTATTGGCCACACGGGCTGCTATTCGGTGCTGTTCTGGGCTGGGCATTACCTCGATGGATCGTGGACAGAGTGACTGCCAATATCGTGGCCGGCATGGTCAGCCAGGACGAGACGGAGCGGACACAGAAGACCGCTCTGGACAGTAAGTCAGGAACACTAGGCGTATACTCACAATTGCGGTAGCAGCTCGCCACCGCGAACCACCATGTGTGGTCAGCAGCTCGGGGCCGTCTCATCACCCAGACATCGAAATTCGTCTTTCATCCGTACCATATGTATGTCAAATAACTCTATAGCAGCAACCACCGGTAACCTTGTCCAGTAAATGCCAACGACCGCTCCCTTTTTGCAACCTCAATGCCTCGGTCAGTCGAAACCTTCCACCTTGCAGACAACAATATCGAGGAGATGGATAACCTTGTCCAGTAAATGCCAACGACCGCTCCCTTTTTGCAACCTCAATGCCTCGGTCAGTCGAAACGTTCCACCTTGCAGACAACAATATCGAGGAGATGGAGTGCCAGACTGGTCTGCGCGTGCTCGTAGCAGTTTCAGGCACCGTCTCAGTGCCAGGGTTGGACTGATCCGGGTGGTGATATATTTGATCCGGTCTCGCTTAGACCCAAGCTCAGACAGACCGGTTGACAAAGGTGCCGTAGACCGGATGACTGCATTCGTACCTGCTTTGATAGGTCCTTCCTGTAGAAGGCGCGACCTGCTGATTTCCGATCGCGCTGCTGTGCTGGGTACCTTCTACAGCAGGGGCGACGGATGACGGCAGTCGCGCGTTCGGGTGGGTGGGGGAGGTGGTGGGGAGGAGGTGGCCGCTTCGCGGCCACCGACTCACCACCACCCCAAGCGAGCGCAGCGAGCATTAGGACTGGAGCCGTAAGGCCGGAAGTAGCGCCGCAGGCGAGTAAGGGAGGGTGAACGATGCAAACATTGTGCCGCAGGCGAAGTGAGGAAGCAGAACATCTGCTGATCGACGTCAATCGATAGAAAGAACGATAGACAGGGACACCAAGAGAGTCTGGTCAGGTTGAGTGTGGCACGGGAAAGAGGCACCTGCGCAAAAGCTGAATAGTCTGATATGGCATCCATAGCTCTCCTATGGACGAATAGACTGCTTCAGACTCATTCCGCCGCATAGCACCCACAGTAGTACTACCTTCTCTTCCCACCCTTCCCACATTGGCTTGAACGAGTATGGAGACTGTGAAAAGTACAGTGGTATTGATGCTCGG